TAACAAGTGATTCCTCTTCCAAAGGAGTCAGTTTATGGCAATTGGCGCGTGTTTCCTTGCGGTACGTGATGCCATTCAAACGATCTTGAAGAGTTGAACGCGGAACTTTAAAAGTATCTGCAGCCTTGCGAATTGAGCGAATTTGACCTTTTTTTATAGCCTTAACTGCGAGGCAGAGCCTGCCTTCTTGTTCCACTGAAACTTTTGATGATCGAGGCATTTTTGGTGGAGAAATCGATGTCTGTATACAGGCAGTTTTGTGGGCGTGGTGGTGGTTGATGGGGTGGCCGACTCGCTTACGTGGCCGACTCGCTTACCGATTACGTTACCGTCTTTCCGGAAGTGCCGGACATTCAGCCAGGCACCGCTGGATCTCAAACTTGTCAACCTTCACTTCTCTCCGGGTTTTCTTCTGCTCTATGGCGTCGGTTCCTGCCCCTGATCGTCTCTCCGATGAGGAATTTCCCTCACGACGTCCGCGCTACCCCGGTGAGGATACCACTCCAACTAGCCGGCAAGAGGTCTGGGGCTGGTATGCTTACGGCATAGCCGCCGAGGTCTTCGCTGTGTGCGGTGTCGGTACGTTGCTCTACACGTTCCATGTGCTCCTCATTTCCAGCACATCTAACTTGTGTCAGGATCATTCCTCCCGCTCACCCTCGAGCAATTGGCTCGCGAGCACGGCTTTCTCCAGTCCACTCATCAACCATGCGTCGGGCCTACCGCTCCGTCCGGAGACTCGAATGAGCAATGCGTCGTCCAGCTGATGGGGCTAGAGATCACCACCGCCAGTTTCGCCATGTACACCTTCTCGCTGGCGGTGCTTGTGCAGGCTCTGACTTTGATCTCATTCAGCGCTTTGGCGGATTACGGTATGACGCGAGACTCATTCCCCGCCGCGTTATATACCTCAGCACTGACCACAATGCTCCTCCTGCTCCAGAGAACAATCGCAAGACCCTCCTCATGGCCTTTGGCTTTGTGGGCTCGGTAACGAGCATGCTGTTCATGTTCATCTCTCCACCAGTCTATATCCTCGGCGCGCTTCTGGTCGTGGTAGGCGTCGTGTGCCTGGGGTCCTCGTTCGTCGTGCTCAATTCGTTTCTACCCGTCCTCGTCGCGCACGACCCGTCGATCACCTCCCCCGCTAAGAAGGAGACCCCGGAGGAATTGCACGAACTATACCCGGATGGAGAGGAGGAGGAGGATGACGACGACAACTTCCGAACGCATTCTGCTCGCTCGGGCGCACACAATGACCAGGGCGAGTCAGGTCGTTCCTCCTCCGCAACGAAGGCGGCGTCTCCCGAGTTACAGCTGTCGACGCGCATCTCTTCCAAAGGAGTGGGGTTGGGGTACTGTGCCGCAGTGTTCGTCCAAATCCTCAGCATCTTGCTGCTCTTCACACTGTCCAAGACCTCCGTCGGCAAGTCGTCTGGCACACTGCCGCTGCGTTGCGTGCTGCTGCTGGTAGGTCTGTGGTGGTGCGCGTTCACACTGGTCAGCCGACGGTGGCTGCGCACGCGTCCCGGCCCGCCGCTAGAGGAGGCTGGGGGAGCAGCACGAAGCGCCAACGGCGGCGGCGGCGGCGCGCCCCGCGCGCGCTGGCGACTCTGGCTCAGCCTCGTGGGCTTCGCGTGGAAGTCGCTCTGGAAGACCGCGCGGGTGGCGGTGCGGCTGCGGGAGATGCGTCTGTTCCTGGTGGCGTGGTTCCTGCTGTCGGACGCGCTGGCGACGGTATCCAGCACGGCGATCCTGTTCGCACGCACGGAACTGCACCTGAGCACCACGATGGTCGCGCTCCTGTCGATCACGGCCACGGTGTCCGGCATGGCGGGCGCATTCCTGTGGCCGACGGTTTCTCGCCGACTGGGCCTGCAGTCGCACCAGACCATCATGCTGTGTCTGGCGCTGTTCGAGCTCATTCCTCTGTACGGGCTGCTGGCGTACATCCCCTTCGTCCAGCGCTGGGGCGTGATTGGGCTGCAGCAGCCCTGGGAGATCTACCCGCTGGCGGTCGTGCACGGCGTGGTTGGCGGCGGATTGGCCTCGTACTGCCGCTCGTTCTTTGGGCTGCTGATCCCGCCGGGCAGCGAGGCGGCCTTCTACGCCCTGTACGCGGCCACGGACAAGGGCAGCTCCTTCATCGGGCCGGCCATCGTGGGCATGCTGATCGACAAGACGGGCCAGGTGCGGAGCGGATTCTTCTTCGTGGCGGTTCTCATTTTGCTGCCGATTCCTCTGATCTGGTTCATCAATGCCGAACGGGGCCGCGCCGAGGGTTTGGCGGTCGCTGAATCCATGACCGAGCGGGACGGGGAGGAAGCAGAGGGCCTGCTTTCCCGACGGAGCTGAGTCCGGTAATAGAAGGCTATATTATAGACGCATACCCTATGAGATTACATGATACCATGAATAATGAACATGTGCACCCGAACACCGCCCGCTCCTTTTTGCAATGAGTAATGAGAATCCGCTCAATCATCATCCACCACCACCACCATCCACACCCCTACCTCACCATTACTCGCCAGCAACGGCGTGCAATGTACCCATCGATCGCGTCCCTGGGTATTGTACCTCGTCACCCACTTGATTCGCGCGGTGACACTCCGCCCGCCCTTCAGTGCTTCCAGCAACTCCTCACGCACGGTCGAGGTGCTTCCGATACGTGATAAAAACGAGGATTGCAGCATGCCGGGAATCTGCAGGGCAGGGGAAGTGAAGAGAATTCGTAACGAGGGATACGGGCGCACGAGGAGGTACTGTTGTTGGTCAGTGGGGGATCTTGCAGCGCAGATGCGTAGAGAAGGGACCATACATTTTCATACACTCCCGTCAACGAGCCTCTCCACATTGACTCTTTGAGTTCCCGTTCCCGAATCGCTTCGTCCTCAACCATTGACCACGTTCGGCTCATCGCCTGCCAGCTGCCGCGATCCATCAGCCCGGCGGAGGTTGACACCGCGCTGGGGTGGAAGAGGGTCCCGCCGACCTCCTGCGTGACGTTCAGCTCTCGTGGACTGAACAACTCGGTCAATTGGCGGAATTCGTCCTTTGGGCGGTCATCTTCGCCATCGTCCTTCTCACCGTCTACCGATCCGAACTCGCCCTCACTCCGATGATGTCCGTTAGGAGTCATCTGCTGTTTTTCATAACTGAATGTCCGGTGGGATTGAGGATATGCGAGAGTTTGACTATCTTCGTCAAAGCGAACCTGCACCCCGCCCTCCTCTTCCACGCCCTCTTCTGGCTGGATGATCTCCATCGAGTCTTCATCCCGCGCGTCTTCTTCTGCCTTGGCCTCGGCTCGACGCTGCTTTGCCTGCAATGCACGCAGGGATTCCATCTGCGCGCCGTCCATTGCCAACCCGGAGACGTCGATCTGCGCGCCGATGAAATATCGCACTGTTCCACGACTATCGCACAGGGGGGCGCACTGCAGCAGGTTCATGAATGGGGAACCATCACGGCGACTGTTCAACTTGAATTAGCAACACTTCCCATCCAGAAAACGCGACGGTTTGGCCCGGACCGTAACAAACTCACTAATTCAGAAACAGCTCGGAATGGTGCCTTCCAGCCGCGATCCCCTCACGAAGACGTCTCACACTGTTGGGATTGGTTTTCGGTCCCTGTAGGAAACGACAGTTGCGACCGAGCACATAATCCATACCGTACTGCGTGGTGCGATGGAATTCTAGATTGCGGTGGTCAACTACATGACCTGGCGCCCGGACTTAAGGCTCTGTGTCTGGCAACATACCCTCTGAAGCGAAAATAATCGGGTTGTCCCGTCTCGAAGGATCTGTCAAGCAGAACACCTCCGCCAATGCATCAGATGCCCCTTGAAATTTAGGCGGGAGGTTTCCACGAACCCGCTCTTCGACCACCCGGCTGGTCAGACTGATACAGCGAGCCGTGATGAAGGCGGGTAGTTCTTCTGCTGTGAGAGCTTGCAGAGCCTCAGTGACGCGCTGGTGCAGCACCGGGTGGGCAATTTGGCCGACAACCGGATCGGGCGTTGCGATTGTGGCTGGAGGAGCGTCAATGACCGACCGAACGAGAGCATTAGCGTAGTCAATGGCGAGAAGAGCCTTGCGGGCTGTGAGGTAGTAGGTCAGGAGGGCGAGTGAGCGTGGGCGTTCCTCGAGCAGGAACTCCCGGAATCGCGCAAGATAACGTGGGTGGTTGAGGATGGAGAGCATGTGTTCAGATGAGAACATCAGGTCGGCGAGACGCTCGAGACTGTGTAGGGGAGCGGCATCGTCGGCCTGAGCCGGTGCGATCAAATCATATGAGAGACCTGGTTCGTGGAGCGGGTGAAATTGCTGCTGGTCGGTGTCATTGTTGTAATATGGATTGGGTTCGTGGAGGAGAGGCAGATCGTGGATCATGTAATTACGACGAAGGGTTTTGAGGGACGGTTTGGGCGTAAGATTGGGATTTTCATCGTGGTTGCGGGCCCGGCTCGGGGGATGGGGAAAACCAGCGATGAGTGCCTCCGGGGGACTGCCTGTTTGTAAGTATAAATTGAAATTGATTTCCGAGAAGGAAGCGGGGAGAGGCTCACGGCGAGGCTGGGTAGTGGTCGAGCGCGACAGTGGACGGCTCGGAGCGCAGAGACTCAGTATCCATAAAGCCGGTGTATCGTTCCATCACGAAGTCGCGCAAAGGTTTAGTGGCCTCTCGATCTTGTGCGAAGAACCTTGTCCCTTCTTTATACGCTCTCCCTTTTGTTGCATGTTGATATATACACCAGATCGGTTGAGGCAGCAGAAGGCAACCAACACTGGATGTATCGCAACCCAAAGATTTCAAAGACATCGTCGAAGAGCGGCTGATCGATCGATGCCCTTCGGCTATCAAGCTGTCAACCACGCGATCGGACGGATTTTGAATTGATGATGCAATGGTGCAGATCGTAACCAAGAGTTTGAACCGGTTCGTGCGATCTGTATGTTGCCGAGCCGCGAGTCTCGAACGGCGGATTGCGGGCTAGAAGCACCTGTCAGAGATCTGCAGGGTCGATCTGCCAAAATGGTCGTCTCCCCTGAGCTTCGGCTATCTTGACGTTCGCTGTGGTCTCATAATGGATCTCTATTATACCAGTTCTCCGAGGAATTCATCTCCGTGGCCAAGGAGAATGTTGGAGGCTACTCCGTACTATGAGCGAGTCGACGAACCCCTGCAGCGAAGGTGTCAGATCGTGTTCGATTTCGAAGAGGACAGGGTAAAAGGGGCAAGCTCACCACTTAGCAGAGACTTTCTGCCTTACATCGGCCCCACCAGACTTGGACACCAGATCCAAATGCATCTGATCTTGTCTGATCTGTACCTACCTACTATAGGTGGGTAGCCGAGACCAAGCACACCAGCCACATCGCTACACTAGCCACACCTCGTTAGCCACATTTTTCTCCTTCCGGGGCGGCATGTGAATGCTTGGCGAGGACGGTCATGTGCCGTGCTTACTGCTCTCTTCCTGTCGTCCGTTGCTGGATCCCTGGAGCAAATGATCATCTTCGTCATAACGATCGAGTTCCGCTCACCCGGCGCCGTTCGACCACGAGGGAGGTATATGCTGGGCCACAAGTGTTCAGACTTCAATCGGGCAGCTTTGGGAAGATAGCACATGGATTGGCTTCAATGACGATGAGATCGTCGATTGCCCACGGTCAGTCAGTCAGTCACGACTCAGAACAATGTCAGCTCATGACCCATCGGCACACTAGGCAGAAGCGGGTAATGACCTCGGGAGGAAAGCCGCGACTGACCGTCTTCTCGGAGCCATACCTAATCCGTTCGCCGAGCCGAGGCTCCCTTCTCCCCGCGGCAGCGTCACAATCCCCAGAGTATTATTGCTGTAACTAACTGGCTTGCTCCGGAGTACCGACCGACCGCTTGCTAATACTTAGGTCTGCCTTCTGTCCTTCCGGCTCTCTGTCTTTCTCACCCTTCTACTTCGCCTGTCTCTTGATACCCCTCCGTCTGCGTTTTGCTCCAGCGATTCGATTCTTCCTCCCCTTACCACCTTCTCACCCCAACCCTCAGACCCGGTCTCCCCCACGCGAACGTTTTCCCTCCTACCATGTCGACCACATCTACGTCAGCCCCTCCCCCGATTTCAGACGAGGTCTCGGTCACCGAGACCAAGGCTGTCAATCAAACAATTGCACAGATCCGCTCTCTCGTAGCGGGTGGAGTGGGTGGTGTGTGCGCGGTCATTGTCGGGCATCCTTTCGACTTGGTCAAGGTGCGGTTGCAAACTGCAGAAAGAGGCGTCTATACTGGTGCTATAGACGTGGTGAAGAAGACAGTGACACGCGAAGGTCTTGCTCGCGTAAGTCAGCGTTCCGGATAGTAGTGTGGGAGCGCGCTAATTGCCCGCAGGGATTATACGCGGGTGTTTCGGCTCCCCTGGTGGGAGTGACTCCTATGTGTAAGCTCACGCATCCTATGATTATATCCGCTCACTAATTAATTCTTGGACTAGTTGCCGTCAGCTTCTGGGTATGTCCAAGCACTTCAAAAGCTCTTTGCGCCGTTGATCTGACCATTCCAGGGATATGATGTCGGAAAAACGCTTGTCAGCAAGTTGTCCACGGTAGAGGTGAAACACAACACCCCGCAATACAGCATCGGCCAAATCTCTGCAGCGGGTTTCTTTTCGGCAATCCCGATGACCCTGATCACAGCTCCCTTTGAGCGCGTCAAGGTGCTTCTACAGATTCAAGGTCAAAACCCGCCTCCGCCGGGTCAGAAGCCCAAGTACTCGGGCGGCTTGGATGTGGTGCGCCAGTTATACAAGGAGGGGGGCATTCGCAGCGTGTTCCGAGGTAGCGCGATGACTCTGGCTCGTGACGGTCCTGGTTCGGCGGCATACTTCGCGGCGTACGAGTACATCAAGCGGACGTTGACGCCCAAGGACGAGCAGGGGCGTGTCACAGGCGAATTGTCCATGCCCGCTGTGCTGGCAGCAGGTGGAGCTGCTGGAATTGCCATGTGGATCCCCGTCTTCCCTGTCGATACCATTAAATCCCGCCTTCAGAGTGCCCCCGGTCGGCCAACGATCGGAGGAACCATCCGTACTGTCTATGCCAGCGGTGGCTTCAAGGCTTTCTTCCCCGGATTCGGTCCAGCACTGGCCCGTGCGGTCCCAGCTAATGCAGCGACTTTGTAAGCATTCTGCTTCCTTTATCTCATACTTTGCTAACGACGAATAGTGCTGGCGTCGAGTTGGCTCACAACCTTATGAAGAAATACTTCGATTGAACGAGGTCATACAGATCCCGGTGATCTGATTGATGATCTTCATGCCATTTATCTCGCGTCGCGGGCACATAGTCTGCAAATACTGGGCAATCGAACATCTATACCTTGCTAGAGATTCCTGTCGTTGCGGTATGCAGGACAGTAGAATAAATGTGATAGAACCAATGTGCCTATTTGGAAGGCGACTCAACACATAGATCACAATACGAGCGGCTACTCAATTAAGTCTCACATTTACAATCCACACATCAAGTCAGCATGCGGCCAATCCCCACTAGGAGTAGCAGGATTAGTCTCTTTTCCTATTTACACCTCGTGAAATTAATCAACTGCACCTAGTATTTGTATTACACCTAATCCCCTATTCGTTAAGTTGCAGGGGTTCAGTAGTTGTCCCCTGGAGGGGGGATGTTCGTTGCCTGAGACTTGAGGATCACTAAGGCATTATTTTTGAACCATTCATCAACATTGTAGACGACTGAATGCGCCGAGCCTGGATCTGTCCAACGGCACTTTTGGGGTCTCAACAATATATATTACTGTCGAAGTATTTACCAAAAGAACCCACGCGATGGGCTATCAAAATTTCCCGACCTCTACTTCTGTGCCTCGGTGCCGTGCTGTACGAATCTGCTATCGACATACGAGGCCTTGGACGTTCAGCTCTGTTCCAAAAATGCACTTTTCTAGGCAGCCGACCACTGCTGGCATTAGCAGAGTATTCTGGGAGCTGTTGGTACCTATAATATTTACAGCTGCAAATAGGGGTGGACAGGGCTTCTTCTGTCGTCACAGCTCCAGATGGGAGTAGGATCACGGTCGGTTATAGGGTTATACGCGGAAGATCAAAGCCTGCAGATAATAGACATTACCGGTGGTCCGAATCTGCTGCAGCCCCTGGCGCGGAACCAGAGGCGCGGGAGGCAAGAATCAGTGTTCAGCGTCACGGTAAATTAAGGCAGAGGGTGCTGCCCGGCTTTGCCCCGTTGTGAACTGAATTCAATGGGACAAACCAGACAACAACCCTCCATCCCCACCGCTTGAAGTTCCCCAAGCCGTTCTCCGCGGAGTTCTATTTGACTGCGGCTTAGGAGTTTCCGCAGACAAAAGGTTCACATGCAGCAGCCAAAGGCAGACCCAGTCAGGTGGAGTCCTATGCACCCCACAAAATGGTACAGCTTCTCAAGAAGGACCTTGGAAGCATTTTCCCTAGTTAGCTCAACGGCACTTTCTGGAAGAAAAAGCTAAACTACATAAGTGGCGGAAGGTTGCAGGGGTTCCCGCCGCAGCCACTGGGCTTTTGGCACTGCCGGCCTCGGGCCTGGAAACGATCTCCGGGACAACAACGGCAATTTTCAGGGGACGAAGGAAAAGTGCCGTGTGTTGCCACTGAGCCAATGCAAGATTTTGGACCCAAGCTACTCTTTTAACTTCTTTACTCACCTGGTTACCGATAGGGCCACACACGCTTTCCCTGGATATTTTCGCCGCCGGATCGTCATTGCGCCTCCATAGTTGTTGTATTTATTCTATAAGACCCAACGCATCTTCCTGCCTCTGCACAGCTTTCAAGACACACATCTTGAAATCATCTGACTGCTTTCTATCAATCACCCACCCAAACAATGTTTCTTCCAGAAATCATGACTGATTCAACCACGTACCTCAACCATTACGAATCAGAAGATGAGGACTCTCCCTGTGCAATCCTTAGTGATACTGAGGAAGGCACCCACGCCGGGTGCACGCTGCCCGGCGTCCACTTCGTCCGCATACCCGCGAGCAAGGTAGAAATGCCTGCAAACCTAGACTCGGTCCTCTCCTACAGCCTCGACCACTGTCCATCTGACCTGTATGATGAATCTGCGCATATGTCCCAGAAAGTCGAGGAGGAAATCCTCCTGGAGGAGCTTGACCGGGGTAATGATCCGGGCCTTTTGCAGTCTCTCGTGAATGATTGGCAAGCACTGGGCACATTACTGACTGATAAGCCTGAGGATCACCTCGACGAGCAACTGGTTTTTGGCACCGTCACGATCGATGTTTTTTGAACCGGGTCCTCACCTTCTGCAGGAGGTCCTGTCCGCTTTCAACTGAGAGCTTCCTCCTTCCATCTCTCTCTCTCTCTCTCTCTTTCTTGCTATCTTCCAACAACGGCTCATCTACTCCTTCAGCCGCACGCGATGGGCCCCAGAAATCTCCAGACTCGGAGCGAAAGGGCACGAACGCCCCAGCCATCTCTACATACTACTGTTGAAAAATCTCCTCACTTTCTCTCGTTGTCTGATCCTGGGCAGGCGGACGCTGTGGCATGGCCGGGACACGATAGGGTTACTGCCCATTTGTGGTTTGAATAAGGGGCCGGGAAGATATGGCTCCCTTTTCTCCCCCTGGTGAAAGGATACCTGGGAAGGAGCAAGGTATCCATGGTGGGGTCTGGGAATTCAATAATCCTTTTTCTAGTGATCTAGAAGCCTTCCATGCGGGTTAGATACTGGATTGACTTGGCAGCGGGCGGCGAAATACACGTCCTCGATATCCAACACTAGCAGCACTTTACATGTCTCTAACAGGCTAGGTAATTGGATTCAGCACAACACCAGAACCTCAATTCACAGAAGTGATTCTACGGGATATATTTATAATGATAAGCGAAGGAGACTACACCAAGCGATAATTGACAGGTAAAGCGTCGAATACATCTCTTAGTCGTTCAGATATTTCTTTTATGTCCCACTCTCCCCAAGAGACAGGGATCCGCATTTCAGACCACCCTAGAATGGAATCCAAGACTTATTTTGTAGAGCAGATTAGTGCAGATCGCCCTAGGCCGAGGTAACCGTGTTTTGAGTCAGTCGATGTCACTCACTGTCTGACTGATGAACTTCCAATGTCAAGCACCCCAAAAAAGGAAGGGGAACGGGTAAATGAATGACAAATCCAGTGAACTGAGGTACTGTACTGATGACTGAATGACTGAAACGACTTCTCATGGCGCCATTTGTTGAAGTAAAGGAGACGTCATAGATATTCTGACAGGTGGCGCCCGCAAGTGTCACTCGTATGGCCGGTGGATGGTCAGGTACCGCAGGGGAACTATTTTCCGGCGGGGCCCGTGGTTCCACGGATTCGATTAGCCTTCACCCACTACTCAAATCGAGCATATAAGGTAGTTTTACACGAATTTGAAATGTCATGGATCGATCCAGGGTGACCCATGTCTGTAGAGTTTCTTTTTCCGGCCGCGGATGGATTTTACTGTACTTGTTCCTTAGATGTGCCGTCTTCGCCACAGTCCCGAGTGATCAAATGAGCGCTCGTGAACCCCAGGTTTTGCTGAAGCCACTCTAGCTAATCTCTGATGTGGCGAATTCTCCCTGGCCTCCTGTTCGCTTGGGATATGCAAGACCAATAATATGACTGATCTTTGTTGTGCTCTTTACTCCCCCTGACCGATGGTTCTTGGGGATCATACTTGTGAGTTGACGGATTTCGTGGTAAGTAAGCCATGCAAAACCGGATCGCCCACGGATTGGAGAACGAAACAACAGCCCCCTCCCCGGATTTTCCAGATTCGTTCAGGCAAGATGAGTGTATTGCAGTGCTGTGTGGTGGCGGCAGGCATGACTGGGATGAAGGAGATATTTTCTTATTCTTGCAAGTTACTTTCCCCGCTAAGTCAGCCAGAATGCTAAGTCAATCCGTGTCCGTTAAGTTAACAGTACCTGCTGCATATCTTAGGATGACTTGAGTTGGAGGGTAGGAATAAGTTTCGGTTCTGGAATTAGGGATTTACTCATGAGGAGGTATGAGAACTTGGATATTTCGATCAAAAAGGTTTCGAAAAGAATGGCATACTTGGAGCTTTGTTTCTGCTGCGTTTCATCGGCTCAACAAGTCAAGATACGTAGTAGACTAAACTTGGATATGACCATCCATTGCATGGCCGGACGAGCGCAATGACGCTGGCCAGAAATGAGTCTGTCAATTTGCAGAGGATAGAAGGCCTATCGCCAATTTAATCAAGGTCTGAGTTTGCTTCATTTCATGTTTGCGCTATGTTCTTTCACATAGAGAATGATGCTATACGAAGCTTCTAGAATGATGGCCTTATCCACTAGGACAAGTCAGATGGCCTTCTAATTTGCAGATTTATTGTACACTAAGTTCTAACGTGACTTACGCCTGTGTACTATTGACTGACTGAATGCACATTCCTCGCTTCAATCCTAACTGCAGAAGATACAGTACTCGATCTTAGATGCGCCTTCCTGCTGCCTTGATTCTAATCCACCCGCCGTTTGAGTGAATCCGCTTCAGAAACCCATGGAGGCTTCTTGATCGCCTGATTCCACGCTGCTCTGAGCCTCGTACTCAATCTTAAACACTACACACTCCCAACAGTCATTATGCAGGACTCGGGCGATCGGTGTCAGCAAAACGGGATATGATGTGCGAACTAGCACCACGTGGAGTAAAGATGTAGAGTTCGGTGCACAAAGAGGAATTTATCCTTGCGAATACACCCGCAATCTAATGCTGGACACCAGGAGATGGGTCCTCAGTGAGCCCCTGTCCTCTAGGCATCGTGTTGTAATTGTTTGCTCCGGCTGGGAAGGGAGAGTATTACTAGTTCCTCTCGGATCTCAAAGTTCTATGCCAGTACATTTGTTGTTCAAGGAGGTTTCATGCTCGCGGCAGTCCCTGCAGGCAATATATTTCCACCGGTGACAAAAATTACAAGGATAAGATAAACCAGTGGAATGAAAGATTCGCTGAAGAGTCAACGGCAAATGAATGAATATATGCCGAGGCTGAAGATAGCGAACAGTTAGTGGACCCCGATCGAGCCTTACACAAAGCCCCCGCGTTTCTCTCGCTGTGAAGCATGATACAGAGGTCAGACAAATGGTCTCGTGGGCTAAGGCACAGGGCATAACTCTGCAGGGGCTCCCGAATAGGCTCTGGCGGACGGCGGACAAAGAGCCCCAAGCAATCTCACTTTTGCACAATGCCTCAGGCTTGTTACTCAGGTAAAGAGAAGCAGTAACACATTCGTGCTCCGGTCATCCTCCGGGACATATTCTCATTATATAGATAATTCCTTAGTAACTAAATTAACGAATTATCAAGGCTTTATACTTTTCCCTGCCAAACCCGCTAGTTTCCACAAAGAGACAGACATTAGTATACTTGCCTGTTGCCATGGCATTTTGAATAATCAAAATAAGAAGCTTCAAGCCTATTTCAAGCCCCGAGCTTTACTCTACCAAAATCAACAACCAAAGTTTAATCCAAATCGAGACAGCCACCCTAAAATTATATGCATGAACCACCACCACAGCTCACCAACAAGTCCTTAGAAGCGCGGGGTGTCCCGATACGCGGGAGGCAAAACTCCCTCTAAGGCCGCCTTGATCTGCAAAGCCAGAGTCCGGGAGTGCCAGCGATGCTGCTGAGTGAAGCCGCCCATGACCCAGAAATTATCCAGCTGGCGATGTCGCTTCCACATGCCACGCGTCTCGCCCTCAGCGTCCACGCCCCAGGTCGCGTCAACACGAGCGGCGATTTCCCTGGGGCCCAGGATCGACTCGTCCGCCTTCGCATCGGCGGCTTCGATACCCGAAGCACCGAGCAGCGTCGCCGTGGTGTCGCGCACATCCCGGTCAGCGAAGCCAGTGCACCAGACCACCGCATCGGCGTCCAGTGAGCTGCCGTCCGAGAAGCGCAGCCCCGTCGCCGTATAGGCGGTCGGCTCTACGTTGGCCTTGACACCTGCCTTGCCTTCTACTAGCAGCTTGGTTCCGCCGACGTCGACGTAATGGCCGCCCGCGCGTTCCAGTAGGTTGTGCATGAGGACGGACTCTGGGTGGGAGCTGTCCCGAACGGGGAAGCCTGTTGCTGCTAGGGCGTCGTAGCGGTTGGGCTCTTGAGACGAGAGGAGCTTCATCAGGCCATCGCCTAGCTGGCTGTTAGTCACCGAGGGCAGAGACAGGAAAAGCCGGTCGCCGGCTTCGACGCCCAGGTCGTAGGCGCCCAGACTGCGCTTGTCGAGGAGATATTCAATGGGCACGGTGTAGGTCGGGGAGCGGACGACCATCGTGGCTTGCAGGCCTGCGGCGTGACAGTCTTCTAAGACATCGAAGGCGGTGTTGGCGGAGCCGATGACTAGAACGGACTGCGATGGCCGCGTTAGCTGGGTTGCAAATACTCCGGCATTATGAATTGAGTACTCGCCTTAGCGCCTTTATCCACCAGTTCCCGGGCGTTCTGATACTGAGCCGAATGGATGTTGATGCCTTGGTAGGAGTCCTTTTCGGGGATAGAAGGCACGTAAGGCTGTTGCGATGCAATGCCAGTAGCTAGAACAAGATGCTTCGCAATGGCCGTCCGTTGCCCTGTTGGTGTTTGGATCCTGATCTGCCATTGCTGGATCTTCTGATTGTATCGCGTGGAGTGAATCTGCGCCGACGTGATAATGTTAAGCTGGAAAGTAGCGACATAACGGCGGACTTGCTCTGCCAGATCGTCGCGCGTGAGAAGGTGGGGAGATTGCAGCTCGGGACCGTAGGCTAATGTCGAAGCGTTTTTGTCAGTGAAGTGTATGCATGCTTGCCAACTCCAACAGATGACCTACGCATAAAAGGCATATTGCAGAACGAGGTAGGGATGTGGAAGCGCATGCAGTCGTAGCGACGAGCCCAATTGTCGCCGACGCGGGGGTTGCGCTCGGCCATGACACTCTCCACCCCCAGCGTTTTCAGGCGCGCGGCCAACGCGGCAGCTCTGCGTTCCTTTCATTAGCCTCGCTCTTTCTTCAGGTTCAATCCACCTACGCATTTCCGCCCCCGATGATGAACACATCGGTTTCGAATGTCTCCGGATCAGGATACTCTTTCCCCGATCCCTGCAACAGCTCCTGATTCTCCGGCTGAAGATCCAAGCTCTCCAGCATTGTGCTCAGGACCCAGATCTTCCATTCGATGGTCTTTTCTTCAGTTTGCACGGGCAAGAGCACGACTTTTCCTTTGCCTGTAGCTGCCGGTGAGGTTGTGCGGAAGCTAATTCCGCAGTCGATGAATTGCTAAGTATTGTCCACTTCAGTCAGCATCTTTCACGCAATGTGCTTTGTGTAATCATTGACTAACCAACGTTGGTGTCGCATGGATAAAGACCGCAGCACCGTCCACAGACAGTTCTCCCAGCCCACGCAGACCGGCTGTCTCCAACAGCGCAGCAGCAATCACACCGGGTGAGTGAAAGGTGCGGAGGTGGTATGTCAACGCCAACTGGTCTTTCCAATAGGCCTGGCTGGCATAGAAACAGCTTTTGAGCGCCACCACGTTGTTGCTGGACAGGGCCGTGTTGAGACGGTGCAACACGGCGCGTGTCTGAATACTCGGCTCATCGCCAGTCATAGTATCGGTACCGATCAAGTTGGCTTCTAAAGCAGGCAACGGGTGCTGAGCCATCATCTTGCGCAGGTCAGCCCGCGCAGGGTACTCGTCGACCCGGGCGGGCGCATGAGAGCTGTGAGAAACTAGAGGTTCCCATTCCTTTTCAGTCGCCGCGTCGCAAGTACAACAAATTTCGGCCACGAAGAATACTTACCAGACGCCATGATGATTGAGGAAGCAGGAGCTGTACAATTGAGGTGCAAGGAGGGTACGGCAACGCTTATAAGTAAGCTAGCCCGAGATTACCGCGACAAACCGCCCTGGTGGGAATGGTTCCATATTCCTACGAACAGACCGTCGGCTTACGACATCTATACTAATCCCAGGAGGAGATAGCATTGCCTCTGATTGGGTTCCCAGGTGTTTTTCAGAGGTCCAGCCGTTCGAAGGAATCGTCAAGAGAATCCGTCAGTCGCTAATCACTTGGCACTGAAGTGGGGAAAGGGCTACAGATCTGTGATCAGCCTGCCACCCTTGCATGGCTGCTGTCAGCCAGTCCACTCAATGAAACTTAATGAATGCGTGGCCCACCGATCAATAATGGATATATAAACAACACAACACAGAGGACTTTGTTCGCCTTCCCTGAGCTCAATGTGCTGGGATCGGCCGATTTCCCCGCATTATTGGCTGCTGCTCTGCCCATCGCTTGGAACGGCCACCCCATCCCGTCCTGAAAATCAGTCATGAACCCTAAGTGCCACAAGAGCCAGGGATCGACCACGATTGAAATGGTAGAGGGCTCAATCGTTCAGAATTTTTGGCTGTCAGAAATTGAATGCTGTTGGCAAGGAGGTCCTTCGCCATCACGGCCCATTCTCCACCTACCCGACGACGGTTGGCCCGGATGCCTTCCTGGCAACCTGGCGAACGGGCCGTGGGTGGGGAGCAAGCCGAATGCAGATACGCAAATGGAATCTGTCAGAAAGTCTGGCTTCACTTAACGAACGTCAATCACCAGGTAGAGGAGGCACAGATGATCCTCAGTGGCCATGTGGTTTTGTCCCGATCCTCGTACTTGAACATCGACCCCTTTCGACCTGTCATGCTTGACAAACTTCTTATATTCGATGTAGCCCACCTTGGTTGAGGGCCGCATCTATCGCTATGTCTTCCGACGACTTAGCCACGCTGTTTGCCCAGCCGGCCCTTGCGGCCCCAGAAGGCGTCACCCCTAACTTCGACAATCCTCCGAACCACAACAGCTTGGCTTTAGGCATTATCACTGTTTGCACTGTGATTGCCACCCTATGTATGTGCTTGCGCATCTATGTGCGGATCTGGCTGGATCGTTCCATTCGTCTCGAGGATGGTAAGTTGCCTTTGCAGCCCATGCGGCTCGGTTGAAACACCCCTGAACTGACAAATTTTGACTCAAATAGTTCTGATGGTCGGTGCCTTTGTACGTATCTTCTGTCCGTCCCGCATACTACTCGATGCTCATTATACCTAGGGCTCCTACTGGGGCACTGCCTATGCCGGCTACGAGATGATTCATACACCGGGTTATTTCGTCCACCAATGGAATCTCCAGATGGGCGATCTTGTCCGACCTCTATATGTATGAGCAACCGAGTCTTTAAACTTGCGATAACGCGGCTGATTTGACCCAGCTGATCCTCATCTACGGCTGTTGCTACTCAGCCGTCCTTCCCCTAATCAAGTCTGCCATCCTCCTCGACTGGTGTCGGATCTTCGTGCCCGTTGATGGCGCCAAAACCCCCTTTTGGTGGGCTTGCATGGCGGTCTCGGCATTGCAGTGTCTCTGGGGTGTGTTGTGCGTGATTCTGTTGAACGCGCAGTGCCGCCCGCATCGAGCAATCTGGGAGTTCTACCTTCCTAGCAAGTGCTACTCCCTGCCGAACGTGATGCTCTGTTCCGCCGCCGTACAAGTCTTCTCTGATATCACCATGTTCCTGCTTCCGCAGAGGATGATCTGGGGACTGCAGATGAGCTGGCAGAAGAAGATGGGTATCTCGGTTATCTTCGGTGCGGGTATTCTGTTCGTCTTCCCCTTTCCCCTCTCTCCGCACATTCCATCCAACACATACTCATTCACGGACCGTTGGACTAATACAACCCTGCCAAATCAGCGCCTCTATCGCCGCGTGCTTCCGCCTCGCTCACACTGTCTCCTTCGCCAAAACCGCCGACCAGATGTACATGATCGCCCCGTTGCTATTCTGGGCCTTCGCAGAGATGGCTTGCGGGTTCTTCATCTTCAGCATGCCCTGCCTATCCAAGCTGCTCATGGACAGCGGGCTGCGGCGGAAGTTGCGCATCAGCGACTACTGGCGCAGCCGTACGCAGTCATCTGTCCAGAACTTACAGTTCCGGCCCCCAGCCGCGGGCCAACAGGTCGCCAAAGCGTGGCGCACGTCCGAGAGCTCCTACGCGCGCCTCGAGGAAGGCGAGATTCCGCTGACCAGCCCAGTCAAGGATCAGCACAATAGTATTCAGGTGCTGCAGCGGACAGACGTCACGGTGACGAGCACGCCGAGTCCGTCGTCAGAGACGGCTCTGGCTGAGAGTTTGGGCCGGTGGAAACGCTCGCAGTCGTGATGGGATCGGATTTGGAATGTTTTGACGAGGCAGTGCTCATGAGGAGGTTGCCTGATCGCAGGCTCGCTCACTTGAGTGCTTAATCGCTTCCTTCCACTACTTCATCCTCTTCGGATGGAACGATCAGAAGAACCTGAAGCTCGGATCGTTGTGGATGAAAATTTGTGTACTTTTCTTTGTCTGGCAGTCTCTTTCTCTCGGGACTACTGTTTTTATCCCGGTTTTCTCTTCGCTGCTTGCTGTCGGTGTCTCGTCAGTAGCTCTCTAGGTTACACTTTACGATTTAAAGTCTGATCTAACCACCACAAATCAAAATGCGAAGCTTGAACCCTTCGCAATAATCCAGTGATATACCTCTTTGCTGTGGATATTACCGTGAGGAGTGTCCCCGTAACAGCCAGCCAAATATCAACGGACTTTCCGACTCTTACGCCCCTAACTCTCTCTTAGCCTCCTCCACCCCATGGGCCCCGTCACCTCCACAGCCAAGCTCCGACAAATAAGCCTGCAAAGCTGGCTCCCTCCCCAAAAACGCAACAACCAAACCCCGCTCATCGCGACTACCGCCATACTCCAGAATGGCCCTCCGATAAACCAACCCCGCCTCGCGACTCATCGGGTCGTCCCGGAAATGCGACGCCCAGATATCCGCGGCCAGCATTCTCGTGCTTCCCACCAAAGTCAGCGCTTATCCTCGCATGAGTACCATCCCTCCACCCCGCCCATCCTCTTGAAGAAATCAATTTATAGTTAACTAAGGAGGAGACTTACAAAAGATACGAATAATAATTCGCCTCCTGACCCCACACATAATGCAGCGTGGTGACGTGTCCGTGTCCCCAATCGAAGCCGCCACCGGGACCCCAGAGCCCGGTCGTTTCTTCGAGGAACCGATTGTATGTTGCACTGATATCCAGCTGCTGGATCTCGGCGTGGGAGGCCGGGTGGTGGATGTGCATGTCGAAGTAGCTGAAGGCTAGTTGGCGGAGGGTGAGGAGGGCTTGGTTGAGCTTTTTGGCAGCGAGGAGGTTCTGGATTGTTGCTTGGGGCAGGTTGCGTGGTGGCTGGTGTGCTTCTTCCGTGGTGCTGGGGCTTTGGTTGCTATGTTGCTTGCGCTGCCAGTGGTTGTGGTTCTCCGGGGAGGCGTAGGAGTAGTGGCTGCTCAGCTGGCGGAGGCAGTCTGGCACCCAACACCAGGCTTCTAGGAGTTGGCTGGGGGCTTCGATGAAGTCGGCGACTGTGCGGTGGCCGTGGAAGACGGCGTAGCGGGATTTGCCTAGGAGATCGTGCATTGCTTTTGTGGTTTTTGGGTGTTAGTGGAAGGGGCATCGACGGGGTGGGGGGCGGTGCTGGGACTTTTGGGGGGGAGTGGGAATAACGAACCGTGGCCGAGTTCGTGGAAGATGGTGGTGACTTCCTGGTGGCGGAGCAGGGCCGGTGCTTCTCCTCGGGAGACATTGCAGACTAATGCTGTTGCCACGGCTGTTCGCTTGCCTTCGCTGGTGAGGAAGGCCTGTACGGCTTGCGTCAGGTATATTACACTCGTTCAAGTCTACGGGGACGGGGGAGACGCACAGGATAGATATTGAAATTGGCGGCGTGGTTGTACTTCCCTGGCCGAGGGTAGATGTCCACGTAGAGATATCCGATAAACACTAGGGCTGAGTTGTCGGCCTCCCACACGGCGTACGCATCTACGTCCGCATGCCAGGTGTGCTTTCCTGAAGCGGGAAGCTTCTCGAACCGCAGGCTGAACAGCTTCTCGAAGATGCCCAGCATGCGCTCGATGGTCGCTTTTGCTGGGAAGTATTCTGCGACACGGTCGTGGTCCACGTGGTACTCTTCTTGGAGGATATGGGTATGGTAGAAGTCCAGGTCCCATAAATGGATAGCGTCGGTCCCGGCCACGGTCCGCAACTGCTCCATCTCGCGCTCTGCGACCGGTCGCAATGCAGTGTGGAGCTCCTTCAACCACCGTTCCACGCGGTCCGGCGATTGCACGATCTGCTGCTGGAGCTTCCGGTGCGCGAAGGAGTCGAACCCAAGCAACCGCGAGGCTTCGTCTCGTAGGATAACGATCTCCCGGAAGATATCGACGTTAGGCTTGTATCTGGTCTGGTTGCGGAGGAAGATGTCCTTTCGGGTCTGGGCAATGCGGCATTGCGATAGGATCCGCGTCACCACCGGCTTGGTGAGCGATATCCGATACCGTTTGGCAGCGTGATCGGGGCTGCCATCCTCAAGAACATCAAACTCGTCCAATGCTAAACCTGCTAGGTCGTGCTCGTAGAGAAAGACAGAGTCGGGTTCCGCGCCTAGATTCTGCATAAACTTCACTCGCAGCTCGACCAAGCGGCCGGTAATCCAGGTGAAACGCTCACGGACCGGCCCAGTCAGTCTCAGTCCGTTCTCCATGAATAGCTGGTGGAACCTTTTGAGGAGTATCCGATCCTCTTCGTCGATGGACTCGTGCTGGGAGCAGTTTGCGTGAACAGTGTCGACGAGGGCGAAGAGGTCGTTTCGTGCGAACAATGCTAGGTGTGCCTGGACCACGCGGCTCTCTGCCCCTGAGGACGCTTGTCGGATCTCTGCGGACGGCGAGACACTGTGGAAGAACGCGATGTACTGCACGCGGGCTCGGAGCTCATTGTCGATCGCGGCCAGGGGCCGGATCACCGTGTCAAAGGTGAGTTCCGAATCAGCGACGGAATCGGCCAGGTCGTTTGCGGCTTTTTCAAGAAAGGCGACTATGTCTTCAGACTCCTTTGCAAGGCCATCTGCGGTGATGTCGAATGTAGGGAGGGGATGGGTGTTGTTAGGGATGCTCATCGTTTATTTGAGTAAGAAAGGGAATTATCGCAACCAATGCGCTGAGTTGGAACAGGGTAATACGTCACCCTATATATTCCATGCCTCTTATGTTCCAGCTTGTTCGTAGGGTCTTTCAACCCCTGCCATTGCGACAGACCGTCGATGCTTAGCGTCGTAACTAATGCAACAAGGGCATTTAGTGCTTATCACACTAGCTCACGTGCCATGCATGCCAGTGCATATAACGATTCGTTTGGCGGACAGAACCTGGTAGCAGCTGACACCTGACCTGAAGTCCGAAACATAATTCGGCCAGTCAATTTCAAACTTTTCCCGATCCGAAGCCAAGAACTACTGTTATGGATTCGAGCTTGGCTCTGATTTAATCAGCATGGACAGGCGTCCTTCAACAATTGATATCTCAAGTCGGTCTTCGACGGAGAGTGCTCCGTCTACCAGCACAATTCTCCATTGGGATCAGGTGATCTCGACCCCTCCTTTGGCAGACATTGTATTGGATTGATTCCAGGTCAAGTCATTTAAGATGTTGACCTTCCACCTGCACTATGAAACGTGCGAACGCGCAAGGCCAGGCCTCCCTTTGAACTAAACGATCCATCTAACCCTACTCGGGTCGCCGTCGCGGTCATCCGACTTCCAGCAGAGGTGGACGTCACTAACCCGATAAAAAGCCATACTTCCCCGCAAGGAAGCCCTCTATTCCCGTGTACGATAGCTCGTTCAACTTACCGGGACCGGAAGCGTCTGGGCCCCTGTGGTAGGCGATGAAGTACTACTGGAGGCTTTGCGTAAGCGTGGCGGATGTGGTAGGGTGTAGGTAGTATGGCGGTAGCGGTGGCGTTGGCGAGTGTTACCTGAGGGAGTAAGGTCGGTTATGGCACATGTATGCTCTGTTTCTAGCACACAGTCTCGTTGATTATAATAGCCTAGCCTCGCATGACTTTGCCTTGTAGAGTACTTGGAACATATCCAGAGATTTTGGTTTGAGGCTGCCAGTATATTCTTGTGCAGGGGTTCGTGCAGCTGTAGTTAGGAGGCAATTATATCGAACCCCAATACTCTTCTGTGCAGGTAAGATAAGAGAGTAAAGCAGCGCCCATTTCAATTCGTAAGAAAAAGGACAATGTGTTTGTTGGAAGGGAAAAGAACAGTTGGTGTCCATTGTGATGCCACCGGGTACGAGAGAGCACAAAGAAACGCGGCCCGGGCCCATCCGTTGTCCGCACCCGGAGCTGGCAAATGATAAGCTTCTAATGTCCAAAATTGGAGGGAACAATTACGATCAATCAGGTTATCTTCAATAATTCATCCGCAAGAGTGAGTAGTCCCTTCTTCAAAATCTATGGAAATGGTGTCATCCATCACGAATTAGTCTGCCCTCAATGTATTTTAATCATCAATATCGTCATTCATTCTTCACAAATCCCAGGAGCCCAAAAAATAATCCCGAAGTCAAAATCATGTCCAAATGGGATGGCCGGCTTGAACGCTATCAACCGTGATAATGCAACAAAAGAAACCCCCAAAGAAAGGATGTATATATATACAGAGCAGCAGGGCAAGTAATCCTGGAAAGATCGGATCTAAATGATCTTCGAGGCTGCCTTACCCCCTGCGTGGAAGGAAGAAAAAAGAAAAGAATCCGAGGGCTAATTCATGTGCGCTAGCCATTCAAAACACGGAGACAAAAAGCTCGTCGCGCCCGAAGAGACCGGGTGATCGTGGAGGTCGTGCCGGGTGCGTATACTACCCGGTATCAAACTGCAGGGATATTGCGAATCGACTACCTTTCCCTTCTTCGGAATGAACCACCAGTTGCCCGTGGCAATTGCGCACAATCCGAGAAACCAAGGCGAGCCCCACGCCGAGAACATGTGGTTTCTGGGGATTCGATTCGGTGGCGGCAAGGCCGTCGGTCTTGCCCTTCCTCTCCCATGAGATCTCCTCCAACTCGCAGAAGATGGTATCCAACTTCTCGGAGGACATACCACACCCTGTGTCAACAACGGTGATGTTGATGATGACCCGCCCGGGTGCGGGACTGACCGCGTCCTGCCACATCTCGACGGTAATCCCCCCCTCGGAGGTGTGTTGCATGGCGTTGGAGATGAGGTTCGAAATCACCTGGCGCACGCGCCGCTCATCGCCAAGGACACCCTTGGGCATCCCAGGCTGGTGGACGATCTTGTAGGACAGCCCTTTGCGCTGTGCCTCGGCCTCGAACATCTTGGTCGCTCCCTGGAAGCAAGAGGAAATATCAAACAGTTCATCCTTGATAAGGTTGTACCCTTGTTCCTTCTTAGTAAGGTCGAGGAGGTCGTTGATAACATAGAGGAGAGATTTGGAGGCGGAGTACGATCGGCTGATGCTGTCTTGAAATTCCAGATCAAAGGAGTCCCCTAGAACCACCCCAAGGTTCTTCATGATCGTGTTCAGAGTATTGCGAATATCGTCGCCTGACTTCAGATGTCGATCAGATGACGATGGCGTTTCGGTCTCCTTTTTCCAGTTGCTCGAGACTTGCGAGCCCACCATGCCCAAAACAGCTGCATTATCGGTCTGCAATGTAGTCCATTCGCGAGACCGGTCCACGACGGTCTCTCGCCACACCCGAAAGTCTTGTCGGGGCTCTAAGGGTACCTTATCATACGGATTCCCACCCCACCGAATATCTCTCATTTGCACACGGCGGAAAAAGACGATAAAATTTTCCTTGTGCAACGAGAGTGGCGCGTACATCACACCTGATACCGAATGGATACCTGGGGGGAAATGAAGGTCCGGAAAATCTCGCCCGATATTATTAGACGCCACAACAGAGCCTAGCTTCTTGGATCGAAAGTATTCGACCACAGCTAGGATCTCTTGAAAATCCGTCGACTCGCCGAGTATACTCGTTCTTCCCCGGATGGAAAGAGCCGCGAAGTCTGCGTCAAAGAGGTTGAGCAACGCCTCCGATGTGTGGCTTTCCTGGTTCAGGATCTCGGAAGCAGCCGCCTGGCTTACCGGGTTGCTGGATTCCAGGTGCGACATACAGGAAAGCCGCCTGATATTCTGATACACCGAATCGCCAATTAATCGGGTAAGTCGAATGACCGGGAACGGTACTCTCATGCCGTGGTCCCCATATGAATGACATATGATCAACCCCCATAGATCCTCCTGATCGCTGATACTGATCGACATCGAAGAGCGGACACACATTCGAGCCAGGTATTTGAGATGGTACGGCGACATTGCGCGTAGAAAGGCATAAGACATGTCCAACGGAACTGTGGCATGCTCGAAGTCCCGGGATACTAATGGGGAGTTGATGTGATCGCGGTTATACAGTAATCGGACTTTGCTCCGTGTATAAAGCTCACGAGCCTGTCGGGGGATATCAGCAGCGGGGAATGAAAGCCCTTTAAAGATGTCCTTGGTAAATCGCGGGTCGGCAAGCTCCGCAACAACGTTTCCATTCTTCTCATTGTCGAACTGGTAAATCATGACACGATGATACCCGGTCAGCTCTTTGATCAGCCCAATGGAGACGTTCAAAAGCGTGTCTGGGTCATGCGTCCTGCCCAGTTGATCTTGAACCTTACTGATAATGTTGAGCACTTCCATCGAGGCCATCTCGCCGGGCTTCCTTCGTCTATTCCGTAGCAATCGCAAGGGCTGGCTTCTCTTCACGGTGCTGCTGGCGATCTGGTCGGGGGTCGGGTCATATCCTAAGACGTCCGTCGGCTTCGCCGGGAGGGTCTGTCCGGCGGTGTTGACCGGGTTCAAGCGGTCGATCTCGCTCTCGAACTCGCAGATGATCAGATGCCAGTGCGCGGGATTGCGATGGACGGCGGACCAGAATCGCTGCGGATGGCCGTGTCGGTCGTTGATGGATAGTTTGAAGATTTCCGGCCCGTCCGCTGACGGGCTCCACTGATCTTCCTCGGTCAGCTGCACATGATCCCTCAGTATGCCATCCTGATCGTTGCGCAGCAGGTCGGAGAAACTGTTCAGGGTGAATAGATTCTGGGGCGAGTGGCCGATGATGGCCTCTGAATTCTCACTGGCTATCTGTACCGTGAGCAACCCCTCGGACAACTCCTCCAACACCACCAACGCACCGAAACATTGCACTGCGCCGGGTCTATGGATTGGTTCATCTTCACACACGTGGATGGTGGTCTTGCTGGTACTGACGGTCGCAAGGCTGTCCTCATCGGAGTCTGCAGCATCGTAGTGTCGCCGTGTGGAGGAAGGTGTGAGTGCGCCAAGATTCTCCAGGCTGAGAGCCTCTCTTCCTTCCGACGCCGAGACATGATCGACGGACTTCGGTGTTATCGACCCCGGCCCGGCAGGAGAGTCGAGCTGGTGGTGGTGGTGGTGCTTGGGGGAGTCACATGACGAGATGCGCTGCTCGGGAGGCGGCGGGGTGGTCGACTGACTAATCCGAGCCAAATCCAAGTTCTCGTCCTCCTCCGCACCCAACTCAAGGTTTTCGTTGCACAGGCTGTGAACATGTGGTGAACTGGTGGGCGACGCCGGTCGATAGGGGAGGGCTAAAGGATGTGTCGGGGCGATAATCGATCGCAGAGGGTAGACCCTCCCAGGGCCGCGGAGGGAAAGGTCTTTCGGACTCGAATTCGCAGTCTCTGTCTCTGGTGGTTGTTGATCGTGATGCGCCTCTGTTTCATTAGACGTCTCTGGCATTCTGGGATAGTCTCTCAATCACAGGACTTGCTGTGCAAGAGAGAAAAAAATGATCATGTTTTCGCAGTCAACCGAGCACCTCACAAAAGATAAGTTTGAAGACCATGGACCAGGGATGAACTTGAATGGATGATATCATACCCAGAGCGGTATTTTGTGGCTTGTCCTCAGGCTCCACTGGATCAGGATTATTCATCCCCAATGCTGCGCGCGAAGAGTTTGGGCTTTGATTGATCAGATCAGGTCGCGGGGCTCGATTCTGTTCACGGCAGGTTCTGCCACCAATCAGGAGATTCAATCCTCAATTCTAGGGTGTGAGACCTCGATTACATGAGCAGGAGGGAAGCTTTGGTGGTCAACTGGAAAAGTATGGGATGACTCGTTGGGGTCATCGGACAAGAGGATTCATTCAACAACACATGCCATTTGATGGAGGAACAACCATTTAGAATGCGAAGCTGCGCTGGCAGATATCGAGTCCTTATGCTCCAGGCTGCCTATGGGCTTCACCTTTCTGTTCACCCGGTGAAGCAGGCAAGGCCTGAAAAAGAAGCAGTTAATGCAGGAGAGTTTCGCGAATGTAGGGCTCAGGAACAATCGAACAAAGTATCCCCACCAAGCCCTCATCATCCGCTCTAATTGGCTCATCTGGCCGCTGGGGGCTAGGCAGCGCATCATCGATCTAGAACATTGCCCCATATGCCAATGCTCAAGGTGCTCAAGGTACAGTCGGGTTGGCATGACTTTGCTGTAGACACAAAAAGATTCAAAACAACCTTGACACCTCTTCTTCAGCAATTTCTCAACTACATAATTCTCGCCTTGAGACTGAATGATTTGGGATAGGTTCAGCAAAGATGCCAAGCCAATGGACAAACCGACTTAAACTCCCCGTGATCGCCGACCAACTGATTCAGATACATACATATTACAAGCTCCCGGAATCCCTTTATGTGCACCATCCAAGTTGTGGATAGAACTAGCGCACTTGAGCCCAACTGTTCTGCACCAATGCCGGGAACATAGTCCCGAGTCGGGGTTTAGAAGCAAGGTGCCTATTCCTCAAAACAGACGCTAACAGAGCGGCCCTATAGTTGAATTCACCGCGACCTGTTTCCATGCGACCGGCGTTCTCTTCACTCCTCAACCGCACTGAAACTGGCATACGGGGGAAATAAGCCGGGAAGGAACAGTAGCAGACAGTGCCTTATCTCTGCACGTTACTGAATGTGAAACAGCATTTCCCCCTTTCCAACTCAACGGTGATGAGCAGTGCAAGTCCGGTTTTATGGTGGGGAGAGACGGGGACGGCAACTAGGCCCGGGCAATTAATTGATCCGATGCCCACAGCAAGGGCACTCTAGCCTAGATAGTCTAGACTGGTAAACCCATTGGATCGGACTTACTCGGTGTAATTTTCCGCAGTATCCAAAGCGTTCTTTACTCCAGACCCGGTGGAGTCAGTCAGGGACTCTCCCAAGCGAACAGACATCAGACATTGCTAAGTTAAAGAACAACATATGGAAGATTAATATACAGACAAACGACATCTATGCGGGTATTTCCCCTCGAAACTCAAGCACCACCATGAAGAACAAACAAAAGAAGAAAAAGAAAGAACCTTTGCACCCGACACAGAACTAATGCACTAAATACCCCTGCGGATAGTGGAAGTTCTTCCGACTCAGCTTCCGCTTCGACCAGGGGAACTTCTCATCGTACTGGGCGTACACCGTATCCTTCCCGGCGACCAAATTATGAATATTCAGGCGCGTGCTATACATCAGATTCCACGCCTGAGCCTCGTGCCACTCGTCCGTTCCGTTGTGAATATCCGAGTCCTTGGAGGCAGGCCCCGCGGCACGATAAGTGCCCACGATGTTCGGAAACGGGGCGAAGCACTCGATCTGGGGGCGGCCGTCCTTCCCGCCGCACATGTCCCCCATCGAATTGTCGACTGCGGCCACGATGCGATCGACCGCGAGCGCCGCGAGAATCCGCTCCGCCCCGCGCTTGGTCACCGCGTAGCCGTACGTGCAACACCCGTACTCCGCCCGGTAGACGAACCGAGTCGACGTTTCCGGGTACTCGGGGTACTGGGTCTTCCACTCCATAAGGGGCCCGCCCCAGGTGCCCCGGTGCTCGATGCTCGGCGCCGTCGGGTCGTTCGGGATGGCGAAGAATTGTGTCTCGTTGGCCTTGGCGGCTGACGCGCAGCCGCCGATCCAGAGCACGTCCCAGTTGGTGCCGTAGGGAGCGTTGCGCGACACATGCGTGTTGCCCGTTAGGGAGCGCACACCGCGCGCGAACTCGCGCAGTTGTTGTTTGATGAAGATGTCCCAGTCGGCGTCGTCCTCGAGGATCAGCGCAGTGGAGTACGAGTTTTCGACAACTCTATGGGCTTGTTAGCGGCGCCTGCTTGCTAGCAAACAAGGTGGAGGATCTTGTACTTGGTGAGCGCATTCATGTGCGCGCGCCAGCAGCCAATTTCCGAGGGTTTGAGTGTGTTTTCCTGGTCGCACATCAATTTGACTTGCTTTGTAGGGGGCACTATACACACTCACATTCGGTAGCGACTTCTGATTGATCTCACTCGGTCGCACCCCGTCCAGCCATTCGACCTGAAACCCGGCCATCGACGCAGCTAACGTCAGGAAATCGCGCTTGTCGGTTCTCTCCTTCAATCCGATCGCGAAGATATGTTCGAACTGTATCCCCATTAGCATTTGAGTATATTGCTTTTCGAGCCAACCACCCAAACTCACCCCTAACGTCTGATTCTTGATATGGTCGAAAGCCTGGTCTTCGAAGTAACTCCGAGCCATGTCCACTCCATCCGTCGCCCAAAACCTCCTCGCCGACTGGCTGAATAAGAATATCAAGAGCCCATAGCTGAAAAGGGCGGCAATCACAATCCTCGAGATTTGCGTTCTTCCGCGGATCATCTTGGCCACACTGATCTATAGCGCTAGGTGGAATGGTCGAAGATAGCAGCGGCAAAGAAGAGGTGACAAAAGTGAAGGAGATTGGAATGCATGGTGGCTGACAGGTGACTTGCTTACTCTTAGATAACTCATTAACTGAAACCGTTTTGACTTCAAAAGGGGAGACTTGGCCTATATGGATGCGGCCATGGGGTAGCATTCCTCGGGCCTGAAGCGGCAGTTGTGAGGCCGGGAGGGCCGAATGCGGAACACCACTCATTGGCACGGGCTTCTGACTGGGCGTCCCCGAAGAGGCCGGGATCTATTGATATAACTGCTTTGGGGTTAGTGGGTGTGATCTTCGATGTACCTTAAAAGATATAGACTACTAAACTCCGTACATCATCGAAGTGGATCAGAACTTGGCAGTTCCTGATTTACGGAAACGGGCTTGGTTTCACGTCATTCTATGGAGTATGATGTCATGAGTCTCAATCCGGGTAATAAGACGGTGATGCCTAACTTCCAGGGCATCAATTGAATCAGGATCAATAACGCAACTTGAAATCTGGCTTGCTATGGAGCATCTATCCACAAGAATCAGTACCCATCCTGCTTCCCTGCTCTCAACTAGCCCCCATGCTTCTAGGGTAGTTTGATCACCTGAACCCTCCGACTTTCTAATTGACTTGTGCCATTGTCCAATCAGAATCTACAAGTCCCTACTGGCTCAGTGCTATGAAGATCCGAGCAAGTCACAATCTCTAACGTACTACTGATTTTGTGAGTATAGGAAGCGACAAGCACCCGCGTGTGTGTAGTAGTGTCAAGGCCTCCGCTTCCAGATGTTGGTCATTACTTCGAGGAGTCTCCTTGCACAGCTTATATCCTCATGAATCGTAATGTTATCTTTCCTTATCGCGCATTGCTCGTTGCCATGTGCCCTATGGCTTGCTTTGCCGTCAAAGCCCACTTAGATTGCTGGGGGATCCAGGCCAACAGAATCTCTATATTTGGACAAATAATCCTCGATAAATAGATACTTCGAGCAATAGGGCAGAGGCTTGTCTCGCCCCCAACTGCGGTAGGCAGTATGCTAAGCTTAATTTAATGGGCACACCCGAATCCGGTGAATTCTAGTACAGGATAACAACCAAAGAGCAATGTTACTGGGGTCATGTAATGATTGGATATAAATTTGGGATTGACTTTCAGACCGAAGACGTTCCCAGAGTTCCTTCATGCTCCTCATACTGGGGCTCAACTGATTGAACCCAAGCAACCCAGGCAGGCCAACTTCGAGAATGAACCTCTCGAGGGGAACAAGAGGGCAAGTAGTGAAGAACAAGCGCAGTCTGATCTACACATGTCGGAGGCCAACCAGCAAGAACTCTGAATCCTTCTCAGGGGAAACTTTAAGAACATAGGCTCTGAAATGGTCCATGGGTACATCTTAGATGCTCATACGTTCACCCAGCGAGTAGAGGCTTGACGCTGATTAACAATGATTTAAATCTACTCATAGCAGAGCACGATTTAATCGTATTGCCTTAATCAGGAAAATGTGCTCGATATTATAGCTTTGTATCCTTCAAGCAAAAGGATCATGCAGGTTCCAGGTCAGAAGTTGAGCAGAGTTGTCTGAATCGTGCTTGACTCTTTCGACTCGGTCGCTTCTGAGGCCCCGACTAGACGATACTGTGATTATGCCCCTATGATGGGCGGGTAGATAGGCTTATTGCTCTTATGCACCTGCAAGCATGTTTGGAAAATGAGTCGCTATGATGGAAAAACATTACACCACCAACAAAAGTGAAAATCTGCGTTATTCATTGCTATAAGAGAGGAATGCCGTCTCTTAATGGCGTTTATCCTACATCTCGAATCACCATAATGACCAGCAGCGAGCTCACTCTCACTAGAAGAGATACTCCATATCAGAGAGTATCGTGTCGAGAAACACCCTTATTCGCGCGGCTATCTCAACTTGTTTGAAAAAAAAGCCACGGTTGAGCGGATTTAATGACAAATGCCATCCTGACAATAGCCTGACTCGGTGCGACTCCCATGGTTGACGAATATATAGACACCTCGGAGCCCTCCACATACCCGATACGAGGCCTTTGTCCCAACGGACACGCTTGGCGCTGCAGCACGATGTCACTCTCAAGTCTTCCCCCTGAGGTTTGGATCCGCATCCTAGGGTTTTGCTCCCGGGACGACGTTCGCCGCATTGTGAGCCTCGTCTCCGGCGAGCTCAACCGGTATGCGAATGTGGTCCTATACCAAAGCATAGAATGGGCCTGGGAGCGACTCGCCATCGAGCGGATTATCAGATTATTAACTAACCTGATGCGATACCCCGAGTTGGGGACTTTTGTTCAGAGGATCCGTATCCGCCGAAGCGATACTACGTTTACCAATACCGACTGGACACCTCCACGTCCTGCCCGGCATTGGGCATATCGAACCCCACCAGAGTACCGGGACTTCTCCCAGCAGGCCCGCAGTCTTATCTTTGGTATGGATCTTCCCGATGCAACCAGGTGGGTGGAGGAGATAAGCTATGGGAATCCCTACGTATGTGTAGCGCTAATTCTGGGTCTCTGTCCCAATGTACAGGCAATGGTCCTCGACTACTCGTTCGTATACATGGGGGGCTGGCCCGGCAGACTGATCACTGCGGCGTTCCGGACTGCTCCTGTGGCCCCAGCAGCCTCATCGACGTCGAGTTCATCCAGAAGACGGCGGACGGAGAGATCTCGAACCCATGAAATTCCGAAATTTGGAAGGCTGAGGGAACTGGAGTACGGGTTGAATGTTCCCGATGTCTGGCACGCCAACCCACAGGGTCCCTTTTACCCTTCAGCTCACCCTGATCAATTTGATGGGCTGTTTCGCCTCGAAGCACTCCAACATTTGGCGGTTTGGCTGCGCCATCCGCCATCGCTCGAGGGTACCCTGAACATCGAGAGACTGGAAACCCTGTGCCTCGTCCGGTCCACGATTGCCGAGCAGGACGTAGAACAGATCCTTCGGCGGGCCAGCCGTGTTCACACTCTCCACCTCGGACTGATATATCACAGGGCTAGGTTCCAACCATTCAGGGCGGCGGGCACACCAATCCTCGACGGACTGATGGCGGTGCGCAATACGGTCCATATACTATCGATCGGGATAGAGTATGAGGCTATGACGTACGGCCCCCGGTTCAACCAGGTTGACTCGACAAACTGGGGCCACTTCCGTGGTTTTCTCCTCAGGTTCCCGCACCTGATATCGGTCGAGCTCCCGGTGCAGATGCTGTTGGGTCTTGTTTCGTTGACTCACGGTCGACGCCCCTCCTTAGGCCCTCTTCTCCCGCCAAGCTTACTTCAGCTAATTATTCGATTGGATCTCTGCCATTCTCAAGGGTCAGATGAGGTAGAACCCCTTTGGGGCCGACTCAGCGCACTCAATTCAGTCGAGAACCATCTCAGGACCGAACTCGATCTGACGCCTCAATTGAAATTCGTGACCCTGCGATCGTGGCAGTGGCATGGGTATCATACCAATGACACCCTGCCCGTACGAACGGCATTGTGGCAACAGTACCGTGTTCGGCTTGAGGAGCAGTTTGACCGTATGTCTCCAGGGACGGTGACCAGTGTTTTCCTCATTTAAGTAATTCCAATATGATTCTTTTTCTTTAGAGTCGCGGTGGTCAGTGGCCGCAGACGATTTGAACAAAGGCATTTGTCAAGATACAATATTTGAACAGTAAGGTTCCGTTCGGAGTAATGAGATGTGGATAGTACTACCAGGTAGACTAAACACAAAAATGCGGTGAGAGTCGTTGTGGTTCAGGCAGTCAGACAGATTGTGATGAGTCAGCATCAACTGCCGGTTTCGCGATTTCACCCAATTCGCACCACTTCCGCCCATCCCAAAAGTTTTCTGCCGATTTCCGGCACCTGGAAACACGCCTGTCTGGTTCTCACTTTGCTTTCCTCGTTCGTCCGCCCAATTTGCATGTGTTAATCGGGTCCACGGTACTTCGTCGGGCGCTCCTGGCTTTATACTCTAATGGATCTGGAGTTCCGAGGTGTTCTCGCGCCGAATGGGTTGGCGACACATGCCTCTCTGTTAACGCCTCCGGCCACCACCAGCGACCTTCGGAACAGTCTTAGCCTCCCCCGGCCGATGACAGCTTTCGACTTCTCCCCCAGACCCTCCGAACCTTGCACCATGGAGAAGATCCCCGCCGTCACAGGCAAGCGGCGGGGTGGTTGTCGGAAGGCTTGTAATGAGTGTAAGCAACAAAAGGTGAGTCTGCCTGCCCGACGTCATGGTTGCATTCCTCCCTGCCCCCAGCTATGCACATTCGTACTTCCTCCTTCATTCGACTCTCTTTCCCTTCACCTCTCAAACATGCCAGACTTACCGAACCGTCACAGCTTCGGTGCGATATCGTGCAGACGCCCGCGGATGCATGCTCACGCTGCCGCCGGCTCCAAATAGAATGCAAGGTTGAGCCCACTTTTAAACGGATCTCCAAACGCCGGTACCATCTCCTGACCACCGTCTGGCCTGTGTTTCATCCTTGGCTGAACAGTAGCTTTTTCTAGGCGCAATGCTGAAATGGAAAGAGAAATCGCGGATCTCCGCCGTCGCCTTGCCAATGGGGAGCACCCTCCGCCCGGAGACACAAATGCCCGTGATGAGCTATCGCAATCTCCGGAAGACGTATTCTGTTCTCCGGATGCCAATGTTGGCATCAAAGGGCGGCCGTTGTCGGCGCCATTGGAGCCGCAGCCCATGCCTTCCCCACTGACTATTCATCGAGATGCATCTATTCTTTCGCAGGATGACAATCCGTGGAAACTTGAAGATGTCTCCTTATCTCGCCCGCGAGTAGCGCGGCTATTTGACCAGTACGGAGATGTCCTAACTTTCGTCTTGTTGCACTTCTCGGCCTGACTAATGGCTGGCCAGGTTCTTCAAATACTATCATCCCTTCCTCCCACTTCTGAACCCACAGAAGCCTCCTGACGAGTACATGCGCCGTTGCCCATTGCAGGCCTGGACCATCATTTGTGTCGCTAGTCGACGAGCGCCTTCTGAACCCGGCCTCCTCAGCGCACTCTCTGGGCCGTTCAGCCGGTTGCTCTGGTCCACCATCACCGGGGTACCCCAGGACTATCGGGTGGTCAAAGCACTCTGCCTCCTGTGCACATGGCCTTTACCCACAACCAGCCAGCGAACGGATGCTACTTTTATGCTTAGTGGCTTGATGATGCAGATTTCAATGCAATTAGGGCTGCATCGTCCGGTCCAAGCAGAGGAATTTACCACCTTCCGCATGGAAGTTCAAGGGGAGGCCGTCAAAGATCGATTACAGACATGGGTTATTTGTAACATTGTAGCTCAGAAGTACATTATCCCGTACCCTTGTTGTCAGGATTGAGGATTGACTTTCATCATCCAGTGTCGCGACCGGTTACGGACAACCTCCGTCAACAATCTACGACTGGGCTTTGGAGCCCGCCTCGCTTCGCGATGCGGATTACCACCCCCCGCATGACCTCAAGACCCGACTGAGAATTGAGAAATTCTGCGATCGGGTCACAAAGGCACTGTATAGCAGCAAGCCCGACCCAGCCGAATTTATTAGCTCCGAGAAGCTTTTGATTGTACAGCTTTTGGAGAATGAGCTGAGAGATATGGAGGTCGAATTTGGTCGGGACATTTCAAGTAAGCCTGCATGCTTTTACTCAACCTTGTCATCTCTAATCAGTGTCTAGACATCAACATGATCCATCTCAGGGCGGCTGAGCTGCATCTAAGATATTTTGTCTTCTTAGGCTCTAATGCCCGGAGTGACGACTTAACAAAACTCTTCATCGCGACCACGTCATTCCTCGGACGAGTCCTTGATCTTGAAACCTCACCTGGCGAGCTTATCGGCCACGCCCCCAACTACATCCTTCAAATGATCGTATCAGCCGCTTTCGCGCTAATGAAGCTCCTGAAGAGCGATTTCCGCCGCCACATCGACTTCGAACACGGCAAGCTGCTCTTCAACGGCGCCATCTCCGCCATCCGTCGCATCAGCGTCATGGACCACGACCGTCCCGTGCGGTTGGCAGACATCCTGGCGCAGATGTGGAACGCCGGCAGCCCGGAGGATCCGGCCAGTGGCGATGCCCTACAGCTCAAGATCCGTTGTCGCATGAGCATGAGCCATGTCTATGACACTGTATGGCGGTGGCGCCAGCGGTTCCGCCCTATGAAGAGCGTGGAGGACACGCAAAGTATGTTTCGCTCTTCCCGTGTCAATGTCACATACACCTGAGACTGACCAATCCCAGCTACTATGGTCAACCCCAATATGGCCACGTTAAGTGGCTCGTTGGCACGGCCGCAAGATGAGTCTCTGCAGAGCACGAGCTTGATCTACACGCCGAATTTCGACCAAGGCGCCTTTATCAGCGAGGCTGGCTTCTCTGAAGTCTTTGATTCCCTTAACTGGGTTTTCGATGGGATTCCAGATTCTTTCGTGGCGCCGCCTATTGTATGAGTCATGCGCGTTCTTGTGGGCCTTGAGCGCTGCTTGAAAAAGCTGGGTATATTATTCCATGCACAGAAGAATTATACCACCGATTAACGATTATGACAATTAATTATTTCTCACTGGCTTGTTTTCAGCCACTTTAGCACATTCTGGCAGCTAGAACAGAGTGGACGTAGGTAATCGGGTGGGAAGATGTATATACAACCTATAGTCCAACATCGAGAGTTAAGCTTCGTTCTTGACACAACGGCCGACGGGGCCCACTTGAGAAAAGTGCTCGATGACATCCGTTGACGATCCCTACTAGTGCCTACCACTGCACTATGTCCGTCTTGGACACCATAAAGCCTGACTGGCTTTCGCCCACATAGCATTGTTACCGCTCTTCCTCTCTCAGTCTCTCGTCCGACTGCTACCAGACAACATTACCATGGAGCAGACCCATGGAAGTCACAACCCACTATTGGGTTGTCACCGACAGCACACTAGATAACTACAATAGTTTAGGCGAAGGATACCCCGGAGAGTGGACCAATAGCGCTGGTGGCTGCAAGGGATTCTTTACTGATGACAGTACTGTAATCGATCTGGCTCGAGACGGTAGTCTCAATAATATTAGACCGAATTTAATCAACGCCCCGCCATCCCGGGAGATGGAGTACCTTATCACAATTGCCGGCGATACTGAAAGCTCTTCGCACTAACCGAGGGCTGCAGCTAGGGCCAAGAAGAATTACGACGACTAGTATTGAGTCGGGTCGCATCGAGCTCGAGTAGTACAGTACATCTCATTCGTCACATCATGTCCGAGATAAGCTCGCGTCCATTCAAGCTATCTCAATCTTCAATCCACGCACGCCACCATATACACCCCCAACACTAATAGCGCTCAATGATGCAAAAATCTTCGTAAACCCCGAGCCTCTCAATGGTATCAACCAAACAAAGCAAACCCAAGTACATACAAGAGCCACGATCACCGGGCTAGCTCAGCTCTCAATAACAACCTTGACAACGGGCCTGCCCTCTTCATCAACACCCTTACCCGCTAGGGAGAAAGCGCGATCCCCGTCCGCCAGCTTAATCCGGTGCGTCACCACCAGCTGCTCCACGCGATCGAGCTTCCCGCTGGCCATCAGCTGGATGGCAGCGGGGTACGCATAGCCATCATACCGGAATACGCCGATGATGTCGACCTCGCGGAGGGCGGCCGCGCCCACGGGCAGAGTCTGGATGGGGTTACCCATGCCGATCTGCACGAGCACCGCTCCGGCGGCCGCAGCATAGATGCCGGCCTGTGTGCAGGCCGGCACGCCGGTGCAGTCATACACGCGGGCGAAGCCAGCCGCCACGCCGGCGGCCTCCTTCAGCGTGGCAGCGACCCTCTGTGCGTTCTGCAGCGCATACGTCGTCTGCTCGGCCTGCGGCGTATCCTTTGGCGGGGGCGGATGGGCCGGATCCGCCTTGGGGATCAGGGCGGTCTTCAGGCCCAGGCCCAGCGAGGCGGCGATCGCCAGCCGCGAGGCGTCGATGTCGGCCACAAGGATCGAGGAGAAGTTCTCGGACACGGCCAGCGCGGCAGCGAGCAGCAGGCCGATGGCGCCGGCCCCGAAGATCAGCGCAGACGTCTTTTCGCCCGCCGTCTGGGCCAGGTCGACCTCGTGGCGGGTAGGCGGTCGCGAGCGCCGGATCGCGTGCAGACAGACGGCCAGCGGTTCGACCAGCGCGCCGCCGGCGAACGACACACTCTCCGGAAGCTTGTGGCACATGTCGGCCGGGTGGTTGGTGAGTTCCATCAGCGTGCCGTCCAGGTGCGGGAACATCTTGGCGCTGCTGCGGAACTGCATCCCCGGGCAGATGTTGTAGCGGCTCTGCCGACACAGCGCGCACTGCCGGCACGGCAGCCCGACTTCCATTGCGACGCGGTCGCCCACCTGGTGCGTGCGCACCTCCGGTCCGATGGCTGTTACCACGCCCGACGACTCGTGGCCCAGGCACATGGGCGCCCGCACCACGAAGTCGCCATTGCGGCCGTGGGTGTAGTAGTGGAGGTCGGAGCCGCAGAGGCCCGTGGCGCGGACGGCGACTTGGACTTCGTTGCCTTGCGGCGGGGAGAGGGGCCGGGATTCCTGTGGCATCCGGACTCATTTAGCTGGCTGTGGTGGTTTTGGGAAGTGCGGGGGTTGGCTCTTACCAGGCGGAGGTCTTTGGCGCCGTGGAGGACGAGCGCTGTGGTAGTGGTAGGGGTGGCCATGGTGAACTCAATCAGATATAGTCTAGGAGTGTAATGTCTCTAGACTGAAAGGGAAAAAGGCTGGGGGGCGCCATTCTTTAATTGAATCGCCTTGAATGCAGATTGGGTGATGATGAGGGGATCCTCGAGAATGGGAGCGGTTGCCAGCGTGGGGTCAAAGCCGGACTTTTCTCCGCGTCGGGATTTGGACCCGACTCTTCAATAGCCGACGTATTATTCTCGTATGGGCTGGAAAGGCGTATGTTTCGCATTGCTGGCGAAGAGATGATTCTTCAATCACTGCAGCTCAAAGAGACTAGAGGATTGTTAAATCATGTTCTTATCGACCTGATGGTCATTTTTAGACTCATACTCAGAGGCAGATTATCTTCTCTTATCTTCTTGTATGACTTTTTTGAGAGTATGCATATGTGTCCAGTATAACACGGTATTCTCTGCGTACTGTAACCCAGTCGTAATGTGAACCCCCACGCGATCGCTGAACAGACATCGAAACTTGATCTAATCGCATAAATAGGCAAATGCTGCGATGGGGTCATGGCGAAGGTAGTCAATGAATAATCACATGCGGCCTTTTAGTCAACCTTGCATCTTCCACCTTTCGTCCTCCTCTTTCTTCTCCTTCTCCCCTCACTCCTAATCGCATCTCGCATCTCGCATCTCGCACTTTCCCACCCAAATCTACCCCGCGCCTCGCCTCCAACTCTGACATCATGCCTGCCGCATTGTTGATCGGTGCGATCACCCATTGCAGAAAGGAATGGGAGGACCTGTCATCGATCTTGACTCTCAAGGTTCGAGAATAGTCTCTACAACGAACGCACGTCAATGCGACAACGACGCTGATACTTCTTTGTGTCAATTCAGGAATTCCCGGAAGGGTCCCGGGACGACTTCATCCGCAATTGCAAGGAAGGCCAGTACGACGATGTGGTGGCCATCTACCGCTCGAATTCTTCAACCAAGGTAGAATCCAGACAATCAAATCGCATGACACTTTTTTCTCGGCATTTTAAGTCTGAACCTGCTCTCAATTAGTTCACCGGTCCCTTCAACGCCGAATTGCTCTCCGTCCTGCCCAAGTCCCTGAAGTACATCTGCCATAACGGGGCTGGATACGATAACGTTGATGTCAAAGGCTGCACAGAGAAAGGTATTGTCTGCGCCTCTTGTAGATAAATCCAGACTAATAGATATAGGGATTGCGGTTTCGAGCACACCCGTCGCCGTCAACAACGCGACTGCCGACGTGGGGATCTTCCTGATGATCGGAGCCCTGCGCCAGGCTTATGTCCCGCTCTCCTCGCTTCGCGCTGGTACGCTCCGCTGCTGTTATCTCTGAGAGTCGGGTGCAAACACTGACCGCAATGCATAGGTAAATTCTTGGGTCAGACCGGACTGGGCCATGACCCGCAGGGCAAGGTCCTCGGAATCTTGGGGATGGGAGGAATCGGTCGCGTAAGTTTTCCTGCGCGCCAGCATAGATCATCGGGTGCTAACTCAGGATGAAGGAGATGGCCAACCGTGCAAGAGCCTTTGGGATGAAGATTCAATACCACAACCGGTCACGTCTGTCGCCGGAACTCGAGGGAGACGCTACGTATGTGTCTTTTGACGAGCTGCTGGCCACCTCGGACGTGCTGAGTCTGAACCTGGCTCTCAATGCGTCCACCCGCCACATCATCGGCGAGAAGGAGTTTCAGAAGATGAAGGATGGGATTGTTATTGTGAACACGGCCCGTGGGGCCTTGATCGACGAGAAGGCGCTGGTTGCTGCACTAGAGTCTGGCAAGGTGAGACCGCCCCTGAAGGCGTTCTTAAATTTCAAGATACTGATCAGCACAGGTTTTGTCGGCTGGTCTGGACGTTTACGAGAATGAGCCCCAGATCGAACCTGGTTTGGTCAGCAACCCTAAGGTGATGTTGCTGCCGCACATCGGCACCATGACCTACGAGACGCAGAGAGAGATGGAACTTCTCGTGTTGAACAATCTGCGGTCGGCTGTTGAGAAGGGCGAGATGATTACCCTGGTGCCGGAACAGAAGGAGGCATTTGGCAAATGAATTCGTAGAAGCGGAGTGGCTATCGCCACAAGATTGATGTGACGGCCGATTTACCTTCTTCCTCGGATGTCTGGCGCCTCCGTGCTTATTGCTTTCAATCTGACAGACGAGGGCTGGGTTCTTCCGCCTGTCAAGTGCCTCAGGCACAAGCGTGTATATAGATAACGAAGCTTGTTTTTCCCTGTCTCCATCATTCGTTGTTGAGCGTACAACATGCTTAGCTCTGTTCTTTCCAGCTATAATCCTCATAGTAGGCTCTGCTCTAAAGACAATTCCAAAACTTCAATCTCGGTGGGTGAATGCTATGGCATTCTATGCAAAATCCCCATACAACAAGCCTACTCCAACTTCCGAGCCCGATCCTTCGCAATATCACACATAGCCTAGAATCATACTCAGCATCTCTCAACCAATGCATTACCCCAAAAAGCTTACCTGAATAGTCTCCTCGACCTCCTGCTCGACATCTCCCCTTTCAATCCTTTCCCGCATCTCCTCCATTATCACATCCCGATCCCTCCCATTGACAAACGTCCTAGACCCCGAATCAGCACTCCAAATCCAACAACCCAAACCACCGCCAAAGGAAAGGAAAGGACCTACACAAACCGCAACCCAGGAAACCGCTCCTCATACTCAGCGTTCAACGCCCTCAACCGTTCCGCCTGCTCCTCGGCGCCCGTATTGAGTTGCGCCTGTTCCTTCGCGCTTAGCTCACTGATATGCTCCGTCGCAGCCTTCGCCCGGCCCAGCCTAGGATGCGACCCCAGAATCCCGAAGAGGATCTCCCGGTCCTTGGACGAGTTGGCCGCGGAGAGCGCCGACATCCGGCCGCCCACGGCGTCGATTAACCGCGCGTAGCTGTCGAAGGCTTGGTGCGCGAGGACGGGCGCCATTAGTTCGTGGAGCTCCGGGGAGGGCTCGAAGAGGGTGTCGAGGACGCGGAATTGTTGGTCTTGGGGTTGGGTGGGGAGGGTGGATAGGGCGGGGAGGGAGGTAGGCATTGTTTCTTTGTTTAAGGGGAATTTGGGGGTTGGGGAAGGCTTGGTGTGTGAGTGATGAGGATGAGATTTCGAGTTGAGGTGGAAATGATGTTGGGTTGGATGAATGGTTCTGATATACTCGCCTCTGCCTCTGCCGCTGCTGTCCCGGGTTGGTGGGTGGCCCCCACGTCGGCCGTCTCCGGGCGGGTCTAGCCGAGATGGACTTTCTTGCTTGTTGAACTGGATTCCAGGTGATAATACCGAGTATTGGTGTTGATCAAGAATTAAAGCTTATATTTTGATCTTGGGTGCGATATACTCAGGCTCAAGTCTCTCTGCCTGAATGTCTGTATGCAGCACGAGCTATATGGTGGTGTAAGACCCTTCATCTTTGCCACTCTCAGACATTGCACGAATAGACCGTCCATTGTTCACAACAAGATAAAGAAGAGGGACAATCCCTTATCAGTGACCGATAAGCGACCAGCAGTGCACGTGACCACCGGACAGCTGCGGGGAATGCGTCCGGGGAAAATGCGACGGAAGGAGGAGCTGACCACCACCTCCCGTCCTCCTGCGTCCTCGATGGATCTCTACGCCTCACCACCCAAAGCCACCGCGAACCCGATCTCCCCCTCCGCCGCGACCACCCCAGGAACCCGCGAGCCCAAGCTCCAGCTCCCGTCGACGACGGACCCGCCGGGGCCACAGAACCCGCCACGACCGCTGGTATGGCTGATCTTCGGCGCGACGGGCCACATGGGCCGCTCGCTGGTCAAAACCGCGCTGAGCCGCGATGACCTAGTCGCAGCGGTGGGCCGGACATTTGAGAACAGCCCGGAGAGCATGCGCGAGCTGGAAGCAGGCCACGAGAACTGCATGGGCCTGCTGTGCGACGTGCGGGCGCGCGAGACGGTCAAGCAGGTGATCCAGCGGACGATCGCGCGCTTCGGCCGCATCGACATCATCGCCAACTGCTCCGGGTATGGCGTGATTGGCGCGTGCGAGGACCAGGACGAGTACGACATCCGCGACCAGTTCGAGACCAATTTCACCGGCACCCTCAACATCATCCAGCTCTCGCTGCCGCATTTCCGCGAGCGCCGCGCCGGCCGCTACCTTATTTTCAGCTCGACGTCTGGCGCGTTGGGCGTGCCTGGCCTCGGGCCCTACTGCGCCTCGAAGTACGCTGTCGAGGGACTGATGGAGAGCATGCTCTATGAGGTGGATCATTTCAATATCAAGACTACCCTCGTCGAGCCTGGCCATATGCGACGTGACGATACCAGTGATCTTGTCTACGATGGCAGTACGCCCAGGAATAATTCCTCTGGTGGGAACGGAGCCGGCGGTGGCGGGGTGAATGGGAATGGGAATGAACATAATCTGGCGTCTCCGCTGCCACTGTATGGGCATTTCTTGGTCAAACCGCCCAGCGAGCCGTACAATGTCTCCACCTCGCCGGCGGCGCATGCGAAGCGCATGTTGATGTGGCTCGGGGATAAGCAGCCGGCGAGCGCGGTCAAGGCGGCGCATCTGGTCTGGCAGCTTGGACATTGCTCGTACCCGCCCTTGAGATTGGTTCTCGGAACGTATGCCGTGGAGAGTATCAGGGATCGTCTGAAGTGCATCATCGAGGAGATCGAGGATTGGAAGTATTTGAGTTTTCCCTCCGCTTCGGCTTCGGCAGGGGAACAGCAACAGCAGCAACAGCAGGGGGCAGTGGCATCTGGGGCTAAGGAGAGGGGTAGCAGAGACGGAGATGGGAATGACAATGGACATGAGAATGAGGATATCGATATGAGGTGACAATGGTTCTTATGATCTACTTTGTTATTACCACGTGTGATTCCACTCCTACGGCGCCGTCAGTGCGCTCCCCTTTCGACGAGACCACGTTCCAGCTACATGATGGGTGGTTATACAATACGGGCAGATGCTTTGATCCATTCTCACTGCAGTTTGAGAACCGACGGAGGTGGCCCCCATGCTTCGTGGGGGCTCATTTCACTGGCTTGATTTTCATCCCACTTACCGCGAGGGGAGTAGACATACTCAATACTGTCAGTAACGTCGCGCAGACCAGGGTATCTGAACGTTACGTCGAAAACGGTCCAAACAAGACAATCTGATTAAAATCATTAATAAAAGTGTCCTAACGACAGCCTAAGGAAGGTACCTCAGGGTATAGGAAACCATGCATAAGACGCTGGCTAACTATGCTATTTCTCCGCGTAGAGGTAACCGGCATGGTAGACTGGAACAATATGGAGGTCCCCCTTCTCAACCAGAGGCATCGCCAGATCAAGCTTCTTTTGAAGCTCATTCACAGAGAATCTATCTTTATTAGCCTCCGACCAGTCCTTCCTACATCTCCTCCGCTCCTCCACCAGGGCTTCCTGCACCACAACTGACCGTTCGACGAGCGGTTGGCGAATCAGCACCGGCGGCGGTCCTTCAATGCCACTCGCCGCTTCCCAAACACCCCGCTTGGTAACTACTCTGGCACCTATCGTCGCACTCACATACGGGACCTGCTCGACATCAAGATGGAACATGAACCCGTCCTGGCTGGCCGCAAACGCGACGGAGAGTTCGGCGGCGATTCGGTAGATCTCAACCAGAGCGCGGTAGCGCTCTTCAGCCTCAACTGGCTCAAGTAGAAGCACCCCAAATGCCTCACATTCATTAAGCATATACCTCGTGTTACTGTGACAGGCAGCCTCGAGAGCCTCGCTCGTCGAGAACGCCACCCTCCAGTCGTCCGATCCGCCCCTGTCGTCCGCGTGCAAGAGTCGGGTCAAGGTCTGGCGCCATTCGTTGGCCTTGGTTACGTTCACTGTCGCGACGCAAGTTAGCATGCACCTTCTCTAAATCAGATTTTAGACAGTGTTGCTACTCACCTCTCTTCAGCGTCTCGTACAGCTCGTGAAGCCCCACGTCAAACGCATCAGACGACACATTAGCCTCACCATCCGCACGACCCGTCCTCACACAGAAGAACGGATTCGAGATAATATTCTCACAAAGATGCTACAATAGCACCGTTACAAGAATCCCGTCCAGGAAAATATGATAGTCCATGGGGCTGAGATTCTGTCTCAACGAGGTCCAATCACTATACAAACAGAAGGATCCCAGATGCTTGAGGATGGCCCGCTTCTTCCAGGTGGCTAATTGCCTCACGTCTATAGGGGCACAGGTGTATCGGTGTCGGAACTGGTTGATGTGCGAGTACAGCTTCGTGATATGCTGCTGGAGCAGCTCGTCCGTGACGGTGAACTCCCCGTCTTGAGAGCCGTAGCCCAGTGGAAGGCTCCACAGGAGGCTTTGGCCGTCTTCCCTGTTGTGGCGAGGCAGGGGCACGCCCTTTCCTCCGTTGATGGCGCACCAGGGTCGCGTCACGAAGGGCAGGCTGCCTTGGGGGAATCTCCGATTGGGTGGTGGGTTTGATTCGGTGCTTTGTGTTCGTTGAGAGATGCGTCGTTTCTATGTGGATATTAGCTCATGGTCGGCGTGGAGATTGGGGGTGAAGGTTCTCTGTACGGAGAGGAGGGTTGGAGGTATACGCACCTTGGTGGGAGGTGATTCTGCTTTGCGCTTTCCTTTGCTGCTTGCTTCTGGCATGTTTGACATGTCGTGGGGTATTTCTTTTCTCCTTTGGTCAGGTTAGACACCGGATAGGCTGTTTCTGGTAACTCGAGCCATTGTGGTACGCGACGAGCTTAGAAATAATTTCTGTCGACAGTTTTCAAGGAGCGATAATAGAGGTTATGTAAAGCCGAAGCCCAAGGATAACAACGGAATACAATGGCTTTATCTATGGCATCAAAACTGAGAATATACAATGGCACACTTAGAGGTTCAACGGGCGGAGCACCTTCAGACAAGCATCTTCTCCTTCTTTAAGCGAAAGCTCTTTGTTGGTTCGGGAAACTACACAGTTCATTGTCGCCTTCTTCGCGTTGCGAGCGTGCTATTTGCTAGATAAAATCGGCGCCTCGCCCGCATCAAGCATCAGCCTTCCGACCAGAGAGCCGGCGGTGTCTTCATCCGTGGTCGTGTAGGCACTCTTCAATTACTGGAAATTATACGCCATCACAAGTCAGCCCCAGGAAGCTCTGAGTGCACGTGTTTCTGGAGTACGCAAGCGCGACAACGAAATCCAGGGGTTCCTGCTGGACTTCTTCCGCAACGCATCTACGGAGCCAGACTTCCAGCAGCTACTCGCAGCCTTGACGAACGAGTTCTATGCCTATAACTGTGCATTAGGCTCTTTATTCTGTGGGGATATGCTCGTATATCCACTCCAGATCCGATGTCTCGTGACGAAGCAACGAGACAGAACCTGCGCAGCGCCGAAGTATCTACATCTTCCTCTTCCTTTTCATCTTTTCCACAGGCCTTGTTGGCTAACTTGTTTATGAGTATCATACTTCAGGGCCAAGATGAGCCAACTACCACCGAAGCCGTAGCTCCTCAAATCCCGTTCGCTCGTTAACTTTTAACAACATTCCCACCTTGTAGAGTCACAACCTGACGTATCTGCCCGGTTGTATACGGAACAGCTAAACCTGTTCTTCTCAAGCTACACGAATTCATGTCCGGGTTAAAACAAGTGGAAAGGCTTGCGGTCAAGGAGATGGCGAACTGCCACATGTTGTTAAGCTGTTCGGTGCTTCTTCGCCCCCTGGACTTCATGATATAAAGATTATATCTGCTCATGGAGACGATGCTTTCTGTAACATCTGGCTGGCTTGAAGCCCGACTGTACGCTCAACATAACCATTTTCACAAAGAGAGCCCTCTAATACCTGGGGAAAGCACTCAGCAGTATTTAGAAAAAACAAGAATCCGCCATCACTGCTTTCAATCCATGTAAATAAGAATATGGTCACAAGAATGAACGACAAGAAACGGTGAAAGTAAGGTACATGGGATGAGCTTGTCTTAGCTTCACTATTTAGCGATAGTTACTAAACTCCAGCACCTCGTTAAGGTGCAAGCTCATTGCTGGAGGGGTTGGTGACACCTCTGCCGAAGCAGCAGTCACCAACAAGTGATCAATGTCAAAGGCATTGTTTGAGAGATGGTCAGACGCACCTCTGCGTAAAGCAGCAGCTTCTTCTGACAAGGAGAGCCGGTGGTTCCACATCAAGTGGTAGCTTCCGGTTATGCCAAATTGTTTATGAGTGAAGCATAATTGCAAGCGCAATAACTGCAAACTCCAGCACATCTGCCGGGTCCTGTGTATTCCAGGGGCCGAAGGTTTGATATGTAGCAAGCCCGGCATTTGCTATAGAGCCGCCCTTTATGTAGCTTGCCCACTCTGGACTGTATGACAGGAAGGAGATAAAGAGTCGGGTCCTGTCTTGGGATATCAGGGCTCGACTGGGACAGTCAGGACAATGTGATTGCAAGTACTATACTTACTGCCACAGGTGATTAGAAGCTGGTGCTCTTGGATCAGGACATGCCTTAATCCAGGCCACCAACTCAGCAATTTCCTGCATGACGGTTCTCCGACCACTTGAGCTATCCCTGTCGCTTTTCTTGCACTCTACAAGAGCCTTTAGCTCCTGAGTGGGATAGTCTATTAATTGTCCATCAGTGCAAGCGACGTATGAACGTTCTCGTCCGTAAAATTGCGCTCGGAGTACGCTATGCCGTAAGGTCCAGCAGCGTCGTTGATCAGTTCTGAGTACACTAAGTGCGTTCAAGAACTCGATCAATGGTGGATTAACCATGGCCTCGTCAACTGCGGGCCAGGCTTCGCATCCGGGTGTTCCTGCCGCTGCCACGAGCCATTGATGGTGTAGCGTGTTGAAAAACCGCCCTATCTGTGGATCATTCCACTGGTGATTAGGGATGGCGTTGAGGTAGGCTTGGAACTGTGGGCATGCAGTAAGCATGCCTCGTGCTGTCTGCATATCAGCTGTCAATCCGTATAGCGCAGGTGTAAAGAAAGTCGACGGATCGGGGTAAAGAGTCCGGAACAGAAGATACTGCTCGCGTGTAACTCGGGAACCTGATACTAGATTTTTGCAGGACTTCAACGACCTAGTTGTTACTCCATATGCGACGGCCAGCGTATCCCATTCGTTTGCGGTGGAAGGGATAATCCACCTCACTTGGTTCTGAGCAGCCATTTTTGCAAGAGCAAATTGGGGTGGCAGAACAGAGTTGGAGTATGTTTGAGGAGAGGATTCTAGCAGGGATAGAACTTGAAGTGTTATAGCCACATCCAGGGAAAAAGCTACCAGTGGGCGCCCCACATGCTCGAGCTAGAGTCACCATAATAAAGGATACAACTTTTGAAGATTTGCTTCTTGATTATCCCCTGGAAAGACAGTGAGTTACTGCTGTTTATGTGAGTATGGGGCTACTTTGAACTTGAAGTACTACTCATGGAGCAAGAGCGCTGAGAATAAATACACTATCGGACTAATCTTAACAATACATGACCGAAGCTACGTAGAAGTCACTACTGACAAGGATACTGCCCACTGGCAGCATCATCTTCAAAAGCGACACTTGATCTTGTTTCTCCTAATTGTATGCTTTGTGGGCCGTGCTATTCTGAGCTCTTTGTTTATCTGCGGCAGGGTGCCATATAAAGTTCATCTTGTTGAATATGTCCTAGGAACATGGCGAGAAGAGAATGAGCATAAACTGGATACTACTATTACGTGCCACTCAGTTCAGGCTCGCCAGATGTCTTGCTGACCAAACTGGTCTGTTGTGCAAAACTGCCTCATTGATACTTGTACTCAAGGGTGACGAGTTCCTATTCTTTTCAGACAAACTCCTTTCTGCCTGTAGTAACTGCAGTGCTCTTATGTACTCGTTTCGGCATTGTCTGGCTTATGTAGCCCTCTCGCAGTGTATATAGCAGACTCTTATCAAGTATGGAAGGAAACTACGTGATATTGTTGGATCATTTCCTCAGTGGTTTGAACTCGAACCCCAGGATTAGCCATGGAGGCTACATTATGGGCTTAAAATGTATGGCCTATCGCAGCTTTTTGTTTCCTCAGGCTGTTGTCACTCGCGTGTTCCTAACGTCAACACGTCCTGTAACGGATCCACACCCACAGACTGTCTCCCCTCTGTCTCCCCCACCCCCTCCTCTTTTCCTTTTCTTTCTCTTCTCCTTCCTCCTCTTCTCTCTCTTCTCTCTCTTTTTCTCCTTTTTTTCTCTCCCACGCATCTTCAGTCGTGTTATCTTTATCTCCATAAAGATACAACAGCCGTACCAAGATGTCGTCCGGAGTCCAGGAAATGCCTGGGTAAACCCTTACCGCTGGTCTCGATCAGAGTCATCACGCTGCTGCGTCGGGGGGGCAACCTCCTGGCAAGAAAGGCGGAGGGGATGGTGGCCGTAAAGGTCCGTCCCATACCAAGGAGCCGCGCCAGAAGGCGAAGGCCTTTTGTATTCGGTGCAAAAAGCCCGGGCATCTGGCGGTGGACTGTGAGTCCGGTAAGCTTCTGGACCAGCTCACCGACATGAACAAGCGTGGTCTGTTGGGCTATGAGAGTGTTGTTGCAACGCTCACTGGCTCCCTCCGAGGCTTGAGCTTGGAGTCACGCGCCGCCAACCGTCCTCAAGCGGCCTCGCGCCGTGGGGGAAGGTCCGGCCGTCGTGGTTTCGATGTTAGAGAAGCCCGGAGAGCCTCGAGTGCTGGGCGCCAGGAGGAAACTTCTGGACAACAGCAGACCGAGGCCGCAGACACGGACCTGGACATCCCGGACGCCGGAGATGTTCACGGACCGGTCGCTCACCGGCCTCGAGGCGATCATTAGGTGATTGCTCCCTCATCCTGCATTTTCATGCTTCTGAAATCCCTGCCGTTGTGAAGGGTACCTGGTTACGAGGGGACCGGGTCTCCAGCGATGAGCTCGCACCTTACCGTGGTGCTGGAGTTTAGTAGCCATCTTTAATGGTGAAGCTAAGACGAGCTCACTCTATGAATCTAATAGACTAGTCGAGTTGCTATAAAAGCATCGATGCGCTAATTATCAGCGCTGTAGATACTGATGAGCTTGGAGATTTCTCTAGTGACAATCTCACCCGGCCTTAACCCTCCGTATCCGGCCTCGTCCTGGCTAATGGATAGCGATCAATCTAGCAATTCGAAGGGCTGAAGCATGAGATGAACTGTTGTATGCCTCTGTGTCCTGTCGAATTAGATCAAGCGTCGTGTTTTCAACGCAGAATGTGTTGTGTGAAAGACTTACCGTCGCCTCCTCCTTAGTTTGACCTTCTCATCCTCTTTTCTCTCTCTCATTCTCCATGCCCATATCATCCCCTTGCCTTTTCTTACTGCTTTTGCAGAATGCCCGCCATTACCAAACCCAGTAGAGCCTTACCTTGGATAGGACAGCTGCCGCTCAGGGATTTGCAGTTACATCACTCGAGTCTCTCTAGAAAAATATTTGAAGTCGGCTTTCGAAAGTGACGCGCGAGCCATTTCTTCAGTCCCGTGCCAACCGGCACCGTAACTTACAAGTGTTTACCCTAAAGTTCTACAAATTTAGAGCTAATATGAACGCGGCATAGCCCTTCTAGTCGGAAATTCATATCTTCATGCCTACCTCGCTGCGATACCTAGCCACGGCTGGTTTGATTCGCAACGCGTGCAACTTCCGCCTACAATGCTGTCTCCATGGGAGGGCACTCGGCCATACGCGCCTGGACATGAAGACCTCGAACTTCGAAACGAACACAAGATCATTGCAGGTCTGAAGCTCCGTTGGGCTTGAACAGTGCGCTACGACTCAATAAGCACTTCTGCTGGGTTCCAGGCCAGGATAAGGTCGCAACCAAGCTCTCCTCCCTAGAAGAAATACGTTCTACCATGCCCGAATTGGCAGACGACATTTGAGAATTACGATAGTCGAGAGATGGAAAGCTTTGCTCGAGGGCGCAAGGAGACAAAGCATCGAGTTTGTTGGGGTAGGAATCTGCGCAGCTAGTGGCTTTGGTGAAGGAGTACTCTGCTTCAAAGCCTTCAGTTGGTTTCTTTCAATCATTCGGATGCAAACGATATTGCCTCCACATTTCCCGTTATACTGATTTTCAGTAAAGCAATGCTTTCTCGGAACAATTATTCTTCTTGTCGTACGGTCCAGAAAAGCCACGGTATCTAATCATCGGCTCAATACACAGAGCCGGACGTACATTGAACCCAAGTTTCATGTAGAGTGAGCTCCATTCAGCTTGACCGTCCGAGATTCAACAGAGATGAGTACCACGGTAAAACGCGAAGTGTACAGTATTCGCTGAAGACAAGTGGAGTCTCTGCTCAAAAGCAGCACTGACCTGGATGACCTCACTTTGTCCATGCCAAGGTATACTCGAACTGTTCGCGCGGCTGAAGGCCGATACGTATCAAGCCTCAGATGTCCTTCACCTAAACATCAAAGAGAATGGGTTGATATGAAGAATGGTTCGAGGTATTGAACCAACAATTATAGAAATGCGATAGACGTCTGCCTGTACTTGACCGTACACTTGATGCGTCCTCTGACCGTCTACTGCGTCATAATGAGAATATTTCCTGGAGGATGACCGAAGCACGAATGTGTTACTGTTACCCCACTTCTCAGCTCTTCATATTTTCTTTCGGGTTCTCTCTCGTCTTTTTCTTCTCCTCCCCTTCTCTCACTTCCCCAACCAGCCGCTTCCACGTCATCACCAACTCATTGCTCGCCTAAAAGTCCCTCCATCTACAAGATGACTCGTGCTACTCGCTACGCCCGTCGCAAGCTCGATGGTCTCTACACGAAGCTGGTTACCTACAGGGAGTCTGTTGTTGAGGGCGGACATGTTGATTTGTCACAGCATGTCGATGACATTGTCCACCAGACTCAGTTTAACTTCAAGGAGCCGCTGGCGGTCCTCCAAACTACGAACCCGCCGTTTCTTTTCCGGCCCATGTCCCAAGAACTTCTGGAAATGAATCCCACCGAAGCCAGCCTCCAGTTTCAGTTCTTTGACTACACACCTGGTAATGTGGAAACGATGACTTCGCGCAATACTGCACGCACCCAACAGACGTGCAACCTCATTCACACGCAGGCGAGAGACTTCCGCCTGCAAGCGCGGGGAATGTCATACTTAACGTAAGCTTGCCACATGAGAATTACAAAACAGGCAGTCTTCTCTAACACTGGGATCGAGATACCCTGATCTCTTCTTCCTAGATGATCGAGGGTTTGACCAATACTATCCACCGGACCCAATCCTGCAGAAGGGTTGTGCCTATCACTTCTTTGAAACGGTGTCAGACAATACTGTTCTATATCCTCACATTACAATTATCAGAGGAGAGCCTAAGAATGGCCAAGAGGACAAGATACTATACGGGGAGCTTGCAACCCTGATTACAGCGATGAGAAATCGCGCAAATCAACGTAAAGTACAGTCAAGCGAGGAGCGCAATGCCCTTCTTTCAGCGGACAAGGACCCAGCAGAGTTTCCCTTCTTATTTCCGGATGAAGAGCATTTTCCTGTGCTTCTCATCTCCTGCGTCGGGCCTCAACATGCAAGAATATTCTACGCATGCATGGACGAGCGTAAGCTACACATCCGACAGTCAAGGCTTTTTAGCTTCGAGCAAAGATCAACTGCGCCTGTGTCCTTTTTCGGCAGCATGCTCTTGAATCGTGCTGTCATGCAGGTGTCGGAAGATGAGCTTGCCGAGGATGACGAAGTGGAAAAGGGTTCTCCCCAGACCACTACTCCACCATAATTGTACCTGATTTCAATCAGAGGATGTCTGCGTTTTGTGGATGTCACTTACACATTTGTCGGGAGGCTGCTGCTTTGAGCGGAGGTGCCCTTGACCATTGGTTGGATGGCTGCTACTTGTGTTAGAGGTGCCACCAGCCCCTCCAGCGATGAGCTCGCACCTTATCGTGGTGCTGGAGTTTAGTAGCCATCTTTGACGGTGAAGCTAAGACGAGCTCGCTTCCTGTATTCCTCGTGTTGTACAAAAGAGATACTTGCTTGGCTGCCGCTAAAACTAGCTTATCAAATGTCCTCCCAGTTAGCGCTGGGGTACAGTCCTCCCAGACCGAAGCGTGCAATGCACTGACCAATTTCTTGTAACTTCGTGGAAGATCGCTTTTTAGACGTGCCAACTTATGATGGAATCCAAAACCTTCCCTTCATTTTGCCTCTAATGGGATATCCAAGGCCGCAACTAAGCTGTTGCTTTGATACAACACTCACCACCCGGATTGGCAGATGGAGCTGCTCGGTCGGGCTGACTCGGCGGACAATTGTCGCTATCGGGCAAAGGTATTAAAGTAATTATTATATATATATATATATATAAAGTTTTTAGATTTACTTAACTTTATCTTTTAGTTACTATTTCTAAGTACTTTAGAGAAAAGGACCAAGAATAGAGGGGAGTCTTGTGTACTACTATTATCCAAATGATATAGTTTTCCTATTGTGTGGTACAACTACCTATACAATGTGAAGAAGCGACAGGCAATGCCAAGCGATTTGCAGGCCGATATAGGACGATGAGTCAGCGCTGCCCCGCAGCGGATTTGGATGGACTCCTTCTATCTTCTCTTCTTCCCCTCCTTCTGCTACTTCAGATACTCAGATCAAACAGTCCAATTGATTAAATAATCATGCCTGCTCCTATCTATCTCGGTGTCATTGGTAAGTAGCTCAGAAACTCAAGCCTTTGCTCTTTATAGCTACAATTGCACCTTACAGCCTCTGCATTCCCCGCCAACACGGTCCCCTCCCCCTCACGACTGACTACCATCACGAAACCATTCACATAGACTGACTGAACGAACAGGCGTCGGTGGCGTTGGAAACTCCTTCCTCAGCCAGCTCTCCCGCCTGCCCAATGCCCCCCAACTGATCCTCCTGGCCCGGTCCACCCAAACCCTCCTCTCCCCGACCCCCTCCTACACTCCCGCTATCCCCGCGGCAGACTGGAAGACCGCCTCCGCGACGCCGCAGCTCACCAAGTCCGGCGCGCTCACGCCCGAAGAGATCGCAGCATACCTGTCCTCCGCACCTGGCCGCTCCATCCTGGTCGACAACACGAGCGACCCTGCGCTGGCGTCATCGTACCCGACCTTCCTTCGCAAGGGGATCTCCATCGTGACGCCTAACAAGAAGGGATTCTCGTCCGACTTGGCGCTGTGGAAGGAAATCTTTGCGGCAGCGGCGGAGGGTAAGGCGCTGGTGTACCACGAGAGCACGGTGGGAGCAGGGCTACCTGTGATCTCGACGCTGCGGGATCTGGTGGCCACGGGCGACGAGGTGACCCGGATCGAGGGCGTGTTCTCGGGGACGCTGTCGTTCCTGTTCAACACGTTTGCGCCGGTCGGCTCGTCCTCGTCCGCTAAGTGGAGCGAGGTTGTCGCCCAGGCCAAGGAGCTGGGCTACACCGAGCCCGATCCGCGCGACGACCTGAACGGCATGGACGTCGCCCGCAAGCTGACCATCCTGGCCCGCATCGCCGGCCTCGACGTCCAGAGCCCCGACGCCTTCCCCATCGAGTCGCTCATCCCCGACGAGCTGGCCGGCGTCCCCTCCACTGCGGACGGTATCGCCGAGTTCATGAAGCGCCTGCCTGAGTTCGATGGCCAGATGACCGCTATCAAGGAGGGTGCCGAGAAGGAGGGCAAGGTCGTGCGTTACGTCGGTAGTATCGATGTCGCTAAGAAGGAGGTCCGTGTTGGCCTGCAGAAGTTCGATAAGGATAGCGCCATCGCCGGTCTGAAGGGCAGCGATAACATCATTAGCTTCTACACTAAGCGCTATGGCAGCAACCCCCTGATTGTGCAGGGTGCTGGTGCCGGTGGTGATGTCACGGCTATGGGTGTCTCGGCTGATTTGATCAAGGTGATCCAGCGGCTGCAGTAGATGACAGGTGTAGATAAAAGTTGAACACATGTAACAATGAGATCTGTTGGCATTAGTAAGCAGGGCTTTGTAGAGAAAGATATTTTGTTGACACCTGCGAGACATTTGTACATCAGAGCGCTCTTTTCAAGACTGCTACTCACAGAGACCTGATCAGCCATTGCTCCCCCCATTCCAGTTTCCATGGAGCACCGTCCCGCACATGGACCACGGTACGGTACCTGCTTACTTCCCTGGACTCCCGGCGCCTTGATTTATCTCCAGGCCATTCGAACCATCTAAGGAGAAAGAACCTGGCGCACCAGACTCATCTCGTCAATCTCAACCCAAATGCTTGTTCAGCAAGGATGCTCAATCTAACTATGATTACCAGACTGCTAGAGTTCCGCACTAATATGAAACGACGAAGAACAAGAATAGTATTTTGCTAGCTGAAATCCATCGCAAATCCTTGAAAGACAACCATCCCCTCTTCCCGAGCGACGAATTCATCCACCCGCCAACAACCACATACCCCAGTCTAGCAACTAATCCCACTCGGTAGATTCGTGCACGACGAGCTCGTCTTGCCACCCGACACGCTCACGTCCGTCCAGGTCCAATCAGTGCAACTGCCCGAGCCGCAAGCGATATAGATATCGGTCCCACTACTCTCGACCGAGCCCTGCACATTATCCAGCACAAAGTCGGAGATCGTGACTCCGTTGGAAGGCGACTCGGACGTATCGTTGTAGTTCTGCTGCACGATGATCCCGTACTTCGTGATCTCCGACAGGGTGATCTCCTTGTAGGTCACCTCGGAGACGGAGCCGGTATCGCCGTAGATGGTTTTGATGCGGACACCTGGAACCCATCAGCTCGTGCACTGAGTGTTTATATTTCTGGGGCGGGAGGAGCATACCGTTCTGCGAGTTCTTGATCTCGGAGTTGTAGAACGTCACGTTCTTGACTGTGTTGTCGCTGCGGCCGCCCACCGAGCCGATTGACAGGCCGTGGCCGCCGGAGCACACGCCGCCGGAGAAGTAGATGTTCTGCGCAATTAGTTTCCTGGCTGGACTTGCTTAAAGGAGGGCGGCGGGGGCTGTGCTTACCTCGCCCGAGTTGACTGCCACGCAGTCGTCCTGGTTGTAGACGTTCGCGCCTGTGATGGTGATGTAGGTGCTGTCGCCGATGTCGAAGGCGTCGGTATTGGCTGCGCCGTCATCGTCGCCGTCGCTGTTGTCGATCGTGATGTTCTCCAGGGTCAGGTAGTTCGAATTGTCGATGCTGAATACTTGGACGGGCGAGTTCTGGATGTAGATGCCGCTGATGACCGAGTCGGTTAGGTCGTGTGCGTAGAAGAACTTGGGCTTAGTCTTGCCACCGTTGGAGCCCTCGCTGTCCCACCACCGGCTGCCGTCGCCGTTGAGGTACGCTCCGCTCGCCCCGGTCACCGTGATGTCCGTGCCGGATACGGAGACCAGTGGACCTGACCATTCTTCGTAGCCGAAGGTGGTTTCGCCCTCGAAGATAACCTGGTTTGTTTGGGTTAGGGTTGACGACAACTACCGTGGGATGCTGGAGTACGTACGTGAGTGCCATCCTTCAAGTCCGTTAGGTCGAGGGTCGTTCCTGAGGGGACGGCCACGCTGGAGAGGATGATCGTTGAACAAGAAGTCTTCGACTTGCTCGCCGACGAGGCGCCGTTGGAGCCGGAGAAGGTGCAGGTGGTGGCTCGTTTCTCCAGGTCACCTACCTTGGGTGCTGCGGTGATGGCAGGGGGCTCGGGGGCCGGGTTTGCGCTGACGGCGATGGCCCCGAGGGCCAGCGCAAAGAGGACCGCTGGGTTGACCAGCATTGTTTGAATCTTTTAGACGGATAGAGGGTATCTGAGCGCGAAGATAGGACAAGCTTCAGTTGTTTGGTCTTGGTCGACTTGGCTTTTCTTGGAGGAGGCTTGGGAGCCAGCCTTAATGCATCCGTGAGCTGCGCACCGCTCGACCCTCGGCCTGGATTTCCGTGGTGGGCTTATTGTGGCGATGAAGGTCCATGAACCGGGATTTCAGCATGGTAAGCTGGCGTGAGACTATGAGGTCGACTATGCTATGAGACTATCTCTGTCAAGTAGCGAGATGCTCGTCAATGGTGGGAAATATCAGCGTTGGCCGTCGGGGTTGCGGTTCGGTCTCGCCTCGAGCAGTACTACTTAGTATAGGATTGCTGAAGAATGTACCGCTATCGCACGCTCATAGCTGGCTATTGGCTCGAGCATACGCAAAGGTCGGAGACGGGACGGAGTGATGGCGATTCCACCACACGGGATGATATTATCCAGGGGTGAGGGCTTGATGTGCCGTTCTGCGGCGTTGCAGCTAAAGACTGAGGCGCAAAGTTAGCATCACATCTCAAGCTCGCTTAGCTAGAGTCGGCGCGGACGAATGGATGGTCGTGCACTGGTAATGATACTTATAATGCGATGCGAATAACAATTGGTGGAATGAATTCATCACGGTGCTGCCACTATTCAATGCTCTAAATTATTCATCCTGCATTGATCACGCCAAGCCAGCCACCACGACAATTCATGACAAGTGACAGGCTGCTCGAACAGGCAGAATGTATGAAACAAACTGTCTCACTGGACATGGAGGACAAGGATCCCCCTTTTTGGGCCTTAGTCTGCAGCATAGCATGGTGCACAGACGCCACGTGAGCAATAAGCTTCGTCATGCGGAGGAAACTCCGACTTTCCTATACTAGACTAAGGTTCCCAACCTATATCATACACTCATACTTTCTGCTATCTCAGAAATCCTTATACTTGTCTAATGTAGCTCTCGTCCCCCTGTAAAGTCGTCTAATATCTCAGAGAAATGACAAAATATCGAAGAATAATAGTGCACCCCAGCTTCCCAGCTACAAACAGCAAACGGCTGAAATGAACCATTATAGGCGCTAAGGATCCTTACGCACTGATGCAGATGTGATGCAAACTCTCGTTTATTTTACCTCAGATAGCGTTAACTGAATTTAAATCTATTCCGAGTTCTGTACTATACTGTCAACACTGGATATATCACCATTCACTTTGCAATAAACCCATCAGTGAACTTGATAATCTGCTCCGCTAAAGCCTGAGGCTGGCTCACAAATGGCATGTGTCCGGTCCTTAAAGTCCACGACCTCCCATTCGACCTTGGACTTTTCCAGCCACAGATCCTGCAACGACGAAGGATTCAAACAGTCGTCCAGTGTCCGCACATACGCTCTCCTACCATCGAACGCACTCTCCGCCCAAGCCGGAGCAGTGGCGGGTGTTTCAAAAGCACGGAGTGCGTGTGGCTGCAACAACTTATCCAATTCCGGCTCAGGGGCACTGTCGCAGTCATTATACAGAACCTCCATCGCCGGCCCAATGGCAGCAAGACCCTGAGATGGCTGGGAACGTAATTACCAATACCCTATGATTAATGATCGCGGTTGTGCTGGGTCGACCGTACCTTGTCGACTTTGATAAAGGGAGGGTACGCGCCGCCTACAGCAGTCAAGAGATATTCACCCTCGAGTGTGATGTTGCCCCACGTAGATAAGGCCGATGTCGCCGGTAGATTGACCTTGGGCTCTTCTATTCTCCTTCGCAAGTCCTTTTGTTGCGCCACCTGCAACGACACCCCCGTATGAGTGCGCGATGATGACGACGTCTTTACCATGTTCATACAAATGAGGGAGTAGTACGGTGTCGCGCAAGAAAGCGATATCCTGGGGAGCAGACGCTTTGGCCGGATCAGAAGAATTGCAGCTAGGGTATGACCCTGGGTATGTTGCGTATCCGGCTTTGGTCAGATACGGTAGCAATTTCTCGAAGCCTTGAGGTGTGCCGAAGGCACCTGGGACGATAATGGTCACCGGGAGTTTCGACAAAGACATAGTGGAGCAGATATTGACTTGAAAACAGGGCGCGATTTTGCCATAATGAGAGTCATTGTGCTAGAAGAAAAAGGCTGAGCAGTCTGGATTACTACCAGGAGGAAGGTAAAGGAGGCAGAGCGGCAGATTGATGGTAGCTACTTGTCATGAATTTCAATGTACCTCTGCAGATTTGCAATCTGGATTGGTCAAAATTGGATGTATGTCAGATCAACACGTTACGCAATGACAATTAGCTGCAGTAAGCCTAGGTGGTACATATGAAGGGCTGAGTAGTAGTTGTATACACTATACTTATCTCAGTAGCTCGGGACAACCCCTCTACTCATTTCGCATATCAGTTGTGGAGTGAATAAGGGTTCAAACAAATGTTATAACGGATTTATTACACCTTGAACCCTTGGAACAATATATGGTATTGATCAAAAGACAGGAGTGGAAGAATTGTAAAGCCAATATACTTAGCTACTCACTAGGAGAGAAAATAGTGGAGCTTCCAAGTTCACTTCGATGTACGCCAGACGTCCCCATCCCTCCCCAACTCTGTTGGGGAGATGGGGATTCGACTGGTATGAAAACCCGAGTGGGGTTTCCGTAGTACCGCAGGAGCATCCGGCATGGACGAGAGTGACCAACAGCGGTCCCTCTCTGCCATTACGGACACTCCGACGGTGTGAGCTTTTTTCCTTCTTCCTGTCTTCATCTTTTCTCCTTGCTGTTGGTTCTTACTATCACCCATCGCAAGCATGAGTGAATTGACGGGCGTCGTTGCCCACTTTCTCGCCCGCCCAAGATCTGCAAGCACAGATCACAGGACTCTCGCTCATGTTTATTTCATATGAAGGAGCTCTTGAAGATTTCTCTTGCTCAATGAGACCTTTGCAGCGGAATCAACCTTCGAGCCAAATACATGGACCCTCCACGTTGTGTATAGTCTACGGAGCGATGTCGCACCTACCATGACGGCAAGGGTATATTCAAAACTTCTTTACCTCTACTTGCCTTGCTTCCAGCAACCAACCTCTTTCTTCATTTTTGCTTGCTGTTTTAACTTACTCAGCTCATAGATAAGGGTCTTGTTTCAACGGATCATGACCCGAAGCCAAAAGTCCAAAACCAGACTCTGATTGGGTTGCCGGGTCCTCGGCGCATCATCGACTCGTCCCTGGATGCGACCTTGTGTTTGACGTCCCGCCGTCATGGCTCCGTCAAGCCCCAAACGCTCACAACCCTTTCTTCTGGTCTATCTCTTGTTAGTCCGTGCGTCCCGATGGCAGTGATCGGCCTCGACTGCTGCCCAGGATTTCGCAAGACTCCCAGCCGATCCTTCGTCTCCTAGGGCCATCCTAACTCGAATTGACTGCGCCATGACACTGCTGTACGTTCGGGCAGTTGTGCCTTTCGAGGCCGGGGCCAATTCTACGGACGTGCTGATCAACGAGGTTCATTTCAACCGCACGGCGCTCGACCTCTACCATTACACGCTCTATAGCAACGGAACGCTCTCCAATGGCACGGACTGCTATCTTGCTTTCAACCATTACAAACCACGGATGCAGGCTGAGAACGGGACTTTCATCAAAGGCGTCTCCTGCTACGCGCCTATTCGAGACCTGGGGCCCCATGCAGCTGCCGGGCTGGCCTTCGCTTTCATGTTCTGCATATCCATCTTCTTCACGCTGATCAATCTGCGCAAACACGGTCGACGATATTTGCCAAGCGATCGGCGATGGCGGCTTATCGGCCGTCGAGCTCAGTGGATTTGGATGCTTGTCCTCGGTGGTTGTGGAGCGATTAGCTGCTTCATGAGCATTGATGTCGATCGGGACTATGTCGTGAACAGCCCCTTGATCTTGCAAAGTGTCTTCTACACTATTCTCACGCCGGTCATGATGGCCGTGGTGTGGGAGGCTGTTCGGCATTGGTAAGCACAGTTTCCACGGATCCCTAGCCTTCCCACTCGTCTCTGATTTGAACAAATGTAGGGGCTCATGGCAGGAGCGACAAATCATGGACCGAGATCCTCATGCATTCCGAAAGTCCAGTACCCGACAAGGCCAAGAATTCGTGCTGCCCATCATGTTCTATGGGCTAGCCCTGGCGAATTTCTTTTTGACCATTCCGCGCTCTTGGGGACCAATTGAAATGCAGCGAAGTTTAGAGCAACAGATGGCGGATGCTAAGCCGGCAGCGACGGACATCCGTTGGCGCGTTGCCGGCTTCTTGGCTATGGGCGGCGTCCTTGTCATCTGCTATAGCCTGGAGCACAGCATATATCGCTATCGCCCACGCCCCACGAGCACCTGGGGCCAGCTCATGTTCTACCTGAACGCAGCTCCGTCGCAATTCCTCGTGGCCATCGTGCTCCTGGGAATCAAGATCGGCTATGCGATTGCGTCCGCCTTCGACTGGACGGTCTCGCCCTTGAAGTACGGTGTCAGCTCGGGCTGGATCTTCGGTCTGGGATATACACCCCCGCTTCTCCTACTCGTAATTTTCAATATTTGTGGCCACTGTGAGCTCAATGACGACCAGGCCCTGATTGCTCGTCGCGGTGATCTGCATAACGCTCTCGCGGATGACATGGGAGTCGGTCAGAAGAAGCCCACTTGGTGGAGCAAGGGTCGATCGTTTGTTCGAGAGATCAGGCGACAGTCCACTCAGCAAGATACGGAAGACTTGGAGCAATATGTTGAAATGGGGATCATCAGGCCAGAGGAACAGCAGCAAGCCAGCGAAGACCATTCTACCAAACCGAAGCCGGAAACCCAGGTCACGACTCGCACGGCCAGTCAAGGCAGCGAAGCAACGAGTGTGGCTGCGGTAGATAGTGGGTCGGACGCTGCTTCTCGCCATGTGGAATATGTGACGCAGTCGGGGGATCTATCGCGGTGCTCGTCGGACGACCCGACAGCGGTGCATCCCCCTCCGCAGGGAGCAAGAGACATGATCGATGGGTAGACGAGGGAGGAGTTACTAAGGTAGATGTGTAAAGTTTGGAATAGCCAATCGTGAAATCAAACAAGATTGCTGTAGCTTTGAGTGATGACTCCGTGGTCTTCTCTGACTCAACTGTATCGAGAGTATCTCTTTGATGGAATTATGCCCATGTAGATAACGGATGGACGGACATCGGAGCCTTGCAGATGCTAGTCTAGCCCGAACCGGCAAGAAAAAGGGGTGGGGCCCCCGGCCGACCCGCTACTGCAAACACGTCAAATTCCCGTGACTCACAGCTAGAGTGAAGTGGTTGGTCTGCCTCTCCGATCCTCGGCTCCGATAGGCTGTCGGGCTGCAGTGCGGTGCGGTGTTTCTTCTGCGGGCGTGCCCGTCGACTCATTTAAATCGCGCTCCCCTACCCAGCACTGCTATATAAAGTTCCCCAGTGCCGGAGGTAGACACGTTGTCAATTCCAGTGTCCGTTCAACCATGGCCTTCGTACACCTTGCCTCGCGGCGTCTGCCCGCTGCCAGGAAGCTGGTTCCTGAATTGAACTCCGTGCTCCGTCCTCGGTTCGCCGCAGTGCCCGTGCGGTCGTTGAACGCGACTGCCGCTCCTCAAGCAAAGGTGAGTCTGATGTGTCTATTCAGCACTTCAATGGTAGCATGAATGATCCTGACGTGCAAATGTTGCTAGAATGAGAGCTCTTTGCCCACCCCCGACCCCGCCGCCGATTCCGCTTCCTCCTCCTTCATCAATGCTCAAACCCCTTACATGGTCCCTACCTACGTCCGGCCCCCTCCGGTGATGATCAAGGGACAGGGAAGTTACCTCTGGGATATGGAGAACAGGAAGTACCTGGACATGACGGCCGGTATTGCGGTCAACTCTCTCGGTCACTGTGACTCCGAGATCGCAAAGATCATTGCTGAACAGGTGCCCTACCCACCAGCTCCACATTCGACAAAGTTCAGATCACTAACCAGGCTGGCGCATCCTCTAGTCCGAAATCCTCATCCACGCCTCCAACCTCTACTACAATGCCTGGACAGGGGCTTTGAGCAAGCTTCTGATCGAGGTCACTCGCGAGTCCGGCGCGATGCGCGATGCGTCGCAGGTGTTCATCGCCAACTCCGGCACCGAGGCCAACGAGGCTGCCATCAAGTTCGCCCGCAAGGTCGGACGGTCTCGCGACCCCTCGGGCGCGAAGCACGAGCTGGTCTCCTTCCACAACTCCTTCCACGGCCGCACGATGGGAGCTCTGTCCGCGACGCCCAACCCCAAGTACCAGACGCCGTTCTCGCCGATGCTGCCGGGCTTCAAGTACGGCAACTACAACGACGTGGCGCAGCTCCAGACGCTCATCACCGACAAGACCTGCGGTGTGATCGTCGAGCCCATCCAGGGCGAGGGCGGTGTCAACATGGCGACGCCGGAGTTCCTGGTCGCGCTGCGTAAGCGCTGCGACGAGGTGGGCGCCGTGCTGATCTTCGACGAGATCCAGTGCGGTCTGTCCCGGACGGGCAGCCTCTGGGCGCACGGCCACCCGTCGCTGGCGCCTGCGTCCGGCGAGGCCGCCCACCCCGACATCCTCACCACCGCCAAGGCCCTGGGCAACGGCTTCCCCATCGGCGCCACCATCATCGCCGAGAAGACTGTCGCCTCGCACATCAAGCCCGGCGACCACGGCACCACCTTCGGCGGTAACCCGCTGGCCTGCCGCGTGGCTCATCACATCGTCAAGCGGCTGGCTGCCCCGGAGCTGCAGAGCCAGGTCGAGGCCAAGTCGGCCGTGCTGCAGGCCGGCTTCGATGCCCTGAAGCAGAAACACCCCAAGGTCATCGCGCAGGTCCGCGGCCGCGGCCTGATCCTGGGCGTGCAGCTCACGCCCGAGTTCAGTGCGAAGGCCGGCGACTTGGTGACGGCTGCCCGCGAGCGCGGCATGCTGATTATTACCGCCGGCGAGGGCTGCATCCGGTTCGTGCCTCCGTTGACGGTCACCGAGGAGCAGCTCAAGACGGGCTTGAAGATCTTCGAGCAGGCTCTGGAGGCGGTCGTTGCTTAGGTTTCATATAGCGATACTTAATGATAGTTGTTGGTGGGGTCACAAAAGTTATCATGGATAGATGAAAAGACTGCTGGTTCGGGATTCTATATGCCTTGGCAACACTGCACTTTTTTCTGGTTAGGTATACTCATTTTCGTTTTCTTAATCTTAGACTGCTAGCATAGGAGGCGGGACTTAATAGAACGCACTATCCGATGCTGATCATTCCCTTTCTGTTCTCATGCATTGATTTGAGCAGGGATACACAGCCATAAGCCCGGGATCTCGAATGGTAATAGCGCACGTTATCCCAATGATGTGCCGATGATGAAAGTCGCAAACACCACCATACACGCATACAATGCCGAAGCCCACCGACGACACACGAAGCAGAACAACTCGTCAAATCAATTGACATGACAGACCCAGACTCCACTCGGATGCCACAGCAGCCGTAAAAAAGCAACCACCCAGCTTCGAAACCGGCATGGATTCCCCGCCACGCAAAGCGCAAAAGCAAATCTCAGCACGCAAAATCCTTCAGCGATTACCATCTCTCCTAGTCAGCATTCCAGCAAGAGGGACAAGCCCTCGTATACCGAAGCCTACTGTACCACCATCCACTCAACCACTGGCACGAACTAGTGGAACGGCAGATGCAATGTTACTGCCATTGAGTAACGATGGGAAGGAGTGCTAGAGAAGACGGGACATCAAAAGAGTGGCATTTGTTCATATATCCCATCCCCTCTTTACGAGGGTAATGGTTAGAGTTGAGAGCGATCACCAGCAGTCCAAGTGTACAAAACAATGGCGCGTTCAGGTAGACCGCACAAGCCATTCGGCCACCGCTGGCGGTCCTCGGGGCTGTATATCGTGACTATCGTATCGGTGGCGTTGTTCTCAGGTGGGTTGAGGGTGTTGCAAAGAACACAGACGGTAATAGACTGGTTACTGATCAAATATGGATCGCAGACAACTTCCTCTTTAGCTTCATCATCCCCATCCTCCCAGAGATCCTGGAAGGACGGCTCCAGCAAGCGGCGGCACGCACGCAGGCCCTGACCTCGCTTATCCTCTCCATGAACGCGCTGGTCTCGATCGTGCTCGCGCCGTTGACGGGGTACCTCGCCGATCAGCTATCCTCACGGAACAGCCTTCTGATCGCGGCGTGGGTGGTGAATATGCTCGGCACCGCCGTCACAGCGTGGTCGACGACACGTAGGTCCGCTTCCGCTCCGGTGTGTGCGGCGGGCTTCTGCTAACGAGAATTACGGCTGTAGTAACCGGGCTCGTGATCGGGCGTCTCATCCAGACAGTGGCCGGCTCGGTGATCTGGATCGTCGGCATGGCGATGCTGGCCAGCGCGGCCGGCGCGAAGCACCTGGGCAAGGCGTTCGGCGTCGCCGTCCTGCTCGTGTCGGCCGGCCTGCTGACGGGGCCCGCCGTGTCCGCCTCGCTGTACAAGTTCGTTTCCTACCCCATCATGTGGTCGAGCGCCTTCGTCGTGCTCCTGATCGGCATTGCCCTGCAGATCCTCGTCATCGAACACCGGCGTGAAGGCGGCGAGCACGAGAGCCGCCCCGCGAAAACGTGGAGCCCCGGTGGTGATGACGATGTCGAAGAGCGAGACGAGCCCCCTCTTTCTCCACCATGTAACCCCAGCGATCCGCTCCTCCCATCGCAAACAGACACGCGGAGCTACCACTCCACTGCACCGACCCCCCACAGACACGAGCAAGAGAACATCTACTGGCTGATCCTGCGCAAGAAGCGCGTCGCCGCCGGACTACTGGGCGACACGCTGCTAGCGGTGATCATCGCAAGCTTCGAGACCACGATCCCCCTGCACATCAAGAAGGTCTTTGCCTGGGACAGCTTCCACGCCGGCCTGCTGTTCCTGCTACTGCAGGCCCCGACCCTGCTCCTCGTCGTGCCCGTCGGCTGGCTCAAAGACAAGTTCGGCCTCCGCTACCCCGTCTCGCTGGGCTTCGTCCTCCTGGCGCCCTCCCTCGTGCTCCTGGGCATTCCAGGCCAATGGGTGGACCCCGCCCACAGCGGCCCGGTGATCTACCTCGTCACCCTGATCGCCATCGGCGTCTGGCGCACCCTGATCCTGGGGTACGGCGGCGTCGAGGTCTTGAGTGCGTACCCCTTTTTTTTCAGCTTCCCTGCCTGCCCGTCTACCCTCAAACCAAACAGGAATATGTAACGTCCCGGGGGAGAACCCCCGGACCCCCCTTCCTTCCAGCCTCCCAGCTTTACTCAATCTTATAACCAGCATAGGAGAAAACCCCACCCCCAAAAGATACTAATGCAATAACAAATAGACGGAGCCAACGACCTCGCGGCGGAGAGACCCGGCATCTTCGGCGCAAACGGCGGCTACTCGCGCACCTTCTCCATGTCCAACATTACCTGGAAGGGCGGCATGTTCCTCGGCCCGTTGCTCGCCGGCGCCCTGACCGAGGCCGTCGGCTACTTCTACATGAATCTCTCGCTGGGTGCGTTACCTTGTCTTTCCCCGTCTTCGGTCTGCTTGGTATGCTTTGTGTTTGTTTTTGGTGTGTGGTTAGGGTAATGCTGACGGTCTGGTGGTTTGGTAGCGGTATCCTGTTTTTTGATGGGGGTGGGTGTGTTTTTTGTGCTGCGGGGGCATTGATTTCCCCCCTGAGGATTCCCTCGGGGTATATGCGGTGGGAGTGGCAGGGTGCGTAGGTTGTTGATTCTACTACTGGGTGTGCAGTAGCTCTTGAGATGGAGAGGGGGGTGGGGTGGGTTGTTGCTTGGTGCGTATGCAGATCAGGATAGGGCTGGGGACGCTACTTCACCCTTCTTGGGTTGGTGCAGACGAGCACTGAGCTAGGCTTGGTCTGTGCTGCGCGTGTCGGATACGAGGGCTCGGTTGTGAGATGCGGGTACTGGATGGGTTCGTGATGTAGTCGTCAGCTGGGCTTCGCATAAGCGGGTAGTCATGGGGCTCGGGGTGGTCAGCGTTGTGTGACGTCCGGAATCGTGGTGTTTCTGTTTGATGTTGATGATATAGGAGTTTAGCGGAGAAAACATATGTTGAACTTATGAGGATTTGTTAGATGATCGTGTTAGGGAGGGGTTAGTTGCCTTTATGATCCCATATTCGGTGTTCATAGTGTTGGAGCTATCGTTGCAGGAGGAGAGGGTTGCTCTTCGGTTGTTTAGCTGGCCTGGGTCCCGATATCCGGGTTGACCTTACGACGGCGACTTTATGGCCACAAAAAAGTGCTTAGCGGGTCTGAATACCTATTACCCAAGGGCAGTCCTAGTGCGTGAACGAACAAGCTCAGCATTATCCCTCGTCCGCTCGACTACCAAACAAAGCCATACAGCTAAGAACAACAGATGAAGCAAAGCAACCCAAATCCAGCCTACAGCCAAGCAACGCATTCACACTCAACCACCGCCATATACCCATCCTAGTCATCAAATACACCCCTCCTTCTCCGCCCTCTCCAGCATCTCTTCCAAACCCAAAAATCTGACCCCAGAGAAAAACTCCTCCCGCTGCCTCAGCGTCTTCTCCCGCGGACAGCAAACCGCGCCGGTAACCGTACACTCCTCCAGCTCTGCCAGTGACAAATTCAGACTCGCCGAGTCCGTCGGGGAATGCTCCAGGTCATGGTAGATCTGCTCGAGGGTGCGGTACTCCCGCTTGAATGGGCGGTCTATTACCACCGGAATCAGGTTAGCCAGCTATCATCCCAAGATAAACAGGGGAGGAGAGCAGTGTAGGACTCACCGTAATACCGCTCCAGCAGCGTCGCTGCAGAGTTAAACGTGCCCCATTCGCCGGCCACGTATGTTACCGGTTCCTGTATCCTGCCAGTTAGTTCCACGCGCACCACTCGCAAGGAATAAGATGAAGGGGAGGCAAACGCACCCACTCCCCCTTTCCTAGCAAGATAACCACCGCAGCCGCAACATCCTGCGCACACGTCCACGTCTGTGGCTCCTCGCCTGTCCCCTTAACGTGGTACGTCCACGTCAACGGGTCGATGGGGAATTCCCCCGGGATATACTTCATGTACGACTTCCCTTCAGGGAGGAAGTAGTCCATGAACCATCCGTGGTTGATACATGTCCATCGGATGCCTTCGGCGACGGGGGAATGCAGGATCTTCCGGAACGGGGCGCGTGTGAGGCCGTATGAGCGCGGTAGGTCCGGGAAGTCGTCGGTGTTACCGGCCCATTCGGAGGGGATCAGACGCTTGCAGGTTTCGGAGGCTAGACAGGCTTTTAACAGGTTGTTGTGGAGCAGAAGGTAGTCGTCGTTTGCGCAGCGGATAATCGAGATTAGGGCTGTGGCGCGCGTGGTGTTGAGAATCTGGATGAGGGAGGCCGGTGTGTAGTCTGTTTGGTGGGTGGTTATTTTGGGGTGAGCGGGGTGCGGGGTTGGTTGTGACTGTGAGGTTGGAGGTTATTTTAGGGAACAATGGGCAAATGGCAATGGAGAGGAGAACGTACGGAGCGGGTTAGGATTGCCACGGCGTAGTCTGCGCTGTTGGCGAGAGCTTCCGTCAGGTAGCGGCCGAAATCGCCTGTTCCGCCGGCGAGGACAATTACTTGGGGGGTCATGGTTCGTACTAGGCGTTTGCGTTGGTTTGTAGGACGAGATGCAGTGAAGCAGTGCGACGAGCTGCTGCTGTGTGCATGTGCAGGCTGATTTATAAAGTAGGCGGTTGTGAAAGGAACTTTATGTCTCTATGAATGCGCTGCGACACCGTCGATCCTTCGGTGGAACTGACCTCGGATGCAGCTGCGGTGCAACCGATTCTGACTGTGAGACAATACAGTCGAGATGTAGAGCTCACCAGATCGTTCGTGCCGAGTCAGATCCATCCACTCTAAGTAAGGAGGGTTAGCGATTGCCGTCTGGACGTACCTCACTGTATTCCTCGTATTCGGGTATCTCAGCAATGTCGTCACTGGCTGACCGTCAACCTCAAGTCTTGCGTCGGGTCTGCGCGTTGGCATAGTTCATGTAGCAAGATACCCAGGATATCGAGGCAGTCGGGGGTTATATTGCAGCGGCACTAAGTCAGCCTGGGATGGATTGTAAATGCTGACATACGTTCCCTCAGTATCAGCATCATGGCTGGTGTAACAAAGATGGTCCATTCGACTAGCACATTTTCATCCAGCCGAGTTTCATGCTCGTCGAAGGGGTACCCTGGATTGCCATACTGAGGTATATTAATACAGCTTGGCTGAAAAAGGAGAACTGCGTTATAATAGATGCACTGCACCTCGTGCCTGCCAAAGTTACCACTTTCTCATCCTAGGTCACGTCTACCAACACAATGGCCGAGCCATCGAGTACCTCCCGCAAAGGTGTGCAATGTGTGCCCAAGGGCGCACCTCTCTCCGAGATCCTAGCCCACATGAAACGTGACGGAGGCGTGATCATCAAGAACCTGATCTCAGAAGAAGACGTCGACAAGACAAATGACGAGATCAAAGAGCGTCTCGCCCAAGATGTGGAGTGGGACGGTGTCTTCTTCCCAAGTATACCCAACCTTCCATGCCTCACTCACTCTGACAGGTACTAACAGCCATGCCAACATCTAGAAGAAACCAGACGCGCCAACTCTATGATCGCAGTCAGCCCAACCTACACCAAGACTCAGCTGATGAACCCGGTTTTCCAGGCAATCTGTGCACATTTCCTGAGCACCCGCCACTGGTACTGGTGGGGCGAGCAGCGCAAAGAGTCTGTCTCCAAGCCGTACGTCTCCTCCTGCACCGCAATGGAGATCGGCCCCGGGGCCAAAGCCCAGCCTCTGCACCGGGACTCTTTTGTGAACCATCTCTGGCTGCCCGAGATCACCGAGTGGGATGACGAGCGCGATCAGAATCGCGAAACAGAGATCGGGATGATGGTCGCCGGGTGTAAGGTCACCAAGGAAAACGGAGGCACAGCTTTCATCCCTGGTAGTCATTTGTGGTACGTGTTGCCCCTGCTCTACCTTTCCTCCGACCATCCATCCAATTTTCCGGGCGTAAGTCAACTAACCAGCCCGCACAGGGGCACCGACCGTGAAACCCCGCCCCGCGTGCAAGACACAATCTCCGTCGAGATGGAGAAGGGCGACGCATTTATCCAGTTCGCGTCCACCTATCACGGAGGCGGCAGCAACACGACCGCTGACCAGAAGCGGCTGTGCTATGCCACCTTCATGGTGCGAGGCTATCTTCGCCAGGAGGAGAACCAGTTCCTGGCGGTGCCGAAGGAGGTGGCCAGGCAGTATGATCGGCCCATCCAGGAGATGATCGGATACTCTCTCAGTGACCCTGCTTGCGGATACGTGGAGCAGCTGGATCCAATCTATGCGCTTCGTCCCGAGCTGTTGGGGGAGGTCCGGCCGAAGGATTGGTGAGCTGGCAGTGGGTCACTTGAATGCGCTGTTAAGTATTAGTGTCTTTGGTTGTGTTTTTGTAGCAAGGATAATCCAGATAGCGGAGAGTTAGTGATCTTGACATGCGATCGTTTAGTACCTTAATGAGTGTGGTAGTCTTGCAACTAAGCCCTGAGACCATGGTTAATCGCAATTCACGCTTGATCGAAGGATATCAAAACAAAGCTCAAGCCTGCTCTGAACAAAGACTGTAATAGCGGGAATAAATCCTCCCAACACTTCATTCACATCAGCATACTCATTCGGCATGAGATGAGGACCTAAGCGAGTGTAAGATAAGATATAAGAAGCAACGAACGTCATCCATCCCCACACGGTTCTTATCGCTTATCTATGCCGCTTATCGTCACGTGCGGTGGCGACGGGCGTCAATCGCGACCGCGACGCCTCCATCTTCCTTTCTTACATCCCAGATTAGAATAGAAAATCAGGCTCGACAAAGGAAAATATGGCGAGCGACAGGCCCTCGACTCCTCCGCCCCAGACGGGCGCAAACAAGCCCGGTGAGCTCCCACGGGGCCCGCTAACCCCAGAACAGCTACGACGGATCGTACGTCCTCCAACTTCATGCCCGGCATTCATCAAGCGAGCCCCGTTAGCTGACAAGAACCCCTGGACCTAGGAGATCAACCGCATGAAAGCGAAAGCGATCCGCGAGCAGCGCGACGCGGAAGCCGCCGCCGCCGCCGCCGCACGAGCACAACAATCTACGAAGGGAGTGAAGCGCACGTATTCCTCCATGACCTCCGAAACGCCCGCCACCGTACGAGATGCCGCGGCGGCGGCGAACCGGCCGCTGGACGCCATCCGGCCGGCGCGCAACTTCACCAAGTTTGTCGACTACGACTTCTCGAAGATGACGGATACCAAGGGCGGGTTCTTGACGGCGGAGGATGACCCCCACAACCGGGCGCTCAATGTGCGGGATGAGAAGGCCGAGCAGAAGCCGCCGAATATGACGCAGAAGGAGTGGGAGCGGCAGCAGTTGCTCAAGTCTCTCCGGCGGGACCGCGCGGGCCCGTTTGAGCCCGGGCTCAGTGTGTTGGATGATAAGGAGAAGCAGAAGTCGTGTCGTGAGTGCGGGAGCCTTGAGATTGACTGGAAGTGGGAGGAGGAGCTGCAGTGTCGGATCTGTCATGCTTGCAAGGAGAAGTTTCCGGAGAAGTATAGTTTGCTGACCAAGACGGAGGCAAAGGAGGATTATCTGTTGACGGATCGTGAGTTTTTATTGTGTTCCTTGCCTGTGAGGCTTGACGTGTGCTGATACAATGTTTCTAGCTGAGCTCCGGGACGAAGAGCTGTTGCCGCATCTTGAACGGCCGAACCCGCATAAATCGACGTGGAACAACATGATGCTCTATCTCCGGTATCAAGTGGAGGAGTACGCTTTCTCGGAGAAGAAGTGGGGATCGCCCGAGGCGCTCGATGCCGAGTTCGAGAGGCGAGAGAACGAGAAGAAACGGCGACGAGAGGCCAAGTTCAAGTCCAAACTGCAGGATCTCAAGAAGCGCACGCGAGTAGATGCCTACCGACGCAACCGCTTAGGGGCTGCCGGAGGTCAATTCGGGGATGATTTGGGCAACGGGGGGAGGCATGTGCATCAGTGGGGAAGATTGGTTGAGAATCCTGAGACGGGGATTGGAGTGAAGACGTGCGTAGATTGTGGGATGGAGGTTGAGGAATTAGAGTTTTGAAGTACATGATTGTACATCGACAGGGAGATATGTAATGCCACGAGACCACGATCTGATGATTTGACTCCCGCCATCAATCTGCTTACCAGATTATAAATATTTCTGGGGGAGAACCCCCAAACCCCCCTTTTTTTTCGGCTGCGCAGGCATCTCAATCTATAGCCATAATGTAAGCGTTTCCGGGGGAGAACCCCCGGACCCCCCTTCTCTTCAGTTTCCTGAGCACCTCATCACTACCCAAGAATAGACTCGACCGACGAGCTAGAATGCCCGGGTGTCAACCGCAACACATTGAACCACATTCGCGAACTACTAGACTGTAGCTTCGGACTCAGGCATCTCCGACCCGGGGCTATAGCTAGCCACCTTAATGCAGCCAAGCCAACTAGCACAATTTAGCGGCTTGGACCAACTGGACCAAAGGATCCATCGCCTCCGGGATGCGCTGACACGGGGCTATATTTCAGCCAGGGTCTAGAGCATTGCGCCTTCAACTCGACACATCTTGGTCGCAGCCGAAGAGAAGCACGCAGGCAGTGAGACTATTAAAAGATGCTGTGCTTCTCTGCCCTCACCCTAGTGGCCCTCGCGGTCACAGCTCGGGCTTATCCCCCCGCCCACAACCAAACCGATCTAGAAACCCTCTTTCGACCGGTGCTGTCCTCCGCCGCTCAAATCATTTACCCCTCCTGGGCTAACTGGACCGACGAGGTCCAGCAGCGGTGGTCGTCGTACCAGGCGCCGACGTATACAGGCGCTATCAAAGTAGCTACCGTGTCGGACATCCAGCATATTGTACCCATCTTCTCTTTTGCTCTCCAGGGACTCAAGCGGAACTGATAGATCGAAACAGATCAAACTGGCCGCGCAGCATGACATCCCCTTCCTCGTGACGGGGGCAGGCCATGGTGTCTCGGCGACGTTGGAGACGATGCGCGACGGCATCAACATCGACCTCAGCAACTTGCGGTATGCGCGGCTAGACGAGACAGGCAATCGCCTCACGATCGGCGGCGGAACTAAGTTTCAGGAGATGTGGGATGTGCTGTATGCCGCTGGCAAGGAAATTCGTGCGTGCCCATGCTCATTTGCATCTCTTCCTCTGACCTTCTAAACCTCCCCAATCCTACAATCCAGTATAGCTAACCACTACCCGCATAAGAAACCGGCGCCGCGCAATGCGTAGGCAGTATCGGAGCGACGCTCGGCGCAGGGATCGGACCGCTCCAGGGCCACAGGGGGCTGATGATCGACGCGCTGGAGGGCGTGACGCTGGTGACGGCGGAGGGGGAGGTGGTGCGGGCGTCGCGGACAGAGAACGCGGAGCTGTTCTGGGGCTTGCGCGGAGCGGGGTGGAACTTCGGGGTGGTGGTCGAGGCGAGTTACACAGTGTACGAGGCGACGAACAGCGGGCAGGTGCTGGAGGGCGACATGCTGTTCCCGGCCAGCGCGAACCGCAGCGTGTGGGAGACGCTGCGGTCGTTTGATGATGGCGAGGACGGGCTGCCGGCTCTCCTGGCGTTGACGGTAATTCTGTCGTATAATGTCAAGTTGGATATGGTATATCCATTCCCCCTGTCCCTTCCCACTTCCTAAAGAGCATGATCACTAAGACCCAACCCCGAGATCTAGCCTACGATCCTCGTCAACTTCATCTACTACGGCCCCGCAGCCAACGCAGAGCCCTACATCCAACGCTTCCGCGCCCTGCAGCCCCTCCGCGAACGCTTCAACCCCGTCCTCCCCTGGAACAAGCTCTACACGAAGCTCTTCTTCAGCGAAGATGCCTCACCCTGCGCCCACGACCTACGCCTCATCTACGGCGGCGCAGGCCTGAAGCGCACAGACGTCGCCACCTTCGAATCCTACACGAACTACTTCGCCTCTTTCGCGCGGACCTACAAAGACCGGATCTCGGCGTCGGCGGTCTTCTCGCGCTTCCCCACGCAGGCTGTGAAGTCCGCTGCCGGGCAAGACGAGATGGCGTACGCGTTCCGCGACATCGAGACGCACGTGCTCTTCAAGGCGACGTTCGTGGACGAGGACCCCGATGCCGAGCACGGGGTCAATGCGTGGGTGGTTGAGAGTCGGGAGCGGTTTGCGCGCACGAGTGGCTTCCCTGACGGCGAGCTGGTGCTGTATAATAACTATGCACATGGCGATGAGGGCGCGGCGGTTTTGTATGGGAAGAGTAATTTGGTGCGCTTGGCGGCGTTAAAACGGCGGTGGGATCCCTTCGAGCGGTTTAGCACGTATCATCCTGTTCCTTTGGCGTATGGGTTGGAGAATTGGAGGGTATAGTGCATAACACGGAAACACTTACGTGCTGGATTCTATACTAGTCATGCGTTCCGGGGGTTCTCCCCGGAACACTCATATGATGGTTGTGAGGCTTCATGGAGTTTGGAGGCATAAAGGTTGTTCTTTGGGTTTGTTACAGCTGCAATCTTACGGGTGATTCGGAGTTAGTGCTTGCTTATTTTAGATATGTTGATTCGTGTTGTCGGTATCTGACGACAAGCAATATAATCAAATCACGCCTACCAAAGCAAAAGGTATCTGAGCCACGTTCCAATCCTACCAAAATACCGAGACAAGGAAGCAAGAGAAGTCCCTCACTTCCCATCATAAACCTGATCGCCCGTCAGCGTAAATGCCCCCTTATGCGCGTCCGCCTCGTCGACAAACTCGGGCTTGATGTACCGCGCCGTCAGCGCGAACCGCAGGTTCTTCTCGGGAACCACCGAATGCTAGTGCAGTGCTTCGTCAGCCCTTCTTTCCTTCCTGTCGGGTAAAGTCAACGAACTCACCTCGTAGAACTTCTGCAGTTTCTCCCCGTGCATGACCACCAGATCCCCATGGTTGAGCTCGATCTTGATGCAAGGCGGCGCCTCCCCGCGTCGGTTGCCGAGCAGCGTCCGCCGCTGCGCGTCGTACTCGGCTCGCGTGATAGCTGCCGCGTCCAGCTTGTCCTTCAGCGCTCGACGCTCCGCGTGATGGGCGCAGCCCTCCAGGACGGGGTCGCCGTCCAGCAGACGCTTGGCTTTGGTGTAGCCGTGGTAGTATTTGGACTTCATTCGGAGGAGCATGCTTGCGCGGGCGCCGAGGGAGAGGGTGGCGATCGTCGGACCGAGGGAGGATTCGCCGTCGTCGTGGTACTGTTTTGTGTCCGGATTAGTCGGGGCAAACGAAATGGGGCTGGTGGTGGCTGCGTACTCCGATCTTCATGTCCTCCATATACCCGAGGAGAAGCAGCTCGTTCGGCGCCAGAAACTGGTCACCCGCCTCGCTGACGGCTTGTTGCGTCGCCCAGGTTAGTCGACCTAGGGCTCGCAGAACCTCGTCGCAGGCTTCGTTGAAGCCCTTGGAATCGACGGAGACGACGTATTTATATGGACAGCCCTGGGGAGGTTAGATCTCTGGTTCCGGTAGAGGGTAGGGGGGGTAGAGGTCGTACATAGTTGACTGCGTAGTGGGCAGTGAGGGTGCCACGGACTGCGATGCATGTTTAGCGTAGGTAGAACAAGGGGTCTTGCGGTGGGAATTCACGAACCAATGCTTTGCTGCAGCGGATACCGCTGTAAGCCCAAGTCCACGGACTGGAGCTGTCTGAACAGATCGTCTGGCCCGTTGGCACGGGTGTTGATCGCCCGGTTGGCGACAAGATGTGTCAACGTGCCTACGCCTGGGAGATTATATACCAGTTTCCTGTACGGATATAGAGATCTGTCGTCGATATGCGGCAACTGGAGTTTTGGGTCGAAGTAAATGGCCCGTTTGGCGGGATGGATCTCGAACTCTTCAATCACGGACCGTACAGAGAGAGGAGAGATTTTGAGGTATCGTTCGAAGCTGCACTGGTGCGATCGCTTTGATGGTGGGTGGAGGAGCTCGTCGGAGCACTTCCAGCCTCGCCAGAATCTCCGAGCTATACACCTCGAGCATAGCGGGCAGACGATACCTTTCCAGGCGATGCGCTTGAAGATTAAATCGCCGCTGTCTTCGCGCATTGTTCCTAGCAGGTCCGGGACCAGGTCAAAGTGAGGCTGGATTTGCGGGTCTGGCGGCAGGCGGGCGTTGAGAAATGCCTCATTGAATGTGAGGGTGCCCCGGGGCGCGGTCCCTTTTAGCGTCCAGAACCGCGCGCACGACGGCGTCAGACACATCCAGCCCTCCTTGTACACTTGCTTGCTTTCAAGATTGCAAGTCGGACAGCGTTTGGTCTCTGGGGCTAGAGCAAAGTCCCGTTGCTCAATGGGCAGATGCGATGTGCCGGTGGTCGCCCACCAGCTAGCCTCTGTGAGATCCAGCTTCTCAAATCGCACTTTGACCCCCTTCTTAGTGCCAATCCTTTCGTACCAGACGTCCGTGATGCGGAAATAGGCCATTACGTTGTAGCGGTGCGGTAGCTTTCTGTTCAGCTGCGAGTTTCGATCCCCTGGGCGCAATTAGCTATAGGTGCTGGGAGGATTGGCAGCAACTTACCGATGATGAGGCCAATCGGGTTCTTCCATTTCCAGCTGTTCATCACGCTGCTTAGGACCGTACTATCGGTATCTTGATCTTTGAGCAGCACGAGGTTTCCCTCAGCGTCCTTGATACACCCACCACCACTAAAAGTAATGTTAGTCTCTTTTTCATCCGCTCAGTGAAAGCTTCAAACCCCGGTCTTTTCTCTCTCGTTAGCACTCACATCCTTGTTATGACGACCTCATCATCGACGTATGCCCGAATGCCCGAATCCGCGTCTAATAGACACCCGTAGCACAAACTCCCGTTGTAGTAGTAGCCTCCCTGGGCCGATCGAAACCAAGGGAGGGCATCACACAACTCGGGACGAGACTGTAGCCATTTAGCGAAATTAGACCTATCAATTACGGTGTACGAAGCTTACCTCTGCCCAAGCAGGTGGCTTCCCCTGCACCGGCGGAAGGCCAGTCTCCTGACCGCCTGGAGTCGAGTCCAGGTCTTCTTCAGGCAGCTTGTCTGCTGCAGTGCGGTCAGTTATGAGCATTTAGAACTACACAGTGATAAATACCTGCAATCACGGAGGCAGGTTTGCGTGAGCGAGTGACCCGGCCCGTCAGTACCGTCTGTTTGGGGCCTTTGTCAGTTCTAGGGGGTTTCCGAAGCATTGTTCGATATATAGTCCTGAGATCTCAACTTCACACAGGATGACATTGTTGGCAAAACGAACTCATTGTCAAAGACCTATTATCGTGTTGAGTTTGAGTCATAAGGCCGTTACGCGGTCATTCTTGGGTCCGGGTCGTCGAAGAGCGGTTGATGAGGTATGGTAGACATCACAGCTATTGTCATCCATGGCATCGCTTCGCATTGATAACTCCGAAGTGCAATGACCGTAATCAAGTCCTGAAGTGCTTATAATTATTGTATCATGGCTCATTCTTTGACCATCTTTTGAGGGGCTGAGCATGGTACCATCAAGACTCAGCATCGATAAGAATCAAGTAGATAATTCAGATCTGCAGTCATCTTGCCCAAAGACATACTTTGATTCATGAATGGTTTCTTAGCTCGCATACTCGAGAGCAGATAAATTGTTGAGTGACTGTCTTGATGATCGAGCCTTGAAACCATCGAAATTCTATAATTGGTGTACTATGAAAAGTTAAACCCGGGATAAGCACCGACACTACGCGGGTGAAGATCACTGAGACTAGAACCGGCCACGGGTCAAGATAACCTAGAGGTGTTGCGTTGTACGACCTCCCAAAATATACCGTCAGCACCGGACCAGGGCCAGGGGGGCTGAGTGCTTGCTTGCTGGTGCAACGCCCGTCAGGGGGAGCCAGTCAGATCACATGACCAGGCCGCTCCCCGACCGTGATTGATCGACCTTTGGATCTCTCACATCACCCACAGAGTTCGGCAGATGGAGTCGTGTCAATTGACTGATTTAGAGACCCGAATGGGTCTGGGTGGGAGAGCAAGCCGCTGATTTGACAGTTCCGTCTGACCAGCCGTGTTAATTTCCGGGCGAAGGAAGCAACGTGGACCGGGCGAGGTCGAGACTCTGCAACTTGAGACACGGAGAGAGAGGATCCTCTGGGTCGGGGATGTTGGGTCCGTGTCAGGGACGGATGGAGATTGATGCAGTTGTCTGTATAGTAAAAAGAATAGGGAAAATGAAGAACTCTCCAATTCTGCCTTGTCCACGGAAGAGTCTCCGTCTGTCTGTCTGACTGTTTGCGATGATGAGATGAGATGAGATGAGTGAGTTTGATAATGCGGCAGAGAAACTGAGCCCGAAAGAATAGGCCGGCACTAAACCGGCACTCCACCAACCAACGCAATTCCCGCCCGCCCGCCCGCACCACCTTCTGGTTGTGGCTTACTCGTACTATACGTACTGTAGTCTACTGTGCACTCCGTACTCTCTCCTTCCCTCTCTCCTCCCACTCCCCTCTCACTCTCTCTCTCTCTCTCTCTCTCTCCCCAGTCTCTTTCCCCTCCCCCATCCTTCCTGTCAGTCGCTTTCAATTCATCTAATCTATTTCTTCTGCTTCTCATAAATATTAGACTATTCCTTGATTACTTACTTACTCTCTTCTCTCCCTTCTCTTTCCTCTCTCTCCCTTTTCTCCCTCTTCTGCTTCCTTCTCTCCGCCTCTCCCACCTGCATCCACGGTTCTCTCTCCTGACTTGCCCCTGTTCCTGTGCCTGGCAGCCACCCACGCGTGGTCCCTTCCGGACACTTCCTGCTCAATGCCCTGCCTGTGAACGGTGCAGTCACTTGCAGACATTCCGACTGGGAGGGGGAAAAAGTAAAAGTATCCTACCCACTTCTCATTGCCCCAAACGGTGCTCCACTTCCCATTCGCATTCTGCTATGCGCGTGGTTGCCTGCCAATCTCCGACCGAGTCTCTGTCCACCGACATCCACTCGCTCATCTAACTTCTTCTTCATCCTCCCTCCTCTGCTTCCTCTCGTGTATGACCTAGCATTCAACTCTCACGACTTGACGTCTGTCGAGCACTACACTCTTTTTTTCACGCAAAGTCAATAGCCCACGTTCCTTACGCCGTTGATCGGCCTGCCACTCGTTTTTCTTCGCCCTTTCCGTCTCTCTTTCTCCCTAGCCTCTTTGTTCGGAGGCCGCACCTTTCTGCTACGACCCATCAGACCGACTCGCCCATCAACAACTTCTCCCATCACCACCCCGTCCATCTCACATTATGTCTTTCCACCCATCCGATTCCACCACTCCTAATGGTAGGTGTACCACGGCCTGATTCAGTTCGATGATCCGGTCGCTAACCAGCGCCTCCTTAGTCCTATACCCCCGTTCCCACCTATCCTTTCGAAGCTGCGTCCAATGCTCCTCCTCAGCACCCGCCTGCCCGACTTGCGATGATGGCTACACATGTACGATGATCAGTCAGTCTTGCACCCAGTGCGCCACTACCAAATGTGTCAAGGCTCCTTCTAGCAGTGACTCGGGTTCCTCAGGTGGTTCCGGTGGCGGCGGCACGGACGCCGGGGCGATCGCAGGGGGTGTGGTCGGTGGTATCGCGTTCATTGCAATAGTGACATTCTTGGTGTGGTGGTTCTTCATTCGAAAGAAGCGCAAGGAGCAGCAAGCATCGGAAGCCGAGAAGTCCAGCGTGGCTGCCGACACCACCAGACAATCACGAAAGTCGACCAACTCGATCGCCTCCACAGTTCTCACCCGCGCCTCGAATGTGATCCAAATCGCCTACATTCCGGGCGTCACCAACCGGTCGCCCCCCGAAACCCCCGGCAGTCTTGTTCCCCCGGTTCCACCGCTCCCGGGCGCCCATCCCGACCAACATTTCTTCATGCCTGGCGACCTGCGCGATTCCGCCTGGTCCGACATGTCAAACGAGCGTCGCAGTATTGGCCCCAGCTTGCGCAGCAGTGTGGCCACCACCATCTATCGCAACAACGCCATCGTCAGTCCGATGCCTGCGCAACAGGTAATGCGCACGCGGGCCGCCGTGGTCAACATCAATGGAGCCAACGGGGATGCACCCGCCGTGCCCGCCATTACGCAAGCCCAGCTCGCCAAAGCCGGCCTCTCTGCGGCCACCACTAACAGCTCGATCGTGGCCCGGACGGTGACTGCCAAGCCAGTCATGGTTCGAGGTGCATCGAAGAAGAAGAAGAAGGAAGCGACCCCTGCGCCATCCGGCGTCCAGCCCATCGAGGAACAGTCCGAAGCCACCAGTTCGAACGTATCCCGGTCCGCTAGCACCAAGCAGCAAGACCCAGCCCCTACATCCGGATTCGACGCCAGTTCATCCGACGAGGAAGACACTACCAAGCGTACTAGCCAGGCCCGCAGCGACAACGCCACCGAGCCCGTCAAGACCGACGCGCAGTCGCGTCCAGCCACCGTGATCGAGGACTCCCCTGCCGTCAGCCAGAGCCCATTCCAAAACCATCCCCGGGCCGAACCCAACCCGCGGACATCGTCGCTCCTCGAGACCCCGGAAGGGACCCGCTCGAACCGGAGCAGCCGACACATGCCGCCGCGAGTGGAAAGCCCGTTCTCGGATGCAAATGAGGTGAAATGAATGGCAAGAAATGCCTTTCCATGAACGTTTTATGGGGTCCCAGACCATCTATCCTTTTTATCTCTTCTACTTAGCTGGCGACGTTTGGCGCAACGATACCACATACACATCCCTGCTGGCGCGGAGCCACGGGATTTTTACTTCTCTGTATCTATGATTATACATTCACGGTTCTTCGATCTTGCTCTGAAGAGTCTAGATTGTAGAATCGGTTGACTTTTATCACGTATGGTTACCAGACTGAATCAGACCACTATAAATAGCTCAACTGATTGCCTATACACGTTCTGAATGACGTAGGCACAGTCCTCAATCAAGTACAATAACACCATCGACAGTTTAATGATTGGACCGTCTTAGCGCCATCTTACAAACACTAACATCAACGTTGCGGGGGAGAACCCCCGGACCCCCCTTTCCTTCAACTTCCCGGCCCAACTTAACCTCATAACCAGAATATAGGCGTTTCTGGGGGAGAACCCCCAGACCCCCCTTTCTTTCAGCTTCCTGGTATATCTACCCTCAATCAAACAAATGAACGTTTCAGGCAGAACCCCGGTCCCCGTCACGGACTAGAAGACATGACAGTTCGTCCTAAGTACAGACCTTCATACTGTGCTCCAATGTCAGAACAACGAAGACAAGGAACCATTGCGTGATCCTCACGTGATGACCATGTATCGGATTACAGTAAGGTAAAACACCGTCCCGCCGGATAAGCCCCAACCGGCAAGATCAATAGCCGGACGCGGGGGCACTCGGTCTTCGCCCGCGGTCGGCAATTGGCCGCGCCTATTCGGGCAAGTAGTGGGCTGCCTGCCCCGCATGAGAGTAATGAGGGGTGTCCATGACTAGGTCCATATAAGAGAGCATTGCCGCGAAGTTGATGACGAAGGGGTTTCCAATCGAGCTCGCATTACTGTATTATACCTCAATTGTTCTCCCTCGGATCGACTGAGCTGCCCAATTCACCTGACCTTCGCGCAGCAAACACGACCACCACCACCACCACGAAACAAAAATGTCAACAACACTCCCAAGCCTCTTCTCCCTAGAAGGCGAAACCGCCATCATAACAGGCGGCACGCGAGGCATCGGCCAGGCGATGGCCTACGCACTGGCAGAAGCAGGCGCCGATATCGTCCTAATCCAGGTACATACATACTATCCCCCCTCCCCCGCATCCCAGAAAGCACTCCATTCACACAAACAAGAATATAAGCGTTCCCGGGGGAGAACCCCCGGACCCCCCTTCCTTTCAGCCCCCTGGCACGTCAATCCATCCCCAGAACCCCATAACCTAGAACCCCAAACTAATCCACTTGCAGCGCGACGAATCCAACAAAACAACCCACGACACCATAAAAACCCAATACAAGAGAAAAGCATACATCCACGTGGCCGAACTATCAGACCGAAAAGCTCTAAAAGCCATCCTGCCAGCCCTAGTCTCCCAAGAAATCCACCCAATGATCCTCCTCAACTGCGCCGGCATCCAACGCCGGCACCCGAGCGCCGAATTCCCAGACGAAGACTGGGACGAAGTCCTCAACGTGAACCTGACGTCGGTCTTCACGCTGTGCCGCGAATTCGGCGCCTACCTGCTCTCGCGGCCCCCCTCCGGGGGTACCGGGAACGGCAGACGCGGGGCGATAATCAACGTGGCGTCGCTGCTGAGCTTCCAGGGGGGTATCACGGTGCCGGCGTACGCGGCGGCCAAGGGCGGGGTGGCGCAGCTGACGAAGGCGCTGTCGAATGAGTGGGCCGCGCGGGGGATCAATGTGAATGCGATTGCGCCGGGGTATATTGCTACTGATATGAATACTGCGTTGATTCAGGACGAGGAGCGGAATAAGGGGATTATGGCGCGGATTCCGGCCGGCAGGTGGGGGAGGCCGGAGGATTTTAAGGGGGTTGTTGTTTTCCTGGCGGGAAGGGCGAGCGCGTATGTTTCTGGGGAGGTGGTTACTGTTGATGGGGGATGGATGGGACGGTAATCTCTGGTATACCAGGGAGCTGAAAGGAAGGGGGGTCTGGGGGTTCTCCCCCAGGACGGTTATATTCTGGTTTAGTTGAGAGTGTAGATATACCAGGGAGCTGAAAGAAAAGGGGGGTCCGGGGGTTCTCCCCCGGAACGCTTATATTCTGTTGTATATAGTCTATTATTCTACTCGACGGAGCTTGGGTTTAGGACAAGATCGGGGTGCCGCCCGGTCGAACGTCTCTGCCATCGTAGTTAGCTATGCAACGGACGGGGGTAAGCAGGGGTACTTATGAGAAAAAAAAGGGTGCCGTCCCCTCACCGGAGCCCTCAGTGAGAGAACGGCGGTCCACCGCGCTAGGCCAGTCCCTCGTGTTCATCTCCTGCGTTGTCCGCACCACATCTCTGAAGCGCACTCCTCCCTTCGCGACCCACACAGCACCTGCCCCTTACAGCCCCAGAAACAACAGACATGCGAGACAGACAAGCACTGAGCTTTGACGCCCTTGCGGGGGGTCCTGTAACAAGCTTCCTGTACGGATCCGAGGACGCAGGAGGCCGACGTTGCACGGTATGGCGAATGAGAGTCGACTAACGCGACAAATGCGGGGACGGAGAACCGAAGCGACGGTCAGGACAGACGGCACCAGCGCGATGGACGCAGTCAATGGCCGGAGATATCTCGCGCCCTCTTGTAAGAGCTTTCGGTCTTGGATCACCTCGGATTTCGCGACTCAAGCTCTCCGACCAAGCGTGCTATCTCCCAAATCTCGAGCCTGCGAAAGGAAAGATCATGATCGCACGTCGTTCCCAAGGCCAACGGATTCCCAACCTCTTGTGTGTGATACAGTACCCCCAGGGACTAGATTTTGATTCCTCCCCACCGCCAGGATGGCAGTGGGGGGCATGGAGAAGCGGACAAACAAAACATCCATAAAAACCGCTTCCTGCTCCCCGAGGAGAGGGACCATACCCGCAGATATGGCCGAGTCAGCGCCCATCAATCTATCTGCACGCGCGGATGCAAAGAGATGGTTAACACGGTCGACCTGGACCTTCTTGCAAGAAGCGCAAATCGGAGGCACGTGCCGTGATTCGCGGATCGCACCAGCCTATTCCAGAACGGGACACACAGAGATCGAGAGGTGGAACGCAGGGAGCGAAGATCCCAGAAACCCTCGAATTGGGAGCGTGCGCGGGACAAGCAAGGTACACTGACCGAGGACCAACCGCTTTACCCGGCTAGGGCGGAGAAAGATACATAATGCATGATAAGAGACTGGTTTGAGAAGAAGCCGGAAAGTGACGAACAAGCCGCATCCCCATGGCATCATCCGATCGGCCATGGGGAAAGTCATCAATTTGCAACTGACCTCGCTTCGGTTTAATCCGCCAGGAAAGACTGGAAAAGCTGGGCAATCCAGGAGATTAAACCGGTTCCGACGAGTGGATCAATCCAAACACCGATGACCTGTGTGTAAGGCTGGCGTCCGAAGACCCCTTTGTTTTGTTCGTATTCGAGTAAACCAGCTCGTACAAGCTATGATCAAGCTCACGGTTGAAAGTTCTTTTTGCATCAGCGCCACTATGAGCTCCCAGTGACACCAAACGGTGCCCGGCACGCTCCACCTGCCTTCTCTCTCGATTCTCAGTGTCAAGGCATAGTGAAACCATCCTATCTGATCAGCACGTAACACTCAGCATTGATAAACCGACGCGCTCCCTGTGGCGGGCGCTGCATGGTGAACCGTCTTTATGCCCACCCGCGGGTGTGCTCTGAGTATCGGGGGCGCTTTCACCTCCTCGATCCGTGAGGACGAGTCGGCTACAGCGCTCAGCCGCCATGCATGACCGTGAAACTTGCCATCGGCAAGCCGTTGGCTCCGAACCGACGGGGTTACATTAGGGTTAAACTCCTCAGCGGACTGAAGAGCGTAACAGGGGGTAAGATCTGTATGGGATTGCCAGAGCGGCAAAGAGGTGAGGAGATTCCGAAAACCAACAGGAAACACATGAGAGCTTGTCCACCATCAGCAAGCACAAGAGATGAATCAAATAGAAACTTGTTGGTGTCAAAGAGCCTTGGAGAGTCGCGATTCCGAGTATATGAAAAAGACAGCGTAGAGATAACCCGAGTATCCACGACTGCGATGGTTGAGGGAGGGAGGAGAGTAGAGGAGAGTAAACACGCTGAGAACGGGTAAGGAGCGGAACCACGCGCGCGCGATTCCTTGCAAACAGTGCAAACTCTTATCGCGCCCCGAGTCATTCTTATCTCGTCCAGGCCGATCGCAAATCGAGTTGGTCCTGCATGTACACTTTCTTACGCGGTACTAGCTTACATGGCAGGAATCGTGAGCAAGCACAAGTGCAGTACCTCCATGTTGCGGACTTATAGCTTGTTAGACTTTCAGTCGATAGTCTATTACACCGAACAGGACCATTGCCTCAGTCTCGACTTCCCAAGCCACAAAGCTTACATTCTGACTACCTACGAAGTTTTGCCAAGATTCACAATATCCAGATTATTCTAAATTAGACGGCCGATCGATGGCGATCTGTGATCCGCCATAGAGGAAAGTACTAGAATCGAAGATAAAAATAATAACACGAAAGGGATATATGGTCAGGAGATGGCGCTGCATTATGTCGAGGTCAAAAGCCAGGTTTGGCACAAAGAAAGGGATCGCATCATCTAGAGCATGGTGCCGGGTACGAAGATGAACAGAATACTCAGCGCGGTGGCCACGAAAAAGGCAATCAAAGCAGTTGCCGTGGCGCGTTTATTCAGGAGCTTCCGCACGTATGGTTCACGGATAGGTGACCAATTCATAAATGTGTATTCGCTGTAGCCGAGGAAGGCCATGACTGGGTCGAGTTTGTACTGGTACGAAACGAGGAAGTAGGATGCAACGGCAAAAGGCAGTATCAACTGTCACCAAGTTAGCAAGACTTTCCGTCCCAGGGCAATGGAGCCGACGTACCCAACACCGTATATATCGAGGCTTGTTGCGAAGAACGACATAAAAGGCACCCCAGAATCCTCCACCAAAGCTAATTAAAGCAAATGCCAGACGGGCAATGATCGTCAAGGGTACTAGGTTGCCCAGCGCCTTTGCCTGCAGAAAACCGGGGAATGCATCGCGTTCCATCGCTTGAAAAACATAGTCCTTGGCCGGGTCGAAAACTTCGGGGTCATCTCGGCCGTTGTCTTCGATATGATGGATAATTGTAGTGACCATCTCCTCCGGCAGAACAATTTCTCTCTCCGCCCCGGGCAGCAGGTATGTATACAGAATCTTCTCTGCGCTTGCGCGGATGTCTGCACGTGCCACAGTGTGTCCTGGCGACGGCGAGTCGTTTCGAGTCCCGGAGCTATCCTGCGGGAGTTGCTCGTTCGATGCCATGTGGGCGACATTCTGCGACCCTAGGCTGCTCTGTGGGGAGTGTCCTGATGTATGACCGTCCGAACGAAGAAATGCCGACAGTCGTTGATTCGCATCGCGGTCTTCCAGATCATAGAGGGCATGGCGCGAACCTGAGGGTCCCGCTTCGACTAGTGGGATATCATTCAGATGCTCGATATTGTCGAGGGCGGCAGAAGAGCCTATGCTGTCGGCTTTTTCCAGATCAGGTGTCGCGACAAGAACAGACCGGCGTAGCTCACGAACGTAGTGACGGCAGAGGGACATGTGCTGCGAAACGTCCAGCCTGGTGCAAGCTTTCCGTTAGCGATCTCGCTGTGCGCAATTGAGTTCGGGTGTCTTGAGTGCCTCCAACATACCAGAAATCAAGATAATCTACCGATCGCTGCTGGTCCCGCATATAAATGTAGAAGGAAAAGAGATCGACGGGTGCGAGGGTCCGCCGGCTAAGAACTTCAAATAAGGTGGGGAGGCGGTTGCGCTGCTCCAGCTCCGAAAGCGAAGGCGACGCCATGGCTGAATGAGTGTAGAGCCAATGCTATGACTGTGTTATTATCGCGCTGCGTTCTTGGTGTCGCACCGAATTGAGGGGCCGAAAAGGGGAATGAACGTCGAACCCGGAGTCCGAATTGAGTTTGAATGGGAATAGGAGTAAGCCAAGCGGCACGATCAACCCGGGAGTAGCACGGGAGAAGTGGTATACGGCGAGGGTGAGTGATTTCAAACGAGGGCAGTTGGAGACGATAAAAGAAGGACCGGCACACGTTGGGGTTTAATTAGTATTTGGGCATGAAACCAGCAAAGACACGCGGGATCGGGGCCAGTGCAAGCCAGGAGTCCCTGCAGAGGGACCCGAGGCAGTAAACAAAACACCCAACCGACTCCAGCTGAAGATCACAGAATCGCAACACAAGCCATCCAGCGGACTTGGGAAGTAGAATCGGAGACAGCAGCAAGACGAACGGACGGGAGTGGCAGGGAAGAGAAAGATTAGAAGGAGGGGGGGGGGGGGGGTTGGTTGGTGGGAGAGAAACGACTTTGAAGGTAGTTAGTTAGTTAGACCACTGCAACCGCCAGTAGTGGATGGCCAGCCCAGCCCGCGCAGCCACAAAAAAGCGCCCTTAGATTAATATTGCAGTACCACTAACTATTTTAGTCCTTGGATCGTTGGGTGCCTGACGCCGCAGGTTTTCTCGGTGGTCGCAACAACATTAATCCGAAATGACTGGCTCCACTCTCCTGCTGGTCGATGATCGACCAAACGAGCTCAAAACATTAATTGACCATCTTGAGATTTAATGAACAGAGTAGCTGAACTAGAGGAACTTCAAACGAACAGGCAGAACAGGCCGCTGCTAAAGCACAAAGCAGCATATCCAGATCAGCTACGTCACCTATGCGACCCCATTGTGTTACTCGACTCTTCTCGCCTATAAAAAGTAACCGGCACGGCTCCACTATCAAAGTCCCCATCGGTTCGCCTTGCCGTGGCTGGGTCTCTTTTTAATTGGGTTCCTGATCGTCACAATAGAACCAAATAACCTTGCCAAAAGGAGCGTTGGCCGTTGGCAGGCGACCTATCTAATCATCTACGTCAGTCGCACTGCATCATGCGAGATGGATTGCTCTGCGGCACATTGCTCAGTAAGTAAAGAGGTAGTTTCACCGACGAACTGCAGTCCGTTTGCCTGCGTAGAGTATCAATTAGTCTGCAGCTGACCAGACAGCACGGCTACCAGCCATGCCAGCAACATACATTGAAGCCGAATCGATGGCTCACTGTGCTAGGCATTGCTCTTGGGTTGATGCCCTGACTTCCTCTTGTTTGTGCACTCAAATGTATCCAGTGAATCAGAATTGATGCACTGCCTGAGCGACACAATAAGCATTGAGCTTAGTGTGATCAAATCTGAGCTGCTTGAGCATGCTCAGCTACACCAAGGTCACACTAAAGAGGGAGTTATGGTGCCGTTTGGATTGTACCTTACGACATCGTAAGTGGTAGGAACTAACATCGATGATGCCAAATTTACGGAGTACTGCCCGGACGATTAGGTTATTACCGAAAGTGCTTGGGGATTAAAGTAGCCCCGGTTCCGGGCCCAGACCATCTCGAGATTTTTGCAAACCAATGAGCGACAACAAATAAAATACTCGGTGCCCGCCCAGGAGTACTAATCTACACCTCCTCCTGCAGGTGCCAGTCATCGCGAACAGCACTGACCTTCTTGTTTTCCACAATGAGGTGCGGGTATGGCCCGTCCCAAAGCTCCAGTGGATCGTCCATCCACCGAAACTGGCAGGAAAAGATCCCATGAACTGCTAGAGCCGGCCGAGGCCACCGTGGCCGCCACCCCGGCCCTGCCTCTAGCGCAGGAACCGATCGAGAAGATTCGCGAAAACGATTCTTCGACAGCTGAATCAGGATCAGCCGAGCCGACCACAGCGGACGAGTCTTCAGCGACACAGCCAGGCAAAAAGCGCAAACGAGCCGTCGCAACCCCCAAGCGGACACCGTCCAACCCGTGGCCCGACACGTTCAAGCAACTGTCACGCACCCACCGCGCTCTCAACCTCGTATACACCTTCTGTTGCACTCGAAAACACTTTGTCACCACGTTCAGCAACATCAAACAAGCCGTGCAAGCGCAGTTGCAGGGTCAAGAGCTGACAGTGGAGGACATTGCTCGTGTTCGGGTTCTCGTCCCACGAGCAGTTCGTTTTGAATACGTTGACGATGACAAGCTGGAGCTTATGACCACCGGAGAGCGAGAGGTTAAGCAGCTGGGATATGGTCGGGATATGCTTCCCGATGCGGATGGTGTTCCAACAAAGACCCTTCTATTCGAGCTCGTTGATCAAGACCTCAAGCGGGAAGTGAGACATGCAAAGACCGGAGAACCGACCAAGCCTCGTCGCAAAATGAAAAATGAGGATCTCAAAATGCCGGTATACAGTCAGAAGCAGATGCTAGCCCTCATTGAAAAACGGAACAAGAAGTTCACCGACGCCATCGACGACTTCCTTATCCGCTGCGAGGACGACAAAGTCGATCCTGTTCAACGACTAGAAGCAGAGAAGGATGCATGGATTCCCGTGCCCCCAGACGAAGATGCGATGACGGTCATGGCGTCGGTGAAAGCGCCACCCCAGATTCCCAAGGTTCGGAAATCAATGTCCGAAATCGTGGAAGAGATTCGACGGATGGATTGGTATACGGCACAGATTGTCCCAGAAGGGCATCGGGTCTTTGAAGCACAGCCTCCCATATACGCAGAACTGAACTTCCAACTCTCTCAGAATCTGGTTAATGCCCTCTATAACACTAAAGGCATTACCCAATTCTATGCCCACCAGACCGAAGCCATCAATCATCTGTACGATGGCCACAATGTTATTGTCTCCACTTCAACTAGCTCCGGAAAATCGTTGATTTACCAGGTGCCCATGCTACACGAACTGGAGAAAGACCCTGCCAGCCGCGGAATGTACATCTTTCCCACCAAGGCCTTGGCACAGGACCAGAGACGCAGTATGCAGGAACTGCTCCAGTTCTTGGATGGCCTACAGGACACCATCGTTGAGACATACGACGGAGACACCCCTATGGCTGCACGAAATCACATTCGAGATGAGGCGCGCATCATCTTCACCAATCCCGACATGTTACATATCACTATCCTGCCTCAAGAAAGCTCTTGGCGTACGTTTTTGAAGAACCTGAAGTTCGTCGTCGTCGACGAGCTGCATGTCTACAACGGATTATTCGGATCCCATGTCGCATTCATCATGCGTCGTCTGCGACGTATCTGCGCCGCTGTAGGAAATCGCCAAGTGCGGTTCATCTCCTGCTCGGCTACGGTAGCCAACCCGGAAGCGCACATGAAAGCCATTTTCGGGGTTGAAGATGTCAAATTGGTCGACTTCGATGGCTCACCGTCGGGTCGCAAGGAATTTATGTGCTGGAATACGCCATTCAAAGATCCAAACGACCCAGCCTCCGGCCGCGGGGACAGCGTCGCTGAAACCGCACGCCTGTTCTGCCAGCTAATCTTACGTGGTGCTCGAGTAATCGCGTTCTGTCGGATACGCAAAATGTGCGAGGTTCTCCTACAAGCTGTGCGAACAGAATGCCAGAATCTCGGTCGCGTTGAGGTTGCGAAGCTCGTCATGGGCTATCGCGGCGGCTACAGCCCGCAAGACCGACGCATCATCGAGAAGGACATGTTTGAGGGTCGGCTAATGGGCATCGTGGCCACCAATGCGCTAGAACTGGGAGTTGACATTGGCTCCCTAGACGCCGTCATCACTCTTGGCTTTCCCTATTCTATCTCCAACCTTCGCCAGCAAAGTGGCCGCGCCGGTCGGCGTAACAAGGATTCACTCTCGGTTCTGGTGGGCGATCGCTATCCGACCGATCAACATTATATGCGCAACCCCGAGGAGCTGTTCACGAAACCTAACTGCGAGCTTCAAGTTGATCTGACCAACGAACTTGTCCTTGAAGGCCATATCCAGTGTGCCGCTTTCGAGATGCCCATCCGCCCCGACGAAGACAGCGCCTACTTTGGACCCCAGCTTGCCGAGTTCGCCGCAACTCGCCTCACCCGTGATGCTTTGGGTTATTATCACTGTCACGAGCGCTTCCGACCGCAACCATCCCGCAGTGTCGCCATTCGCGATACCGAAGACCAGCATTTCGCTGTCATCGACACTACCAATTCCCGCAACGTTGTCCTCGAAGAAGTCGAAGCTTCGCGCGCCTTCTTCACCATCTATGAAGGGGGGATCTTCCTCCATCAGGGCCAAACATACCTTGTACAAGAGTTCTACCCCGACCGCCACTTCGCGCGCGTCATCCGGGTCCATGTCGACTGGAACACGATGCAACGGGATTACACCGACATCGACCCCATCGAGACCGACTCCATCCGCTTCATCAACCAAAACCCATTCACCATCAGCGCCTCAAACGCCCAAGCCCGAAGCCGCTCCGTCGATTTCCCCGCGGAACCCGCCACGCGCGCCTTCTTCGGCTCGATCCGCATCCATGCCGTGGTGTACGGGTTCTTCAAGATCGACAAACGCGGCCGCATCCTCGACGCCGTGACGGTCGACAACCCGCCGATCGACATCTACACGAAAGGCATGTGGCTAGACATCCCCAAGCGAGCCCTGGACATCCTGCGCTCGCACAACCTAAACATCGCCGCGGCCATCCACGCCGCCGAACACGCCATCCTCTCTCTCCTGCCGACCTTCGTGATCTCCTCCCCGGGCGACGTGCGCACCGAGTGCAAGGTCGCGAAGAAGGAACTCGGCCGCGGGCTGCGACTGGCCGCGGACGACGGCCGGACCAAGCGGCAACTAGAATCCAAGGTCCAGAAGATTCTGCAGCCCCCCGCGCGTCAGCGACCCGCGCGCTTGACCTTCTACGACGCCAAGGGCGGGTCCTGCGGCTCCGGTATCGCGAGCAAGGCCTTCGAATTCGTCGACGTCCTGCTGCGTCGCGCCGTCGCGCGCATCGAGGCCTGTCAGTGTCTCACGCCGCAGGGCTGTCTGGAGTGCGTCTGTGACGAGCGGTGCAAGGAGATGAATGAGGTCATGAGTAAGGCGGGCGCTGGGGTCGTGCTGCGCTGTCTGCTGGGGTGGGAGGTGGATGTCGATGCGCTGCCGTGGGGCGAGGAGGTGGATTTGAGCGCGGTATGTGGGGTCGGCGGCGAGGAGCTGCGAGGTGGTCTGGAGACGGTCGTGCCTGCGGCTGAGGTGCCGCTGCGGTCTTAGGGGTAGTATTTTTCTATCTGTCCATGACACACCAGGCGCTAGTAGCAAGAGTCGTGACTCTCAAGTAAAATGCATATACCACCTACAACTCCCACTCTATATCTGGCTATGTTTGATTCAACTACAATCCTCCCCTGCTTCCCGCGAGTCGGTAGTATGGCACTATGAACAAATCTAATGATATAGCTCGCTCAGCGATACTCAATGACAAGAATACACGGACGGCAGTAGCACTTCTCTATCCACTTCTTTCGTAATATGTTCGGGAACCCTCTAGTGCTCCTACTACACAACCAAACAGCCAAAGCTTATATCCCAAAACTCCCCTATCAAGCCAAGAACGGCTCACCCGAAAGAAAGCTCGGAAAGTTAGGGTCAGGGAAATTCTCAAGAAAGCTGTCATAATACGCCGCGTACTCTGACGATGATAAGGTAGAGCAGCTCTCCAGGAGACAGACTATGTCCGATGAGGGGGTTCCGGTTAGCACCGTCTGAGAGACTGTTATTGTCGACGTCGTTGGTGGGAGGATGATCTTCGGGATTTCGGAAGTCTCCAGCCGGATCCGCCGGCGGTATAGTATTGTGGGGGTGGGACGAGATGTGAGGATGACTGGGGATCAGTGGCTGGGCTACTGCAGCTGCACCGTCTTTGCGAATGTCGTGGTCCTGCTCCCGCCGGTGAATGCCGTCCAGCGCGTTCCTGCTGAGCTGCGTCATCACGGCTGCTAGCCACCAGGTTGTGCTCAGCAATTTCAGGAATTGGTGGAACAGCTCGAGGTGTTCTACGCGAGACGGCGGGCGCTGGGAAGTTGGGTCTCTTTCAGCTGGCTGTTTGTCACGGAGACGGCGAGCGAGATCGTGTAGGCGGAGAGCGATATCGGAGGGGGATCTCGCGTCTGCTGGTGTCTGCGGATGAAGGCTGCGACGCTTAAGAGGGACTGGTTTTGGCGGATCTTGGCCGCTCAGAACCGTGAGCGGCCTTGCAGGCCTTTTGAATGTGTTGATAGGATGATGATTGCGTGGTGGAAGAGTTCGAGCGGTCCTTTGTGTTTGTTAGTTGAGGTCACGGCTATTGATGCTCGAAGGTGGACGAATGAACTGGCTTACCAAGTATTTCATCACTTGTACCCCAGCCTTTCGAAGCTTCGACAATCTCTTCGAAAGAGCAGAGCTCGGGATCTTGTTCGGTTTGATTCCCAGCCATTACCGGGCGACATGATCTGATCACCCAGCCCAGTTGCTCTGCGATGCGAAGCCAGATTCGAAAGGAAGGTTGGAACAGCGGGAGAACATCGGCTGCCTCCTGGCAAATGTCGCAGTCGTGGATCATGAGCAGCCTGCCGTTCACGGCGGCACTCCATCGATCAAGGCTCCAGAGACACCAGAACAGCGCCCGTGACGACTTCGAGGGCGCTTTCCCCGGCCTGGCCAGGTGAAAACCGAGAGTGTGCGAGTGGTGGACTGCCTGGGATAGCATAAATGTAGAATCCTCGCATCCGTGGGGACCCCAGCCGTGGAGGGACAGTAGTGCGAGGATCGGGTTCGTGAGGACCCTTCTTTCTTCCTTTCTAGGCAGGTTGTTCAGAATAGCGGCATAGATCAGCCCGCTGAATCTTTCCGGCGGTAAGACAGTTGGGTCCGCGCCCAGATTTAGAGAAGGTGCCGCGCTTTTGTCTTTGAAGGCAGTCAGGCAAAATGACTGGAGCAGACGAAGAGGGATTGTGCCGCTTGCGGATTGAGACCGTGTCTCATCTTCGCCAAGCAGCGGCAAAAATGGGTGGATTCGGCGGAAGTAGATGTCGATTAGGGCTTCCTGTTGAGATTTGAGGGGCACAAGGTCCTCATCGCCTGCTCTAGACCCTTGCAAAACGCCTCCAGGTAATAGCAGGGGGTGCTGCAGCTCTTTGAAATGAGGAGAAAGCGTTCATGGTGCAGCGATGCTCCTACATCCCCCTTCTGAGATTGGCCCTTTGGGAGTATTGATTTCGGGTTGTCAAAGAGCGTCACGACAGGATTAGTATCACACGCAAAAGGCGCGAGCTCTCTCGTCTTCGACCTGATGGTTGAAAGACTCGTGGTTGTTGACTGTAAGAGTTGTTATTGTTGTTGTTGTTTTTTGATTTCGTGCAGTGGCGAAGTACTGGTTTCCTCCCCAACACATGGACTCGGCGTGGAGGCATTGAGTGTGTGCTGTGGAACGATGTCTGAACTGCATTGTCGTTCACATAGAACAGAAGAGTCCACCTGCGTCGACCGTTCGAGGCAGCGCGACCTATGGTGGAAACATCGTTTCTACTCTGGTGAGTGCCGATGTCCATCAAGCAGGGTTCAAAAGAGCGCATGCACCTTCTTTTGACGGCAGGTAGTACAGGCTCGCCGCAAATGCTCTCGTGTAACATTGCTGCCGTCACGTCCGGTTAGGACTTCAAGCTGCATAATAATAAAATGTCCGACACGTGTACTTTGAGCAGCATAGAAAGGTAGGGATGGAGGGGAGTTTTAGAAATCAGTTGGCGATCTTGTCTCAATTGACTCGCGCGGAGGTGAGTTTCCGAATGCGGACACTTGCTTCCGTCGTTGCATCCGCTCTGCCGACAGTGAATGGGAAGACTACCCAAGCTGATAGTTAACAACTGATAATAGCATGTAGCGGCTTGCTGTGACACCTCTAGAAGCCACCCGGTTCAGCCATAGCAGCCTCCGCGCGCTGATACGCCAATCTGAACAGCGCACCAAGCAGTCTTGCCCAAGATGTGAAAGCTTGGTCAACCATTTGCTTCTTGCTAAACATCAGACCACCTTAAATCGATCAAGAACGTAGCGCGAGACGCGGCACAGCGGAAACTAACAGTATTCTGTCGCACTGTAGCTGTAGAAGACCATATCCAGTGGATTGATGGCTTTCGATGAGCGGGAGCACGTCGCCATACTGTTGTCCAGTTTGCCATAGAGACACATTCAGCGACAGCTCCCAGACCACCTTTAGCAACCTGCAGGCACTTGAACGCTCATCGACATCGAGTAGACTAAGTCGCGCATATCACCTGCACTCTAGCTTTCCCTTGTCGTTGAATTTGAGTGTTCTGCGGTCTTCTCGCGGAAATCACTAGAGCCAACGGTAAGAATGTTATTCATGTAGCTGAGAGACGCTCCTTTGAATAAGAACTTTCTCGGAGTTGGATATCAAAGAGAAAAAGATTGAGAATAACAAGATATGGTGCAGAGAAAGTCCATGGTCGAGGTGTTGTACAGGACGATGAAGGACATTGGAAGTCGGAGCTCCAACCCCGATTAGGCAGGTCCGCTTAGCCCTGGCGATATAAGTAAATCCAACCATCCTCGATTGAAGACACCGCATTTTCCATCCGTGTGTATCAAACAAAAATTACGCATCTAGCCAGTCATCCTGAGATCTCTTGACTTGACTTCGAACAATGTTTGGCAAGGAGACACCACGCTATGACCTCAGGTATGTTGGTCGCGTTCTCATCCCATCGATACATTGCTTCCCATAATCCAATGACTTGTTTATAGACTCGACAAATCGTGCATATTCATACCAGTGAGGCAGTCCCCTGGGTCTCACGCCTCAGTCACAGGGTCATTCTGCTTCTCACTCCCTGAGAACATCTGGGTCAAGGTCGTCAAAGTGAGGCTCAGAGGGACACTGAAAATGTGAGAATTATCTCTGATTATACTTCAATTACGCTCATCCTTACCCTGTTGGTTGCATTAGTACCCGGAACAATGATATGGTCACCGAAGATCGAGAGCTCATCACGTACAAGGAAGAACAAGTACTGGCGTCATCGAGAACACAAAGCTCTTTCCAAGTGCCAGCTGGAGACTACGAGTTCCTGTTCGACATCCCATTACCTAGCGACCTCTATGAGACTTCCATTGGACCCGAGCATAATTATCACACTTATCAGCTTGGTGCGATTATTGAGCGTCGTTACCGGAGAGACATTGTCGTATCGCAAGCCTTAAGTATCTACAGGCTTCCTGACATGGATCCGAGTCATCTATACGCGGATTCTCCTTTGGTACGTGCCACCCTTTTATTTTCCAGTGCGGTGGGAGTGAGCCCGCTGATAGACTTCAAGACCATCGGAGGTGAATCGGAGCAAGGTATAGAGCATTCCACGTCGATACCCAGTTCGGCGATCCCGTTTGGGTCCATAGTTTCGGTGGAGTGTGGGTTCAAAGTGCCATCAAAAGACGTCAAACTTTCTGCTATCACGCTTGAAGTGATAGAGAATCATCACCTCCGATTAGAGGCAACCGCAACACAAGCAGCGCTGAACATCCTTAACATTAATTCATCGAGAACCTATACCCTGTTCAAGGTGACACGGTCACCTACCCAGCAAAGTGAATTAGTCAGTTGTACCGGAACTGAATGGTTCATTAGCCCGACAGTGTGTCTGCCTCGGAGCTTGGCCTTGTGCTCACAGAGCGTGAGAACGAAAACAATAACAATCACCCATTCCTTGGTCGTTACGGCTGAATTCCACAATGACAATGGGCAGGTAGTTGACACGGTATGTCTATTGACTCAGAGATCAACAAGATTTAAGAAGCTGAATATGGCTACAGATCGTGAACACAATTCCATTCTCCATCTATATGGCTCCTGGCATCATAAGGCCGGACGGAAATGTTTCCAGCAAGATTTTCGAATACAACACATTCCCTCCCCCACCGTACGAAAGGCATATGGATCATGTCAGACTCTTAGAACTGACTGAGGTAGAAACTTCTGGACAATGCGCAACAACGGCAGATACGAATCTCGGATGGGCTTCGGATGGTGAGCTGCACAGATGCCAAGCATCGGAAACAACTTCCTCGCTACGAGCTAGCCGTTGGCTGTGAGCCTCCAATCTACACTCCGTGAGGTAAAAGTCCTCGAGTCAATTTTCGCAACAAGTCAAGATAACGGTTTCAATGTTGTTAAGTCTTATTGCGAGTTTGCATGATTCTCACATAAAGTGGACGAAGCCGCCACTGTGTGTATCGTGCAGCTATTATAATCTGAAAAGAAATCTATTTGCGCCTATCCCAGATCCGATCAGCCCTGAATGTCCTTCGCCTCCACCACCGTGCCGAAAACATCAGCCACTTCCCTCAGCGCCACCTCAACCAACTGCCCCGCATCGACCCCGGGAATGTGGCGATCTCCGACCGCATCCTTCGCCACCAACACCTCATACCCGAGCTCGTGGCCCGCCCGCGCCGTCGTCGACACACACACATGCGCCATGTAGCCGACCAGCACGATCTTCTTGCCCACAGCGCCCAGACCCTGCAGGTGCTCGTGGAGGTCGGTCTGCGCAAACGAACTGGGGAATTGCTTGTAGACCACCTTCTCGCCAGCTTGAGGCTTCAATTCCTCAAACTCCTCCGCGAGCGGGGTGTTGGGGGTGAAGAGGGGGGCGCCGGCGGGAGTTTCGTGGAGAATGTGGACAATGTTCTTGGGGTTTCCAGCTTGGCGATAACGCTTGAGGAGGTCGGCGATGACGGCGCGAGTCTCCGTGACATTCTCGGTCTTGAGCTTGCCGGTGGCGTACTCGTTTTGGGCGTCGATGATGATCAGGCTTGAATCTTGGACGGATGCCGTTGAGGCGGGGATACCGAGGTGTTGACGGAAGGACAGGGGAGCCATTGTTGTGTTTGATGAAGTGATCTTGATAGACAAGAAACAGAGAGGCTTAATGTATGTGGTAGTAAAAGTGTTTTATCAAATTGAGTTGATGTTTTCAAGACAACGAGGAGTCGGACAATGTTTATATATTCAATTCCTAGTAGGCTTGGCATCCATCGTCTTGGCGGGCGGGCTCTCGAAAGTATGAAGGAGGGGTAAACCCCGAGGCTGCCATTAGTCAGGCCGGTCTCATTACCTCATCAATCCAGTAATCAATGTGGGATGCCAGTGGCAAGCCGGTGGGATGCATAGTAGTTACCGCTCAAAGGTTGATCTGTAAAGTATTATGAATGAGCCGGGTGGGATGGGATGGATGGCTTTGCAAGCAGCTGGGATAGATAGCTTATCAATCCACTGTACGGGTTTCCTATTCTTTTTCTCTCGAGATTGCATATTAATCCTCATAGACGGCGATTAAAAGCTTTACTACTCAACTTGAAGTATATATGTCGCGCAGCTAGTAATATAGCCTAAATTCTAAGGTATATCTTAGAACTAATTAGCGCCAAATCCTTTTTGCCACCCTCAGTGCCTTTTCACCGAATCAATTCTAATACTCATAGTTGAGTTGTAAACTAGCCCCGTCTTACAGCGCTAATGCAAGATCTATACATAAGCTGATCAGTGGTCTAAGTAAACAAAATTCCTACGCACAGGAGACAGAACGCTCAGTCTCCATTACCAATGTCTTTGTATGAAAATTGCCATTGTCATAGTATTGCTTTATAGTACTAGGCACATAGTCTGTGTACAGTACACCCGTGTTTTCGAAACGCTCAATATCAACTTTGAATGACATTTAATAGAAATATAAGTGTACTTGATTTCGAATTATTCTGAATAGAACTAGAATTTGAGGGCGCCCCGTCTTCAGAGGTCATGAAGATCTCGCCACTTTCTTGCCATTGAGTTGGCGTCCATACGAAGGTGAATTTTTGATCACTGGGCAGAAACCAATAGATGAAAATGATCGTACCTGAATCCAGGTATGCTCTAGAGCAATGAGTGAAGCAAGCCTAAAGGAAAGCTTTATTTTGACCAATATTTCCAGTCCCCTCAATAAGCACCTACACAGTGAGAGAATGACCTTCCCAGAGCGGCTACTACCACTGCTTCATCAGCGTGTTAGCCTCAATCAGGCGGTCAAAATCCACCAGATGAGTAGAATGGCACCAAGGCTTGACCAACTCCTCCTTGCGAATCACGTTGGCGAAAAAGGTGCACCATTTGAAGTCGCGGATGAGCCTCATTGATCAGTCTGCGGGTGGTGTCATGAACCAGTTTCTTGAAGCCCTTGACATGAGGGTGGATCCCAGTTGTTGTCGTAGGTAGTGGAAAGCTGGACAAGCTGGCCAAAATACGTGATGGCGCCATCCACGCCCATATCCTCGTGTCGGATGATAGCCTCGGCAGCCGCCTCGGCCTGATCCGTGGTCGCACCGAAGTCCTCCAAAACATACAGCGCCTTGATGCCTCCGTAGATATCGAAGGACATTCGAGTCGCAGTGAGGTTCTCTTCGCCGGTGCCGAGGTCATGCAGTAGACAGGTAAGGGCCCAGGTAGCCGGATTCAGCGACGCTGCTTGCGCGGGGAACTGTTGCTTGCTGATCACTATCCCCGCAATCATGTCAGTCGTGATATAGGCACAGAATCATGGTGTCTCAATTCAATAACGTAGTAGTAGACTCTCATGGAATGGTTGAGGGTTTCCGGGTAGAGGACAGTTCTCGCATACTCCAGAGTCTTCGCGACCACAGAATCGTTGTAAGGGAACTCGATCTCGTCGAGCTCTATAGCAACAACCCCGTTTGATAAAGGATTGGTCCTTGAAAATAGCACCAGCGTTGGCAGGCATGGCAGTCCAGCCATTGGCTTTGATCTCGTCTTGACACCTGTTGAGGGTTGACTTTGCAGGATAGAACTGCTTATCAGCTAATTTTGATTTTATGTAATGGGGAAGAACAGTCGAGCCCATCATTACATGAATCAATATATATACAAGTACTAGCCTGCCTTTGATGAATAATCATCACATTCGGTTGCGAAGCGTGCTGCAGAACTAAGATATTCTCCTTTAGGCAGTATTTCGATGTGGAGTTCAATCCGTAGGACCAAGAATCTGGAACAACTTTGCCTAGGAATGATCAGGAGAGGCACCTCTTTTTGGCAGTAATTCGAAGCATCGGGCATGAATACTGGTCAGTTCCCCGGACTCGGGCAGTAGTTATCTGGAGTGGGGCGCGCTATCTTTATCTGATAGACTGACTGTTCATTACAGTCGCAGGAAATTGATTTGCACCCCCTTTCCCCCCAATATTTGGTTCGAGAGATACCGCCTTCCCAAAGCGCCCACATACCGCCTAAAATGTATGGGAAGAAGCTGGCAGAATGACCATAGGTTAGAATTAATCAGGAAAAGTGCCGGATTCCTTCCGAGGGGAGGGGTGCATACTAATCTCCTCCGACTGTAAATAGGTGTCTGGGTCATGTGTGAACTGGAATCTCATAACTTTTGCAGCTTCCACAGGGGGGTAGTATTTCGAAGTGGACCTTGATAATCAGCCTTGTCAGACTACAATAGGCTAGCTTGGCTGGGTCGATTGAGCCGAAGACTCGACAATACATGCTGACTCGGCATGACAAGGCCGGGCGGGAAAGAGCATAGGAACGACTATGGCACATAAAATTCCACATCGAGTAAGCCGAGGATGATACAGGCGTGTCTCGCAGCATGTAAAGTCTCTGGATGAAACATCATCTCGATAGTCTAAGTTCTTTATTGTTTGGACTACTGTATAGTCCCTAGACGAGCAGCCATCGGCTAACTCAGCCGCACCAAGCCCTAATCCAGACGGACCAACCCCAGAGATTCAGTTACCCGACCTACACCTTAACCCCCACTTGCGAGAAAAGCGATTCCTATTCCCAGCAGAGAAAGTCCTTGCGCAGGTGGGAGAACAGACAAGTCTTTCATGCACAATTTCTGCAATTTCGCATAGCCTAGCGCTTGTGCCTTCCGTTACCTCACCACCACTGCAGAACCCCTCACCCGCCTCTCAGTGTATGACGACCGTGCAGGCAGCGAGCGACACAGACATCCGTCGATCATCACCAGCTCACTTACGGTTCTTTCTCCCCCCATTTCATCTCTCCGACAAATACCTCCCCAACCTCCCCGGTACATGAACTAGATCTGTGGACAGACGTGACGAGCGACCCAAATCCTTCCAGGCAGTCGGCAACCCCGGACACCAAGTCCGTCACCACCCAGACTTCACAACTGCGGAGTCAGCCTCCGCTCTGAACGGTGGAGTATACCCAGAAGGAGATGCCCACGCAGAATCTAGTCCAGTGGACGAATGAATTCAGCATGCACGGTTCGTGTTAACATAAGCAAACAAATCAGCTGGTCAGCTACCGCTGCCTCCGAGGAGAACCAGCTGTTATCCACTCAGTATACGAGGGGGAGATGCCGGGGAGAAACGTCATTCCACCGACCCAGCGGATCTGGGTGTGGTGTCGATCTCCAAAACCCACTCCGGCAGGACCCGGCGCCGCGGTGAACCCTGTACCCCGGCGGAGTAGATGGATCGAGCATCCATCAAAGGAGTGACCCAAAACTCGACTACAATGGCTCTGGCTTGATTGTGAAAAATTGCACATTCCATGACGCTTGCTTTCCGTGTTTTGTGCTGTGCTCCCTGACCCCGCTTGTGCTGGCCCTATCCATGAGTTTCTGGGGGAGGTGGAAGACTCGACTAAAAGACAGCAACGATGCGATCGTAAGATTTGAACAATAATTAGATGTATAGATTAAGCCCAGTAAGGGATTCCAATGCGGTACTAATGATACATTATTATCTAGTAATGATAATTATCGAGACCCAAACGCCCAGAATCTAACGCTTTTTTTTTAGATTCGGATCCGCGGAAACGAAAGACAAGAACCCAAACACCAAATGACCGATGCCCTTCAATCAAGCAAAGACGAGTCGCAACAAAGGTATAGTAAAACAAAAAAAAGTAGTAAAAGAATAGTCAAAATGGTATTAGCATAGTATAGCCTCAAGGGCTTCGACATCCCCACCAGCGTTGCGCACCGCGTTCAGCGCAGCTTCACTCATCTGGCGCCGGCGGTCGCGGGCTTCTTGTTCGCGCCGGGCCTTGGTCTTGGAGCTGCCGCTGGGGGCCACCCCCGTGAGGATCTTGTTGCGGTCGTCGGCGGTAAAGTTCACGAAGGAAACGGCAAGGGCTTTGCCGCGGGGGCTCCGGGAGCTGGTGACCTTAGTGGCGGGCTTCGGTGCGCTCATTGAGTTGGCCGAGAGCTTGCGGCCGTGGCTGTTACGCCGCGGGGTGCGGATCGCCCCCCGGCTCTGCATGATTGGTCGGACCATTGGGGGAGAGCCGCTCCCGGGAGACAATGTTGGGGAGCGCGAGGTACATTGGATTTGCGGCGTCGCGAACGACGATGATTCCACCGAGTTCTGGATGCTGTTGGATCCGTGGCTGTGCGAGCGGCTGTCTTCACCGCTGGAAGTGGACTGCATGCCAGTTGGGTGGTAGGACTGGCTTTGTGGATGGGTGAGATCGTATGACGTGGGATCGAACTGGATCATCAGTCCGCCTTGTAGGAGCTCGTGCTGGTTGGCAGAGCTTTGGATAGGCCGCTGTGGGCAAGGCGAGACGATCATTTGTTGATAGGAGGGTTGCCGTTGCACGGTGGTTTGCGAGGTCATCGGTGACCACCACGTCTGAGCGTCGTGGCTCTGGACTTCGGGAGTGTAAGGTACTCCGCTAGAGGCAAGGGAATCGGACTGCCATGAGGGCATTGACTGAGGATCAGAGGAAAGTGGGGAAGAGAAGATGTGGTCTGCAGAGGGCGGGCTGGAGGTGCTCAGCGTGGAGCTGTTGGATTGACTCAAGAACCGCTGTTGCTGTCGTGCTAATGCGCCAGCCGATGGTGAAGGCATTGTGATGGCAGGCGACTGGTTAAACATGCTGGATTCATAGTGGGGAGGTAGCTCGGTCTCTCGAGACAAGGCTTCCGCCGAGTGTGTCATTGGCAGGCCGACATGATCGGCAGAAACATTTTCCTGCTGGACAAGGATGTCTGATGGTGGGGGTGACAGGGGTAGCTGAGCCTCTGCGTTGCGAAAGGCGAAGTCTTGGAATCGCTGCGCCCAAGCTTCAGGGTAGGCCATTCTGCTTCGTTGTATTTGCGACGAGCGCGTTAAGCTGGGCGAGAAGCTTTGCTTGCGTTGTAATGCGCGACGATCATTGGGATCTCGATGGCGGCGAATGGATTTCGGAGTGACAAGAGCACTCTTGACTTTGCGACTGGGGGTAGCAGGAGGAGTGGACGGAGACGTGCGGTTGTCTGTGGGATAGGCTACTGGAGGAGCTTCCAGAGTGATACTGAGATCTGAGACTGCGGAGGGGTGGATGGTGTCCTGTAAAGAGAAATGACCTTGACCTGCCGATCCATCTGCATCTGGCGCAAGACACCAGAAGTCCCGGCCCCACGACTGGACTGATGGTTGCTGTTGCTTAGAAGTGGAGGTGGTGGGAGAATGGTCGCCACAGTCGCTTGACAATGAATCCAGTTGAAATAGGTGGTCAAGGTCCCCGGAGAATGCGACGTCTTTGTTGCCATCTGCACAAGAGGTGTCCACATTGACGTACTGGTTGAATAAGTCGTTGAAAGTGTGGTCAAAAGTTTGGGCGAACATTGTGTCGAGCTGGTCGGAGAAACCCCCGTCCGTTTGCGGAAATGATCAGGAGGGAAATGAGGGAGCTTGCCAGATGGACCCAACAACCACAGCCAGCTGGGGGGAACGATAAGATTTCCGACTGACAATTAAGCTCAGCGGGAAGGATAGTTTGTGGTTTGGAGCAATAGAAAAAAGACCGGATAACGTGTGCCGATAAGCCCGTCAGAATGAAGGCGGACAGACAATTCAAGGTTGTTGTTTGGTAGGTTTGATCGAATATTGAAGCTGGGGAAGGAAGATTGTTTGGTTTGAACTGTAGGCGCAGTTTGACAAACTGACAATCAGAGAAAACAGTGCACAAGATGCAAAGAAAACAAAGCAATCAAACAACAGAGAATATGCCCCTATTTGAATTGTCACCACAGCTGCCAGCCTCTGGGTTTCTGCATACATTCCTTGAGGTCTAAAGATGGGTGAGGAATGTGGCCTCAGCAAATGGGCACAGATGCGCAAGACCCTCGAGATGGCCCACCCACCCTGATCGACCGGATACCCTGACCCACGGCTTGCGCATCACCTGTCGCTGCCAATCATTGAGGGTAACAAGTGTGCTGGTCCGGTGGCTGGCAGTCTTTCCATTTGGTGCCAGGGCTTGGGTCCCCCAATGGCCACCCGCTGGAATGCTACCCTAACTATCCCAGAAACAGCACTCGCGCAGATCAGCTGCGCAATCATAGGTTCAGGTGTAGATGGAGACGAGTCGTTCCTCTATCGTTGGTAGTCCTCTGTATTGGTTACAAGCCCTGGTTCGAGTCATGGGTGACATAATGGACATTGACTGGCTTGGACGACTCGAGGTGGACACGGCCAGCTAGAAAGGGCCAAGTGACGAAGAGGTACCTCCAGTCTAAACGTCATGAGGGTGTTCCTTTCCCTTTAGAGTAGCGCGCGATGAATATAGTAGCATTTTGCGCAAATCCCTCCTCTTGGCTGAAGCTTCTGCATCGTACTTTGCTCATTCGTAGACGCCAAAGAGCCAAGCAGGCCCGGGTACTGGCATGTTGCGGCTGGGAAGAATGCGCGCCCCCAGCAACAATGCAGGAACCAAACAGTGTCATTGGGGAACGCACCTTTCTTCCGCTGCTTATGGTAACTGACAATATTGAGTGAAACAGCCTGAAGTCTACGTAGGTCTCGAATACTGGTTTGAAGTTGCTAATTTTATCCTGAGGGCATATGGGTCACGTGTTACTGGCTCTCCTCGCCGTAGCTTTCTCCATACTATAGACAGATTGACCCTGATCAGACCTATTCTGTCTTGAGCCTGTTGGGAATACTCTGACCGGGTTGATTGCCAGATTACCATGCTTCGAAGAGAATAAGAGCCACGTGATATACTGGGCGTGCAGTGAATCGAACTCAAAGGACAGCGCCACCACTGTTTCTTTATTCCTCATCCTGGCATAATTATTGTGATTCGTTAAATGCAGGGGATCTCCGGTGCTCAGAAGCTGAAGGAAACGCCTTCAATCCCGCGGAACGGGTTGCTCTTCTTTGTCTTCTCAGCGTGTCTTGCCATGCCTCCGTAGGTGACCGCTCCGTACCGCCCAGATTCTATCAGACTAGGTTTCAGTGCTATATACTACGGTACAATGCGCTGCCCCAGACGGTTCAAAGCCCGGGGGTCACTGTCCGGTTAGCCACTTCGTCCCCGGCAGGATTGTGTTCCGTCTTCCGTCTGTCTTCTGCTCCACAATCCATGAAACCTCAACCCCAGCTTCAAGGCAGACAGGCACAGATGACACCTGGAGTCACGCGGTCACACACCGTTGGCTAACCGCGCTCAAAGATGGCTCTTCTGGGTTTACCCCGGGTTCCAATCTCTGAGACTCTTCATTGCGAGCTATCAAAGGCCGGGGCTATGCGCGCATGCTGAGGTTGTCCTCATCAGTTTCTCATCACGAACAGTTCTCACATACAGCCGGCTTCGGGCAATCATGGCTTTCTAGAGCTCTATGAAAGCCTTTTGTTCTGTTGTATGCGACGAGGCTCGTACATAACACGTGGATATCCGCAGCCAATGGCTCTGGTTCATATTAACCCTTAACAATAGACTATGAGGATTCAGCTATCCATCCATGCCGTTGTCCGAACTGTCAACAACTATCTATAACAATAACGAGGCTATAGCAGTCCAGTCATCCCTTTGAACATTTGGAATTTCTCTGCATGATGGCCTTTCGCATCAGTCAGAGTACCCATCTCAGCTCAACGAGGCTCCGAGTGTCGTCGAAAAGCGGTCGACTAAGCATCTTGTTTACTTAGACCTGTACGTGAATCCACTCCCCGACCCGCGAGCCCTTCCTCCTACTATCTTACACTGGTCTTTCTATTCTATGCACTGACCTTAAGTGTTTCAATTTTGTGAATGGTGTCTTCAATTTTTATATATTATTTTTTCGAGCTCAAACAAACTAATCGATAGCGCTCGGCAGTAACGACTCAAGTGTACTCTCGTCACCACCAATCAGCCTCTTGCCTGTGCGAATCGCGGTTAGTGCCCTGTACCTCTCTGCCGTTGTCATGCCGACGTTGAATTGCCCCCTCCAAAGGAATGATGAATTCGAGGGGTGCCAATTCGAAGGATACTGCTTTGTTTTTGCTGAACCAGAGATATGCCTGGGGAAGCTCGAATAATCGCAGCATAAACGCCGAAGAACGTCTAACAAGAAACAAACGAGAGCGTCAACGTCTGATTTGCTCCAGCTCTTGAAGTTTTGTTGTCGGAGCAGGCCCAGAAAAGACCCAGTACTCATACAACATAAACGCTCGGTCGCATACAACAGAACTAGAATGAGAGCGTCCACGTCATGCTTGTTCTCGTTAGTGAGGGTGGTTTGTTGGAACAGCACTATACCCAGGAACGCCCAAAACCCCTCCGCATACACGCTCAATTGCGTATAACTTACGCCAAGTGAGAGCGCCCACGTCAGGCTTGTTCCCGCTCGTGCTGGTTCGTATTGCTTGGGGTGCTGCTTAGGGTGCTGCTTGGGGCTCTCCTGCTCAAGATCCTCCTGTTTGGGGTCCTGTCTGAGGTCCTCCTGTATGCAGTTCTTCTTCAGGTCTTCCTGCTTGAAGTCCTGATTGGGGTCCTGGTTGGGGTCCTGATTGTGGATCTCTCTGGGTTCCTCCTGGCAGGGTTCCTCCTGCTTATAAACCTCTTGATTGGGGTCCACGTGCTTGGGATCCTGCTTAAGGTCCCGGTCGGGGTCCTGGATGGGATCCTGGTTGATTTCCTTCTGGTTAGGATTCCCCTGCTTGGGTTCGTCCTGGCTGCAGTCCTGCTCAAGGCTCTGGCTCGCGTTCTGAATGAAGCCCTGTTTGGGACCCTCTTCCTTGCAATCCTCCTGACTCGGGCTCTCCTGCTTGCAATCCACATGAGCGGTGTCAGCCTGGATAAAGTCCTCGTGGTCGAGGTCCTCGGCGGCTAAGGAGTGTTCATCCGTCTCTATCAACTCTAATGAACGCTCTTGGTTGATTGTGCAGATCTCCTGGATGACCTTATCGAAGCCCTCGCATCCCATTGCAAGCTGGACCTCATGCACGCCCCACATTTCAATCAACCACCTGTCTCTGGCTACGTGAAGCGTGAGTTTACCTTCGAGCTCACACTGACAGATGTAGTGATATCCGCTACTGTCGTCACAGTCCACTTCTTTATAGAACTGAACCCAAGGCTCCGATAGGATACAGCCATACACGGGATAAGCTTCTGGGTGATGCATCCGGTTAATCAAGACCTTGAGCTCCAGCTCACCTTCATAATATTCCCAGTCGGTTGAGCGAGGGTCGCCCGTCCCACCCACGTCCATCGTAAAGAAGTTGGGAGGGGCACCGTCGGTCTCGTTTATGGGGGAGCAGTCCACCATTCCTTGAACAGCACTAGGAGGGAAGGCATGCGATCGAACGGATCGTAATCTGATCGATCAGCATAGTGTATTACGACAATGAATTTCGGCGGCATCGGGGGAAAAGGTAGGGGCTGCGCTTGAGCGCGGTGACGGGTGCAGCTGCTTCTTATAGTCAGACGGTACAGCATGACGCTGGTTGCCATATATTGATTGGAAAGAAGATCTTCAGTATGTCCCAGTTCAGTTCATTATGCAAGAGCATGGTTCCCTGAGCTTCTTTGAAACACGACTACCATCTTTCATGCCGTTCAAAGAGTCCGCTAGGTTGTTCTTATCCATTCCAGTGACACATGCAGCCTTCACGGCAATTGTGGTGCAGGGCTATACCGCACACTCCGAGGTCTAGATTGCTGATTGTCAACATTGAAGTACGCTGGATTGAAGCATTCTGTTCTGTTATCTACGACGTGATTCTAGGACAGGAGTTTCCCCGCATCACGTCATGCTGTCATAACTTTAAAAATGAAAGACGGTCTTGAGAGGCGTTGAGACAGGTCCTATGGGAAAGTTTAGTATGAAAGCTGGATGGAATCTGCCAGATTCCATTGTGATAGTTGCGTCATCATCAATTCAGATGGTGAGGGTATTCCGCGGGTGGTGGCGGTCTCCCCGCACGAACCCCAATGCCTGACACGAAAGCGTTCCAGATTGTGGCGGGCCCATTCCTTGCTGTTATTTCCGACGATACGAGGACAGGTCATGAATTCGTTCCATCGGAGGTATTGTATTATGCAGTTGGTAGATAGGGAGCAGGGATCGGAGCAGAAGTAACTAGATATCGTACGACTGAAGTGAATTATGAGCCATGAACAGAAAACGGGGAATTCCGGCCGTCCTCCACGTTGCAGCTGCACAATACTCTCTTTCTTTGCCGAGGTGAGCGTGTAAGTGAGAAAGAGAGAGAGAGAGAGAAGGAGAAACATGCTTCTGGACTGGCCTGGCCCGTACGAAGGGATCGGGAAGAACGTTGATGCGGAGTGGCAAGGTCACGGGGTCAAGGAAAAGTGCCTGACCCACTCGGCCCGAATGAGGAAATTACTCAATCTTCATTGAACATTGATTGAACATTAGTAAGTTCGTGAGTTCAATCAATTCCATTCGCCTTCTGGAGTTCCTGATCGGATCAGCCAACAATCACCTCGATCATGCCATGGTTCTCCAGCAGACTGCTGCTTCGATCGCCATCAATGGCGATCATGGATGGTTACAGCAATGAGCTCCTCTGCCACGCCCACTACACAGTAGACTATCCCGTGGGGATGGTTCAACCCTTCATTCAAGGTTTCCCCCCAACTCCTCCTCACTCGCCAAACACCGCCTTTTCGAGCGACGAATTTAAGGTTAGCCGTCTCCAGTTAAGTCCGAATGCGTGGCGGTCGACTAAGCTCACTAATTGCCGCTAACAGGCCTGCGTGACCTCTCCCGGATTTTCTAACAAACCTGTCAATATATCAATGCTATTTTTGCATCCTCAGAAGGATTAGGAAGTCCCGGGAATTGTGAGAAACTGATGGAAACATCGCCTGTCTTCAGCTGTCGCTTCATTTCCAACCCCGTGCTAGCTGGAGCAGTAGCCTGAAGCTACTGCAATTCGCGTCCCATCCTTCCTGCCAACTCAGCATGTTCCAGAGGCAATGGTGACTTGGCTGGAGTTACGAGTAGCAGATTACCAACCACATTGGCGATTGACAGTATCGGTGTCCACGGTCGACCGGTTGAGTCTATCACTTTTTAGGTCGCCTGATCGTCGGCGCAGAGATTTCTGGAGCTACCGAATGGGGTCGCGAAACGGCGGTTCTGCCCCTGATTGCGGCCTGTGTTTGGCCCCTTCCGAGCCCGCGGTGGGCCCTGTCTCGATAATGCATAGGTATTTGTTTCCCTCCCGTATAATAACCAGCTCGCCTCCTCTGCTCGTTCCCTCGAATTGAACCTCCAACTTTCTGCATTCTATTGTTTCCCTTTCTCTTTTCCCCATACAATTCGCACCATCATGGCCTTTGACTGCTACTGTGCCATATGCGGTGTCGGGTTCTGTGGCATGCACATTGAACCTCCCTCGGAGACAGCGCTGGAACGCCGCCGCCGTTGGATCGAGAAGCGCTGTCGGGCGCTCCAAGCTGGCAAAGACCTCGCCCAGCTTCCCCGTGATAGCGATGAAGACGAGAACCCGGTCCGCAGCTATGACCCTCGCATTGTCGGTTGGGAAAACATTTCCTGGCTCTACAAAGCACACTGTCTCGGCATGAACCAGAACGCTGCTGCAGGCTCAGCAAAGGCGTTCATCTCGGAGGAAGGCTACTACGCGGATATCGGAGAGCTAATCGTTAAGACTGGTTCGAACTCAAGATCCTCCACACAAAAAGTCTACTCGTGCTATGGCCAGGGCTCCGACGAGGCACCGGGCCCAGTTCTCCCGTTCCACTGGTGTTGCTTCGAGATCCTCACCCACACGCTTACCGGCTCCACGGATACCAAGAAACTGAACCTGGACGTTCTCTACAACATCATGAGCCCTCTCTGCAACATGAAGAGTTCCGCGTTAGATCTAAGCTATGGTGACGATGTTCAGCGCGCCCAGGGGCGTTATTGGGAATGTATCCCAGGCGCAGAGGTAAGCGGACTTTCCAGCCATAGAAAATCACCGCCCCTGACTCAATTCCATAGTATTGCGCAACTCACCCGACAGACACCCCCGAACTCAACACATACATTCAAAAGAACATGGAGTCCAACAGCAAGCTGAAAATTGCTTCTGCCGAAGTCGACCTTCGAGAGCGACGTCCCGCAAGCCCGTTCGGCAAGCTCCCCCTTGAGCTTGTATACCAGATCTGCATGTTTCTACCTGGCGACGACCTGAAATCCCTTGCCCAGGCCTCTCTAAGCGTCCACCTCATTACTCAAGACAACCTCTTCTGGAAACAGTTCATGCAATGGGATATGCCTTGGTTCTGGGAGCTGCAGGCCAGCAAGGGGCAGAAATTGTCTGAGGATGTCAACTACAAGCAGCTTTACCTTTGGTTGGACAAGATGACCGCTGCACGATACGGAATGGATGATGCGAACCTCATTGGGGTCGCAAATCGTCGACGCATCTGGGGTGTGTGCGAGGAGCTTGCAGATCGGTACCACAAGGGCTTAGCTCAAGCTCCTTCCGTTCCCATCGCATGCGCCAGCGGCTGAGAAATGCCTACACTCCGCACAAGCTGTTCAGTACAACCTCATGCACATATGCTGAATCGCTGCGACAACAACTCATTGAACGACGCATCCTGATGCAGTGCGTTGCCAACGTGTTCTGCAACATGATAATCTCTCGAAGTCGCGCATACCGCCTGGGTAAATTTTGGCGGCATTCTGAAAAGATTTGAAACCTAATCTTGTTCTCACGACCGATGACCTGGTTTTTAGCTTGACCCAGCACCTTTGTCGATCTCTGGTGTACAGCTGAAACCGATCGGGAAGACGTGCCGTCGGGCATCGACATACACACATCACATAACTACATATAGACGTTTGTATATACCGACAGTTGGCTTGTTTTTTCTGCATGCATGCTAGACATTTGCATTTGTTTGGGCACGAACGTTACGAATTATAGAATATACCAATTTGCTGTTCGCTTTGGATACTTTATCCGGTGAACTTGATTTTCCTCGAATGCATCCTTAGTAAGAAATTTTGCTCGGTTAAATTGAGCACCCATGTTAAAGCAAGCGCAGGGCAAGTCAGCCGGGCCAAGCTGCACAGTACTTTTGCCATCAGAGTCATCGGGGACCAGTCAGAGGCGGCAGAGTGGCGACTCGACTACCGACCTCAGGAACAGTCTCTGCTTTCTTTTTACCGGCTATTTCCGAGCGGCGAGCGTTTCACCGACTGTTCGCTTCTCCAGGTTGAAGGCGCTGTGCAAGCGATCCACAGCTCCCCATACCTTGGTGTTCAATGCCACGCTGGGTGAGTCATTCCACGGTCGTTTGACAGATCATCAAGTTTGGGATTCCACACACCTGTGTCCCAGTCTGTCAATCGCAATGGGGAGCCGGAAGATTGACATCCGAGGGGCAATGACTGTTGCATAAGTTATGCAGCTTTGTGCTTGCTGATTCAGCAGCAAGTCATCTGTGTGACGGAGCTGATGAACAGAGAGGTGCATCGGTAATCTAACAGCAAAATAACTGGCGCTGGTCACTTGATTACAATCTTGCTTCGCTTGTGGGGATAGCATCTCGATCACTGGATCTCCTGGACAAGCCTCATCACATTTCTTCATTTCCATGGGAATGAGTAAAGACAGCGTATACAGGTCGCATTCAGCAAGGCATCTTCGAAAAGCTATAGTAGCTGAGATGAAAACGGATCTCAGACAGAGTCACCGAGGCGGCAGATAGGAAACGGAACGCTATACCGCATTGAGTAATGTATTCCTGGAGGGGCGAATGACAGAAGCCCGAGGCACGTGAGAGGGGCCTCGGCATCACCGGCCTAACTCTACCCCACGCCCGCCTTCTTATCTCTTCTACTCATCTTTCGTTCGGTTTGGGCTTGCGGACTGTTTCTCACACCAAAGGAGAAAGGGAGATCACTTGCCATTCGACTTGTATCCCTCACAGGTGTCCGAAGTACTTTCGTCGGTTCACCTCTCTCAGCCAAAACAACCCGAACCCCGCCTTATCTGGCTTCTCCGGTGCCCTCCAGGCACAACGAACCACCGACAACATGAGTGATGCCCTCTGTGGTCCCTCGAACGCGCTTCAAACCTTCCAGAAGCATGCTTCCGTCGACCGGACCCTGCAGCAGGATAGGTTGAGTGCGCGACAATCTCCGTCGCAGGTAAATAGCCTCTTGACGTTTTCGCCGATGTCCTCAAGCGCGTCCAGACTAATATCGCTTGTGATCAGGGGTTCCGGAACCAAAATCCTAACACCGGAGCGCTCGACCCCGAATTTGCTGCCTTCGAATCCAGCTTAGCAAACGCGCCCCTTCGCGATATCCAACACCCAGCTCACTTCGCCGCACCAGCCCCTCAATTCCCCCTATCCGGTCCAGCGGAAGCGACGAATTGGGCTACCGACTTCCAAAGACTGAATATCGTGGGACCACCTCCATTACTGCATCAACAACCTAACGTATCACACGCACCACTCTCCTCCGCCTCACAGCAGGGCTGGCACAATGAATTCCTCCAGCACCAACAACACCAACAACAGCCTGCCGCGCAACAACAACAACATCACCCCCTAGCCCATACCCAAGGATTTCAACCCTCATTTGCGCCCATGTACCAGATGCACGGAACCAGCACCTACGCCCCGCAAGCAACGACCGCTCCGCAAACAACATCAGCAGCAGGAGCAGCCTTCGACGAATCCGCCTTCGAGGCCGCCTTCGCGCAGGCCAGCGCAGCGATAGTATCCCAAGAGACCGAGACCGCGACAGCGACTGAGACTTTAGAGGAAGCCACCGCAGCCGCTGAAGAACAAACACAGCAATCCCCGGCGCCGCTCGAAGCCTCCGAACAGATCAGAATCGGGTCCGACACGATCCCGCAATCCGACAAAACCAACGACCCCCAAACGCAAGCCCACGACGCGGACGCGCTCGCGCGCACCGCCGGCCAACTAGTCGACAGCCTCAAGCACGACACCAGCCAGAAGTTCCGGGACAGTAACTTCCTAGCGCTGATGCGGCGCATCCGCGACCGTGAGGTGCATATCCAGGGCGATGAGTTTCAAGAAGTTAGTAGTACCAGTCCGTGAAGTTTTCCTGTATTTATTACATTTGTGAGAGCTGGGGAGGGGAGGGACGAGAGAAAAGACCGGGGGGGCGGCAATCTGAACTTGGACGCTCGCCGGTATGATTTTCAGTACAAACCTCACTGTTTATTGTCGACCCTGTGTTTCTGATTAGCAGCCATGAGTTCTTTCAGACTTCGCAGACCCTCCATCCGGGGGGCCGATATTATCCTGAAGGCTACCAGCAGCGGTCGCATTTGGGACAGACCGCGGATACTCAGGGCTCGGGTGGCCAGGGGGCTGGGTCTTCTGGTCTTACTACGGGTAAGTTTCACTTGACGGATGGGTGGTAGACAGCCCTCTGTATCGTTATCTTAGCCAGTCTACTAACTTTTACTTCGCAAATCAGATACCACGCACCAAAGCTCCTCAAACGGACCCGTCCAGCCCGCTCACGCCGCGGAAGGAGGAGTCCCTGTAAGCCGCACCTCGGGCGACAGCGGCCTGCTCTCTGATACCTGGAACCACGGCGACCGCTGGGCGTGAAGCGCCAATACCGCGCGGGTAGATTCACCCACCGGACAATCATCTCAAAAAAGCCCTCCTATCACCAGCCGCTATACTGCTGCTCATACAAAAGCTCGATCCCTCCTGTCCCTGTCTTCTTCCCTCATTGTGGATTTTATTGCATTGTCCCTTGCATGCACCTACAACCTTGGCACCCCGCTAGAACTCAACATCCTGTGCGTCGACCAGCTCGTCTTTCTCTAAGATTATGACCTATTAATGAGTACATGTAAATTGAATTCTTCCTCTCGACAGGGCTGCGGGTGAAAACAGAAATCGTGTCCAGAGCTTGCATAGATGACAAGAGATCAAACCAGGCTATCCTTCTTTCCAGGCTCCATGTCTAGGAGCAACCGCTACGTAAACCAGTGACACGGAGTCCAACCACCGTTCCACGCTCCGTACCGCTTCAACCGTCCCGTGCCGTACGGCAACATCGGCGGGTACGAGATCGAACATCGCCCACGTGGACAACCTACCGCAACCGCAACACAATTAACCACCATCACAGCCAACCGAGATCATCCCTGAATCCCGGCCATTCTACTTTATCGAGTGGACCACCTATAAATCTCATATGGAGAACAAGCTAATCAATAGAGAATGTATATCAATCTAGATCGCAACCCGAACAATCTAAACCAGTAAATCGCTCTTTCATCCGCATACATTAGATATGACCCCGAAAAGAAGAAAAAGAAAAAATTAAAACCGTCTAGAGATCTTTTAAAGAGGAACAGCAAAGACAGAAACCCAGGCGAGATAACAAACAAGAAAATGCAAAGAGCCTGCTTAAATGCACTTCATAAACACATGCAAACATGCAAACATGATAACATCAAAGAGAATCACAGGGCACGTACATAGATACAGATGAAAATGTCAAATTTGCACGGAATCAATGGGATAATAGAGAGGAGAGAGACACGCAAGACACGAAGCGGGCGATCAGAAACTGAATAATCCACTCCGACGCTTGCCGTAGGGGTAGACGACCAAGGCGGAGATGAACAACCCAACCGTGATACCGATGGCCACCTGGATCATTCCGAAACCGAGGCTAGAGATGCTCGCGTCCGAGGCCGTGCTCGTGGTGCTCGTCCCGTTCTTCAGATTGTTGCGCACCTCGTCGGCGTATTCGATGCCGGACAGCAATGAGCCTGAGGAGGCCAGGCCAGAGGGGACTAGCACGAAGATACCCGGGAGAATGGCGGTGGCGGCGTGGCCGTGCCACACGCGACTGTACAGGTTGCCCAGCAGTCCGATCGTGAAGGCGCCGACGGTGTTGGCGACCTCGGAGCTGGAGCCGAGCTTGAGCGTGCTGAAGTAGTTGGTCACGTAGCCGCAGGTGGCGATGACGATCATCACCGGCACCTGCTTCCATTTACCCTGGTTGATCACCGCGAGGAAGATCACGTAGATCGGGACGAAGACGAAGTGCTGGATGTATTTACTGCCGTAGACGTCTTGGTTCGGGCACGTCGTCATCGAGCTGGCAGCCCCGTCGATCAGTCCGTAAATGGTCGTGCCGACGGTGATGCCATAGCCCAGGAACAGCGAGTAGATGATCGAGTAGACCATGCGGATGGAACCGGCAATCATCTGGTGGGACTGCAGTTCCAAACTACTGCAGAGAACCATAAAACCAGGGAGAATAAGAGCAATCGACGACTGTGCCAACGCTGAGAAGCAGAAAATGTAGTCCAGCTCGCCATTGGGTAACCTGCCGCGGTGGATGGACCCGAAGGCACGCGAGAGGAAGGAGGTCAGGATGGCGGCGGTGACCTCGAACACGTTGGAATACAGAACCGAGCGTGGCGCCAGGACGTGCTGCATCAGCCCGACAAGGCTTCCCAGGAAGAAGATGATAGGCATGTCGATCGGCCGGGCTGCAAAGGCGAATGGACCGACCGCGCAACTGGCCAGCCCATAGGCGAACACAAGGATCCACTTGTTAAAGCGCGGAGGCCGCTTCATAATGAAATCCAGTTCCTGGATGGCCTCCTCCACTCCGATTAGGTCATGCACTACATTCTTGTACACGTTGTGCGTTTCCGCCAATCGGCCTAGATCCACCCCCTGCACGACTCGAACCAGCTTGACCTCGGCCGTGCGGGTGGTCGGATCGTCAAACGACATGATCATACATCCCGGCAGATACAAGAACTGGCCTTCGACTTCCAACACTCGCGCCGTCATTTGCATATATTCCTCGAGACGGTGGGTGGGGGCGCCATACCGCATTAGCGCCCGGCACAGCTGCATGATGTAACGCTGCCGCGCCAGGATTTCAGCGATATGCACGGTGACGCGGATTTCGTCCTCCAAGCGGGTTTTGCGCGACTTCTTCTTTCCCTTCTTCGGCGGCTGCGGCAGCATCACCAGTGTATCTGCGGAGGCCGGCAGACTAGCTCGACTTAGATTCATCGATGCAGAAACCAGAGAGGCGGTGGAGTGGTGATTCGATTTCTTGTACCACTTCAGCTTCTCCTTCTTGGGAGTTGCCGTTCCTGAAGAGAAGTCCCGTCGCGGGGTGGCGGTACCGGACGAGGCCACTGATTCGTTGTCGGACGAGTCTGTGACGGACATGTTGTCTTTCGCCTGGGCAGCATGAAGCTTCAGCAGCTGCGCGAGAATACCGCCGCCGCCTGCACCGGGGCGCGATGACGGCGTATCGCCCCCATACCAGGAATCCGGTCGGCTCGACTCGTCAGGGGTGCTGGTTCCGGAGCGTGCGTAGGCGGACTTGGGTTTGCGATTGCGCAGGTGATGCTGGGTCATGCTGCGAACCAGTCGATGGGCCTCTGCGCTAGGTGGCGGTGGTGTCTCGTCTCGGTCGCGATTGTGAATGTCGAACGTGTCCTTTCCCTCTCCTCCACGACGGAGCGGTGGTGGTGCAAATCCTCTTTCCAAGTCGTCGGGTAGCATGGCCGCGCCGAGGTCACCGCCATCGTCATCGGAGGGGCGACCTAGACGTTCACCCAAGTGGACCGTCTTCTGGCGAATCAATTTGCTGGCATTCTTCCAGCGGTCTCGGGCGGAGATCGGTTGCGTGGGTGCTCCCTCCTTCTCGATGGAGGATTTGGGGGTGTCGCCGTCGGCAGCAGGGGAAGTGCGTGAGTGCGCCGTCTGCTCGACGCCTGCTCCATGCTCGGGCTCGGGCTCTTTATGTCCGTGAAAATACTCCGCGAGGTCGGCAGACTCCGAAGTCGGAGGCATCATGGAGTGGACGGACTGAAGCGAGCGCACGGAATAGTCGGAGTCTGCACGAGGCATGGGCGGCCGCTGCGGCGCACTCTCACCATGATTGCTCACCGAGCGGAATCGAACTCGAGTCGGCCTCGTCGCTGAAGTCTCGTGCTGGGCATCGTCGGGAGGTGTTGCGGACGTCGTCTCTTCAGGGAAGGTAGGAGAGTTGGGAGAATTGGGGGTAGTCTCGGGACTTGGGTTGTGTGCTACCGCATTGTGGCCCTCGAAGCCGTTCTCGCGTCCTAGCAGCTCATAGGACGCATCTTCCCGATGTGGCTCCGACATCTGAACAGTCCAGGCAGCCTGCTGCGAGGACCGGGTATTCTATGGGTATATGCAGGATAAAATGGAAGTATGTATGTACGAGAGGGGGTATATGAACAGAGAAGGAGTGAAAAGCTGCAGATCCACGAGGCACAAGGACAGCCACCAGGAACAAACGGAACCGACCAACGTCAAGAAGAGAAGAAAACTGGAGAAGAACAAGGGGGCAACCGGAGAAAAAGGGAAAAGGGCAAAAAAGCTTTTGAGCGTGGAACCGGCGGACCAGCGGGTGGAGTGCGCGACGAACCCGAAGAAAACAACGGCGTGGGCGGCGGAACCAAAAATAAGTCTCGATGGTCTAGAGTCTAGAATGTAGAGGACGGTTGTGTTTTAAAAGCTGATCAAAAGGTTAGAGAGAGACAATCATGAGCAGATACGGGGATACAAATGGGAGATATTGGATGATAGTGAATGTCTTACCCTCCCCTCCGCCCATGACTTCATCCGGGCGGGATTGATAAAGTGATTGGCGACGAAAGCGTGCCTTGGAGGGGGGGGAGAAAATGGCTGCGGTGGATCCGAGCCGGACGACATTGAATGAATAGGAACAACGACAGGCACAAGAGCCGTAAAATGATCAGCCAAAACGGGAGACTGACAGCTCATCATCACCTGTCTGTCTCGCGTCTCGTCTACTCCGTAACCGCCCTGGTCCGATTGTCAAGCCAGTCTCCGTCTCCTTATCCCGAGTCCGTCTTCGCTTATCGTCATCGTCGTCGTCGGTATGGACTTCGCCTGCAGACTGGCTGTGCCTGATCCACTGGGCTTGCGGTTAGATGATCACAGTGTTTCACCACAGTCGCGCCTCGCCTGCGGGTGGCTTGAAGCCCCCTTGTGCATGAGATGAGATGAGCAAGTCGATGCAATGTGAAAACCTTCCAGGTGAGGCACCTGGGCATTCATCCAATGGGCAGGCTAGGATTTGCCGGATGATGACCATGATCAGTGGATAAATTCTGATTTGTGAATTGCATGAAAGTCCGACCGCGCAATGTCGGTGGGGGGAAATTGATGGACGGGCGAGAAAGTGGCGAGAAAGTAAAAGTGAAGGATTAGCCAAAAGCCACTCTCCCAATCAGGGAAGTATCGCGGAAATCCCGCCCACTGTCACGTGATATTTCAGTCTAGAACCTCCTCTCCTGCTAGACTCGAAGCGCTGGTTGACATTATCTGCTTGCTCACCATGCAAGCGCCGCGTCATGACCCAGGCATAACCTTCTTCTTCTTCTTCGTCAAGAGCGGTTGTAGTATTTCCCGAGTGCGCGTTGTGTTTTTGCAGATATCCGCCTCTTGTCTATCCCTGGTTATCGAAAACCTCACGGCCACGCATAGATGCCTGATGTGATGCACTGATCATCGATGGTTTAGGTTTATGCGTTCAATTGGGTCAAGAACTCTCGCAGCACACTAAATCGAAGACTATCGAGATCTATTGTCTGGAGCTACTGGATGACCCCAGCCCCTATTCACGCCCACTCCTTCTAGAACCGCCCCAATTGTCCAGGCTTATCTCGACCCGAGTACGCGGGATTTAGTTGCCGCCGGCTATTGATCGCTCCGGACTATACGGGGCCATTCCCGAGTGCTTGATCTTCGATACCATGTATCCGGTGCGGTGGTGTCGGGATCACGCCCATGGATTGAGAAATGCGATCTTGGATTGTCCGACAAGGCCAGAAGAGCTGATAGCCCACTGATCAATCAACCACCAAGCCTAGTGGTCGCTCGTCAAAGAGAGCTTTGATCAAACCACTCTAATCGTATAGCACTAGACGCAGCTCTGACCCTTTCTCCTCGCCTGGGCCGGTCTGCCATCAGAGCTTCAATATCAATCGCCGGGATCACCGCGACTTGTTGGAATCTGTTGTTATCGGCTCTCCTCGGTATCCGGAACATACATTGACAAAGCAATTCGCAAAACCGATCCTTGCATCCGCTTTGGATCCTCACCAATCGCGCGTTCATGTTCGTATTTCCCACAGTCTATTATCCTCCCAGTATCGCTCTTAACTGTCTGTTTTTGGAAAGCTGGCCTGCAAAATTGCGTTGTCTAGAATTCTTTCTGGGCTCGGCGCATGTCATGCTTATGTAGCGGATCATAAGATTGGGGAGAATGACATCGCATCATGAGGTTGAGAGCCTCCATAATTTTGGTATGGCTTGTTCATAGCCCTGGTTCTATCAGTAGGGATACCTCCCTTTTGGACACAAGTAAACACAACAATATGACCTTAAGGCAGGTCGTTTCATCACTGCGCGTATTGATTAGTCATGACTCATTAGTGAACATAAGGCAACACACAATGCCAGTGAATCCCTCAAATGCCTCCATCACCTTGGACTGTATATCCTGAAGCATTGCGGCTATAGATCGAGTAGGTCTTGCCAAACTTCGAGGCTTCATATCATGATCAGAGCTTGTCTTGCAATGTGTTTGACTATCAAGAGGACCAGGATAGGTTCTCTGAGAAATTCCCAAAGGTAGCCCGGTTTGAGACGTAAGATATATATTGCCGCGACCTCAAAAAAATGAGCGACTATCATGCAAGCTCTGCTTGTAAAATGACATCACAGTGAGCTTAACGAGAGTTCGTGCCCGCGAATACCCATTCAGATGTCTGATCATAGAATTGAGAGGTGAGGCGAGATGAAGTCGGATTGTGTATCCGTCCAGTCCAGCCACCGGCTAAGACATCACTCAGTGACGAAATCATGAGAAGCTCCATCACCTTCCTATTCTTCCTCATGTTCCTAACCCCTATACGGGCACACAACGGCTGATCTACGTTCGAGTTCAGCAACAAACGACAAGCCGTTTTAGAACTACGCACATCCAGCGGGATGATCCCACTACCGCGACTGCCCGCCATCAAGGGACGGCCAGCAACGAGCAAGTGGCCGCCCGGGACCAAAATTAAAGACCAAGCCCCGACAATCGACAATCGCCGAATTACTGATAGCCTGATCTTGTAGCCGAATGAAGCTGGCTGGTCCTTGACACATACCGTAATATCGCGAGATTATCGGCGCTCTCCTGCTTTGAAGTAGTTGCGTTCCTACAGCCCATGACGGGGACAGTAAAGCTTTGTGTAAATGTTGAAAGGGCAAAAGCGATTCAATGGGCAGTACGCTCCACGGACCGGGGTATACGAGTCGCCAAGCATATCCCGAAGCCAATGTTGTAAATATGAGTGTCTGCGTCGAAAGTCTGTCTACAAATAGGTAGAACATCACCTATTGTTGCTTGGTTTCAGGATTGTCGTTGTATCAACAATAAAGAATATGCCGTGCAGTGTAGGTTGTGCTAACGCTCCCGCTCATCGACCAGGATGAAGCGTTGCTGACGCTATCCTCAGCATGAGTGCAACGGCGGCCCACGTAATGTCGCTGTTCCGACGCGGACGATGCGGATGATCGCCAGAGATCTTCTAGGATCTGTCCTTCTATTTATATCAACGCATATGCGGGGGCCGGGATTGCTGAACGATTCAAGGCGCTAGTGGGCGTGGTGTACGGACTAGGTCGTCGAGGACGATCGTGGCATGGTGGTAATGCAAAGGGGGGAAGCGGAAGATGTTCGTTGTAGGTAGAATTCGATGTGCAGTACAGATGTGAGGAAGAATGGGAGGGAGAGAAGGAGGGGCCTTAACGCGATGAGGTTCGTGTGGAAACGGGAAGTGCGACGGTGGGTTGTCGACCACATCAACAAAAGCCAAAGAGGAAGGTCATGTGACCCTCAGTCGCAAAGAAAGGAAGAATAGACCGGAGCCTCTTGATCCTTCTCAGCACGAATCAACGGTTATCGGAGCATGACCTTCCGTCAATCAGCCACCAGATGTGAGCATCAATCAATCAATTAGTGTTTGATTCATGGACTGGTGCACACGAGGGGGGGGGAGGTTATTGTCATGAAGAATCCCCAACACCCTAAGTAGTTCCCAATAAACCTCCGACGATACATTGCGGAGAAGGGATATGTCCTTTGCGACTCAAAGACTCCGGCCAAGTTGAATCAGGGGGAGGGGGGAGCGTGAGGAGAGCAAGATCCGCCAATGAATCACGCTTCCGAGCGCAGAAGCGCGAAGAAGAAGTGGCTAGACTGCATTCACAACGGAAGTTGCAACGGCCGAGCCCAGACAGGGGGGTGGATTAGTACGGCCCGGTGGAGATCATTGTTCATGCTCCCCCAAGATCACGCCATTGGCCCCAGTAAAGTGAGGTATTTCCCAGTCGCTGCCTGGTTCACTCAAAGGATAACCGTGGAACGTATTGGATGGATAGGACAAAGCAAAGATACGCATCAACAGCTCGAATAGTTGAATGATTGCGTAGTCGACAATGACAGATGCGAACGAATACGAAGCTGCCTAGACGCTAAGGAGCAACAAAGTCAACGACCAGATCTGAACTGCTTGGGAACGCATCTCTCGTCAGCGACCTCAGAAGCGGAGCGGGCCAGAAAGCAGAGGCGTCCGTCGAGTCCGGAGCAGGGATAAAAATGGCATGGGGGGCGGGGCCAAACCTGGAGGGTGAAGCAATCAGATATCTCGATCACCTCGAGTAAGAGGGGGGGCCGGAAGACGGTTCCACAATCTCGACCGGAGCGTGTCGCAGGTTGAAAGGGAGTTGATTGAGAGGGAGAAGATGAGAGGGAGTTGCGAACTTGCGACTTGAGAGGGGGTGAGACACTCAACCTTGAAGAGTTCAGGGGTCACCATTCCAGCCCGCCCATGGGGGTAAGCTTACAGTCCCATACGGCCCCATACGGCCCTGTACACCGCCGCCAAGGTAGATTCACGCAGGAATTCCAGGTAATTTACAGCATTATGACCACACCTTACACGTACTTGGCTGACGACGGGAACTCCGCCCCCTTGCGAAAAAGGAGACACTCGCAACTGACCACGCTGGCCTTTTAAAGAGGCAATCTTTCCCTCCCGTCTCCAGTCCATCCTTCCAAAGCAGTCTCCCTCTATCTTCTTATTACTTTTACTCCCTCTTGTGGACAGTTGTCCTCTTTTTCATTTCCCCAGCTTCCGTTTTTGGTCCAACCAACCATAACCGTGCTGGTCAACCACCTGGCCCCTCCCCCAGGCCCCCAGACCCGGCTTCCAACCGTGATGACACCGTGGCCTCTGTCCCTGTGACCTGGGCAAAAGAGACGTTTGTGATTGAGCTACGCCTTCCTGAGCATTAAGCATCATCAGCATCATACACTCGCGATCTTATACAGTCTAGATTTAGACAGTTGATCTTGGGACTTGTCATCCGATCAACCCTTCGCTTTTGCAAGATGGAAGGCGGCTTCTCTCCTGTGGAATCCCTTGCTGGCTCGCCGGCTCCGGAGATTCCCATGCTCACCGTCTCCCCAGCGGACACGTCTTTGGACGACCCGACCGTCAAGTCCGACAGCAAGCTTGACGACAAGAAGCCTACCAAGAAGAGAAAGTCATGGGGCCAGGAGTTGCCAGTCCCTAAGACCAACCTTCCTCCAAGGTACGTTCATCCATGCAAGGGTCGTCTCATCATCGAACATCCTGATACTGACTACCGCACTTTAGGAAACGGGCCAAGACGGAAGACGAAAAAGAGCAGCGTCGCATTGAGCGTGTTCTTCGGAATCGTGCTGCCGCACAAACCTCGCGGGAGCGCAAGCGCCTCGAGATGGAGAAACTAGAAAACGAGAAGATCCAGATGGAACAACAGAACCAGTTCCTTCTTCAGCGCTTGACCCAGATGGAAGCCGAGAACAACCGCCTGAACCAACAAGTCGCTCAACTGTCCGCGGAGGTTAGGGGTTCCCGCGGCAACACCCCCAAGCCTGGCTCCCCTGCCACCACCTCGCCCACCCTCACACCCACCCTGTTCAAGCAGGAACGCGACGAACTCCCCCTCGAACGAATCCCTTTCCCGACCTCCCCTCTCACCGACTTCTCCCCCACCCTTCGGCCTTCCACTCTGGCTGAGTCCTCCGACTTGACACAACATCCTGCAGCGGTGTTGTGCGACCTGCAGTGTCAGTCGCCGGACTCGAAGGAGATGGAAGTGCTCTCTCGCTGTTCGAGCTCGGCGCCAACGTGGAACCTCACGCTGCAGATGACCTTGCAGCTCCTCTTTCTGACGATGACTTCAACCGCCTTTTCAGCGGTGATTCACCCGCTGGGTCGGATTCTTCAGTCCTTGAAGACGGGTTCGCGTTTGACCTTCTCGACGGAGGAGATCTATCAGCATTTCCATTTGATTCTATGGTTAATTTCGACCCCGACTCTGTCAACTTCGACGGCATCGACCCGCCCCACGGTCTTCCGGACGAAGCTTCTTGCCAGACTTCTAGCGTGCAACCCAGCCTTGGCGCGTCCACTACGCGATGCGACGGGCAGGGCCTTGCAGCTGGCTGCTAATCAGAAGTTCTCTCCCCAAGACCGACCCGCTGGCGGTGTCGGCGAAGCTCGATGGAGCTGGGAGTCTTTATTAACCCTAGCTTGGACGATAGATCTACTCGAAAAGCCGGGACGACGCAAACGAATCTTGAAGGGTTTAAAATCCGCGCAGCATGGAAGGCGCAAGCATCATCATCATCATCATGGGAAACTTCAACAACGGGGTCCACGGAGTTCATGGAGTTCAGGCAGCGCCAGCAAGACGTTGACGTCTTTGCTTATGGGCAAGCGCCGTTGAAGAAGAAACTTACTGTAAACTAGCGTGAAAACCATTAATCACTATTAACTGAGATCGGCCTGTAAGATGGCTTTATGACTTTATCTTCGCATCCATCCAATATCGTGTAGCGCTGTAGCTGTGCTGACTCCTGTCTTGTGCAATGCTTTCCTTGTGGTGTGACTAATCAAGTTATGCATATTGCGCGCCTCTTCAACCGTGCCTACTTACCGATCAACAACCCGCCACGTACTTTCCGTCACCCCGGCCAGCTCTCCACCTTGAGCACTCTCGTGTCGTGTCTTTCGTGTTCTCCCTGGATCTATCTGTACCCTGCAGACTGGTGTCTCTAAAATTGCAGTTCTGGCAGGCATTAGCAACTCTTTTTTCTCACCCTATGCGATTCATATACTTCGGCCGCAGGGGAGCATAGCCGACACATGACAGACTATATGACATGTTATGCTATGCCACCCCTTGCTGGCATTCAACCAAGGGGGATCTAGTACTTCGACCAACCTATTGAGACTCAGCGTCCGTGCTATACCCAACAGCGACGCGCTATCCTAGCCTCACCATTGAACAGCATAGCCAAACAAGCATGGCATCACGACTTCTTACACCGAGACACCACTCTGTCTGTCCAGGACTCCCACCGCTAATTAAAACCCCGATTACCTCCATCAATACCTATAGCACTCTTCCTCTCTCCAGCCCCATCGAAGAAGAAACCCTCCCGTACTACAACCCCCAGCACTACTACCCGGTCAAACTAGGCGACATCTACAACACCAGATACCAAATAACCACCAAACAAGGCTACGGCGCCTACTCCACGACTTGGCTCTCCCTAGACCTGCAGTTCCGTCCTTCCCTTCCCTTCAAAGTCATAGTATCCCATCCCCTAACCAGCCCACAAACAGAACAAACCAACATAAAGCACTCAAGATCTCCACATCCATGAGGTGATCTTTGAGATGGAGTGGGGGTGTGCGGTTGATATCTGGAATTTGGGATGTTTAGTAAGATTTCCGTTATGTTGTTCTGGACGTTGGAACTCAAGGGGTAGGCTTTGCTGATGGATTTGTGTCCATGGTAGATATGGGATCTCTTCGAGGGCGAGCATCTGTTTGGGGATATTTTTGATGCCAAGGGTGGGCATGATCCGTTTAGACATCTCGCGCTCATGGTTGCTTATCTCGGATCGCCGCCGGGGGAGTTTATGGGGCGGAGTGAGACGACGGAACAGTGTTTTGGTCGCGATGGTAGATTTTCTGTGAATCCATGGGCTCTTGGTCTAATGCGTGTTTAGGTGTTTGGATTGCGCACGAGGAGGCGGCTATACCGGCTGTCTCTCTGGAGAGTAAGGAGAAGCGACTGTCTGGGGAGGAGAAGGACTCGTTTATCCGGTTTATAAGATCGATGCTGAGGTGGTTACCGGAGGAACGGAAGACAGCTAAGCAGTTACTCGAGGATCCATGGCTGCTCGCATGATTCGATCAGACACGCTGGGCTGATATGATGATATTACAAGTGCTATGTGGTCTACGATACTACAACTACATCAACGAGGAGTATGGCGTCAACTTTGAAGAATGAATTGCATTCCCTATGTTGGTAGGTAATGAATGGCTAGGCTACCGCGAAGCGGCAGACCAAGGAAACATAACATGCGATGAACAGAATCAAGTGAACAAGACCTGACGGATGTTGAATCCGGGGTTAGCAAAGGGTTGAACGAAGCATTGCTTAGTCAATAGCAACAGGCAGAGACATCGTTTACAGATGTCAAAACCAGCCTAGTAGTCGTCACCACGACTGATGACTTCCTTGCCGCCGCTGTGGAGAAGAATCGTCTAGAGCACGAGTTAGTCGCAATCCAAGGCGTGTGTCTTGCCAAAAATGAAGCCATACATGTTCGAATTGAGCGGTGTAGGAGCCCTTCACGTCCACAAGCGGCGCGTAGGACTCGACGATTCCGTTGTCGATGAGATTCTTCATCTGTATGATCCGTTAATCAAACATTGTACTAATCCATGGTCACGGTAATGCGCACCCCAAGATGATAATGGGAGACACCAAGTCTCTCAAGATAGCGACGGCAGAAAACGATCGACCCGAAGTTAGAGTCAATGGTCTTCAACAGCGACTTGGCAGAGGCGAGACGCAGGTGCGCGCCAGAGACGTCCTTGTTTCTACCATAACCGTAGAGACCCACCTAGAACTCATTAGCACCGGAGTCAATCATCGCAAAAAAAGCACGCTTACATCATCGTAAAGGTAACCCTTGCCGGTAGACCCGAAAGTCTCGATAGCGAAGACCTCGCCCTCCTCCATCTTATCACGGTTCTTACTCTTAATGAAAGGGATCTGTTTCCCACCATGGATCTGATATCGCAGGATATCGTGGCCGGTGATATTACGGATAGCTTTCACAGGCCGAGTCTTCCCATCGATCTCGACCTCATAGCTCTCCATCACCTCCTGGATCGCCGCACCGATGTCACTCATCCGCGCATCAACCCCAGCGTGCTAATCCCATCAGCCTCAAAGTCTAAGCAACCCAGCCAACCACCGACATAATGTACATACCTGAATCCCAGTATTGGTCGCCTCCTTCACAGCCGTCAGAAGATTATCATACTTATCCTCAAACGCAACCGTGAATGCAGAGTCAACAATGCGACCATTGATATGCACGCCGAAATCCACCTTAAGCACATCATTTTGATCCAGAACCACATCCTTGGCGCCGGGATTCGGCGTCCAGTGCGCCGCAACATTATTCAAACACAAGCCCGTGGGAAAGCCCATGCCGGCGTGGAAGAAATCCCCGGGTTCCAGGCCCTGGTGGCCGGACAGCGCGCGCACCCCGTCCTCGATCCCCTCCGCGATAGCGCTGAGACTGGCCCCGGGCTTGATGAGCTCCTTCTGCGCATACTGCCGGACCTGGCGGTGGATCTCGGCCGCTTTGCGGTAGTCGCGAAGAAAATTGTCGTCGTCCCAGAGGCGGGAGTTGTACCGGTTTTCTTCGTCCGTGGTGCGGGCGGTGTTCTCGTACGGGACGAGTTCGCCCGCTGGGTATTCGTTGGTCGGGAAGAGGGTGGACAGCGGGACCCGCGGTGGGGTCGTTTGTTTGGTGGTTGCGGGGTTCTTCTTCTTATTCTTCTTGGTCCGCTTGCGTTTCTTTTGTTTCTTGTCTGTGGAGGAAGCATCGCTGTGTTAGTGATTGTGTTCGAAACTCGTTCAGGGGATAGGGTGGAGAACGTACCGGAATTGGAAGTCTCGCTCACCCCAGCTTCTTCCTTCGTATGGTCGTCCTCGTCGTCATCCTCGTCGCTGATGATGCCTCGGTCCATGTCTGCAGAGCTGGAACCATTTCTTCCGGCTTTGACTTGGGGATTGGCGGGCTTGATGTCGCTGGTGTGGGCTAGTCACGCGAGCGGATTAGAGAAGGAACGGTCTAGGGGGGAAGTGTTTGAAAGAACATACCATCGGGCTCTTGCCGATGTCCTTCGGGGGTCTTGGATCCCATTCTGGTGTATGTAGTTCAACGCCCGTTGTTTTCATAGGTTGTTGGCGTTGGGTCTGAGGGGGTTGGGGAGAAAACAAGAGGAAAAGTGAGATTTTCTCGCGATGATTCCCCCGCTTGTTTGATGACAGCCGAGTCACGGGTCAGCCGCAGCCAACCAGAAGTGTATTAGTTCTAAAATTAGCGTGGGATGGGCTGTGGCAGCCTGGTGGCCTCAGGCTCTGAGGTCTCTCGAGCGATTGTTGTCTAGCGACAAGAGTATAATTTAATTAGGCGGGAATAGAAGTGTCCTATACTAGGTTCATAAGATCGAGCGTCTACAATGGATGGTCTTTCATCTTCAATATTCTCGATTGAATTTCTTGTTCTATGATTCTATGCATCGCTCAGTGATGAGTAAGTGAAGCAAGGTCGTCGCAGCTGTCTACTTCGAATACTCTTCAACCCTACGTTTCATATCCAGCCGCATTCTTGCACCATACTGACTGAGCACGATGGCTCTGCTTCGGAATTTCGAGCCTGCGCTACAGCTCACAGTATGAGCTCGGCCGCAGGAAGCCAGACGACGAACCTCAAGAGGCAATCGGAAGTGGGGGGGGGGGGGGGGGAAAGCCAGACGTCGCAGGTGGCCATAGCTCTGGCCTTTGACAAAGGTGTCGGAAAGTATTCCCCTGAGCTATCACACTCTCTGAGAGGTACACAAGGCAATGCAGGTTCAACTCCGGGCAGCAGGTGAGCGCTGTGTCATAATGCGTCGAAGCTAAAACCCTTCCTACTAGTCCGACAGGGGTGTTCCCACATTCCGGGGCCGGAGCCAGGGTCGTTGAGCGTGGAACCCCAGATATCGGATGCGGCTAAGGAGCGCCTGCAGAAGTACTGTACAGTACATATGCCGCCAGAATCACATGCATTCACATGCCTGTGGACTGAAAGATAGCAACCCACCTGGCCTGTTTGGTGGGCAAGACGAAGGCAGATAAGCTTTTGGCCTGCTATCGTGCAACCTGTAGACAGAAGTTCTCTTCACGAAGATTGATTGCTTGTATGTCGCTTGAAGCGTGGCGAATGTCACTTCAATGCACCGTTATTGCTCCGAAGACAGTTATGACTCTTATTGGAGTCGATCGGCGACTGAGAGGACGAAGCTGTTCCGAAAAGTACCGAGAATGATCGACGGGTGCGCCACTATTAGGACTCAGAAAGGTCTGTGACTGTGAGCTGGGTGTGAAGCCGCGGCTGGCTGGAAGGTGTTCGGACATGCGGGGAGATGAGGAAGGCTTATCGAGGGCGACATCCTCGGTAGGATGGAAAAGGGCGCACTGATAAACTTGTTCGTGTTGCAGGCGAGTCTTGGGTGTTTCTGGGCACGTTCGCTAAATAGTTAGATCGGAGCCAGAGTCAGCTTTCGGACGAGAGGTACTGTCGTTGCCCGCTCCGCACTAGCCTCTGCTTCTCTCTCGCGCGTATCGGAGCAGAAGGGGGAAATTGCAGCTATATCAGTGTTGAGTTGAGGGTGGAGGTGAATCTATCGAGTCATGGGAATGCGAGCTGGCCGATAAGGCCCGAAATGGATGCGGTGGACGGCGCGTGCCGGCGGGCAACCCCAGCCTCAATCGGGGCCAGTCGGCCGAATGGACGAGTTCCCCGTGGGAAAGTCACGTGGAGATTACCGCTCCGCTCATCCATGGGCTTGATGCCCTCCAAATGAGTCTATCTTGTTGCTTCACATTATCGGTACTCCCGCGACCATGGTTAACCCGAACTTCCCATGGGCCGCGGCTGTCCGTGGGCTCTGACGTATTCGAGTGCTCCCCTTGCCCTCCGATAAGAATATGGGGTCGACATATATACTCCGCCTGTCCCTCCTCGGGTTATATAGCTTAACTTTGTTGTAACTCTTGCTGCTATCTGCATTGCTTCTTCTTTTTGTCGATCAAAAACAGACAAGCAGACTATCTTAAGACCTTCATCATGAGCCAAGCCGAGGCCCAGCTCAAGGACGTCACCATCCTGGGGACTGTGAGCACCGAAGCCCGCAAGATCCTCACCAAAGACGCCTGTGCCTTCCTGGCCATCCTGCACCGCACATTCAACTCCACCCGTAAATCTCTCCTGCAACGCCGGATCGACCGTCAGGCCGAGATCGACAAGGGCCACCTGCCCGACTTCCTCCCCGAAACCAAGCACATCCGCGAGAATGACGCCTGGAAGGGCGCACCGCCGGCGCCCGGTCTGGTCGACCGGCGTGTTGAGATCACAGGCCCCACCGACCGGAAGATGGTTGTGAACGCGCTCAACTCGGATGTGTGGACATACATGGCTGATTTCGAAGGTGCGTTACCAGCCCTGACCTCCTATCGTTCCATGGCCCCAGACTAATCCCCGGCCACAGATTCCAGCGCCCCGACCTGGGAGAACATGATCAACGGACAAGTCAACCTGTACGACGCGATCCGACGACAGGTGGACTTCAAGCAAGGCAACAAGGAGTACAAGCTCCGAACGGACCGGGTGCTTCCGACGTTGATTGCGCGGGCGCGGGGCTGGCACCTGGAGGAGAAGCACTTCACAGTGGACGGGGAGCCGATCTCGGGCAGTCTGTTCGACTTCGGGTTGTATTTTTACCACAACGCCAAGGAGCTGGTGGCCCGCGGGTTCGGGCCTTACTTCTACCTGCCGAAGATGGAGTCGCACCTGGAGGCCCGTCTGTGGAACGACGTCTTCAACCTCGCCCAGGACTACATCGGCATGCCGCGGGGCACGATCCGCGGCACCGTGCTGATCGAGACCATCACCGCGGCGTTCGAGATGGACGAGATTATCTACGAGCTGCGCGAGCACAGCTCCGGGCTCAACTGCGGCCGCTGGGATTACATCTTCTCGTTCATCAAGAAGTTCCGCAAGCATTCTAACTTCGTGCTGCCGGATCGCTCGGACGTCACCATGACGGTGCCGTTCATGGATGCCTACGTTAAGCTTCTGATCAAGACCTGCCATCGCAGAGGTGTGCACGCTATGGTGAGTCCTGCAGACACCTACACCGCCCCCACATCTTATGCAATCCTCCATACTAACCATAACCAGGGTGGAATGGCAGCGCAGATCCCAATCAAGAACGACCCCGCCGCCAACGACAAGGCGATGGAGAGCGTGCGCGCCGACAAGCTGCGCGAGGTGCGCGCCGGCCACGACGGGACATGGGTGGCGCACCCAGCGCTGGCGGCGATCGCATCGGAGGTATTCAACACGCACATGCCGACGCCGAACCAGCTATTCGTGCGCCGCGAGGACGTCAACATCACCGCGAACGACCTGCTGAACACGAACGTACCGGGCAAGATCACAGAGGAAGGCATCCGCAAGAACCTGAACATCGGGCTGTCCTACATGGAGGGATGGCTCCGCGGAGTCGGCTGTATCCCTATCAACTACCTCATGGTAAGCCTTGCCCCAATCCCCCACCCGCTTAACCCAACCCCGACGACCATGCCAGTGATAAGAGCTAACCCCGATAAAGGAGGACGCCGCCACGGCCGAGGTATCACGCAGTCAGCTCTGGCAGTGGACGCACCACGGAATCACGACATCCGACGGAAAGAAGGTGGACAAGGCGTACGCGCTGCGCCTGCTGCAGGAGCAGGCCGACGAGCTGGCCTCCAAGGGCCCCGCCGGCAACAAGTTCCAGCAGGCCGCGCGCTACTTCGCTGGCCAGGTCACCGGCGAGGACTACGCCGACTTCCTGACCACTCTACTGTACAACGAGATCTCTTCGGCCGGAAGTGCTTCTCCGGCGGCTAAGCTGTAGATCGGCTCATGCCACCCGTCCGCGATGAGATTATGGATATCAGCTTTTTATTAGTATTATAATGAACAAATTGAGCATATTTTATCTTTTTTTTTTCTTCCCCAATAGTCAAAACGTTGTATTCACGTATCTCGGAACACAATCGCTGCCGCTGGGTTGCTGGGATCTATACCGCCCGTGGCTACGGACACGTATGAATCGTGTCCGCTTTGAGGACTAGTTGGCGTCGTGCTACTGGCACGGACGTCCATCCGTTGTTCGTGCTGGGGATAGAGATAGTTCCTTCAAGACGGCGACGATCACAATCTACGGATGGGACGAATGTCGGAGCTGCTATTATGAAGTAGGACTAAATTCGCCGTGGCTGAGAAGATGAGCCATTGCGGGAGCTCGACCAGAGAAGTCTTACCCTTATTCTGCTTCAGACTAGATGTTCTGATCATTTCGTTCCTAGAAACAATCGCTGTCTATATCATTCTGGGGTACAGCTAGAACTAACTCAAAACCTGGTGCGAAAAAGCTAGGCTCCACAAATCCAACAGCAAATTGTAACAAGTCGCAGGCCGCCCGCTAATCGAACCGAACAAAACTTAAATCCAACTTCTCGTCCAAACGTCACTCGGCATCCAATTCAGATCAAGTATGGGAAGACGGTCTCAGATATAGAACATCTTGTCCTTCACATTGGGGTGAATGGTGACACTGCCACCATCCGGTGCCACGGCACCACCCTCCGTACCCGTGACAATACTTCCGGTCGAGGTTGCATCGAACACATCGGACAGGTAGCATCTCGCTCTTTCGCAGACGAGGTCGGCATAGTACGCCGGGGGGCAAATGCTGACAGCCATGGTGGCTCGTCCAAACAGATAGCACAAACGGTGGGTTAGCGATTCGAGAATGTCTGCGGCATTCTGCTGCGGAGCCTTGGGTGTCTCCTTACAGAAGATCTCGTCCCAGACGATGAAGTAGTGCGCCGGACGAGCGGTCCCCTTGATAGCTTTGTGGGCTTGTAGGTAAAAGTCCCAGTTCCGCACTTCCGTGACACCACGGTCGACCACTGTTCCATTGGGGGTATTGAGCGAGCCGTCGGCATCTTCGGCGCGAGTGGGATAGAAGCGCGTGTGGTGCCGTTTGCCGACTACAATCACCGAGATTCTCGGGAGGCCTTTAGCAGTTTCTGTTGCTGGGTAGACACCATTGCAGGCCTTCTTGATCGAGCGCAGTTCCTGCTGCACAACCATCTCGTATTGTCCCTCGGAAACACCGTCTCTGTAGATAATGATGTTTTTCGGGTATTTGTTCTGATGATGCCGGGCCCAACGGCCGAGGTGTGCTTTGAGCATGGTTTCCAAATCATCCACCCGTTCTTGGCGGGCGGCCTGAATGCGGAGTTCTGCGGGCCATTGCCCTAAGTCTGAATCAATGGATGCGACCATGCCTGCGACACTCGGAGCTTTGGAGGACGACCCAGGGGAGGGATGAGTAACGTCAATACCCACAAGCATAGTGTCGTTCTTGCCAACTATCCCGAGCTCGCTGGGAGGGATCAATTGGTTCGCACCTCCTAGCTTTAAATTGACCTTGAGGCCGACGTTGGCGAATGTCTGCTCGCTGCCTCTCTTGAAGTTGTCAACAAGAACGTTCACATTCAGCACACCCTCCCGAATATCACAAACTCGCTTGATACAATTATAAACATCCGTATTGTTACGACTAGGAAGAACCCCAAGTATCATGGTAGGTTTATGAGCATCCATCATTTCTCTGACGGCTCTGCTAATAAGCGCCTCCCGCTGGGCAGTCGATTCGTCTGTGGCTCCACCGGGAAGGTGAATGCGTCTCCCGGCTAGAGGTGGGTTAGCCGCCACTCCGACTTCTCTCAGCTTCGCGTGAAATTTTTTCAAGCAGGCATTCATTTCGTCGGGCTGCATGGAGCCATTTGGATTATCATCAAGGAATAGCCAAGCCCAGCGAGGCAGAGCAGAGCCTTTGGAGAAACGAATTGACCTCATGTTCCAACTTCCGCTTTCGGGAATAACCGTGATCAGCTTTTGCTCAGCTTTCAGGTCCTTGTAGTGAACATTCGGAGCGGCAAGAACTCGGCCGGGTACCGTGATAAGCTGGGAGGCTGCTCGAATCCCGAATTCAGCCAAGGTCTCGTTTGAGGCGCCACCGAGCCCTAGCACCTGAGCTCCATCCTCCACAATGGACCTGGCATTCTGCGGTGGACGTCGGACAGCAAAGCCCAGCATTGCGCTGGTTTGGCCAGGGCTGAGCTTCATCTTCGCCTGTTGGCCCGGTTCGACATGGCAGACTTCGACGGGCAAGTAACTGGGGTTTTGCCGGTCTCCTACGTTCACAACGGGCATATTATAATCCACGGTGATCTTGTACTGTTGGGCGAAGAAAGCCGCCACACTGATATATCTACCGGCTGGTGCAGGCCCCGCTATCACTGGCTTTTTGCCCTTTCCCTTCGACGATTGCTGTGTCGGCTGCTGGCCACGGGCATCCAACCAGAATTGGACGTGATCTGGACCGGCTCCCGGGCGAGGGACTATCGGTGGGTTGGGTAAGGATGCGCCATCTCGAGGAGTCGCCAAGCCCGCGATGCGCTTGATTCTGGGGACAACATCACCCCTTTTGTTCTTCCGCTCGATATGAATCACGCGAACCTGTAGGTTTTTCAAGAAACGCGCGGTATCGGAAAAGTTGAACCGTTGCGAAGACAAGTACTCTCCGAGCACCTCCTTGAGCGGGCGGTCCTTGTAGCAAGCAACATATCTCACTTGAACATTGACTAGAATCCGCGCAGTAGCAGCACGAACGCTTACGAAGAAGCCACGAAGGGCCTCTAGCCCTGCACCGAGGCTGGCGCTCTGTCGATGGCCTTGATCAATAGCGAAGTGCCTGTTAGCCCCGACGGAGTAGATATTTGGATCACCCTTGGGTTGGTGACCCAAGACAATGTTCATGGCCTGCAATATTTCCGCCTTGTCTTTGAACATGTCAGCGGCTTTAGTCGATGTCAGGTAGTTCAAGAGATCGGAGGGGTCGAGGTTGCCTGTGTATTGGCACTTCACTCGATAAATCATCGGTTGCTCAGGGTAATCGTCCTCCTTTTCGTCTCGGTAACGGACTTCGTAGATGCGGGCATCTTCACCCTCTTCCAGCAGCTTGATTTGGGAAATGAGGGTCGTGGTGAAATCGGTGACAATGTTACTTCGCAGGTGGGCAAAGTGTTCTCCGATCAACAAGCGGACAATCTGCTTGAGCTTTTTCCCGGTGGGCTTTCTCGCAGACTTGTCCTCCAAGATTTGGAGATCATAGCGACAAAGGGTTTTGCCAACCGACATGAGGTCAAAGTAGTTCGCAAACAAGGTGATGGCCTTTCCCTGTGTACCAAAACCGGGGCGTGGAGGGAAATCGGCGGCCGCCCGTGGTGCTTTGATTAAGGCAGCCATAGTCTGCTCTTCGATCTTGGCGACATGAGCGCTTGGAGACACGTCTCCCCCGGCGGGCGAGTAGACTGGTGGACCTTCATAATAGCCACCTCGGCCTCCACGGCCCCCACGAAAGCCACGGCCTCCATCGAACCCTCTGCCACGGCCACGACCTCTGGAATCGCCTGCTCCATCGTAACCTTGACGGGTGGGAAGATCAAAAGAGCCGCGACCGCGCCCACGGCCTCCACCACGATCGCCTCCTCCTCTATCTCCGCGAAAGCCGGCACCTCCACGACCACGGTCACCGCTCCCTCCACGACCACGGTCGCCCCCTCTACCACGGCCCCGTTGTGGACCACCTCGAGAATCCGACATGACGAATCGAGGTGAGGTGAGGCGAAGCGAGGCGGAGTGAGTTGCGGTCGAGGAACGTTGAACAGTCGAGGGAAAGAGGTTGGATGAAATCGGCAGAGAGTTGTCGAGGCGGTGATGATAGCTAGACTATTAGCTAGATAGTGCTAGGCAGATTAAGCTCCGACCGGAGAAAATTGGCTCCACGGGTAGTGGGTCTGTCAGCCAAAGAACCAGGAAGCTGGGAGGATGGTCTGATAGTTTCGACACACGAGAAGATTCTTTTGAATGACTCTGTCAGATACCTATAGTAGAGAACGAAGAGTGAGGATGAAGATTGAGGATGAAGAATGAGGATGAAGAAAGAAAGATGAAAGGAGGGGGGGGGGGGAGTGTACGGAGCGAAGTTGTTGGACAGCAGGGAGAGTCAAGAGTGCGGGGTAAAGCTGATCCATCCAACACATACAAACAGATTGATCGGCCCGTCTGGAACTTGGAGTGAGGTTAGGATCGATAAGAATAACCACTAGCTAAATCTAAATCTGACGGAGAATTGGTTTAGGGATGGATGAAGAATCTAGGATGATATAGGAAGAGGAAGAGGAAGGTGATGCGACATGAAGTAATTTCCTAAATGGGTAACCGCTGTTCCACCCCGCGGGACTTTGAGCCTGAGGCCGGCACCAGGCAGGTTCTAGCCTCCTGCTGCTGCTTCCCTCACACCGTCGGCGAGAAGAAGGGAGATCAGAAAGAAGTATAAAGTCCCTTCGATTAGTTAGTCTATATGGGTATAACTACAGGATGTGGAGATGGTGAGCTTTCAGAACCGGAATGTTGCGACAAGGTTATTTATCCCGCTCTCTCTTGGTATGAGGGGTGGATAAGCTGACTTGGCAGCTGTGTGAGCATTAAGCACAGGTAAAGAGCTACTGAACTTAATCATTGCTGCATAGTCGCTTATCGTGTTCGTTGTGCTTACCGTGATGATAATATTGCACAAAGCTTATACTGCATACTGTGCATACCCTGGTTATGGCGTTTATGTCTTTGGGGACACTCTTTGCCGCTCGCGGCATACTGCTATCGAAGTCTGCGGTGAGCAAGAAATAGGGTGAGTATAAACATGGGGGGGACATGAGTGCACAACTGGCAATGGCCGTGAGCTATTGCTGACAATCTCTACATCGGAACCTAGTTGATCGTGCGCTAGTGCCATATCGCCACACATATTATGAGAGATATCGGGCCCTGTGAGCATCGCGCGCTGCTGACGGGCTTAACTGGTCCGGCCAGCCAGATTGCAGTGATCGAGTTCCTGGCTAGATGGACAGAGCTCTCACAAATCCTACTATGGTTCGCTTCAAGCTTCAGAGCCCCACTCCACACGCTCCACATGCCTTGTGTATTGCTTAACAAGGAATCATGCTGATCAGCATGTCGGTAAGTAAATTGAGCGAACTGTGCCCAGGACAGGCTGTAAGCTTGACCGAGGCCAGGTCCGAAAGTATGCAACCAAGCAATCCGCGCATATCCGTCTCCCAAATCCCTGAGTCGCCGACTGGGGGAAGTCGGTCCCCAATAGAAGAAGCCTAGTGCAAAGCCATGCTCAATGTAGCATAAGCAGGCAAGGCTCGCGTGACCAGAGGTGGCTTTAAGGAATAGCTCTTACAGTACCAAATACGGCTAGTAGCCACTTCGTGCGACTCCTGGTCCCGACAGCCTGCGACTGAGTCCGTGGGACCCTGCATAACTCGGGGACCACGAGATGCTTTCCGAGGACAACCCCAAAGTAGGACTGATAATCTACCCGGCGGTAGTAGCGCTCTCAACCCTTCTGTTCGAGCCGATCCACAATGCCAGGAAGTGCAGCCCCATTCGACCGATTACTTCTTCTTCTGGATTGGCTGTTGCGTTGCATCCTGCTCTCGATGTCTTAGATGCGAGACTTGGCCTTAGATAGTCAAAGAAGACGATGAAAGAAGGAAAGATGTGGCTTGCCTGTAACATTCCTTCTTCTCGTTCCCAAAAACTGCACTCTGGAATAAGGGGTAGAGAGAGAGAGAGAGAGAGAGAGAGAGAGAGAGAGAGAGAGAGAGAGAGAGAGAGAAAGAGAGGCCTTGAAATCATATTTGAAGAGACCAGCACAGTTCTATGGCCTGCAGTCAGACAAAGCTCGAGCGGCGAGTCCCTAACTTGAAACCTAGCCCATGCGCAACCTTCGGTCAGCATCGGATGGTTCAACATGAAGCCGCCGGCCGAAGCACTCTTGACAGTCTCAGAAGGGACGAGATCTCCAACTTAGCATTAACTTAGAGAAAACATTTTTAAGTTCAAAAGGATTTTCCAAAATCATCTCGCGCGCCGGGAATCACTTAAGTGGTTCCCTCGCCTCGTTCCACTCCTCGACCTCCTTGTCCCTTTGCCGTCCCTATAAATACCTACCCATACGCTCTTCACTACTTGCAATTCTGGATCTTGACTCATGATGGTATTTAGGCGCAAGAACCACAGCCCAAAAAGACAGCAGATTACCCGAGGAGAACAGACAGCCCAGGACTAGCATCTGAACACCTCCTACCAGTATTTCATGCACGACTCCATACTGTGGGATTTCAAAGCGCACTCAGGAACCCGGTACGCCAATACTGTCTTCATGACACAAGCATATCTCAACTCCTCACAAAAACCAACCACGCATTGAAGACTTGTAGAGACATAGTGCTAGAACTTTCATGATGAGACTGACCCTATCTCACACGATCACCTATCAATAGACCCTTCCAATGCCGGTGATTTCGCGACTTCCGCGCTTAACCCAACGATTCCCCTTCATGCCAATCTCGACATCAGCATTAGATGCCACAGCGCTGAGCCAGCAGATACCAAGACAGCTGCATAATGGCTCTCAAAGAGGAGGAGAACTCACGCGGTGGAATCGAGGTTCGGGATCAAATCCCCATGTTTTATACCTCTTCCCCGTTTACTCCTGCTCCACTTCTTCTTACAGGGCCATGATCGGAATCACCCGCTGGGGTGAAGAGTACACTCCTCTGCGACACATTATCTACAAGGGCTGGACAAATGCTAACAACTCTCTCATATCATAAACCATAAACATGACGTTGAAGCATTCAACTCAAATTGTCGTTCATTGTCTACTCAGTACGACAAGGATGGCTTGAATCAAAAGTCTCGTTTCTGAGCTTTAACACCGGGATATTCCGGCGGAGCCACCATCGATCGTGCATGTATCGAGGTGGCAAAGCCCCACGTCTCAGCTCTCTCGAACGTGCAGAATATGACGCTAAGGATGACCGCGTGACGCCCAACCCCGCAAGCAAATCCAGTGTACGCCCTTTGGGGTCTTATTTTGCGGGGATAAATTCCATGGTAGACCCACAGTCTATCCGAGAGTCATTGCGTACTGCTTATCAGAGCCTCGGATCGTTATCATCGATCCGAGCACCCGAGCCGAGGGTTGATCACGTATCCGATCCCTGCCATCCGAGCCACCCTTGCAATCCAAGCACGAACTTGTGGAAGGTGGTCGAGTCTCTTAGGACGAACACAAATCACACTAACGACTATGCAATAGACAAGCTATTGGTCTCGAGCTGTTCGGCGATGCCTCCTACGATCTACTAGTATCAAGTCCGGCAAACGCGACCGGACCTCTCAGACAGCTTGAACGGTCGCGAATAGAACGACAACGTTTCAAAAGAGAACAAAACCAGTGGATATCATAGACGACGTAAATCCCCGCGAATCTATACACATGCTATGCTACACGCCCCTCTCATCCCACCCCGCCCCCGCCCCCGTCCCCGTATCCAAAATACTATGATACTCCTGCCTCCCAATCTGCTCCACAATGGACAGAAACTCATACGACGAGATCCCAATATTATCCAACAGCTCCATATTACTCGTATTAGGCGTCGGAGCCGACGGCGACGACCAAAACGGGTCCATCGGTTCTCCTCCACTCCCTGGATCATGCGGCACTGGAGCATACACGGGGGGCGGCGGCGGTAGGGGCGCGGCAGTGGACGTAGACGCTTTTCTCGCCGCTCCGCCTCCCATCGCACAAAACGTGTCCTCCTCCGAGCCAGTCCCAGCCCCAGTCCCAGCTTCCTCGAACCCCTCCGCCCAACAAACAGAGACATGCTGCGGGGGCGGCGGGGGCGGCGGCGGTGGTGGTGGGAGATGTAAAACCTGCTGCTCAGGCGTATTACACAGCGTAAGCGTCGACAGTCCGCGCCGCTCAATACGCGCAGCCAGCTCCCCGAATAATCCCTCCAGGTAGACCAGCTCCTTGCTCCGATTCTCGGCGAGTCGGTTGCCCTTGCTGGCCATCTCGTCGAGGATGGAGTGGGCGTTCTCGATGCCCCTTGTGCCGTATTCGTTGGGATCAAGCGGAAAGAGCGCCTGCGCCATGGCGAGGTGGATGGCGGCGCTGTAGGTGAATTCGAGGTCGTAGGGGAGGAAGACCTCTACCACAGCCACAGAGTTAGTCACTTCTGTTCTGTTTTCGCACAGTGCTAGGATGGGTGGGGATGGTTTACCGAGGGGACTATCCTCGTCCGAGAGGATCTGGAGCGTCTTAGCGGCGGATTTGATCCCCGTCGCGATGAGGGTTTTTGTAGGCGCCAGGAACGTTTGCCAGTCTTCGTCGACTTCGTTGAGGGTGTCGAGGCGTTCTTTGAGGACGGAGAGGAGGAGGGGGCGGGTCGCCACAATGACGCACTGCCGTCTGAATTTAGCATCCCGCTGGGATGCGCCTGGGCTGGTGGGTGGTTTCTGAGAGACAAACCTGGTGATACAACAACGTGATATGCCTCGTCCCCCTGGGCATCGTATCAATCGAGTTCTGGAACTTCCGGTAGATGATCTTCTCGATCTCGCGCGCATGACCCGCAAGCGTCTGCAAGATGGATTTCGTTTTATCGAGGAACGTGCCCAGCTGTGTCTTCTGGGTTTTGTAGATCGCTGGATGCGTCGAGTCAGTTGCCATAACTTTATCATCATGAGTCATGAGTCAAGACCGAGGACGTACTGGTAAGGATAAAAGACAGCAGATGCGATAGCCGCACCTGCAGACACAGCGTCGCGTCGCGTTGCGAACACGCACTCGGCGAGTCCAGCACGGTGGTGATGTCGCTGTCGCGCGTCAACATCGGGACGCCCAGCGAGCACGAGAAGTGTCGGTCCATGGTGTATAGCGTCCACCACAGGTTGCGACACCGTTCTACCGTCTCGATCCCGATCTCCTCCTCGGGTAACTGGGTATGTAGGCCTTCCAGCTGCGCGATGCGGATGGCTTGGCCGAGCTGCGGTGTTTATTTGTAAGATGGAGGTTGCCACTATAGGATACTGGCGACGCGAAGCACTTACGTAGACATGAGCGGACTCGCGATGGTCAACGGAGTAGAGATACAGTCCGGCCAGGGCCAAAACCTCGATCGCCATCAGGCTATCCTTCCAGATAGAGGCGTGGTCCGGCATTAGGGCCATCGCACGGACGAAGAACTTTGCGCCGGGCGGCTCGTTCGTGCACTTGGAGCGGGTGGAGAGAAAGGCGTTTCCGAAGGACAAGACGAGGAGGAACTGCACGAACCACAACCGAGACTCGGAGACTTTATCGGCAGCATTTCCGTGATAGAAGTCTTGGAGATGCTCAACGAATGTGGCTTCGTCCAGGAAGCGATAGCTTTGTCCGAGATGGAATTTAACGGTGTTGAAGAGGTAGAGCGCGTGGTCGATGGACGGTAGGCCACTGATGTCGGGTGCGTCGTCGGGGGAACAGGACTTCCAACGGAGGGTATAGATGTCTTCATCTGAGAAGTTGGGGGCACTGTAGGGAGCGTCGAGGTTGAGCTTCTCGGCCATTAGAAGTGTGAGCCTGGCAGTGAAGGACCAGGTTGATGAGGGTGCCAGCCACACTGTGCGAGCCTCCGTCAGCTGAGTTTGACAGGCAGAGAGTACGACAACTCACCCCAGTTACGCTTGTTCTTTTGCGTGTTTTTGATGGTCCTGGATGGAAGCGAAAATGGACTGGTCCAGATGCTGCGTGCCCCGTCGACTGGTGGGATGGACGATACAGCTGGCCGTTGCGCCCCTACGCATTGTACTGCATGATCAAGGTGCTGAGCAGCAAGAGTTGGGGGGACAGGCATGTCACCCGGACAATCATCATGCTCGTCTGAGATGAAAGCGAGGCTGGCACGTCGCTTGGCTCCTGTGTGCTTGCTGTAAGTTATTGCACGATGCGTTAGGACAGAGAAGGGCGCATTACCAATTGCATGGCTGTGTATTTCGAGGGGACTGGTATGACTGGGCTGAGTAGTCACTATCTTATTGCCGCCTTCAACAAACTGGCAGGTAACCAGGCGTCGCTGGCAGTTTCCACAGGGCTGGTTCCCTGAGCACTTGATCTTACTCTGCCGGCATGGGATGCATCTGTCTCGGCATTTAGTGGGGGAGTCTGACTGGGGGAGCTGAGGGGGGCTGTGGGTCCTTACGCATTGGCAGTTCTTCGGAACTTGCGGCGCTCAGTCCCAGCCTCGGCGGTCATAGTATTGTCACTACTGTTGATTGAATAGAAAACTCACGGACTTGGCTGGGAGAAAATGGCATGATCAAGGGATAAAGAAGACAGATGGCAAAACCGAGAGAGAAGCCGGGGGGTTGGGAATTTGCGGGGTTGACCGGGGGTGGCTACTTCTTCCCCGCAGATGGCCTTAGTTGGAACTTAGCTTTGGCTTAGGGTTAGTCTAGTCGGCTTAGTGGGGATCCGAGCAGTTCCGCCCGCTCAACAATTCTCGTGGACAGTTCCCCTTTGAGCAAGTCTCGTGAGAACCACCCCAAACTCTATTATTGAATACGAATAAGATTAGAATTTTGATGGCAAATAAGAAATATATGGTCTTCTATTGGCTTGTGCATTGATTATCTAGCGAACAACACTCCTAAGCGACATCGAACTCAATGGTTCCCCATTCCTCAAAAGTACATGTCCACCGCCCGGGCTTATCCATTGGCATTGCCTTGAGACAACTACCGGGGAGAATCACCTGCCCAGCTTGGAACTCGATATTGTACGCTGCCAGTCGGTTCACCAACCACGCCACTGCTGACAGGGGGTTGCCCAGCACATTGCCAGTGTTTCCATCCATCACTTCCCGACCGTTGAATTTCAAAGTCCCCCGCACGTCACGTAGGTTCTTCAAGTCTGTAAGCTTCCGGGGGCAACCTCCAAGAATAACATTCGCAGTCGAGCCGTTATCAGCCAAGGTGTCGGGCAGGTCGATCGCCCAGTTCTGAACACGCGAGTCGATGATCTCGATGGCGGGAATAGCGTAGTCAATCGCGTTGATCACATCGGCCACCGTCACGTTCGGGCCGCGGAGGGAGCTGCGCAGCACAAAGGCCGGTTCCAGCTCCACGTAAGGCTTGATATATTGGTTGAGGTGAAGGGTCGTGCTCTCGTAGGCAAAAGTGCTGGCGAGGAGGAATCCGTAGTCTGGATGGTCGAGGCCAAATGCGTCCTGCATGACCTTGGCGATGTTCCCAAGCTTGTATCCAACCAGGCGGTCTCCGTTCTTGACGGCATGCTCAACATTCAGCCGTTGCACCTCGAAGCCCGAGTCCGCATCGAGGGAGGGCCACGTCTTGCTAGGTGCTGTGATGGGAGCGCGGTTGTCGCGGGCGGTGCGCAGGGCGAGCGCCACTTCTTGTAATTCATTGGTCTGCATGGTGTGTATGTGTATAGGGTCGAATGGTAGATCGGGAAAAAATGTGAAGGAGTCAAGGGGACGCAACGCGCTGAATCCTTTTTCGTTGATGTGGTGCAGAGTATGCAGAGTACCGGGTAGCTATCATGGGCTTCTTATAGGGATTCTCCATTAAACAGCAGCCCTACGAGGAATGAGTGGTAGCATACAGTACAGACAGGAGGCCCAACCCTCGGCTTCTTGAGCCGTAGAGCAAGGCCATAACCGCGATCCGATCCGACCGCGGACAGACCCGAGAGTAGGGGATGGCGTTGATCCAAATAATACCTGTTACGGTTACGCTCTGAATCAGCAAACATGACTGAGCGCGGAGTACACGATGATCTTTGGTCTAGGCGTCCATGATTATAGGATTCGCTGCCACGTGGTATTCACGGGGTCTAGCGGGCGAGTACTCTAAATTGTAAGAAATACTTCATTCTAGACTTGGGTGGCTGTCCCCCACTAACTTTTGATAAAATCAGGATTACTACGGTCCATTGACTCTATCGCAGCCAGCGAATTAGGATAGAGCGATCGAGCAGAGAATGGCCTGTATGTACATACAGTACCTGTCAAAGTCCGCACGACATCCGCACCACAGCCAGGTCATGTGACTCCTCTTCCATCCAGCTTCCTTATCAGTGCTCCAGCCCAGCAGCATCTGAGCGCACAGGTCGGCCAAGCTTCAGTTTCAGTTCAAGGTTCTCATCTCCATAGCCTCTTTTGGGACAGAGAATCCGAACTGGAAATGCCGCTCCCGCACATGATCTCGGTTAGCTCCTTCGTTCGTATCCGAGTGGGAGCCTCGCTCCGACAGCGGCACTGCAGTGCCTTCATTTGCCGAGAAAGGCTTAGTTCTCACTTGCCAAGCCAGCCACAGTCCTGAAGGGCCAACATGATTATTATTTGCCAAAAGATATTCTTCCGATCACGAATTATGAGTACATATCTAACAGACGAATGGGGGTTTATAATTGTGTGAGCAACAAGACAAGTTTCCTCTGACCTTGATGGCAGAGCGTGCAAACAGCTACCATCGACAACGCTTAGCTTGACGCCAACAAAAGCTGTCTACATATGACAGTTCTCGGAGTCGTTGAAAGGAGACTCAAAAAATGTGTGGAGTTGGTGTGGACAGGTTGCAGCCTATGAAAATTAGTTGTGACATGGAAAGTGTTATCAACGGGCCTTGCAAATCTTTTCATGAAGTTGATGGCTTATGTGATAGGGGCATGGAAAGAGGACGAAGGCGGTGAGAGAGACTTGGAGGCCTCAGGCTCTCACATTACGATTGTCCCATCACTGCGACGTCCTCAATCCTAGACTGCGTTGGTGAATAGCAGCAGAAGGTTGCAGTCATTGCAAGGCGGCCTGTCGCAGTCATGCCCAATGGTTTGAAAGAGCCGGGGGCGAAGTCTTGAAGTGATGGTGTTGGCCGAGTACTGAGTGGAGGCCGATCTCATGGTCGGAGACAGCTCTGTCTGTTCAAGAAAGTACCAGTCTTTCAGAACAACGTGCATAAACTCAGTCCCGAGTAGACCAAACTCCGCTACCGGTGGTACACATGCTGACAGTCGCCGAACGATCGAGATCTAAATTTGGAATCAATGAGCAGTTGCGAATCGTGGGGTGATATATCGGCAAAGCCGATCGAAGGTGACCGCCGCTGCGTGTGAGGTCTCGGTTTCGCGCAGGGCCCTTGCAAAGCCGTTCCGGAGGGTCTGGGCCTCAGCACGCGCGCACAGAGCATTTGCATATCCTCATGATGTTCGATAAATCGGCGAGCTAATCGAACCTGGTTTGGTTGCTTTTTGTTGGGAGAAAACATACAGGGACGCATACGACAGTAGATGAAGATGAGATTGTGGCCGAGCGTCTATCCTGTGGTAGGATTGAAAAGGACCCAGCAATGCCGTAACTCTAATCGGTTATTGACATGTTGCTGTATCAAAACCCCGGGTGGCGCACTTCCATTGAGAGGATATGAGCCTACCTAGGTACATGGTAAGATAGACATATTTGAGAAGCTCCACCCTCCATGTGTGCGTATGCGTCTGTTGCTTTTCTAATGGACAGTTTTTGCTCGCACGAGTCATAATGAGATTCTCAAAAGGACCTGTCACTTCTGCTTGCTTGCAGACGCGATGTCAATAGTAAGAAGAGGTTTCATGCTTTACCCTGCGGTTTTGACATGGCTGAATCATAACATCCAGATTCTTTATAACGTGCCTGGGTTGAGCACGATTTAGTGACAGTCTTCTGGAAGATACCATGACAAATGGATTAAAGGATGAGTTGGAACTAGACTGAGTTGACGCCAAAATCCAAGTTTATCATAGATCTGAAGTGGGGTAAAAGGAGATGTATGTTGTTGGATTGACATGTATGTATAATTAAGGATATCTCGACGGTTGGTATCTTATCGACTTGGGCTTGAAAAAGCGAAGCCGCGCAGGCATTTCAACGTTCTTTAAGCAAGTAGTACAAGAACAACCTACAGTTGCAAAGTAGTCAACATATACTAGCTGTCAGGATGCCGCACAAATGAAATTACCCTTGCGGCTGAGTGAGAAGAGCGCGCCATACCGCCTGATCCTGTTATCCATAGATACTGAGTCTGCGGTCACTAAAGGCTCTGGGGCTGAACCGAGAATATGTGGAATGATGTTGGCAATATATGCATGGTCAAGCAGAGAAGGAATCGAGGGGGGCCGAAGCGGAAGAGCGAATAACATAAACAGGGTTGTGATGTAAACCAGAACCCGTGCGGGTACAGTTTGCATCGGTCGCCATACCACTGCTTCCAGCAGCCCTGTTGAAGGTCGGCTTCCATCATCATTTACCTGGGTGCAAAAGAGAGCGGTAGCCTAGTCATGCTGCCGTTCGATCCGAGAGCTTGGCTCCTGCGCCCCACTCGGTTCCTTGTTCAGCCCTGTAGGGCTGAATGAGACCCCATCCTGAGCAAATTCTTAGCTAAAACCAGTACAGGTTCTCAGTCGTCGCTAGACCTGCCTGATATTAAACCCACAAGGCACTCATTACATCTGGAATCCTCACGTTGCGGTTACCTTCTTGCTCGTCCCACGCTCGTCCTCAGCCCTATCGCCCACATCACTAAAATGCCGAGCATGCTGATGAAAGATTAAGTCTTGCATCAATACATATGTGTGTTCGTTTTCTCTTCCTCTTTCTCGCGGAGTGCAATAGGTCCTTGTGTTCTCAGGACTTTCATGGAGGATATTCTCAAAAGCCCTGGTCTGGTGGGGTAATACTGAAAGCGACAGATTACGACTGCAGACCCGCCCTCCACAACATATGGAGAATATGAGCTATGGACATTCGCACTGGGGACCTTGGTCGTTGTCCGCAAACACTAATAAATCAGGAATTGCTCCCAGCTTAATGTCTAAGTTCACAGATCCCTATGCAGCACTCGCAACAAGTCGTGCAATGGGAACACCGCCCAATGACACACCTCCATCACAATGCGGTACTTTGCTCCCCAAATCATCTGTGCCATGATTGGCTTTGGCCTGCTGGGCTCGGCCAAGGGATTGGATGAAGGGCTCATTGCCACCACCGTGGATCTCCCCTCCTTTATCCGGGAATTCGGGCTCCATGCCGGTGATTTGAGTGCAGCAGAGCAAGCCAACCGGTTGTCAAACATTACGTCAATGGTGAACCTTGGCTGTCTGCCCGGGGCGGTTCTAGCTTTTCTTCTGAGCGATAGCATCAGTCCACTAAGGACGATGCGACAATTATGCTTGCTGTGGATTGTGGGCGTGGTGCTGGTGATTTCATCCGCGGGTAACTATGGACAGCTCATTGCTGGCCGCTTCATTGTGGGATTAGGAATTGGCCAGGCGGGCATCATCGGTCCCATCTATCTCGCCGAAACTTCACCCACCGCGTGGAGGGGATTGTTGGTAGGCATATATGCTTCTTCGGAGTATGTGGGTGTTTTAATTGGAGTGAGTCCGAATGACCTTTTCCCCAGTGGTATTCATTCCCCACTAATACAAGTGGTAGTATTTTGCCGGCTATGGCGCATCACTTCATATGTCTAACGCTAACAATCGGCAATGGATCATTCCTCAATCAAGTCAGATCATGATGGCCGGGCTCATACTGATTGTTTCCTTGGGTTGTGTTGAAAGTCCACGTTACCTGTGCCAAAAGCAGCGCAACGCCGAGGCTATGCGAGCCCTGAGTCGCCTGCGGACACTCCCCGAAGACAGCCCGGAGATTCAGGACGAATTCCAGTCTATGCGGCGCCAGACATCGTCCAATTCGGATAAGAAACGCGGTCGGTCGCTTCTCACCTCATGGAAGCTTCTCTTTGGTGATACGGTTAACCGCAAACGACTCCTGTTCCTTCTCTCTGCTCAGCTCCTCAGTCAATGGTCCGGCACCAACGCAATCACAAGCATGTCTCCCTTCCATTCCATCTGTCACTCTAGCTTACCTTCAATGACATCCAGCCTACGCTCCCAAATTCTTCGCCCTTCTCGGCATGACTGGTTCCTCCGAAAAGCTCTTCAAGACCGCGATTTTCGGCGCCGTCAAACTCGCGTCGGCATTGCTCTGCGCTGTTCTCTTTCTCGATCGCTTCGGTCGCAAACGCTGCCTGATGCTCGGAATCACATTGCAGGTCCTAGCCTTGCTATACATGGCCATATACTTCACTGCTTTGCCGACAGGATCAAATGAAAGTCCCTCCGCCCACCGCGCAGCCATCGCAGCCATCGCCGCAACCTACATTACAGGCGTCGGGTACGCCTTTGGCTGGAACTCGATTCAGTATCTGATCAACGCAGAGATCCTACCCACGGCGGTGCGCACGCTGGGCACGAGCCTGCTGATGTGTGTGCACTATGCCAATCGATTCGCGCTAACCAAGGTATGCAATCTGTGCCCTAGTACAAAACCTTTCGATCGTGCTTCTATGGTTTCGATAATTTAAAGCAAGGCCAACAAGCAACTTGGAACCTTCTAACCGAGCCACTAGGCTGTCCCGACGATGATGCTCGCAGATGCACTGCAGCCCAAAGGAACGTTTTGGTTCTTCTTCGTCGTAGCATTGCTGGGCTTTGGGTGGGGGTTGGTCCTCTTGCCAGAGACGTCGGGTAGGAAGTTGGAGGAAACGAGTCGGTTGATCTCTTGATTCTGCCAAAAATTTTTTGACTTGTTGGATGTGATATCGCATACAAACATGTGTTGAGCCAATGGTTCTAGTTCCTGTGCATTAAGTCCGTCAACGCCCTCTGTCTTCCAATCTTTGAACAGGTTAGCTGTCTTCGAGTCTTTGTCATTAGTCTAATCGCGCTCGTATAGATAGATATCCGGCAGCTGAGGCAACGTCGAAACGGTTCCAGGCTTGAGGCTCTTGTAACCCCTTCAAGAAAGCTGATAACCATGACCTAGCCGGCACAGATCTTTTCTTACTTTCTTACCTCATGGGAACTTTCAGTCATGATCGTTGAAAATTCACTTTTATCCTCGACCAGGAGATTCCAAAAGTTACATTCAATATCATGTGCGATTGTAGGAATACTCGATTAACAAGCAAAAGAAATAGAAATACTCACACCCGAGAAGCATGCATATTGCCCGTCTCAGAAGTACGACACATCTACGAATCACAACACGATCCCTGGATTGTTTACCTAAGCGAGAATTATGTCCCTGTGCGAGGTAGGAAGGCAGAAACTGAAATGAACTGGGTAAGAAGATTTGACTTTTTTCAAACTTTCCAGCCTTGAAGGCTGAGTGTTTCTAAACATCATACTCCGAGAGCTCGATGGGACTGAAGCTGACCGAAGCCCTAAGCCGTTCTTGTGTACTCTCAGCTTTATATGACTACTTCCATAATAGTATCATCACGTGACATCCCGGGGCAACTACGTATAAAAGTCCAGCCAGGATTGGCGGAACTCTCCTGGCTCTTCATCCTCTATCCCCTGCAACGAAAGAAAGTCGCCCCTCCCATTAGAGTATCACAAGTCGATCTGGTAGCTTATTGACCAATGGTTTTCGACTACTTAGTTGTTTGGACAGAGCTCCAGGTCCCATCTGGATTGGAGCTTCATGCTGAACAGTGGGCTGGATATTTCCAACCAGTAATCCACGCCCCAGGCCACATTCAATCGGACTGGGCAAGAGTCCGGGAACGTTCAGATATAGTAATGCTGGCATCATGCAAGTCTTAAAATTGAAATGATCTTTGTTACGAAGATTGATATACTAATACATATCTATTTAGTATGGCATACTGCTGGGGAGTTCAGAGACTTCACCGCTTCGCCCTGTGCCCAACTCTACAGGGAGAATCTTGCAAGTGTTGGAATCATACCAGTCTCCTCCCGTGAGACTGTTAATGGAAGTGGCTACTGGTTTGACTGTATGCAGCGATCATTCGTTCAGCTATTTTGGGTGTACTTTCCAGCGCCTGTAACCGAAGACCAAAGAGCCCAGGTTCAGAAGCTAAGAGGTCTTGCGACCCCAGCTCCAGCACCTGGTGCGTCGCGTCAGTACGAGCTGCAAAGATCCCCTCCAAAACAATTATGGGTTGCTCAGACAGAATCCTGGCATGGCCAAGAAGTTCAGCTGCTTTTATGGCCACATTTCTGGAAAAATGAAGAGGCAGCAGAGTGGCGACTTCTGCCAGCTAACCACTACGAGACAATTATGGAAAGGTTCACTGAGGCTCTTGAGAAGGTCGACCCTAAAGAATGGAAAGAAGAATTCTATCGCTTTCAGAAACTGCCTCGTCTGTGAATTTTGGTGCGTTGTTCGCTTCCTCTTCGTGTATATAGCATGATACGCACTGTGGAGAAGATATCAAAGCGATCTGGTCCCAATACTGAGGAACTCTTTTCTCTAAGAATAGGGCTCTTTCAAGTGCTTTCAGCCTTGACTGAGACTAGTTTTGCAACGCCTGGATCAAAATCTCCACCTCTGATCAGCGCTCGTAGTCCATCGTGTCTGCTGAAAGTACCAGTAGCCCACGCTGAACCAGACATATGTGTCAGGATTGCGGCGAGTGAGCTGTTTGTTGGTCTCTTTCTTCAACAAGTCCTCATCGTCTTCAGCTGCTCCAGGAATTTGATCTGCACGATATCTGAGAGCTTTGGCCTGATTGGCCCATGCATCTTCAAACATGTATTACCAAAACCGAGGTTTATCTAGCCGCATGCTTTGTAGACTTACACCATGGGTCAGGGGTACAATAATTCCCAAGTACGAGATGAAAGAGCTCATGATAGAGAGTTGCACTCCGAGGGAGGACATTCATGGTGGACAAGCGTGCTCGAGGATTGCGATTCCCAAGTACTGCACGTGCGTCTCGATTGGTGAAGCTTTTCGGGCACAAAGTGATTGTTTTCGCTTTGGTTTCTTTTGTGTCGCTCCCATGTTATACTGTGAGGCGGTGCAGTAGGTGTGGGGCGCGAAGGAGAGACTGAAGAGATATTTTCAGAATCATCCGCCCAATATGGCACATTATTCGTCTTTACCCTGCTGCGAGTTTCCTTATATCTCTCCAAGAGTATTTCCAATAGCTCGGAGCTTCCTGAATCGCCACGGGGGAGGAACTTCCATCCGGCTCTTCTCTCATGACGTTCTCTTGCTTTCTGAATCCCAAGCCGCGTCTATAGGTGAAAGATCCGTGAGCCACCCATCATTGCAGTATAAATGTGGTGTCGCTTTTGACCAAGTGCCGTCGAGAAATTTTTCACTTTATTTAAAGATTCTTTGACTCGATGAGCAGTCTTGTTCGGGGAAGTGGGTAGTTGAGTGATACTTCTTACTTTGTACAAGAGTTGGTCCTTTTCGCCCTCAACTTCGATTCTGAAGTAAACCTCGAGGTAGCTTTTTGCGATTTTGTTCTCCGCAGCCTTTTTATTTCTCGCATCGGCAAGAGCCTGCAGGCCGGCATTGACCAGCTATTTGGCCTCAGACAGGTAGGTATCGAGCGGCTCTCGGAGATATTGGCCACAACTGCCTGGTTCGTTTGCATCCGCTTTGACCACAAATAGCGACTCAATCGTGGTATCGGCGGAGAGTGCTGGGACGAAAAAAAAAACCCACAAGACGAGTAATCGGATATGCATGTTTCTTGAGTCAAGTAACGTCAAGCCCAGAAAAAGTCAACACAGTAAGTAGCTTAGAGCTCTGTTCATGGTATGCGCTCGAAGAATCCTTATGTATGTGCTTGAAAACACTGGATCCTGGTATCTTGATAAACGGACCTTCCCCCTCCCTCTCCCTACAAAGGTCTATGTGGATATGGGGCATGCTCAAAATACCCCTAAAGGCATCCCACTAGACTCACAGTCCAAAAGCGAGGGCTTGGTTCGACATTCCTATCTTACCGAGGCGCTATGTGGAAACAGTGTCGGAGATTAGCTACTGGTGACTAGCTGAGTAGTCCCATAGATTGTCACCGAAGATATCGCCAGGGTCTTGGCATTAATCGACAATGCGTGATATTGTTAGCATTGTAGAATTGAGTCAGAGGCATGGCCTTTAATGATATTCAGGCACCAGGTGGCACCTGAACTTTTCATTGCCCTAATTGATTGATGGACGGAGCGGACCGCCAGGAATAATGAGCCGGCCAATTGGGGTCCAATCATCGGTGAACTCTGCGTCCGAGCTAGCTTCCTGGAATGAGCTTTGTAAGAGGCTTGTAAGATTCAATTTCCGGTATTGCCGGTGTAGGATCAGGACTTTCTCTCCCGTCATCATTCTAGATATGAATGGTACACAATAGTGGCAATGTTTCGGTCGCCCCATTGGCTTGGGCTGCCTGCTCTAGACAATATGTGACGATTTAAGAGATGGTCTTGAACTGTACGATACACAATTGGTCGATCGCAAATCATACGGCCCTGCTCGTCTGATGTCTCCATGATACTGTGCGATTGGCTTTACACGATCTGATGTGAGATCGCCTGTACTCCCGTTGAGCAGTCGATCGCAAAGCCCTGGAAGGCTATCCCCACTTGTCCTTTTTGACTCTCATCAAAGTCTACGGCCATGCTTGTCAAAGTCAATCCATTGTCGGCCTTTCAAAATGTAAGGCACATGCGCTCACAGCTACCAGACAATTTTCAGGTGATGTATTGTCAATGCGGAGATCTTATGGGGGGTGAGGGAGGGAAAAGCTTTGATTTTTTTAAAACATATTCTCAACTCAAATTTGAAGACCACCTTTCTATCCTTCTCTCACAGGAAAGTGCATCGATACTTGCATCGTGCACAAGCCTTTCAGAGCACAGCTCCATACAATCCCCTTTCATTATTGCGGAGTGTTACAATGTGCACAAACGATCCTGCTCGACACGCAGCTCACTTCCACTGTATAGCTCCATGGAGCTTGAAAGTTCCGGGCAGTCCTGGCTTCGACGAAGCACCTACATAGCAAACCACACACAGGCGGCCTCAATTAGGTCAAAGGGACATGAATTGGACTTGATTGATCCTTCTCAACATCACTCAACAACTTCTCTAAGAGCAACCATCGAATCAGGCCCTCAACAGCATTCGTACCTATATGTACATCAATCATGATACAAGTACCGCATCGCGCAGATCCTTAACCCTCAAAGCCACCCAATTCATTTCCCGACCCTCAGCATTTACTCAGAGACCACAGCCGACGCCTCGACCTCAACAAGAAACGCCGGATCGCCCAAAGCAGGAACTGGGACCAACACGCTGGGCGGAAACGGATGAGAATACCCCTCGAATATCAGCTCTCTCGCCTCTCGCAGCGGACCGAACTTCTCCGGGTTGTAGTCGACGATATAGTACCGAAGTCGCGTGATGATGGGTTGTGTGGACGAGCCGACGGAGTCCAGGCAGGCCTTAAGGTTCTGGAAGGCTTGCTGGACTTGCTCGTCGTATGTGGCAGGGATGGTTCCGTCTGGCTTCATGCCGACCTGGCCGGCGATCTCGATGGTTTTGTGGGGGCCTTCGATGAGAAGGACGTGCGAGTATTTGCCTTGGGGGCTGTGGATGGAGGGGGGTGCGATTGCTTTCACGGTTGGTGGCATTGTTGCGGTGGGTTGGAGTATAGTCTGTTGGGGATTGTGATCAGGGTTGGTTGGGATTATGCTTGATGAACTGTACCCAGTGCTAAAGCTTTTAAGTAGACATGCGAGCAAGGGCTCTCCCCTCTTTGGATAACTACCCGCTACCCCCTCCCCCGCTGACTAGCATTCCCGATAGTCAATCTCGGTCCGGGAGCGGAACTCGGGAGCGGGACTCGGGAACCGGTTCAATATCCGTGTATAATATGCTGTATTACATCCGCGTACAACAGCCTGTAACAGTCACTGCGAAATTCAAATGCGGAGAAATGGGAGTGATCTGTGCATCTCCGTGCATGTTGAATAACTGATGCCGGTGGATACTTTTCCTAATTCGGTTTGCTTTTCCACTACGCATGCATGGACCATGTTTCTTTGAGTATAAAGTTAAAGGTTCATGGGGGTGCTTTATAAGCAAATTAGACGACCATTTGATTGATTCTATTCTCATTCTACCGCAATAACTTGCATTCCTATATCCTAGCTCACATCCATTTTGGTGCTGCCCGCCAGAATCAACAAGCCTGCCTCATTCAGCCATGCTCCCGACACACACTCCACCTTTCAACCTCTCTTAGCCGCGAAGGGGCAATGGCTACTTAGGCAATATTCTCTAGGTCGGCCCTATTTCAAGACAAGTCCCATATTTCCAGCGTCCATTCAAGCTGGGTCACCATATTTAGCAACGAAGATGACGTGGAAAAGCTCATCCCCGCCGGCTTTTTCGTCTGGAAAGGACACCTCACTAGTACATTAGTAAATCGACCACGCGATAAAACTGACCACCGAAGGAGAGTTTCGGATCAGGGAGAACCGTAGACGCGAAGACTGTGGATGTTTCTACTTCCCCCATACTCAAAAGTCACCGATACGCCACAGACTCACAGCGTGAGGTTCTATGTAGGATTTATTTTCCTTGTCACACAATGTTGGTAGATAGATCCTGACTCCCAGAGGCCATTCAAAGACTGGCAGGGTGTATCTGAAGCAGATTTCGACCATACTGCATGCGATCAGACCTGTGTTTAGACGACTTTAGCGACAAGCAAAACGACAAGCCTAAATCTACAGAAGAATAAATAAATAAATATACCCACGCAGTATCACTCCACAGGTATCTACTGCTGAGAGACAGAACTCAACCACCAACCGAGCTCAACCCCCAACTTCCCCGGCTGGTCATACATGACCAAATGCCCAGCCCCATCAATCAGCACCACCTCCCTAGCATTCAGCCTTTCCTTCAACCGACCGGCCGTCTCAACCGGAATCCACCTATCCTCCTTCCCCCAGATAACCACCACGGGCATCTTCCTCCCAACTTCAGGATACCTCCCTTCCACCTCCTCCGTACTCCGACTATTGGCCTGCACCATCTGCCTAATAAACCCTCCCCTCCCTTCCTTCCCCCTGCAAATCCACGGAGCCTTCAACTCCTCCATCACCTCCCTACTCAATTCCCCAAACGCCGCATCACGGATATACGACTCCACGACCCCCTCAAACACCGGCCCCGTCAACGCATTAAACACCCCTTCATTCTCCGCCACAAGCTTGAAAAGTGGCTGTCCGAACGGCCCTAACGCCACCACGTTGATCAAACACAGACTCGCGTACTCAGCTCCATGCAAGAGGTGCGCCCGCAGGCTCATCAGCCCTCCGTGATCATGCGCGATAACATGTGGTCTTTTGCCTTGCTGCTTCCAGCCGTCCTGCTGGGCCCAGAAGTCGTAGAGCGCGGCGAAGACCTCCGATTGCTCCGCGAGGTCGGCATCTAGGGCGATTTCCTTGGTGATTCTGTGTTCTTGGGCTGGGAGGGGCGTGCCCAGTGGGCTGTCGCCGAAGCCGGGGTTGTCGAAGAGGTAGACTTGGAAGTTTCGAGAGAGGGTTTGCGCGTAGTTGTGCCAGACGCGTGAGGACCACGGGGTGCCGTGGATGAAGATTAGTGGGGGTGCGGTGGTTGCGCCGATGGAGGTCCAGCGAATATCGTAGCTATGGGTTGCGGTGGTGTGGTGGAAGGTTGAGGTGAGGTGGACTGGCGATGTGGCCATGTTTGAAGCTTGAGGGTTGAATGGCTCAGTAATTACGTGTGGGATGGAGGGGCGGGTGGGTTTATCTGGGGCAACCCAGAGATGTCTATGGTGGAACTTGGAAAATTGTAGCTAGGAGAGAAGTGCTGCAAGATAGGGTAATTGATTACCAAAAGGATTTGTTGCTCTTATAGCTCACTTGTTCGGACATCATCGGCTACAGACGCGGCACATATAAGTCAGCAGGGCTTAAGCATCAGTTATTGCCATTTTCGTTAGGGTGCATATTAACATACTACATCTGGCTCTTTTTGCGCCCGGGCTGGATGGTTGCTTACTCACTTCTTACTAAGCTTGTTTTTGGGTGCTTCAGTCCAGAGCATATGTTGTAGTCCATCTCGCACGTACTTGGATGCCAAATATTGTGGTAAGCTCACTTTCTTATACTGTTAGGACCTGCTTCGCCATACGTTCTTTGCAGAAATTTCATGTTTTTGTGGCTGAGAGAATCAATTAACAAGAATAGCAAGGCAAACCATCAAGTGGGCTGAATAGGGCAGGAAAGACAAAGCCAACATCATAACGATCTCCAGTCGACGCTGACTACTCTATTCCCATACTCAACCCATCACAGACCGCGTGAAGCCATATATCTCGACCCCGACATACCCCCAGGGATAGACTCTCCGAAGCTGAGGACAGCCTGCCCGTTCTCGTCTTCAACGCGTTGAAAGAATCTGCACTGACCGACCGCACATGTATAGAACAAGGCCCCCGGGCGAAGGCTTCGGTCATTGCGTCCCGCCACTTGGAGTCGACAAGAAAAGTTGCCGTCGCAATCGCAGGCCGGGTTCTCCGGGTGCACTCCACGCATGTCCGCGAAGCACGTAAAGGACCCACACTGGTCGCAGCGGTAGTAAGGGCGCCCGGCGTTTCCGTTCTCGTTGGTCTCCGATACGGTATAAAGAGTGGTGGGGGCGTCGCAGTCCCGGCAAAGGGGCGGGCGACGTCTCGGGGTCGCTGGTACAGTGGAGGTTATTCGCACGCTGGGGACGGTGCTGTGGCGACAAGAGGGGTAGTAGGTGGAGCGGCTGTACGACATCTTGACTCTTGAGTACTAGGAATTAGTGATGTGTCATGCAGTAGGTAGTCATTGAGCACTTTACAAGAAGAGAATACGGGGTTCTGGTCTGGAGAGAACCAGGACGAGCGAGCAGTTGAAAATCGATTACCGACGGCCTAGGAAAATTATCTGATTGCCTCAGGAGCAACAACGGATGAAAACACAACAAGACAGCTATTACAGGCAAGAATATTTTAGCTTATTCCAGTAACTTGAGAATCACATGCAACAAAGAACGAAACAGAAGACGAGGGAATGTCGGAGATTGGTTCCGGATGACGCCTTCATTGGTGAGAACCCAGTGGAGTTCTGTGCTTCCCCTTTTTCATGTTTCATCTTTGCTACTTCAAGATCTTCCTTCCTTTCGGCTTACTCCCACCAAATGCAAATCATTGTGGCCTTATTCCAAAGGAGGCCGAGATTATGGGCGTTATGATCCATGCTGGTCTCTGGCTCTAGTCCGTTTTTTACTTCGTAAGCTCTGAAAGCTGTAGGTGAATGCTCCCGGTATAAAGCCAGCACTGTTGCCTTGCGCGCCTGGACAGCATACCATATGGGTGTCTTTCCATCTGCATCCTCCAAGGTGATATCTGCCCCGGCGGAAAGAAGAAGTCGGGCCTGCTCAAGCCATCCATGACATCCCGCGTGCGATAAAGCCGTCACTGCGCCTTTCATTCTGTGATCAGGTCTGCTCCTTTTGAGATAAGGTAGCTCATTACTTCATTACAGCGATTGAAAGCAGCTATGACCATTGCGTCAGGAATGCTGGACTCTAGCTCGGGAAACCTATCCAGCACAGCCTCGGCCATTTCTCTGTGGCCATAGTAAGCTGCGCAGAAAAGAGACTGGTGACCGAAGATAGCCCAGAATGTCATATCAGGACGGTCTAGATTGAACTTGTACAAGGTACCGATGATATCTTCCTTTCTAGCCGCGTACATGCTTTTGTAGCCCGTGTATCTGTTGAAAGATGTGTGCTCGCCGAATAAGTATCTGTTGGTTCTTTTGGAGTAGAAGTAGTCCGGCACCCATTCATCGTAAGGAAGAGCGCCGGTGTCACACAGAAGGTTGAATATTTTCATGTTCCCAGCGGCGATTGCAATGTGCAAGGGATTTTTATCAAATTCGAGTAACCAGTCAAGAAAAGGCACATTTGCGACTAACATGTTAACCTTTTCCATGTCCCATTCCCATATAGCCTCTTCCAACTCATTTGCGATCTCACGTCTCATGGCAAAGTTCCCGACGTCTGGCTTTTGCAGAAGTGTTGGTATTACAGCACTCATGTTCACCGTTTTGAGGCTGTCAAAAATGGTTTTGCCATTATCATCCTTAATAGAGACATCTTCTCCTCTTTGAAGAAGTTCTTCGACAATGGGGTAATTATTGTTGAACGCGGCCAAGTGCAACAGCGGGAGACCCTGATGACCACGGCAATCGGATGCTATGCCTTGGTTGAGGAAGAACCGGACGACTTCGAGGTAGCCCTTCCTCACAGCTGTGAATATCGGGTGATACTGAGGAGAAGGCCAACCGAGTCTCTTGGCATCGAGCCCGTTGCTTGGGAATAGAGCTCCATTCCTGAGAAGCTTGTGAAGCGTGTTGACATTCCCACATAGCGTAGCCCAGTGAGATATATTCAATTGTAATGTGGTGGTCGTGAGATCTTGTTTTCCGCGTCCATAGAGTAGCGGTTCGAAAAGGCTATGCAGATAGCGGTTGGTGCGGGCCACGTTGTTGATGTCTGATTTATGGGTGAGATGCTCGCCAACGATGACAAGCAACTCCGGTGGTAACTGAAGCAGTGGCATTTTGAGCCGAGATCTGTCAAGGGGATGAGATTGGGGTGGCCTGAATAAGTTGCATAGATGGTCTTACCGTTGAAGAAACGATAAGGAAGGGAAGGAGGAATACAGCGAGCAAAGAAAGACAGACGGCTTACTCCCACGGTCAGTGGTGGTAGCCTGTGGAAGGGCGAAGAACGGAGGAAGAGAGAGATAGAGGAGCGAAAGTAGAGTGTAGTGGGAAAGGTGAGTGGAAGAAGAGGGAAGAGGAGATATTTATAAGACAGACCTACGCCTCCCATGGCTCGGACTTTTTGTCATGTATTCACCGGAGGCTACAAGATTATTCAAGATTAGCTTGGGACGCGATTTTTGTTGAAGTGAATGATTGTCAAAATCTGGCCTCCTTCACTATCCTTACGTGATGGCCACATTTCAGCTCCACCAAATTCACGTAAAGAAAATGTGATTACTTCTTATTGAAGTTAGTGACTTCTTCGATGTGAGAGTATTTGTGATATCTGAGCAGACTTTTGTGCTTGCAAGAGCAATATCGTTATCCAAGAGGTTCACAGTAGCTTCTTTGTAAGAGTTCTCAACAGCGCCTCCCTTTGACTTTCTTTTCGTGTTGCTACACGGGTTTGACTAATTTCAATAGAAATAGCAAGGTTAGGCAAACAAGTGGACTATACAGGATAAGAGAAAGTACCCCAACGGTGACTGCAGAAAATCCACTCAGGGTATTAGCGTTGGCGGTACTTGGCAAAGCATACAGGGGCTGCGCTTAGAGCGCTCCTCTTCTTTATCAAATGGCAATTAAGCTACATCAAAACATCATATACTTGACTACTATCAGATAATCGTAAGGGAATGAATGATCACGCTCGCTGAAGACAACAAGCCTTGATCCGATCGTTAGCAGGTTGGACTAATGACAAAAAAATATGGCACACCTTGCCCTCCAATGCCAAACTCACAACCCGGTCCTGCAGATTGGCGGTCAGATAGTCTTACTTTGCGAGTTAAGCCCGGAACTGTCAAAGGTGAACTTTGCGGTGATGATCTCGATTGACTTGATGACCCCGGCAGTATAACCTAATGGAATCATTGCCCAGACCTCGCGACTTGTGCCATGAAGTGGAAAACCGTACCTTGAGCTCATCCAGGCCAAGCCCAACCAGTTCGGCGAAGACACGCTCGCTCAGGGAATACTAAGTTTAGTGACTACACTATGTCTCTCAGGAAGTGAACTCGCATCAAAAGAATCCTTTATCACGCAAACAGTGCTACCAAAGAAAGATTGCTGTTCTCGCTTTGGACCAAATAAATGAGCCACATATAGTAATCCTAGCAATGTCGATGGCATTTCAAGATCGAGCTTAATGTGTTTCTTGACCAGACCACGAAATACTAACACTGGACCTACTATGATGGGCACTGTATATATGTGATGTGTACTAACCCTGGGTTCCAGCTGGAGGATCTGAATGCACCTCGGCAATGTACTATGTGATTTCTTTCGTTCTTGTACGCGCAATGCGATAGTCGGAAAGACTTATCCGGGGTATGAATACATTATGACTGCGAAGTCTCTCTATCCCGAATGGTCACAGAGTGTCGTGGTAGTCGTCCTTCGATGTCTGCTTTTGTCGGTCATATAACACATTTTCAAGCATTAATTCAACAACATCCGATGTGGTGTAATGGTCAACATCGCTGTCTCTCACACAGCAGCTCGGGGTTCGATTCCCCGCATCGGAATTCTTTTTTTACGCATCCTTGCTCCCTTATCAAGGCGATAAGGGCATCAAGTGGAGTCGGGAAGCTATCTTGACAATGCTGGCGACGGGCGGTGTGGCCTCTCACCAATGCCAGAGCAGGAGTCGGTCCTGAGCCCTACCTTATGAAGAAAGCCATGTCATGAGGTCGACTTTCTATCCTTTGTCTCTTGCTTATGACGCTGCGCCGACTTCATATACAGATGCCCTTTTAAGGAGCATGTACTGTACGAATCGCCTACCCGGTCGCTTCGCCGTCGTGCAGCTTCCATTCTTCGCAGGTGGATGAAACCGTGAACTGGGAGAAGTGTGCTCTAGGCTGCTTCTTTGTCACCGAGGCGATCCATGATTTGCGGTTCCAGTTTTCCAGTTTGGCGGTGTCAGTCAATATGGTTTTCCATAAAACGTCCAAAAAAATGGTATCCCGTCGTCCCCCTTATCTTATCACCCTCGCATGCTACAAGAGCCTGAGATGAGTGCAATTTCTGACTGATCACCTATAAGCTGATGCCATACCATGACTATCCAATTCTTCTCAGAGAAGATCTATAACAAGAGCTCAGTGTATCTCTATTTATTTCACTAAGGCTTACACAAAGTTCACTCCTCCGAGTAGAGAAAATAAAAATGAAAAGTGTTAGAGATGAGTCGAATATGGAATCATATCACTTCAGCACAGATGATAAGTATAAGGTTAGAGGCGTCTGCATTCCCGAGATGATAAAAGTGCAATTGATACAGGCACATCGAATGCCGCAGAATGCACATCTCCAGACGGCATATACATTAGCAATCAGCACAGTCGACAGCAGTCTCTGCACAGAGATACCACCCTTATTTCCAAGTGGCAGTCACCGTAGCCGCAGTTGCGCAGCCCGTAGGAACGGTGTACGACCGGTTAGGATCGCTCTCCCACACTATAGTACCATCGGATTTCTTCTTGAGGAATTTGTACTCAAACGTCGTGCCAGCCGGCAGGTTCACTGTGGCCGTCCACAATGGGTTAGAGGAGGTGTACGAGGAAGCAGAGAGAGCGATGGCTGAGGAGCTCGACCATGAGCTCAACTGGCTAATGGAGCCCGTGAGGTAAACATTCTCTCCATAAGACGTCGTGACCAGCTCATTGAAGGCGACGGCGACAGTGGAGGCAGCGGTACACGTGGCGGAGGAGGTTGCAGAGGAGACCGTTGTGGATGTCTTGACACTTGTGGTGGAAGTGGAGGTGGAAGTGGATGTCGAGCTAGAACCGGAGCCTGACCCTCCAGTAATTGCGATATCCGCGCATCCGAGGTAGACTTGTGCGGTCTGGTAGCTGTTCCACCTCCAACGCAGCAGGGTATGCTCGGACGAGTAGTTGGGGATCTAGTCGTTGTTAATCTCGGTGTTTAAGTTTGAATGATGGTAATACTCCACGAACCTTAATCTTCTTGGTCACAGTATACCCACCTGCGATAGTGGTCTTGCACGAATTGAGTGCCGCTCCATCGACACCCTCACAGCCGCGGTTCGAGTTAGCATTGAAGGCGTTGCATGTGAACCAATCGTTCCTGTAGCAGGCCTCGCCCGCCGGGCAGTCAGGGTTGTACCCGCAGGTCTGTCCTGTGACATCTGTGCATTTCAGCTCGCCCGCGAGGAAGCAGTCCTCGGCAGCTTGTTTCTCATCGTTCGTAGGAAGATAATTCGGATCCAAGAAGAGGTCGACGAGGGTTTGATTGGTGCAGATGCCGTAGGTGAACATGCCGCCATGGTCACCGTTGTGGTCAACACACCATTGGACATCGATAGTGTCTCCAGCAGCGTACGTTGCGACCACGGAATTACCCCAGTAAGCGCCTGGCTGATTATAGTCGACACTGACTCTGGCGTTGTAGCCACAGGGACCCGAGCGCCCGACCTGTGCCTCTTCAAGGTCTGGCCATGCGTCTACAGGCTCCAGAATTGTACACTCAGGGCATGTATCAATGCCACCCTGTATTTAGATTCATTAGAACAGAGTGATGTAGCAATCAGACGAAAAGCATACCTCAAATCCTAGTCTAGTTCTGCTCGACGGAATGGTGAGGTAGCCATGGCCAGCGACAGAGGTCAGCAGACCGGCAAGAGTGAAGATTGAAGAACTCTTCATGGTTATTATATCTTCCCAAGCTGCAGTGGCCTGGTGAAGCCTAAAAAGCTGAAGACTATGGATTATATAGGGATATTGCTCCCTCGCTTAGGTCTACCCGCATCCCGATTCGGCACGGGCCTTGGCCGTTAGTGAAGTCTTGGAAGTCTTGGTAAAGGGCGGATCAACAAATGATGTCTTCACGCAAGCCCCGATCCCGATATTTGACCGAGGCTAAGGATGCTGAAGAATGCATGCTCGGCGATGGCACCAGTCGTGTGCAGAGTTGATCTGGTCTAATGACTCCTAAGCGAGGTACCATACGTACATCCAGCCACAAGCAAAATTTATCTGCACGGCGTTGTCACCTACAGCTGACTACCATCACTAGTCAACTTTAGTTTCAGCCGCAAGCAACCCCTCACCCCCAAAGCTCCCCGCCTTCTGTCTTTCAACCCTACCCAACCCTGCGCTTCTTCCCTGCTTCAACTGCCCTAACTCTCGACTAGAACCGGATTCATGGCCCAACCCGACCACTTTAATTACCTCTGGAGCCAAGCCAAAGCGCGCTACAAGTCCGTCACTGGCCATGACCTCGACAGCCCCGCATTCCCGCGTCCCGCATCAGCCGATGAACTTCTCACTCTCCTGGACTCAAGAAACACAGCCTTTCAAACTTTCCGAGAAAAGCGATCGGCCCTGTTTGACAAGCTTAGTGCCTTGTGCCAGCCTATCGAAGTAGTCGCCAATGTCGTTTCCACCGGGGTTGCGGTGGTGTTCCCGCCTAGCTCCGCATGCTTTGCCGCCATAATGTTGCTGATCGATGCTGCCCGAGGTGTCTCGTCGCTCTATGACTCCATCATTGGTCTTTTTGAGACTTTGAAGGTTTGTGACAGATTCGTGAGTGAGAAAGAGTCGGCACCAGCGCTGACAAAGCAGGGCACAGGACTTCCTGTCGCGACTCAAAATTTACATTGCGAATCAAGTCACCCCCGAGCTACGCACCACGCTGGTCAGCATTCTCGTGATCTTGCTCGAGATCTTCGGGCGCTCGGCCAGTGTCATTCGTAGCGGTGTCCTAGGGCGCGCATTGACGTTCACCAAGAACGCCCTCCTCGGTCGTGATGAAAAGCTACAGAGTCTGCTCAGCCAGCTTGAGAAGCTGTGCCAGAGCGAGAACAGGTTAGTCGTGGCGGAGACATGGGCGGAGACGAAGCGAACAGCACACTTGATGGACCAACTCGGTGATGACGTGGGGAGTCTGGTCATTGGACAGGACGCCTTCCGCAACGAGTTTCAGCAGGAGATGCTCAAGATGAGGGATGCGGTGGGGTCAGCGAAGGGAGAGAGATTGATGAGTATCCGGAACATCCTCAAGCCTTCCGTCAATCCACTCGACATGTATCAGAGTATCGCGAAAAGGCGCGTTCCAGGGACGGCGGGCTGGATTCTTGAGGAACTGTCGTTCCGAAAATGGGTGCTGGATTGTCAGAATCAGTTGCTGTTTGTCAGTGGCAGCCCTGGGAGCGGGAAATCGGTCCTCTGTCAGCACATAATCTCTTATCTGGAGAATTTACAGGTCACGGCAGAAGATAAGGATGGGTCGATTGGATACTTCTTCTTCAGCAACAGCGACACTGAGACAAAATCGTTCCACCAGGCACTCCGGGATTGTGCTTACCAGATATATCAAGCCGATGCCTCTTATAAGGTGTACCTCGACAATCACCTCAGCTCTCCAGACGAGATCAAAACCACCCGCAGCGCTTGGAGACTGTTATTCCATCAATACAATGGTATGAGTGAAACGGGATTCAACAAGCTGATGCTCGTTTTTGATGGTATTGATGAAGCCTTTCAGACTGATCGAGAGGAGTTCTTCGAGCTAATCTCAGATCTACCGTCCGCAACCGGTCAGTACATGGATCCCTCCCTAGAGAACATCGAGTAATCAATATCAGGTCCTCAACTCAAAATCCTCATGGTCGGAAGACCGGAAATTCATGGCGATCTCACACAAGCCGTCGGCCCCGTACCGTGCATCCAAGTCGACGCCGCGAAAAACTCGGCTGACATCCGAACATTCATTGAAAAGAGCATGCAAACATCCCAGATCTTTAATCGTATCCCCAACGAGCTGGCCTCGTCGATCCAAGGAAAGCTCATCGAAAAGTCTCAAGGCATGTTCCTGTGGGCAGATCTAATGCTACGTGAGCTAAGCCGCAAGACAAGAGCGAGTAGTATGTTGAACAGTCTCAAAAGCGCACCAAAGGGTCTGGATGAAGTGTTGGAGCATGTTCTCCGCGGCTTTAGCTCAAAGCTGGACCCAGAAGAGGCGGAGAATTTGAACACTCTGCTCGCTTGGTTTGCTTGCTCTGACGTCCCGCTGACTTTACGCCAACTGGATTTCATTCTGCAGTACGACTCTGCGGGCGGAGATGGCGTTTTTGGTTTGGAGACTATGCTCCGTGTACAATATGCTTCATTCTTCCTGCTTCTCCGAGAGGATGGTCTGACAACGGCGGACCTTCAAGGCAACAAGGCAGCGGCGTACGTCCTAGAGGGTCAAACAGACAATGATACCACCGAGTTTCAGTCGAACAAAGAGATGACCCGTGTTGTCTTTCGGCATGCATCCATCGGTGAGTATTTTCGCAACCGCGAATATGGGAAAGTGTCTGACGGCCCTGGCTGTGTGCCAATTGGTGTGAACATTGTCGAAGCTCAGACTCACATCCTGACCTGCTGCCTGAGGCTTTTCGCAGAGCAATTTGGGGAGGATCGAGAAGGAAGGGTGTCTTTGATCTTTCATACTCAAGCTCATTGGCTCAGCTATATGAGGCAGCTGGTCAGCAATAACCGAATCGATCCACAGGGCAAAGCAAAAATGGGAGTCTTGCTCTGTAGGCTGCTCTCGCATCCCGACACCACCCACTGTTTGTACCCGACCGATTGGGAACTCTTCGCATCAGGAGATTTCCGAGTCATCGAAAGCTTCTTTGCTGATCCTGCGATTTCAATCTTCGATGATGATAACGAGGCCACCAAGTGGCTAGCATCGTGTCGCGAGAAGCCGGGTGGTCTTTTCTTGGACTTGGCCAAATACGCGGCCCATTGTTGGCTCGGTGAAAGCATCTGGTCTGCCTCAGAGTGCTTCCGTGTTGTATGGGCAGTTAAAATCATCTCCGAAGATGGAAATGTAGAGGTAGTGCGTGAGACACCAAGCACGAAGACAGTACTGGAGGTCGCCCACTGGACCAGACTGGAAGAACATGCGTTATGGCATGAACGCGTCGGCGCTTGCCTGTCGGACTTTGGTCACCTCAACGAGGCAAAGTATCATATAGACACGGCACTGAGTCTGCAGCCAGAGTCAGTAGAGGCCAGTCTGGACATGGCTCGTATCTACCTCAAACAAAACAAGCGCAGCGAAGCAATTAAGATTTATCGCGAGATTGAACAACTTTACACGCAGTCGCTTATCGCACAACAAGAGCCAGATCACGAGGACTCGGATCTTGACATGATAGTGTCGCCACCCAGGCTTGCCAGAATGCGATTGATACTGTCGGAGCTGTATCTCGAGGAAAACGACTGTATGGAAGCCGCGCAATGGCTTGATTCTTCTGTACAGCTGGGGGCATACACCATAAAGATGCCTAGAATAGTAGGAAGGCTGTTTCGAAGACTGGGTAGAGCGCCATACAACGATCAAGCTGAGATCATGCGCCTACTCAGATCGCTGGACCGAAAGATCCAAGACCAGGAGAATACAATTTTGGATTATTGTCTCATTGCTCACAAATGGGCAGATGGCCGCTTTTTCGATGTTTGTGCGACAGCCGCTCGCGCCACGGAGGCATTGGAGTGGTTGGTAGACCGGTATTTGCAGGCCAAGGCATCTTCGATCCGCAATCTACGGTCCGAAGTTGCAATCTGCCTCGATATCTGTTTGGCCCGCTTATACAGCAGATTCATGGGCCAAACCGGAAAGGCGATAGCTATATGGAGACAGGTTATGACTCTTCCTCGGGTGGAAGTGGACGATCACTGGGAAATGACTCGCTCCAGAGAAATCACGGAATCCTCATATGCGTACCAACTGTACGTAGATACTTTAGAAAGCCCTCATAAGAGCAACCACTTCTTGAGCGAAGTCGGCACACTCTCAAAATGGTTGTTCGAGGTACCACTGAATCGTGAGACATTCGTGGCGAACCAAGCTGGTCTGTACCTTGGACTATGGCACATGAAGAATGGAGATATCGAGCAAGCGAAGCGATACTTCAAGCCTTATATCGTAATCTCACTGGCTCGCATCACAAGCATGGAGCCTGAGTGGCGAGCCGACGCATTTTATAAGCTTGCCACTCTCCTCGCCACCGCAGGAGATGACGCCAATGCGGTCGTTGTATTTCATGCAAGCCGCGACGCGCCAGATAGCAGCTGGGATTCTTTGACACCCTTGAGTACCCCACCTGGCCCTTGGACATGGTACTGCGATATCTGCAAGCAAGAGTATGACAGCTCCGCCCCCTGCAACAAATGTCGGGTATGTACAGCGGATCTTTGCGGTGGATGCTTCACGTCTGTGCAGCAGGCTACAACGAGTAATCGAGGCTGTGCCTCAAACCATGACTGGCTGGTGATCCCTTCTCCGACAGATGTGCATGAAGAAGGGTATGTCATAAAAGATGGTGCACAGAGGTCGGTTGATGATTTCTTGAGGGAGTTGCGTGAGGCCTGGGATTGATACCTCCCACCCTAGTTGCTGAGAAAGCGGCCGATATCATTTCTGAGTGTAAGTCGGATTTGAATCTTTTTGTCCGTTCGATTCTCTTGTAAAAACTGCACAAATTATAGCCCCATGCTGTTGCTTGGGACTTTCGAGCCAGCACTTTGAGTATTCGGATATTGGAGATTCTTCCTGCCTTGATATTTATGCATAGCAGCTGGATACTCTCGTTCACTATGTAGTATTCATATTTTCTGGGATCCCGCCTGGGAATCCTATCTTTACAATGAAACTGTCAACATGAGTAACTATCAAGAAACCACACTCACATCACCCTCCAGAAGCCTACAGTTTTCCGGCACCGTCACAACAGCTCCCTCTCCCCTCGCAACATCCGTACGATTGTACGTCAGGTTCAAGGCCATAATCTGTCCAATCGTCAACCCCACTCTGTCTACAATATCTTTGTACGTGCCGTATGTGAAAGTAGTTGGCGCGTGAAACTACATACACTCGGGCTACACTGAGGCAGTTTCAAGAAGTTGTCCACTTCGACCAAGGCATCGGGATCCGTCACGCCTCCCTGCGCGGTCGCGGAGAGGGCGGCGACGATGATGTTCAGTTTCAAGGCGATGTAGCGATTCGTATCGCCTTTGACCGTGTAGTATGTGTGAGGTCTATCTAGCGCGCAGTCGAGATACGTGGCGTTTGGTTGGGAGGTGATGAGGCAGGATGTATCATCCTGGTTGCAGGCTTCAAGGGGGGGGAGATGAGGAGGTCTTCGCCGGTGAGGAGCGGGAGGTATGCGTTCGGCCATGCGGTTTAGGCGAGCTATATCACAGATACCGCGATTGGTGACGTTAGAAATTGCTTCGATGGTGTCATTTGCTTTGACGGTATAGAGGTCCATCGTTGCGTTTAGGCTTGTTAAATCGCAGAGACCCGACTTGAGGTTAGAGGCGAGGCTGCACTGCAGCCAAGAACCGCCAGAGTAGGAATGACCAGAAGGCGCATTGAAATGAGCTTTTACTTTCAGTGACTGCAAACGAGTGACAGGATGAACCTAGTCGGAGGAGAACATTATCGGACGCAGTCTAGCACAATCCTTTGGGAGGCAGTTTGCTCTCTTATAGCCTGTTCAAACTCCTCATTTTTCTGAGCCTCTTCGATGACTTGTATCAATTTCTCCCCTTCCGATGGTACCTCTGTTGATCATAACTCAATCTACATTGTATGACACGCGTTCAATAAACTTGAAGAGAAACTGTTCTAGGGCAAGGAAGGAGACGATCTTCCTGTCCAAGGCAAGACTCGAGCATTACTATTAAGTCACACGTATATAAGACAATGGCATCAGGAAACTGAGCTACCAAATTCAGAATATGCCTGATCTGATTGGTGTTTGAATCTTCGAATTTATCTTTCTTCCCTCAGATGTGCTGGTGGAGCCGGGTAGGGGTGGAGCACAATTGCTGCATTTGGGGGTGGTTTGCGAGCGAACCCTAGTCCCCAGCAGAGCTTGACATCTCCGCGGTGAGTCGTCCGAATATTGGTGATAACTGAGCAAAGTCATGCATTTAATCATGAGTCCTGGTTTACCTTGAGGCTTTATGGCAAGAATAAAACTTGATTAGCATCTTGATGGATGTATTCACACTAGGTACCACAGGGCCCTTATCGCAATTTGATCAATTCAACCACAAATCCCTATCACAGCAATTTACTTGCGACCAACCCCCCTGCCAGATGCTATAGCTTATCTAGCCTGGTCATGCTCCTACGCTAATGATGCATGACCGGAAAATTTCTGTCACTTATCAGAGTCTTGATTGCATGTGCTCATGCTGGCTGAGGCTGTCTTAAATACTTGACAACAGCCTTCTTCCCAGGTTGAATCGTGCTCCGCACTCAGGTTGCTTAACATAAAATTGGAGCAGTGTTTGACCGAGGCTGCGATGCGCCAATTCATATCATTCCCCCTCGCTTCAGGAGTTCTCTTTAGCATCATCGGCTTTGCGCTGGGAGCTGTCACACTATCTGACTATCTCAACCAACGCAATTATCTTTTGCATATCGTTCCCAAGGCCGAGGTACACTATCTTGTCTATGTTGCGGCTGTCAGCTACAATACCTGCGCGAGCTGTTTCTCTTTCCTTGTCCTCGGCCTCATTCTCGTTATTCACATTACCCGACGAGACGTTGATCGTCGGATCCCGATTGCCGCCGTATTTCTGACAGGTGTGCTGGGCTTGGCCAATGCGCTGACTATGACGATTATTACCGCAACGAAGACGGTGTCCTTTGGCGATAGTGTTGGCCCGCATGTCACTACGTACCTAGACGAGGCTGCCGACAGTGATGGTGTCCCCTTGCTATATCGTAATGATTCTGCGGCAATCGCAACCGTGGTGTTTGCGTGGCTAGGATGGCTGTCTTCTATTGCTGAGTAAGCTCTGTCGCGATTTCAAGGGAGTGATTCGTACTAACTCGATAATCTAGATGTGTATTGTTGCATCTGAGCCTGAAGACCACGACGGAGAGGCAACAGTCCATGGATTTTGAGGGCGACAAGACGACATGGTCTCAGCACAGCATTAAACATGACGAGGCTTAGAATTGGAAACTTCTATTCAAAAAAAACAATTCCAGTATATTTCCCTGCCTATCGGGAACCAAAGACAAACCTTCCCAGTTGTACTTCTTATTCTTGTTCTCGCCCCTTTTACTCATTTTCTATATCGCTGCAGCCACAATAGCTTCCTGAAAGCTTATGGGTAGAACAAAGAATTAATTGACATCAACCTCATTCATTTCCACAGAATCGTGGTTCCTATCTATACAGATCTATCGGAACACTCGATGCACTGGCAGACGTACCCTAAAGCGATGAACAAAAATGGAAGCTTTAAAGTTAAAATCCCACTGCAGCCGGGTTCTTTATCTTGGCTACTACGTCTTGGCGCCCCTTGAAACGGGCTAATTTAATCTGGAACCCGTCAATGAAGTTGAATTCATACACTTCCGCCGCACCCGGCTGGGTGTAAATTTCGCGACACGCGAAATTACACTTTGTGGGTCATGATGAGCTGACTGTGCAGATTTACTGCGATCGCACTAAATCGCTATTCACGGAGCAGTCAATTCTGAAGCAGTTAGAGCTCTTAGCGGCTTTCCGGGCCCGAGGTTCTATGTCTATTATTCTCGACCCAAGTTCCAAACCCTTCGCCAGCTGTGACATCGTCCTTCTGTTCTTTGAACATTGGAAGAGAGCGTCTCATGCTGTCTTATATATAGCGTGGCAAAACCATGAAGAACCTCGTCATGCGCTCTACGTCTTGAGTCGGTTCTGTCAACGCTCGGATGGACCCCGGAAAAAATTTTGCTTATTGTCATCTACAGCGCGGTAGCGGCCCTTCACCTTAGCCAGGGTAGTGGATAATCACGCTGCAGGCTGGCTTATCAGATACAAGATTTTGGTCTGCAAGGGTTTCCAGACATCTTTCAGCGTGCTCTCTTGGGCGTAGCTAACGTATTCCTTCCGTTGCTTAAGTAACCTCATCCACTGCTTCATTCGGCCTGATCGCATCCGGTGATTGAGTTTGAGAGGATGATTGGACAAGAAATCGCATACGCCAGGGCTGGACCCTTAAGTTTGAGATGGACGCGGCCGCCCTGATGGATAGCCGTCTACCTCTGGTCATCCGTTGTATACGTGACTATTTTGACGTGCAACGGTGGCAGGTATTTAGGGTCTGAGGTGGGAGCTCGGAGGATCTGGGCTGTGGGCGGTTCACTCGTATTCTGTTGCCGATATCGAAGTTTTCTCAAGGTCAAGGAATTAAGAGCTTCATCACGCCCCCAAGCCCCTGGGCTTCTTTTTTTTCAAGAGTAATACAAGATACCAAGCAGCCCCATCAATTGGTCCCTTGTTGATCCCAGACAACTTTGTCGGGTTGGAAAATGGATGGCAGCTACTGATCCTCAATGATGCATGGTTGACACTACCTCCCTGGTTAGCAGGTGGACAAGGATTTGCAGACATATTACAAAGTTAAACTAGAGGGATAGTTTTGAGTCAGCTCCAGGCCAAGAATGAGTAATTGATAATCTCTTTGTACTGTACTATTAATCCTTCGGGGTGCTTCGGATCTCATTTTTGGGATCTGCGGCTATTTGTTTAGCTTCGGGACCACCGCTAAAATTAGCCTGATTCGAGACGCCCAGCTCTAATTAGATAATAGATCTGCGAGCCACTTCATAAGAAAACCAAACAAGAGTCGATAGATAGATATCCCAAGTCTTAAGCATAAGTGTCAGTTTATCAAGAAACACTCCGGCGGTCTTCAGTATGTCTGTACTTTCGGTGGTTGTGGTCGGCGGTTTCCAGCCCGGTGAAACATCGGAGAGAGCCCTAACGGTCTACGGTTCGATGAAGTCAATTTGAGTTTCTTGGGTTCGGTTTCCCTTCCATGAAGCACAAACTTCCCCACATTGATCGGAAAGCTAGCCCGCTTCGAAACTTCGATCAAGGGACTGTAGGCAACAGCCAGGGTCCGGAGTCTCCGGACCCTTCCGCATTGGTCCCTCCTCGTCCGTGCTTCTGAAACAGTTGTTTCACCGCAACCCAATTTTGCGACATGTCTGCCCTGCCATGCCCAGTGGATGTGATCTCGTGTCAATGGTATAGATCACAAATGAATCGTTTCATGATGCCGAGGCAGTAGGCTGTTGTGGACTAGGGATTATATATCGGCATCAGACTCCCTCGATCTCATACCAAGGGAAGACAAGGTAGCAGGGTCGCTCAATCCATTCATTCAATCATTCATTAACCCACCGACACATTCATTTCTTCCTTTTTACTTTCCCCAACCGCGTTCCTTCGTTCTTGCAGAAGCTCATACGTCACGAATACCCCGGAAAGAAAAATGGCTCCTCTCAAGTCACTGCTCCTCGGTGCCCTTGCTACGCTGGCCGTAGCAAACCCAGTTCCTGCCCCTGCTCCGGAAGCTGGTCAGCTCCAAGCTCGTCAGTTCATGGACTCTAATGACCTCCAGCTTGGCTCCTGTAAGGACGTCACATTGGTCTTTGCCCGTGGTTCCACGGAAATGGGCAACATGGTGAGCTGTCCTCATACCGCTGTTACCTCCCCTCGGATTGTGCTCCCAGCTTCTCTCCATGAACCTTAAACTGACCCATAGAATAGGGCTCAGTCATTGGTCCTCCCCTCTGCAGTGCCCTGAAGGCCAAACTCGGCGCCGACAAAGTCGCCTGTCAGGGCGTCGGCGGCCAGTACACCGCCGGATTGGTCCAGAATGCCCTGCCCCAAAACACAGACCCGGGCTCCATCTCCGCTGCGAAGAGCGTGTTCGAGCAGGCAGCTTCCAAGTGTCCGAACACGAAGATTGTGGCTGGTGGATACAGGTACGCCTCTTTTCTATTGACGAGCTCTAAAGCTAATCTTTGTGGGGAAACAGTCAAGGCAGTGCCGTCATCGACAACGCGGTGCAGAAGGTCAGCTCCTCTATCCGCGATCAGATCAAGGGAGTGGTGCTGTTCGGGTTCACGCGCAACGTCCAGGATCACGGGCAGATCCCCAACTACCCCAAGGATAACGTTAAGGTGTACTGTGCGATGGGAGATCTGGTCTGCGATGCCACGCTGATTGTGACAGCCATGCATCTGACTTATGGATTGAATGCGGGAGACGCTGCCAACTTCTTGGCGCAGAAGGTGAATGCTTAGCTACTGATTGGTATCTCATCTCATTGATGGTGAGCTTGCTGCGCGGTAGTCAAGATATGATTGATGGACCGTATTAACGTGTTATTGTCGGTGTCTTGTGAAGATGGCAGGATGATGGATGTTTATCTCTTATTTTATTTATGGGATTCATTTAGTCGACATTTACTCTCTTTCTCTTCGTGTACGAGCATGAGATGTTATCTTTTCCATGGAGCGACGAATCAAGCACTTTTCAGTAGAGTCACTACTACCAATTGCGAAGCTACTTATTTCTACCTGGATAATGTCGCCAACTCTATGAATTCAATTAAAAGGCACCCCGTGCCAAAGACGCCAACACTCAAAATGTTGAGCATTCTTCTCATTACTTGGTACAGCTTCTCATTCTGTGTATATGCTTGCCACTGTATCTTTAACTGCTCCTCTTCCTGTCCCTGACGGATGAACCAATCCAGTCACTCCCATACGACGTCTTGTTTGCAGCGACTGCATTATCAAGTTGCTTCACATGGACCCTTCAGGTCAATACTATACAAAATATTCAAAATACAGAATATACACATTCAACAAGGCAAGTATGGCGGTGATTCACCCCGCGGTCCTTTCAGTCCCCCCTGCCTCTCCGTTTGAAAAGCTCTAGAATACAATGCAAGCATCCGACTTTTCGCCCCTTATTGCAACATACTTCTGTCGATGGCGTGGTTGTTTCAACACAAGCTACGCACAAAGCACAGCTGGATAGTTCCCACCCACAGTGAGGCTTTCAATGTAATTCGTAACGTCGTGTCTTCGAACTGGAAGGGACCATAGTGGATTGGAGTCAGTAGAGCAAGCAGTCAAAGCCAGAAACCTGCGCGATAAACAAACCAGAAAGACAGGTGAAAAGGAATTGGATTTCCATGGAACATGGCATTCCATTGTGCGCTTTTCTCATTTGTGTTTCTCTGTTCACACTTTTTAAAGCGATCAAACCGGCTTTGTTGAAACAATGACTTGTTCTAGTGATAAAGCATTGTGTATCTCACAGTCATTGTTCAGCCACGGGATGCTGGATCTGGTACTTCCCACGGACGAACAATCGACTGAGCAATTTGGATCATAATGGACTTACGCGGTCGCGTCTTTCGCACGAGGGTCGTATTGACGACCTCGTCGTATTAAAGCGGGATCTCATTCTCTCGAATGCCACTTATCCTCAACCACTTGCATCCACTTGCATAGTATAGTATCATTCTCATCCAGCCGTCGTACCGATTGTCCCAGAACACTGACAATGTCTACCACCCGTCAGAAAAAGGCCTGTCTGCCTGCTATTGCGGAATCAACCTTACGGTTGTATGAAGAGGCCTTCAAGGACTATGTCCCGGGCTATCGGTTGGCGGCGCATCTTGTCGCGCAGCACTTGGGGTTGGATCTGGGACAATACGTGCCGAAGCTCACTCTCGCCTTTATGGCGTGTTTTGCGGGTCGACGGCTGTGGCAGATGCTGTGGAAGGGGCTGAGTCGGCTGTGTACAGCCACTATAAGCTTTTCGCAAAAAGACGAAGCTTACAACCATATCCTCTTCTGGATGGCTCGCCATAAGCCCGTGATTCCCGTCAACCGGTTTGTCGGCGACACCGAGTACCACAGTGCTGACGACGAGGACGGCGAAGAGGAGGACGAGACGACCCTCGTCCAACCGCCGGTGAGCGAGCACGACGACTGGCGGAAGACCATTGCCAGGCTACAAAGATCGTTTATTCGGCTCCAGCACGACGCTGGGAATCACTATTACTGGTACTGCGGCCGCTTGATCCGGACCACCAGTATTCCCGGTGAGGGAAACCAACAGGGATTACTCCGGTTGACGATCCTGGGCGGGGGGCAGGCCCTACTTAAGAAGTTTGCCTACGAGGCGCAAGCCATCTGGCGCGAGCATATCAAGAACTTCACCCTCATCTTCACCAACACGCACCGGTGGGGCTGTGATTACCGGGACCGGGCTACCCGGCGCAAGCCGCGCGCCCTGTCCACGGTAGTGATGGACGAAGTGCCGAAGACGGCCTTCCTGAAAGATGTTCAGGCGTATCTGCACCTCAAGACGCGCGCCTGGTACAACACGCGCGGCATTCCCTATCGGCGGGGCTATCTGCTGCACGGTCCGCCAGGCACAGGGAAGACCAGCCTGTGCTTCGCCGCCGCCGGCTACTTTAGCCTGCCGCTGTATACCCTCAACTTGGCCATGGAAGAGCTGACTGATAATGGTCTCACCCGTCTGTTCAACCAGCTGCCCCAGCGGTGCATTGTCCTCATCGAGGACGTAGACTGCGTCGGTATTAGCCAGGACCGGGCCATGGACTCTACGAAGAGCGCTAGCGATAGCATCACTCTCTCCGGTCTGCTCAACGTTCTAGACGGAGTCGCAGCCCGGGAAGGCCACATCCTGATGATGACGACCAACCATATCGAGAACCTAGACGAAGCCTTGACCCGGCATGGGCGCATTGATATGAAGATCGAGTACGGGTATGCCGGAACGTCCTCCATCAAAGATCTCTTCATGTGCATTTACTCCACGGTTGAGGGCGAGTCTAGCCCTTCCCCGGTGTCCACGGAAACTCTGGAAAACGCCGTCCGGGAGTTCGCGAGCTTGGTGCCCTCGGGCGAGCTTAGTGGAGCCGAGATTCAAGGTTATCTGCTGAAGCACAAGAATTGCTACCAATCCGCCATTGATGGGGTCACCGCATGGCTCAAGGAGACCGAAACGATCCGCGAGAAACGCAGGAAGAATACTGGCGCAAGTAGTGAATCTGTCGAGGCCAGTAAGGAGTCCCCCGCTGGAAATGCCTCCACCGACAGGGTTGAGTCTGCGTCGAAGTCCACGGATTGATAAACTTGTTGTATCAGCGCCATTTTAGTGGCCTGTGTAGATAGATATAATTATCTGTATATTTTTGTTGCATTTACCAGTTCTTTATCGATAAATTACCTTTTTAGTTAGGATAACTATGGAGAGACTGTTCATCCGGGACGAATAGATTGATCTATTCCAGATTTGCCTACTGCTCTAAAACGGTGACGTAGCAGAGGTGTTTAGGTCAAGAGTAAAACAGTAATTTACTGTGATTTCGAGCAAAAACATACAACAGAAGGGATTCGCTGGTGGTCACCCACCCAACTACTAACCTCCCGGCGTGTGGCTTAAGTACGGCTGAGCGGACGGGAAGCCCTGTTTTCCACACCCTGTGGTCGTATGTATCAGATCTAGCCTAGAACTACTCTATATTCCCAGCTTAATACGTGGTTGATTATCTGATAAGACCTTCCGGTCGCATTCGGTTGGAAACATGATAGCAAGTAGTCTAGTGCAGTCAAGATTTGCCAGTGAGTATTGGTTCTCGACAACCAGGACATAACTGTAGCAACTGCTAATGTAACGGAACATAAAGCCTTTTTGGCAGATATAGCACCCGGATCGCTCGAGTTGACACATGGAACTTGCACCTAGATCATTTGAAATACCATCGCTTATATATATTTGGTTCCTCACTACAACCCGACTTCACATCCCAGTCCAAAAAGATGATATTTCCACTGCCAGACCAGTGAGGACTGCATACAAGACTGGCAACGACCTTCCCACTGGCTTCATTAGTATAACCAGTAGTGTAACGATAAAACGTGAGACACTATGCTAATAGCGTACTAACCAACGAAGGATGGACTAACAAGAGTATGTCTTGAAGAAAAGCAGACAAGCACCCATTAACGCGACGTTAAAATGATATTTTTCTCCCAGCAGCCGTTTGATGATATAATGAGAGAGAGCCTTCGTCTGACCAAGCAATTCGCAGAATACAAAGAACCCCAAACTCAAGGATTCCTTGCATCAAGCACCACCTTCTCCACCAACACCAACATCACCTCTTGTCGCAAAATGACTACACTATGCGCGGTATCCACATCCACCAAGCACACCTCCACCCTCCCTCCTTCACATACTTGAGCATGATATCCTGATAGACCCGAGACACCGAATAGTCTTTGGTCATGGTATCGTACATAACCGGCAACCGCCGCCACGAGTCTCCGGAGCTGGGGGTCTCAAACACACTAAGCAGGCTGCGCACCTGATGCGATAATACAGTAGCGACCCGGGCCTCATCACAGTCGCCTAGGAACAGCTGAACAGAGTCCACGTGGAAGGTGGAGCCATTATCCTTGTTAGTTATCAACAAACTGCGGCCAGAAGCTTGTCATCTGGGCCTCGGTGATCACGTCCCATATAGAGCGGCCCAGTTGCTGGATATACACACTCATGTACAGCAGGTAAATAATACCCCCGGGGAAATTACTGACTACGCGCGAAGGCAGATCCAGTCCCTGGATTGCATGATTGCATCAGTACCGACGGCGCCGCCGTAGGAGTAGAAGATCATTAAAATGCGCTCGCCTTTGTTGACGAGAGTAGTCACAAGATCACGGACGACGGTTACATCGTCGTGGTAGGTTACTGGCGGGGGACTGCTGTTGGCGCAGCTTGGGAGGTACAGGCAGTGGACCATAAGCCCTGCAATTCTAACTTAGAGGTGAAGGTTACGTAGTTGGCTGGGATGTGCCAGGCGCCGTGAACAAGGACGACGGTGGGTTTGTTAAAGGACATTGTGCTGAATGGATAGATGTGCTTGAGCACTTAGGAAGGAAAGATGAAGGATAAAAAGTTCAAAATTTGGTGCCCAGACTCACAATGTTCCATAGCAGTGGAGCTTGCTTTATACCAGAGTTAGTGGTTGGTATGATTACATATCCTTGGTTGGACACTAGTCAGTTAAGCCTGTTCGTTGTTTGGGGGCGATAAGCTTGTTGGTGCGGTAAGCCAGACTAAATAAAATAGTAATATTAGTGATCACTTCTGCTTAAATAGTTCTGTGTGGTACAGGCATCAATGCGACCTGAATTATTCTTTGCTCTTCTTGCGTTGTTATTCTGTATCCTGGAACAAGGAGCCTTATCCTTATGCCAAATGCTCTAGTCTCATATATCTCATATAGTGTAGTCATACTACACTCGTTTCTTCACTGACCTAACCTTTCCATTAGTTAGTCGCTATCTATGCTATGTATGTGTGGGCTTCCGTAGAAAGGCGAGTGTGGCTTGTGAGCTTGTTTCTCAGTCAAAAGGTCATCAATTTCATAGAGTGACTAAGTCAAACGCCCGTTCATCAAACATGAATATAGCAGCTGCTGACTGCCAAGTTTACGATTGCTCTATATTAGGTTGAGTTTATATATATACCGCACCCCCCCCCCCCCCCCCCCCCCCTCGGTGATGGAAAAATTGTATCTGTTTACATCCCCATGTAGAAACCCTAAGCCGTGAAGTCTGTCCAGAGCTATTTCACATATGCTCAGATCCTGAATAGACGCAGGGCGTCCTTCCAGCTTCTCCAGTAAAAATCCAATTCGAACAATGGCGTCAGCTTGATCTTCATCGAAACAGTATTCAGTGGCAGAGCGATACCCGGGAATCGAGATAGCCATGCGTGAGATTTACGGGTAAAGCTTCAATGAAAGGGGTAGGCCTCCGGTAGGAATCGCGGAATTCCGACGTTTCTCTGAACCCTCTGTGGAAGCGAATCTGTACTATGGACTAACGCATAAATTCGAGAAAGACCGAGTTGGGGCTGCATCCTTCAGCATGTCTTTCATAGCCGTTGTGCTTGCCATCAAGAAGATGCTTTACAGTAGGGGTAGTAGTTTGTTAATGGGTGAGAAACCGGCGGACCCTCGGCGGAACTAATTACCCGTGCGGCAGAATAATCCACCGCTCGTATCGATAGATCGAAATAGTCACGTGCGCGAAGACAGCACCAGCACCTATTGTATCCGATTCCAAAGATTCCAAAGCTGTGTTGCTCTGGGCTATCAACAGGCATGAACTGCATAGCTAGGAGCCTACTCGCTTGGGGTTTCTCTACAGCTTATTCTCTACAGTTTCCCCCTCTCATTATATCTCCCTGGTTCTTTCGCCGCCTGTCGACACCTCGCTATGTTCGGAACGATAATTATCGATTGCAAAGTCAAGATATAGCCGTTGGAGTGGCGAAGCTGGTTTCTGCAAAGGCTATTGTCTGGAGTTGGTCCGGTGATTTGGGAAGATTGTAATGGACTATGAATCTACCATTCTTGAGATTCCTCGCCTCAAGAGCCCGTAATGGAAGGACCAAGCCCCAGTAAAGAGCTTCCATCGAGGCGCCAGCATGACATCCAATCAGTCAGGTTCTACAACAGACACAGAACCATCCAAGCTCCGGGCTTTCGACTGAGCCGCCCTTTCCGGCTGAAATCCGCCTCTGGTTAACCTCTGCCGCGCAGCCCCTCCCATACTCTATCTGAGGCTTCCATCAGCATATGATTGCCACAGCCGTAAGGGAAACAAAACCGGGAGCGAGTAATCTTCCCGGTTGCCGCGTGTAACAGCCAGTGCCTCTCCTCCAGCGCCATGTGCGCGGCCACCAGACCCTAAAGCTTCACAGGCAGACACTTCTCAAACCGCGGCGCCCCAATCAACTCCTCCCCAGCCCTGAAGCTCCTCTCCAAGCAGACCAGAGCACCCTGGCGCATCCGTTGCTCATATTCTCCAACACTCGCCGCCGAGATGCCCTTCTCGGATATTACCTGGAGCAGACAGACAGCATCCTGCAGCGCGGCGAAGGCTCCGACCCCGCCGGCCGGGGACTGCAGATGAATGGCGTCGCCCATGAGCGTGATGCACGCGGATGGGGACCAGCCCCGCTGCAGCACGCTCGGGTCGGCTGAGTGCACCGGCATCCCCGCGGTGAGTAGCGGATCCTGCAGCTCGACGAGGGCGCGCACCGACGGGTGCCATTCGGAGGTGAGCTCGAGCGCGAGGTCGGCTGGATGCCTGCGCAGGCGCTCAGCCATCGCGTCTTTCTCGCTCGTCGTGGTGCCAGGCAGCCGGTTCGTGCGGAAAAGAAGGCCCCAGTGAATGTAGTTCTCGGGGACAATGCCGCTCCCGGTGGTATTGCTGTCGGCGTCGTTGGCGACGAACCGGACTGGCTCCGCCACGAGACACACCGGGCTCTGCTCACCCATGATGATCGCCTGGAGCACGGGTGTCTCGTCGCGCACGACCGTGATCCACCGACGCAGGTGCGCGGGGACCTGCGACAGCAGCGCGTGCCCCATCGGGCTCTTGCCGTAGATGCAGTAGGCGTCCGTGTCGAGCAGGTGGACATCGGGCAGCAATTGGCGGCGCACGACCGAGTGTGCGCCGTCTGCGCCGACGAGAAGACTGCCGCGCTCAACAGTTCCATCCTGAAATGTGACCTCGACCACGTCCACACCATCGGCCTTCACAAGCTTGTACTCAGTCAGCGTCTTGCCGAAACAGACGTCCTCGTCTATGCCCGTCATGAGCGCCTGGCGCAGCAGACCGCGATCCACGGTGTAGGGGACCGGTTGACCAGGCGAGGGCGAGAAGCGACGGCAGGCGAGCACACTGCCGTCGGTCGCCCGGATGTTGCTCTCGCCCATTTCGGTCCTTGCGCATGTGGCCTCGAGATTTCGCAGCGTGTCCTCGGGCAGCAGAGCTTGGAGATCCTGCTGAAGCTGGCCGGGGATTCGGAGACGGTAGCCCTGGAGCCGGGAGTCGAGCTGGCTGTCGCGTTCGAAGACGGCGAAGGCGATGTTGGCGCGTCGCAGGCCCTGGGCCAGCGCCAGCCCGCTAACCCCGGCGCCGATGATGAGGATGCGGGCGGGCATCTGAGGGGTTTCTTATTCTCACTGCGCTCAGGAAAGACAATGGTGGGTGGCAGAATGAAATTCGCTTAAGAGATTAGTGCAATGACGGAGACGGTGTGGATTTATAGAAGGGGTGGTTGGGGGGAGGGGGAGGAGGAGATGCAGAAAGTACTATTTGAGCGGGGAACAACAAAAGTACAGAACATGCATATCCCATGCGCCGAAAAGTTCTTGAATGGTCAACGTACTGCAAGAGTAAGAGCCGCGCAGGTTAAATGGGAGAGACCTACTCCTCTTTTTACCGGAATTTCGCATTTCTTCTCTCCTCCACACGCCATCATGTCCGACGTTCTCAATGCTCTTTCTGCTCGTATCAACAACAATCTACAACACCTGACCGCATCCCAGCAGCAGCAGCCTCCTAATCAGATCCCCGATGAAATTCGTCTCGCTTTACTCGATGACTGCTACGAAGTGCAACGGCTCTGCAGCCAACCCAGTGATTACCTGGAGCGGCTGCAGATGTTTGTGAGTTAGAATCACGAGCATGAACAAGAACCACAACCAGCGATCGCAACTCCTAACCGCTGTTAACATATGCAGAACCAGCAATTATCCTGCCTCCAATGGCTATGCCATTTCAACGTCTTCGCGCATATACCCATGACTGGAGCAATCTCGTTCCCCGACCTCGCCGCAGCAGCCAATGTGCCTCTCCCCGAACTGCGCCGAGTCGCGCGAATGGCAATGCTAGAGAGGGTTTTGTGCGAGCCCGTTGCCGACCGCGTGGCATACGGCAATGCCAGCTTCGCAACTTGTTTCGGTGGAGAGACGTCGCCTTCTCTTCGCCCCTGGGCCCAGTTCCTGACGGGCATCGCCGCACCAACCGCCATGTCCATGGCTGAGGCCACCCAGCGCTCGAAGGACCCTTCTCAGGGAGACCTACGTAATCCGACAGCGTACAACGTTGCCTTCGACACCCCGCTACCCCTTTTTCAGCATCTCACGGAGTCCCCAGGAGGAGCAGACATGTTTGCCGGGTATATGCGCAGCCTGGACGTGGCGGGAGGCACCGCGCAGCATCATCTCCTAAAGGCGTTCGCCTGGGCGTCGTTAGGAGATGCACATATTGTTGATGTACGCATCTGGGTTTACCCCAGACTTCCTCGTCATCTTGCGTAGCTTTGACTGACACTCTATAAACCAGGTGGGAGGCAGCAATGGCCACACCTGCCAGCTCCTCAGCGCGCACTTCCCGCAGCTCCGCTTCACCGTGCAAGATCTGCCGGAGGTGATCGCCCAAGCCCAAGCCTCAATCAACAACAACAACAACAACAACAACCTAACCCCTAGCATTCACTTCACCGCGCACGACTTCCTCACCCCACAGCCCCCGACCATCGCTCACATAGGGGACATCTACCTCCTACGCCGCATCCTGCACAACTGGCCGGACCACCAGGCCACCCAGATCCTACAACACCTGGCAGACGCCATGGCCACGAGGATTGCACGGGACAAGGAGACACAAAGCATGGAGACAACACCCCCCCGGCTCCTGATCATGGACACAGTCCTTCCAGCCGGCCCGCACGAGATTCCCGCCTACCAGGAGGGGCTCCTGCGTATGCGCGACCTGGTGATGTGGCAGAGCTTCCACAGCCAGGAGCGAGGGTGGGCCGACTGGATGACGCTGCTGCAGTCAACGCGGCCGCCACTGCGGGTTTTGTGTCCGGTTGCGAAACCGGCAGGGAGTCATATGTCCGTGCTGGTTGTGGGGATTTGATGGCAGTTACGGACTTTGGGTGTTTCATTTTGAATCGTGCTGCGTGATCATATTTACATTAAGTAGGACTGTCTGCTGTGCTATACACTCCAATTAACCGCCTCCATGTCACTCTCCATCGGCCATGTGTGTGTCTAGTATATCCGCTGACACAGAATTCGCGCGGATGATATCATCTGCAATTTTCTCCGCGAGGCCATCTGTAAACAAGTCCGGAATTAGCGCTGGCTATCTTCTTTATCTCTTCAACCGTACGCCGCTGGCAGAAACATCACACGCAAAGAACAGAACAACTTACAAATCGTAGCCTGCGGATGCCCCGGGGGCAGGAAGGGCATAGCCGAGGCATCGACGACTCGCAACCGCTGCGTGCCAAACACGCGGGCCTGGGCATCGACGACCGCCATGGGATCGTCGCGACGGCCCATCTTGCAGGTACAAGCGGCATGGAAGGTCATGATGGCGTTGCCGCGGATGAGGTCGAGGATCTGAGCGTCGGTGGTCATGTTGGCGCCGGGATACACCTCGGCGACGGTGACGGCCTGCATCTCCTCCGTCGCCATCATGGCGCGCAGGCGACGGAACGCGGCGACGGCCAGCTCCTGATCGGCGGGGTGAGTGAGCCAGTTGGGGTCGATGCGCGGGGGGTCGGCGGCGTTGGACGAGGCGAGGGTGACGGCGCCGCGGCTGAGCGGGGCGACCAGCACGGCGCTGGGCGAGGCGTACATGAAGCTGCGCGCGGGGTCATCGCCCGGCGGGATCGCCGTGATATAGTTCTGGTTGTCGCCGCTGTACGCATCTAGCACCAGGTACTCCAGCTCCGGCCAGTCGGCGGGGAACTGCGCGAGCGCGGCCTGCGTGTCAACGCTGAGCCCGGCGGCGCGCTCCGCAGCCGGCAGCTTCTCCCAGGCGACCAGATCCCCGCCGGGGTTGGTGAGGAGTCCCGTCTGGTTGGTGTAGTAGGCTGCCGTTGCGGCTGTGAGGACGTCTCCTTTGATGCTGCTCAGCGCAGAGTGTGTAAGCGGCGTGACGCGATAGCTGAGGCCGAACAGCAGGTGGTCCCACATATTCTGGCCCACGCCGGGGAGAGGCACGACGAGGGGGATGTGGTGCTCTTGCAAGGTCGCGGCGGGGCCGATGCCGGAGAGCATTAGCAGCTGAGGGGATTGGAACTACAGTCGGACAATGGCATTGGCTCCAAGTTAGCAAGATACCGTTCCTCCGACATGTCAGATAGAAAACTTACGCTACCGGCTGAAAGGATCACCTCTTGGCGTGCGGAGAGAACATACTCGACCCCATCGGTCTCGACCAGCACGCCGGTGGCAGTGGTCCCGTCGAAGAGAATGCGGTGGGCCAGGGTATGGTTGTACACTCGCGAGACGCCGCTGGTTAGGGTTAGGTGCAGGAAGGCGGATTCGGACGAGCTCCGCGACTGGTCTGCTGGGTCAATGGTGTTCATGTTGTACTGCACGCCGAAGAGACTGCCCGTTACGAAGTCGCGGATGGGGCCAATTCCCAGCTGTTCCCACGCACGCTTGACAAAGGACGAGAATGGATTGGCCCAGGGAGGGATGGACACCTGCAGAGGACCGTCACTCGCTGCAAACCCCGCCCCGGCATTGGGAACGGAGGCATTGGGGGCGCGTTGTTGGTTGTCGGCAGGGGTAAAGCGTATCGCGCGCTGCATGTGTGGCGCAAACCGCTCCAGCGAGTACTCAGTGTCGCCCACCTCCTGGGCCCACTTCTCGTATGCTTGACGCGTGGCGCGCATGTACGTGAAATAATTCCGGGCCGAGCTGTTGAGGGAGGTTTTTGATTTAGGTTCTGAATCATGCATAAGAACAGGGCATGCTCGGCGCTTACCTTCCCCCGAGGCATTTCCCGCGTGCGTAGTGTAGCCGGCGATTCGCCAACCCCTGCTTACTCGCGGAGAGTCAGTGACAAATTAAGTGAAAGAACCAGCGAGGAGCGAGGCAAACGCACAGCTTGTGGAGTGGTGACGAACCCCCAGTCAATGGCGGGGTTGGTGTCATTGGGGGCAGCGCCAGCATACCAGACCGAGTTGGAGGGGATCGTGCTGATATTGCCTACGTCTTGCTCATAGAAGCCCCCTGCTTCGACGATCGCCACCGATTGCCCACTCTGGGATAGTCGCGCTGCCATCACCAGCCCCGCCGTTCCTCCACCGATGACTACGTAGTCGAAGGTCGCATTCTCGCCGACAACGCCAAAAGATCGATGGGGTGGGAGGGCGAAACTGCGGGCCAGAGTCAGGGCGGCCAGACCTAGTACACAAAACGCCTTTGTGAGCATTGCAGAAGGAGGAGAAAGGATGGAGAGACCGGACGACGAGCAGGATCAATTAACGCGGATTCACATTAACACTGAAACACTGTAGCACTGTCCAGGTAAGATCCCCTTCCTGCCCATCCTTTTAATACTGGACACCTTCTCCCAAGAACACCATGATGCTATACTTGTCTTGGAGTACTATCCAAGCCTCATCACAGCCGAAGGCGCAGCCTCCTGCTGCTATACATGCACAAGTCTATACAGCTGGCCTAAGATTCTCCCTTGCTTATCCTGCATGGAGCCCCTCCTTCCTGAACAGACCACACACACACGCACCAACTCGGCGGAGAGTCATGACATGCAGCACTTTTGGCCCCTTCTTCCCGTCTCACATCAGCACAACTCCCAGTAGTATCCTCTCACTCCCTCTTCCGCTGACGAGCGACCCCAACTGCAGTCGTAGCCGCCACCGAATCCAGCCGTCGTCTCTCCAGGCCCAAGCCAACGCCAAGCATCGCCAACAGCGTCCCGCAGATGTACAGTTGCGGAAATCCTTCCCCGAAGCCAGGATCAATAGGCAGGGCGCCGGGGTAAAGGATGCCGCTCAGGATGGCCAAGAGGTGGAGGGCTGGCAGCCAGGCCGCGGTGTACAGCGACTGCGTCCCCGGTCGCGTGAGGTAGAACCACGAGCTCAGCCCCAGGAGTAGCCCGGTCGTCATGGTCTGTCCGTTGTGATATCGGGCGTGTGGGGGCCACTGCGGGTTGAAGACATGGGTTTCATTCCAGTCGGCGACGAAGCCCCCCATGGCTGTGAGGAGGGCCGCGAGGGCAATCAGGCCGCGGCCGGGGGTCAGCATTCTCGAGGTAGGGCTGGACCGAGCAATGAGGGGAGGGAGCGTGGCTGAGAGGAACAACAGGCGATTGTTAGTCTGCTCCGGATAAGACTGACGAAGAAGGGGAGGGGCTGTCAGCATGTCAAATAACTTACCATGGTCGGCGGTAAATGGATCTCAGACATTGAGGAATGTACGCAGACTGAAAGGGGAAAAACTACGACATGGTGGCTTCGGACTAGCAGGGATGTCTCCCTGTGTGGGTGACTGCATGTTTGAGTTGGCTTGTCCAATCAAGAATACGTTTTAGACCGAGAGGCATGAGATGCACACAGCTAGAACAAGTGGTGAGATTATTGATTCAGGTTCACTACTCTCCTACACGTGCCAGGCTCAATCGAGGAGCTGTGTCGTAAACACCCCTTGCGGATCCCACTCGCGCTTCAATCTCCGCAATTTCTCCAGTCGAGCTGTCCCCTGATAGCGTCGCTCGATCAGCCCTGTGCGTGTTCCATTCTGGAAGTCCCTGAAGCGCGACTCGTCTGGTCCCCGCATGATGGCTATGCACTCGGCATTATAGCCATCCACTTTGTTCCGGTTGGCCTTGTCTGTATGCCAGATCAGGTTGTTCCTATCATTTGCCGCCAAGAGTCAGCAGTGGTCATTTTGAGTAAGTAAGGGGGGAGAAAAACGTACTGCCAATAGCGGATATCATGCAAGCACATAGCCGAATCTGCCTCGGGCGCGAAGGGGGGTCTGGAATCCCACTGGAAGTTGAAGCCCGTATTGATCGCGTCAGGGCATTCGGCTATCATCTTCTTCCAGATGTCCACCGTGCGCACAAACGCATCCGCGTCGAAATCATGCAGCCCGACCACGCCGAACTGCTTGAAGTCACCCTTGGCGCACAGCACCTCGCGCGCGTCGCTCGCGTTCTGCACGGGCACCTCGCTCCCCGTCGCCAGCAGCGGCTGGAGGTCGTACAGCGGGCCAAAGGGGACGTGCGGGTCTTCGTCGCCCGTGTATCGCGCTGAGATAACGAGCGCGGGGTTGCGCTGGGGCGGCGGCGCCACGATCATCATCAGACCCGCGGTCGCATGTCGTGCGTCCGCCATGAGCAGCTTCATGACGCGGGCGACCTCCGTCGTGCGCTCCAGCGGGAAGACAAACGTCCCGACCCAGATCAACCCCTGCTGCCGGCGGAGGAGGGTGAGCGGATGGGCGCGGACGGTGAGCTGTGTGACGAGGCCGAAGAACTGGCCTGCGCCGCGCAGCGCCCACAGCAGCTCCGGATGGTCCTGCTCTGTCACCTCCACCAGCGTGCCGCCGTTCTTGGCGGTGATAACTCGCGCCGCGACGATCTGATCTGACCCGAACCCGGTGATTGAGGTGGTGATGGAGGCGCCGCCGCCGAGGAAGTAGGGGATCGCGCCGACCGTGTTGCCATTGCCCAGTGCTGAGGTTCTGGTTAGCCGTCGGGGTGGATGGAGATGGATGTAGAGATATACCAGTGAAGAGTCCTGCTTCGGCGAGGCGGACACCGACCTGCTTGGACAGCACACCACCGACTAAGGTGGCTGTCTTTGTTTCCTTGTTCACCGTGATATCTGTGTAGTTCCTGAGGTCAATAATGACACCACCCTCCCCGATCGTAGACCAGGCACTGTGGCCCCCACTGGAGGGTACGAGCGGAATGGAGTGTTGCAAAGCCCATTGAACCTGAGTTGGTATCAGTATAGCGTTGGTGGTCTGCATGGAGATATACGTACGGTCTTGAGGCAGTCTGCTTCGGTGCGGGGCAGGATGATGGCTGTTGGCACCTGGCGATCAATATCGGTCCAGCGTCTGAGATGGTCTTGAAATGTCGAACTCTGAGGATCTTGAAGTATTTGGCAGTCCGAGGCTACAGTCGCCTGCAGAAGTGGAAGTTGCGACAAGACGTGAACAGACATGACTGGTGACTGACAGGTTGGGCTACGTTGGTGGGGTGAAAGGAAGAACAGGAGAATGCAGGAGATGCAGGAGATGCAGGAGAAGCAAGAGAGAAGGAAGGGGAGAAAGTGAGATCCTGGTCTAGCTTACATTATTCACGGGCGGGGTTTGATCAAACAGGATGACAAGGCTGTAAGACATGCACTCAACTATGTTGGTAGGGGCCTTGCATCCCTCACACTCTCACACTCCCCGAAATAGTGAGTAAGTATCAAGATCGTCTTCCGCATTTTACTGCATACCACCCAGTATTAAACCCTTCCCCCCGCAGCATCACCCCTCATTACCTTCAGCATGACCTCCCACACACAGCACATCCCAGACCATGTCTTATGGTGGAGATTTCAATCGAGGACCTTTCCTCAATACTCTCAACTGGATTCTGCAGGCCTGCTCTCTGCTTGCGGTAGCCCTCCGATTGCTCTCCCATCGCCTTCGAGACACGCATGACTGGGGGGTCGATGATCTTCTTACTGTCCTGGCCGTCGTACGTCTACTCGTCCGGTGACTGCCTCGCTTCCTACTCACAGCCTCCGTTTACCAGAGTGTTCATCTATCACGATCCATCCTGTTGTCTATCGCCATTAACGGTGGCTTTGGGCGACACTTACCAGAGCTTCTCGAGCATGAACCGGCGGAGAAGGTGACCCATCTGCTGCACGAGTTAGTGGCTCTGCAGGCGATTGGGCTCTGGACCTTTGCCGTGCCCAAACTGCCGGTGGTGGCTCTGCTCGTGCGGCTCTTTGGCCGAGTCACTCGACACGCTGTGGTCTTGTATAGTTCCGCCCTAGTTCTGATCGTGCTGGTCACAGTGGTCACCATCACCACGTTCGCGCAGTGCACCCCCGCGGCTGCCCAGTGGGATACCTCCGTCCACGGCAAATGCTGGAATCGATCCATCAATGTGGACTTGGGCTACCTAGCTGGCTGTGAGTGACCACCGTCTTTTGAAGTCTTCTGAAGCGATCGGAAACAAATCTGACGAGAGCGGTACCTCGCCAAAGCATACTCGGTGGTTCTGGACGTGGGCTACGCACTTTATGCGATTCTGCAAATTCGGATTCTGCAGATGGAACGCAGTCGGAAGGCCTTGATTGCTGGGTCGATGAGTTTTGGATTTTTGTAAGTTTTGTTTTATTTTCTGCAGTCAGCAAGAAGAGAAGAACTAAAAGGGAGAAACCCTGTCAACTTTAGAGGCGGGATTGTGACTATCTACAAGCTGACCACCATCCACCAAATCAACGACACTCAAGACCCCACCTGTAAGCTTTGTCCTGGTCGAAGTCAATTCTCGCCAATAGTTAACTCATGACACTAGGGGCGACTGTGCCGCTTGAAGTGTGGAACAGGTAAGCCAAAACCAGTCATGTTGTATACCCGCAATCCCTGCCATTCTTCCTTTGCCGCTTTTTCCGTGCTTGTTTGCTTTTCCCTGCCCTATTTCCCCGTCTCTCCCCTCTGCTTTTACCTATTTTTTCAAGCTGTGTAAGTAACCACCCCGCTGTCCAGTGTTGAAGGCTGCGCCCTCATCCTCGCCGCCTGCGGTCCTATGCTCCGGCCCCTGATTAACGGGCTGTTCCGGATCTTGTGGACGCCGCTGTCACACCTGGGCAGCGCCAGCAGCTTGTTAGGCACCCGCAAACCCTCGCAGACGACGACCGGCAACCCTTCGACCGGCGCCAGTGGGGCGACGGCCTCGTTGTCCTCGGTCGCCGACGACAACGTCACGCTGCTGCGGCACGGCAGTCAGCAGAAGGCAAACTACTACTCGATGGAGACGACGCAAGGGATCCCCCTGACGGAGCGACGGAAGGGTGATGGAGGGGATGGCACAGCGCGGGGACGAACGGGGCGGTGGTTCGGGACTGCTCCGGCTCAGAAGTAGATGGTGTGAGGGGTTAGAGTGTATCAAAGTGCCTGGGTTAGATGTGTGCAGTAGTGCACATGCCGGAGAGGGGCTGGGGATGTGATTACTGTGGGCCAGTGTAGGGCAGTACAGTAGCTTAGCCTTCCTGCCTCAGAGCAAAACATGCATACACCAAAGTCAACGACATTCAGACTAATTGTAGAATCTCTGACTTGCGGTGCATTGGGACTATACTACGACATAAACTTTGGGATGACATGCAGTGGGATGGTGCGTGCCCAACGAATGCGTGCTGACCTTTATCATCCGGGCACATTGCTGCTCCCCGTCTGCCTACGGCAAAAGTACGTACAATACGTGCTAACCACAATAAGCAAAGATCATTCACACATCAAATCCCATCCCCGCAAGGTTTGCTCCGAATGACTCCCGCCACTGATTGACGCCCATCTCCCCGAATCCCACGCCCACCTCCTTCGGCAGCTTTCCGTCCGCAGTGGGCGTCTCCAGCTTGGCCCACGCCGCCTCAATGTACTCACCCAACGGCATCGGCGCGAAGGCCTTCTCAGGACCTCCCTGCATCGCGACCGTGTGGGCGCGCGAGGCGGCGTCCAGCGCCGTGTCCGTGTAGGGCGGGACGACCTCGACGACGCTAAGCGCCTGCTTGATGTTGGCCGGGGCGAAACCCAGCTGCTCGCGCAGACTGACGATGAATGCGTGGACGGCGGCTTTGGTCGCGCAGTAGACGGGATAGAAGGGGAGAGGGTGGAAGGCGAGCGAAGAGCTGGTCACCAGCAGCGCGGCGGGCTGCGAGGCCGCGGCGCGCGCCAGGAGATGCGGCAGGAAGGCGCGTGTCAGCAGGATCGGTGCCGTCAGATTGACTTGGATCTCATCGACGAAGAGGTTCTGGTCGTTTGGTTCGGGGGCGGTGGGGGCAGGAGACTCCAGCAGGCTGAAGCAGCGCTGGATGCCGGCGTTGATGAAGACAGTGTCGAGCGTGGGATACGCGTTGAGGATCTCGGCCACGCGCGACGGCAGAGCCTTCAGATCGCTCACGTCCCACTCCACTGTCTCCAGGCCTGCTAGCTCCTCTTTTAGCTGCTGCAGACGCGCGGTGCGCCGCCCGGTCACTATCACTTTCTTGCCGGCCGCATGGAACTTGCGGGCGAATGCTTCGCCAATGCCCGAGGTCGCGCCGATGATGAGTACGGTGTTCACGGTGGGAGTCATGGTGATTAAGGAAGTGTGTGGATGGTATGGGGAAGTGAGAGGGTCCAAGAGGAGGATGAGATGAGTTAAATGAGATGGGAATAGGCTAAGCAACAGCGTTAAAGGAAAAAGAAGGTAGACAAAGAATTAGAGGGGTAGAAATGGAGGGGAAGGAATTATATCCCCGTCTCACTTGCATTACGGCTTATGGTCTTATAAATCAAAGTCCTTGGGAGTCCTTGCTTGATTCACTGCTGTCAGCCATGTGCGTATAGTCAGTACAGTATACACACGCATACCAAGTATACAGATATCTCACAGGCTGAGAAAATGACTCGTTCTGCCCTTGTTTACATCTTCGGAGACCAATCCGAGAACTACATTGCCGGCTTACGGTGCCTCCTCCAGTCTCCTCAGTCCGATCAGACTTTGAGACATTTTCTGACGCAGTCATACGAGGGCATTATCCGGGAGATCTCGCAGCAGTCATATTGCCCTGAGTATCTCGCTGTCCATACATCCAGCTTGCGGGATCTGCTGTCGAACGAGGCTGAGCGGTATGTGCCACTGCAGCATGCTCTAGCAACCCTCTATCATTTCGCCGCCTTCATACAGTACGTACCAATGGCTTTGAGGCCCAGTAAATAATATTGCAACTGAAATGGAGTTGACCAACATTCACCAGTCGTTGCCACCAGTCAGAAGGCGTCTACGTACTCCGTGACCATCCGGCAACATATCTGATCGGGCTATGCACCGGATCGCTCGCAGCCGCGACCATCAGCTGCCTTGACTCTCTGGTCAATCTTCTGCCAGTAGCAGTCGATGTTGTGCGGTTGTCGTTCCGTGTCGGGGCAGTTGCAGCCAACATAGCCCGGGCAGTCGCTGGCGAGGGTAAGACCAGGCCCCTTACATGGGCGCTGGGCTGCGCCGGGCTGTTGCCAGAGACCGCCGATGCAGTTATCAAGACGCTTGTCCGAGATCACACTTTGCCAGACACAGCCAGGCCGTACATCAGCAGCCTCTGGCCAGGTGGAATCACGGTCAGTGGACCGCCAGAAATCCTCTCTCTCTGGCGAAGTCACCCGGAACTAAGCGCGATCCGCACCACTTGGCTGCCGGTCTACGCCCCGTACCATGCGGCGCATCTGTACAGTGAACAATATGTGGACCACATCCTGCAGACTTTTCCATCGGTGAAGATCAAAACACAGCAAGTCATTCCGACTCTATTTGGTACGACCGTCCAAAGTCCGGCAACATCGAGCGGTGCCGATTTACGTACGGTGTTGCGAGATGCTCTGCATGGCATATACTGTCAGCCAATGGAGTTGGCCAGGGTTCCTCAGGAGCTGCAAAGTATTCTCGCCATGTCCGATATAACCTCGGTTAAGGTAATCCCTATCGCCAGCAGCCAGGCGCAGCGTATCATACCCAGCCTGCAGGGCGTGGATGTGCACATCCAGAGCGATCTACTGGGCAATAGCAACGACTCTCCGTCCGGAATGTCTCTCGGTGCCAGCGCCCAAGGACCGCGCTTTGCTCTTGTCGGCATGGCGGGAAGGTTTCCCAATGCCGAGGATACATCTGCATTCTGGGATTTAATTCTTCAAGGTCTCGATGTTCACAGGGTAGTCCCCGACACGCGATGGGACCCTCACACCCACGTTGACCCATCGGGTCAGCGGAAGAACACCAGCCAGACAGGCTTTGGTTGCTGGCTCGACCGGCCCGAGCTCTTCGATGCTCGCTTTTTCGGCATTTCACCGCGGGAAGCAGAGCAAATGGATCCCGCCCAGCGACTGGCTTTGATGACTGCCTATGAGGCGATGGAGGATGGGGGTATTGTCGCTGATAGGACGCCATCTACTCGACGCGACCGAATGGGTGTGATTTATGGGGTGACTAGCAACGACTGGATGGAGACGAATAGTGCGCAGAATATTGATACCTACTTCATCCCCGGTGGCAATCGTGCCTTCATCCCGGGACGAGTGAACTACTGCTTCAAGCTGGGTGGGCCCGGTTTCTCGGTCGATACGGCCTGTTCCTCCAGTCTTGCTGCGCTGCATATTGCCTGTAATATGCTCCGCACCCGTGAGGCGGATACTATGCTCGTCGGTGGCACGAATGTGTTGACCAACCCAGACTTCACGAGTGGCCTAGATCGTGGCCACTTCCTCTCGCGCACGGGGAATTGCAAGACCTTCGACGAGACGGCGGACGGCTACTGTCGCGGTGAAGGCGTCGTCACCTTGGTGATCAAGCGCCTGGAGGATGCCCTTGCGGACCGAGATCCTATCCGCGGAGTGATTGCCAACATTGCCACGAACCATTCAGCTGAAGCAGCGTCAATCACAAAACCCCACGTCCAGAATCAGGCTGCCCTTTTTCGGCACGTGCTGGACGGGATCAGTCCGGCGGATATCAGCTATGTGGAGATGCATGGGACAGGGACCCAAGCGGGCGATACGTGCGAGATGGCGGCGGTCTCGACGGTTCTGGCGCCGGGAGAAGCTGGTCAATGCCGCTCACCGTCACAGCCTTTGTATGTTGGTGCGGTCAAGTCGAATGTGGGCCATGGAGAGGCTGTCGCGGGCGCATGTAGCCTCGTGAAGGCATTGCTCATGATGGAACACGGGACAATCCCACCCCACGCGGGCATCAAGACCACCATCAACCACGAGTTCCCTTCAGATCTCTTTGATCGCGGCATCCGCATCGCGAGACAACCCGTGCCGTGGAACCGCCCTGCCCGAGGCTTGCGTCGAGTTTTGGTTAACAACTTCAGTGCTGCCGGGGGAAATACGGCGCTGCTCCTGGAGGATGGGCCCATCATGGACAGTTCGCCAAGGCAAGACCCCCGGGGAACCTACATTATCACATTGTCCGCGCGCTCGGCTACAGCCCTACAAGGCAACGTCCGCAATTTACTCCGTCTCCTCAATGATTTTGAAGAGCAGGTGCCACTGCCATCCCTCTCATACACGACGACGGCGAGGAGAATGCACCATAGTTACCGTGCCGCAGTGCCAGCCTCCACTATCGATGCATTGAAAGCCGGTCTGTCCAAGCTTCTTGAACCTGAACCACCGACGTCAACCCGGGCAAGGCATCCGAGTATCATTTTTCTCTTCACTGGACAGGCCTCGGAATACCGGGGGATGGGGAAAGCGCTCTTCGACCAGGTCCCGTCCTTCCGCAGCGACATCATCCGCCACAATCAACTGGCCTGCAAGTTGGGTTTTGGCAGCTTCCTCCCTGTGATACGAGACCTAGAGACCGACATCAACGCCCACACACTACCCGCTGTTCATCTGGCAATTGTCTGCTTGCAAATGGCTTTGAGTTCCCTGCTCAAGACATGGGGAATTCAGCCCCGCGCCGTCACCGGCCACAGCCTCGGTTACTATGCCGCTCTGAATGCGGCTGGCGTGCTCACCGAGGCCGACACGATCTTTCTCGTGGGAAGCCGCAGTCAATTGATCGAGCGTGAATGCGAGCCGGTGACCCACGCCATGCTAGCTGTGAAATGCTCGGTCGCCGCCATCAACCACCTCCTGGCGGACACTACGGTCACCATTGCGTGCATCAACGGACCGGAGGACGTAGTACTCAGCGGTCCCCAAGACGCCATTACTCGGGTCCGGACTCGTTTAGCAACGGAGGCTATCTACGCCACGCCCCTGGCTCTGCCCTATGCCTTCCACTCGGCACAGATGGAGGGGATCCTTGACGACTTTCGGGCGTTGGCGGCCGGCGTCTCGTTCCGTCCGCCCGCAATTCCGCTGCTCTGTCCGCTCACAGGACGGGTAGTCACGCAGCCGGGAATCATCGACCCGGGGTATCTGGCAAATCACACGCGTAGGCGGGTGGATATGGTGAGTGCGCTGCGGGCAGGGTTAGAGACGGGGATCATAGAGTCGGATGCGCTCCTGATAGAGGTCGGACACCACGACAATATCTCGCGGGCCGTGTCGAAGATGCCCGACGGCGACATGAAAGTCATGGCGACACTGCGAAGACATGCGAACGATTGGACGGGGTTGGCGGAGGTTGTTTCAACATGCTACATGATGGGCCTGGACATCCAGTGGACGCAGTACCACCGTGGTTTCGAATCCCACCTCGTTGTCCTTCCGCTTCCAGCCTACAGCTGGGACTTGAAGCCGTACTGGATCCAGTATGTCCATGATTGGTCGCTTCGGAAAGGTGATCCCTGCGTGCCCCAACATGCCTGGTCTGATGCTGCCTCTCGAAATAACTGCCCGTCTCCAGCGTGTCTGCCTGAAACTGCGCTGGTGCATCGCGTCACCGTCTCGTTGAAGGCGGATAACATACTTTCTATGACCTGCGAAACCGATCTCAGTAACCCCCGTTTGAGGTCGATTATTACAGGACATGTGGTCAATGGAATCCCTGTATGCACGCCGGTAGGTGTCAGCCCGGCTGAGTCTTGTCGCTTTCGGGATGCATTCTAATCTGCTCTGGTGGTAGGCAATATACTGTGATATCGCTCTCACTTTGGGCGCTTATATCCGTGACGTCCATTACCAGGACAGTGAACGCCTACAGATTGAGGTCGCAGACATGAGCATCGACAAAGCTCTAGTCCCGCACTCAGTCAACCCTCACACCCTTCGGACGACGGTGGATGTGGATGTTGCCCAGCGTCAAGCGCACTGCGGCTTCGTGACCGACCATGTGAGTTTATCTTCGCCTCTGGGACTCCGATGACTGCATTTTGACTGATAATGAGCACTTCAGGGAGAGGAAGTAATCATCCATGCTACCTGTACTCTTGTCTTCGTCTCGCCCGTGGCTCCGTACTGGGCGGCGTCCTGGAAAGCCGAGGCCTTTCATACTCAGTCGACCCTTGGTGATCGAGCGTCGACTCAGACTCAGTCTTGTTATCGCTTTAACAAAATGATGGTCTATCGCATGGTCGGCCCTGTTGCGGTGTTCGATTCAGAGTACCAGGGGTTAGACAATGTGATTCTGGACAGTGAGATGATGGCTGCCACGGGTCAGGTGTACTGCCCGCTGGCGCAAAGCACGGATTCCTCATCATTCCACATCTACCCACCCCTCCTGGACGCGTTTACCCAGCTGGCTGGCTTCGCGATGAATGTCAATATTTATTCTGATCTGGAGAGCGAGGTCTATGTGAACCATGGCTGGAGATCCTTGCAGATTTTTACCGAGCTATTACCGGATCGGACTTATCGTGGGACCGTGAAGCTGAGGAAGAAAGAGAAGTCCTCCTGGGAAGGCACACTATATCTTCTCTATGAAGATCGCCTGGTCTGCAGGATAGACGGGCTGATTGTAAGGAGCCTTCCCATTGCCTATTGCACTTAACAAGCTAATGGATTTGGGGTTGCAGCTTCTCGGAGTCCCGAAGCGACTGCTCAACCAGGTTCTCTCGTCGGCTCAGCGTGCACAACAGCCCGCTCTATCTGCCAAAACCACCCTTGATACAGACAAACAAGAACTGGATTTACTCTTGGACTCTCCGGGAGACCGGCACACGAAAGTTCTGGATATAATATCAGAGGAGAGTGGCATCAGTCGAGCAACGCTGAATAACAGCACAACATTCATGTCAATCGGGATCGATTCCCTCTTATCGCTGTTGATTACCGCGCATTTGCGGGACGAGATCGGATTCGACCTGGGTCCCCGTGGGACCATCTTCGATCATTACCAGACAGTGGGCGAGCTGCAGGAAGCGGTCGAGCAATATTTCACCCACGACGGCAGCGAGAATGCCACGCCCTTCACGATGACAGACTCCACCGAGCTTGCGCAGCCGTGTACCTCGATCGTGCTGCATTCAGTCGATCCGACCTGCTCGACACCTCACAAGTACCTCTTTCTCTTCCCCGATGGCTCAGGATCCGCCCACTCCTACGCCCGTCTGCCGTGCATCGACCCATCCGTCACCACCGTCGGCCTTGTCTGCCCATATCGCACGAACCCTGACAAGATGCTGACAAGCTGCACCCTGGATGCGCTGATAGCCAGCTATCTCCACGAGATTCGTCGGCGACAGCCACATGGTCCGTACTCTCTCGGGGGCTGGTCCGCCGGGGGCATCCTGGCCTACCGGGCCGCGCAAACCCTCCTCGACGCCGGTGAGCCCATCGCCCACCTCTTCCTCCTCGACTCTCCGCCGCCCCAGCACGGACTTTCCGAGCTGCCCGAGTGGTTCTTAAACCGATTGTCCAAGCATACAAGCACATTCCTGCGCACGTCCCACGACAAGGAGGGTAGCGACCCCAGCCCCCTCGCCTCCCCACCGCCAGCCTGGCTTCACGGCCATTTCCGTGCCACAATCCACCTGCTGCACGACTACCACGCTCAACCGCTTCTCCCCCGGGTTATCTCCCCACTTCCTAAGGTCACTATAATCTGGGCCAAGAAGCCCGTACCCCTACCCTACAGCAAAGACAGCACGTGGGAGCAGGATGACGGCGTAGCGTTTCTGACCGAACGCCGGACCGATCTATCTACGCGCCCGTGGGCGGATCTTTTCCCCGCCGAGACGGATATACTGGCGTACGCAGTTGATGCGGATCATTTTTCGATGATGGTAAGTGCTTTCTTGGATTTAATGCTCCCGGCTTCAATCCGCCGCCTGTGCTTACTTGCGTATTTGCGTTACAGGAAGGGTCCATGGCGGAGCTGGTGAGTCGTCATATTAGAACTAGGATATTGGGTGCAGGTGGGAGTGAAAGGGGGTGTTGAGAGAGAGATCCCTGGTACCAATGCGGAATTGTTGGTGTATTATCCCTGGGTCCTCCGCCTGTGTTCCAATATTACCACCCGTTGATGTGCTGTGGCGCCCGCTGGCCACGAGAATAAAGTCGGCTATACTGGTATACGCTCATGTTCGCCCAGGGGTCACTTGCTCGTGCTTAATGGGCTAGTTAGACTGATCTATCTTGTTACTGGTCTTTTGAGGGAAATATCTTTAAAGATGGAGAAACATAAAAACGCTTATGAGGTAGCGTTTAGTCTATATTCGTACTACATTACAACTCGAGGCCGACATCTAACCCTAGAGATACAAAGGTTAAAGCCACACATACGGTAAGTAGCCTAGGAATCGTGCCCAACCATCGCTCCTAGAGGCCTCTTCAACCCAGGATCCCCCTTCTCCATAGCCGCCAAGTATGCCGGCCGGGAAGCAACCCTACCCAAATACGCCACCACATTCGGATACTCCACCAAACTAAACGGCAGAAACAACCGAAACGTCGTGAGCGCAAACACCAGCATGCAATCCGCCGCTGTGAGCGTCTCGCCCGCAACATACGGGTACTTCGCCAGCTGGGCCTCAAGCAAGGCCCAGCTGCGGCTGAGCCGTTCCTTCAGGAGGGTGGTGACTTGGTCCCCGGAAGAGGGACTGTCGGAACCAGAACGACTCGAGGCACCCGTCTGCGCAAAAAGCAAGTGAATAAGCGCAGGCATGATACTGCCGTTGGCATGGTGCAGCCAGAAAACATAATCCGGGTATTTGGGGTGAGTGGGCGCGAGAGCCAGAGTACCGCGCGTGTCGTATTTGGTGAGGACGTATTCGAAGATGGCGTTGGATTCGGCGAGGGTGGCGGAGCCGTCTTGGAGGACGGGACTCGTACCGGCTGGGTGGAGGGCGCGATACGCAGCTGGGGCTTGTGAGGTCACGGGGTCGCGGTGGTAGCATTTGAGATTGTACGGGAGGTTGAGTTCTTCGCACAGCCAGAGGACGCGCTCGGATTGGGAAAGGTGCAGGTGGTGGATGGTGATGGTGGGGTCGGACATTTTTGTTGTATTTGCTTGTATTTGTCTTATAGAAAGAGAGAGACTGTCAGGATGAGAGTAAATGAAAGAAATCATTCTAGAGTGCAATATATGTTAACATTAACGCACCCGAACATCCGGTGGACCGGAAGACGGATGAAAGAACAAGTGAAGATAAGTGGATAGAGGCAGACCCGCAGTCAGGCTATTTACTAATACATGTATCCACCCATTATTACGCACGCCCATCCACTAATAGCCATATTTCAACAGCCGTGCTGCGGTTGCATATTGACAGAAAGAAAGTGCTGGCTGCCACTGACTGAATTATAGTTATATTGGCTGGAGATTGATGCGGATATGTCGGCAACAAAAACAATGACGGCCAGTAAACTTGGCCTGCTCTACGATAATATACAGATTCTGCATCTGCCTGGACAGAAGAATTCCAGACTCTTTGTTCATCACCACATGCTGTCCGGGAGCGGCGAATTGAGCTGCCGCATTTTCCGATCCCAGTAAGCCTAATCATCAAGTTAACATAAGCTTGGAGGCCAAACCCAGCAATCAAGAAGCTGGCAAGTTGTATGAAGTCTTACCCAGTCAAATACCCCGAAAGGCGTATCGCTGCCCATCAAATCGTCGAGCACTGACCAAGTTAGCGTGCAATCTGGGAACTGGAAGTCCCGGGGCAATTCACCACTGGCGCTGGATTCTTCAGTCGGAGGTGAGCTCACTACCGCATGAGCCATGTGACCGAGCATCATTGCCAGGATCTCCGATGCCTTAGTTATCTCTACTGTTGGCGCGAGGGTCTGCTTAAGGCGTGTGTAGGTCCGATTGAGAACCCGGATGAGCTCTGCTGGCGCGTAGCCCACCACGGGCTGCGGGGAGTTAGGCTTGTGGTGGCTCACCTCGAGGCAGATCACCTTGGCTGCGGTGAGACCATCTGGTACAGAACACGAGACCCTGAGCCGCGCCCTTCCTGCTGCGTGGACCATGCAGGGCTTCTTGGAAGGAGGCACTGTTGCTCGAGGACGCAGCGCGCCGCGTCCACGCAGGCCCCTCGAAAAGCTTCAAATTCGAGAATTGCTTCCGACTAAGTCAAGTACTAGCGATACAGCGTACAGCGCGAGCGCTGGTAAACCATCTCCAGAGCCCGCTGCATGATCAGGTTAGCACGCTGGGATGATGAACCATTTGGTAGCGGAATTCGCAGCGAATCCGGAGGGCCGTCTCACAGCACATCCAGCCGCTGGCCCAGACGAACAGTGCAATCTGCAGAGACCGTGCCCTTTGTAGCCAGATGTGCGATCTCATTCGCGTCTGGGTAAGGGTCGTCAAGTGCTAGCATGTACACAACATTGCTAGTAGTTTTGCTAGTTAGTCGAGACGAAGGTAGGATTGATATGGCTGGGTCGATATCTGCGTCTAGGAGACTGCGCGGCCGAGCCGAGTTCGCGAGGCCCTGGTAAACGACTCGAGAGAGACCGGTTTGTGATGCCACTATATTGTCGGTGACCGACAACATCAGCCACGTCCTGCATCGCATCTCAGCCTCAAAGGCAGTCAATGGAGGATGGCATAGAAGGGCACTCTGATGATATCCCATCATGACCGCCAGTCGCCAAGCAAGTCCGAGGAGGACAGAAACCCCCGTCTTCGAGTCATTGCTCTGCAGGTAGTCTACCCCTAGACACACTATTGCTGCCTCAACCTTCAAGCAACCGGGGACGGTGAGATTGGACTTTGAGAGCGCGACTGCGCATTTTTCCCGGAGGAAATGGAAAGACTTGGGCAGCTCGGAGTAGGCTTCAAGGGGGTTCACAGTGTGCTCGATCCAGGCGCCGCAGGCCAAGACTCCATGTAAGAGGGCCAGCCAGGCGGGATTAACTGTCGAGGGAGATTGCCAGAACTGGTGATAATGTGAGGGTCGGATGCAATTTCCGCAATATCCAGAATTAAGCGCATGACTTACTCGGGACTGAGATGTAGGGACGTGAATGAATACCGCGAACAGCACAGTCAGGCAAGGTATTGCGCTTGGGAACTATGTTTTCGTCATATACTCAAAGCTGGCTCTGACGATTCCAGACAGAGGGAGACCAGTTTATCCGCGACTTGTCGCGAGGGCAACAAGGCTACCATACCGTCGATGTCCACATACCGAGAGAGCCCTGACAGTAAATGCACGGCAGGTTCACTAGGCCTATTTCCGATCCTGCTATGATTTATTTTCAACTGTCTTGCCTACCGAGCTGTCTGCACACAGCCAGCAGACAGAACAACACTAGGAATCACTAACGGCGTCATCCATCAAAGCTTGCCAGTGGCTTGGGTGAACAAATCGAACCCCCCTTGACTCGGAGGGCAAGCATCGCGCCTTAGAAAACGTGCGCGGATTCTTGTCCGGGTTAGGGAGAGGCCGTGTGGGCTTGCTGCGCGATGAGAAAGGTTGTCGAGTTTCGTCGGCAGCACGCGCTCGGACGTAGTGACAACCAGTGTCATTGTCTCGTTTCTGACAGTTCAGGCAAGGGCGTACGTGGTCGCATCGGAGCCTACAAGGATGGTCCAATCACTGGGAATGCTCATAGTACAGATGATGACAATTGGATATGCAGATATGCGACCTTACTTTCTCTCTCGACACGAGGTACACGATAAAAGCATTCGGGGCTTCTGGTCCCGTCGTTTCCGATCCGGCCGTGGTGTTAGGAGCACTGCCCTGGCTGGAAGCTCCATTACCACGTAGATTAATCCGATACTTGGGGATATTTTGTACTGTGAGACTATTCGTCGGAAGAGCGGCGAGTTGAGGGATTGGGAGGCCCGGATTTCTCGGATTCATGCTTCGGGTTCCCCGGATTTCTCGGATCTCTCGGCCTACGCGTTTTGCTTGTTCTATTCAAATGGTCGTGGATCCCGTTTAGTTCCAGCGGGAGAGAGAGAGACAGACATGTCAATTACTGTTATAGACACTAGGTTAATGAGTATACACCTCTGTAAATGAAACAAGGGCGGTTTTCGCTTCTCTCAGGGGCTTATAATTACCATTGAGCATAATTTGCGTTGGGATGAACTCCGTTCAGTTGTCACTAGTATGTAGAACCATCCTGCTGGATATATACTCCCTCCCCAAGCGCACCTTTCGCGTAGTGATTGTGGGCGGATCCATCGCAGGCTTGACCCTCGCTTCGATTGCTTCTCACAGTCGCTGATAACAGCATAGGGTGATGTTGTGGTGGGGGCTGATGGGGTACGAAGTACAGTCCGACGGCAGATGTGGGAGTACACGGACTCTCGGGGACTGAGAAAACAGGCTTCGGAGGAGAGAGCAAGTAGGTCGTCTTCCTCAAGGCAGTTTCATTATCACACACGCTGATGTTAATCCTCAAGAGAGATGACATCTGAATACAGCTACGTTTTTGGCATCTCGGCGGCAACTCCAGGGCTGATTCCCGGAACCAGGCACCGAACTTTCGGCCAGAAATGGTCGTTCCTGACAATTATAGGGAAGGAGGACCGAGCATACTGGTTCTTCTTTAAAAAGCTGGGCATGAAATACTCTGCCTCTCAGTTTCCGCGCTTCGATCAGACCACGATTGGCCAATATGTTGGCCCATACCTGCACAAGCCCATCAATGGCAGCGTGTCTTTCGCGGAGGTATACAAAAGAGCAATCACTCGGACTCTTTTGCCATTAGAAGAGGCTTCTTATACCCACTGGACTATAGACCGCTGGGTTTGCATCGGAGACTCCGCACATAAGGTATGAATGTCCTTCAATGAGAAAAAGACTATAGTTCGATAGGCTCACATCCTGGACAGATGACCTCTAATTTAGGTCGGGGTGACAACAGCGCAATAGAAAGTGCAGCTTCCCTTGCCAATAGCTCATCTGCTTCAGGCCTCTTCCAGACCAAAAGTCTCCACGAGAGAGCTGGGCGACTGCTTGCAATCCTGGCAAAAAAAGCGACATCCTCGCATGCAAGGCATCTCCCAAGCAGCGCACAACCTGACTCGGTTAGAGGCACTGGACACCCTCAAAGAAAGAATCTTTGCCCGCTACTTATTACCATACTCCGAGGAATCCTTAGCCAAAACCACCTCAGACATAATCGTTAGGGCTGCTAAAATCGATTATCTACCGCCGCCCCTCAAATCGACCACGTGTACGATGCCATTTACGGATTGGCGAAGCTTGCCAGTGGTCACAATTTGAGATCGCGCACTTTGGGCGTTGCCACTACTGGGACTCTTCGCCGTCAGTAAAATCTCGCTGGGATCGTTGCTCGCAAAGCTGACACCCCAGCTGGTTGCAACTGTAGACAGGGGGACCTGGGTGACAGGGAATGGTGAGGTGTTTGATCTGACCACCCCCCTCTACCACAGCCGCCTTCTTGACAGGCTGATGCGACCGCTGATCACTTGCTTTCTCCCTTCCATAACCGGGACTGATATGCGTTCACGTCTCCAAATGCTGTCATTCATGACGGATCTGGGCCCGATCTACGGGATCTGGTTACTCGAGAGCTACCGCAACGTGCACTCGTGGTCTGAAATCCTCCTGTGAGCTATCCCACTCCCTCTCCTTCACTTACTCACATGCTTATCTGAAACAAGGAAACAGCCCCCTCGCAGCCGGTAGCATCCTCCAACTGCTCGGCATCTGGCAAGTCGCCCCTCTCTACCTTGCGCAGGAGTACCTCCGCACCCCACTGTTCACCCTGCTCGCGGGCAAGAACGGTAGGATCCCATGCGACTTTACTGGCTCCCTGCTTCTCGCCACCCTGGTTGGCTATCACACCGTCACCTACGCCAACTTCTTTGACCCGGCGCTCCAGTCACGCCAGTGGTACAACGTCCTGTGGCAGCTCTTCCCATTGACCACGTCGCTCCTCCAAGCTGCCCTCCTGCTCAGCAAGCGCGTGCTCAACCGGCCATGCTCTTACCCAGAAGACCAGCTTCCAAGACGGAAGTCTCAGCACTCAGAACGGCGGTACCTCCGCTGGGCCTACGGGACTTTTGCCCTAGTATCAGGTCTTGCCTTCATGTATACCCGGATCACTGCTTTACCTGATCTCCCCTTCCATCGTATCTTTCTACCTGGCTGGCATAATTCCGAGAACTCGCTCAGCGGCGCCGTCGCGTGGTTCCTGCGGTATGGGGAGTTGATTTCAATGAGGGGCGGGTTTGTATGGCTTGCGCTGCGCTTCCACGAGCTGCAACAGGCTGGGGCGCCAGTGTCCTTGGGGAGAGTTGGGGCGCCATTCGCGGCCTCGCTGTGTGCATTCGGGCCGGGCGCGACGTTTACACTGGGCTGGGGGTGGCGCGACGAGCTTTTGGATTGATTGGCTGGGGAGCTCTAGCGGTGCGAACAATGTTGCCTTTGAGCTTCCTGCGCCCAGATGACTGATGGCTTAGCGTGGGTATCACTCGGGAATTAGGGTGGCCTTCTTCGACTTCCTTAGTACACTCTAGATTAGATGCAGATTTCTAACCGCTTATCTATATTATCTCTATTGTTAGTGAAGTATAGTGCGTGATTGGTTTTGCATTATGTGACACTAACTGACAACATGAAGACGCCAGGTGTGGGCCTTAGACTGACTTGACTATAAGGGGCCTCTTTCAAGAGATAGAACTATGCCTACATTAATATACCTGATTCCCCAAGCAGGGGTACATACCGAAGAATGGAGCGATCAATACATGCGCTATATTATTTAGACTAAGACTCATACAAGCACATACGACCACAGGGTGTGGAAAACAGGGCTTCCCGTCCGCTCAGCCGTACTTAAGCCACACGCCGGGAGGTTAGTAGTTGGGTGGGTGACCACCAGCGAATCCCTTCTGTTGTATGTTTTTGCTTTTGTCAGTTGTCTCTTATTAGTTGCTGACCTTCACTCCTTTCGCCTCTCTAAGTTACAACCGTCGCGCCGAATGGCCGCCATGGCCGCCATGGCTTTCGGCCGTAGCCCACCCTATCATGATACTTGCCCCGTCAAACTTTTCAGGACCTTTACCTTTAAGGCACACTGACTTCTCATTATAGGACTTACCAGCGTCAGAGCACTGGCTGATGCTCAGGACTTGGATCCTCACTACCTCTGGTGGGGCTGTGCGGAATCGGCGCGGGCTCCCAAATGGGAGCCTCTGAAAACTTGTTGTACGAGGCAGATCTGGGGAGTCCAGGGGAATGACGGAGATGTGATATGGGAACATAGCAGAGGCCAATCGAAGATCAGCCTATTTTTGGCATGCAGAGGCTTACCAGCCGTTTCATAAGCTTTCAGACCGACAAAAAGTAGAACGAGTACTCAGATTATCCATCGATCGTATTTTGATTGACAACTTGGCTCTTGATACGCAGACAAAGCCAAAGAGGAAGATTAATAGTTTGCGAAGCGCGTAGCTAAGGTAGGCCTAGGGTGCATTTCGCGGCTAGAAAAATAGGCGAAAGACTGTAGCAACATATAAGTGAGATAATCGATAACACTATGACGCTTTTTCTCCAGTAGTCAGTCGATTAAGCTACGTTTCTTCAAAAGGGTTACCTCTATCTTCACTAGTACCCCCAGCTTGGCTACCACCTGAAGAAGTTAATAGATTTTCACCATAGTCAAAAATCTGATCCAAATAGTGCACAAGGATTGATCAGCTGTCACCTCTCGGGCATAGTTTTGTTTTACTTCTAGACGGAAAAACGTGTGAACATTTGCTCTAATAACCTTTCCATTTTTTTATACCGTCTGTCTTATTGTTCGGCTATCTGGGATATTGGAATTTGATAAACTGGCTTGAGATATTCATAGATGCCCAGGCTAATGAAGTATATACTGAAGTTTTATTGTTCGAAGATGAAGCTCACAATATGTTTAGAGCATTACCTGCACTGTGGCGCAGAACACAACTCCACCACTACTCAAGGAATGAGCAGGCAAAAGATATCAGACCACACGCAATACTGATATGATAGGTATACTATCATTAAGTCCTACTAGTTGAGCATGCCCACGTGAGCCACCGCATGATGTCCCGCACGGAGCTATGGCCTCTTCTCCTGTACTTGACCCGGACTATTCAACCAGGCAATTTCGGCTAAATAGGACCAAAGCCGGTTCCTGCATTGGCTTGGCAATTCACCAGGTAGTGACCATGCAGGCTGAGCGGGCCGTCAGGCCGTCAGGCTAATCCCGACAGACCCTGCGTATTTCATCCCTTTCAACTGCCGAAATCTGGGGGGTTGCAGCAGCTTTCTTCAGGAACCCGTGATTCTTCTGTGTGCTCTCCGCGCCGATTTGGGATTGTATCGAGCGCCACCGGCCGATGGCCTGCTTACTTTTCTTGGCTTCTTGGCTAATTTTTGCAACGTTGGAGTAAGTGCGCCGGCAATTGTGATGTTGCCGGGGCCCTTATCCCAATACAGAACGGAGTAGGGCTTTTTGTAGTAAGCATTCCTTGCCACTGCGGCCAGCTCCAGCGACGTGTATGCCCTAAAACGAAAGATCTATCCCATCTTCTTGTCCCAGAATTGGAACCGACACGGAAGACGGCGCTGCGTCCGAGGACAACGCGGCAGTGTATCCGTGGGCCAGTGTGAATGCCAGTATAAAACCCTGCTCGTCCTTCCGACCACCGGGAGACAGCGTTAGAGCAGTCCAACTCAGACCCACGTCTATCTTTCCCCCGTTGAATACTCTCTTGTCAAAATGCGCTCTACCTTGTCTCTTGCAGTGGCGTTTCTGCCATTCACAATCCAGGCTCAGCAAACCCTGTGGGGACAATGTGGTGGTCAGGGCTACTCCGGTGTCACCAGCTGTGTGGCTGGGGCAACATGTTCAACTGTGAATGAATGTAGGGCTTTCTTCTCTGGATTCTGCTGTTCGACAGTCCGACTAATCATTGCCCTTAGTCTATGCTCAGTGTACGCCAGCGGCAGCCACGGGGTCTGCCACTACCTTGAAGACAACAACAACTACCACTGGTGCAGTGACGAAGACGACTACTGCTACTACTACCACTAAAACCTCGAGCGGCACAGCCTCGACGACTACTGCGGCCAGCGCGAGCGGCAACCCGTTCAGCGGGTTTCAGCTTTACGTGAACCCATACTACTCGTCGGAAGTGGCGTCTCTGGCCATCCCATCTCTGACCGGTACTCTTTCATCGCTCCAGGCGGCGGCAACCGCTGCAGCCAAGGTGCCTTCTTTCGTGTGGTTGTATGCGTCCCCCTTCACAATAAAAACCATAATAGCTTCGTGTTGACAATGGCCAGGGATGTTGCTGCCAAAGTGCCTACCATGGCCACTTACTTGGCCGACATCAAATCCCAGAATGCTGCCGGAGCCAACCCCCCCATCGCCGGCCAGTTTGTGGTATACGACCTCCCTGACCGCGACTGCGCCGCCCTTGCCAGCAACGGCGAGTACTCGATCGCGGACAATGGTGTTGCAAACTACAAGGCCTACATTGATTCCATCCGCAAGGTTCTCCTGGAATATTCGGATGTCCATACTATTCTAGTGATTGGTGGGTGTCTGACTTTTGCATTTGGATCCCCTTCACTACACCTGGACTCTAACTGTCACCTCCCCAACAGAGCCCGACAGTCTCGCTAACCTGGTGACGAACCTCAACGTGGCCAAATGTGCCAACGCTCAAAGCGCCTACCTCGAATGTACAAATTATGCGCTGACTCAGCTTAACCTGCCAAACGTGGCTATGTATCTTGACGCCGGTAAGCTGCGCATCCATCATATCTACTATTGAAGTATCCTGGGGGAGAACCCCCAGACCCTCCTTTCCTTTCAACTTCCCAGCAAACTGTCCTACTATGCACCCAGCGCAGCTGAAGATTCCCAACCCCATTGATCACCATCTACAAAATCTGACAAAAGAACTTGAAGGACACGCCGGCTGGCTCGGCTGGCCCGCGAACCAGCAACCCGCGGCCAACCTGTACGCAAGCGTCTACAAGAACGCCAGTTCCCCGGCTGCGGTGCGCGGCCTTGCCACCAACGTCGCCAACTACAACGCCTGGACAATCTCCTCCTGTCCCTCCTACACACAGGGAAACAGCGTCTGTGACGAGCAGCAGTATATCCATGCGATTTCCCCGCTTCTACAGGCGCAGGGCTTCAACGCCCACTTCATCGTCGATACCGGTATGCGTCTCCCCCCACCCGCAAACCCACAAGTTCCCCCTGACTAACATGAATCAAAAACTCCAGGCCGCAACGGCAAGCAGCCCACGGGCCAACAGGCATGGGGCGACTGGTGCAACGTCATCAACACCGGCTTCGGCGTGCGTCCGACCACCAACACCGGCGATGCGCTCGTCGACGCCTTCGTCTGGGTGAAGCCCGGCGGCGAGAGCGACGGCACCTCCGACAGCTCGGCGACGCGATACGACGCCCACTGCGGGTATAGCGATGCCTTGCAGCCGGCCCCCGAAGCAGGTACTTGGTTCCAGGTATGTTGCCCTATGAAGCTTGTTGGCTAGGAGTGTATGATTGACTCATGGATTGATGGGGACTTGCTTTTAGACCTACTTCGTGCAGCTCCTCAAGAACGCCAATCCGGCGTTCTAGAGCAAGAGAGAGAGAGGAGAGGAGTGGGTAAAGAGAATACTCGGTGCAGCAAACAGTGATATGTTGACACGAATTAGGGATGGTGAGCCATGCGGTCTTGAGCATGAATATGCTTCGACCCGAGGACGGCGGTCGTTCGCTGTAAACTGTCGCAGAGTCAATGCTATTAGTTTTTGCAATTCCACTAATTACTTCGTCGCCAAACCATCACTATTGGCTAGATTAGTAATTATCTTGAATCACAACACAGTCGGGGCCTTCTACTTCCGGACCGTGGTCAGCTGTACTGGGGCAGTACAGTGGAGAATGTCTTCTACCACGTGAACAACGACGACACCGTACGAGCTGCCAATCCTGGCCACAAAAGGACTAAGCGGTTAACCATAAGCCAACCCGGCAGAAGCAGAGCTTCTCCGGGTCTGGTGATATGGCACTGGGACAGCTGTCAAATTTCCCCTAACTAGCCCGCGGGCAATATATACTGCGGGAACAATATTATTCAAACTGCCTAGCTATAGTTGGCGGAGTATCATTAAAAAAGAATATAGCATGTTGTTCAGAAGACCATCCTTGAGTTTCCAGCTCAGAAGCAGTTTAAAGGACAAAGGCAGCTGAAGCCACCGAGAGACCTTACAAACCCCCAAATTAGACATCAGCCTCCAATGGGAAACTTTTGACCAGCAGCGGAAACTCCTTCCATTTCTTACTGCGGTTCCTCTCCGAGTCAAGCGGCCACAGCTCCTCCAAAATGTCCTTTATATTCTTCGGAATATACAGCGGCCCACTTTGCGCAATTTCCTCCTCGCGCAATAATTGCCCCACCACTCTTCCGATTTCTCGGACCTCGACCGGGGGGTTCGCAGTGAGATAGAAATCCAACCGCGTGGCCAGGAACGACCGACTGACCTGAGCAAGAACATCGGCAAACCCGCCCTCGAAGAGGTTGTAGCCGGGTTTGATGCGGAGATGCTTGAGCCTCCGAGTCGACTGATGCGAGCAGATAAGTTCAAAAATACCGGTAACCAGCGTCTCATCTATGGCAGCGTTGATGAGCGTCTCTCGGATGCATGCGGGGCTGGGTTTCGCGTCGAAGTCTGGCGTAGGCCGGGAATCAAAATCGAGTTCGAGGATGAGAGTGCGGAGGCACGGCAGCTGACCAAGCGCTCGGTAGATGTCGCATTCGTGGGCGTTGCCCTGGGTGCGCTGCAGCGTCAGGCTCAGTTCCTCCAGTCGGGGACAGGACGCAGCTAGCGACCGGATGTGGTCGCCGTTGGTGATGGGGTACTTCTGTCCGTTTTGGGACCTCTCGATCTGTCTTTGTCTGACTTCTAGACTCAGTCCTTGTAGGGTGGGATGGTGGGCGACGATCCGGTCTAGGGACGTGAAGCTCCGCAATCCTCGCATGCACAAGAACCGAAGCGGTCTGAATGCCTGTACAACGGAGATCATCTCTTCGATGTCCCATGTGGCGCTATCCGAGTCGCTAAGCCACCGAGATGCGCGCTGCTTGTACCACGGAACCATGTGAATGTACAGACGTTCCAGCCTGACCATTTTGGACGCAGCTTCAGTTAGCATCGCGGGCTCCGCATATGCGCCTATGTCGAGGGAGCGGAGTCTGGACAAATCCAGCAGGGTGGAGATATTCAAAAGCACATGCTCCAGCGGTTTGCTAGGTTCAAAACAGCTGAAGGTCAGAGATTCGAGAACTGCAGTGTCTGGAGAAGACTTCGCGCTGGGATATAGTCGCTTCCACTCCTCTTTCACTTTGTCGGCCGTTCTATCAATCCCCTCGAGGGTAACGCTGATGATCAGATGTTTCAGGTTGGGTGCCGTGAGAACGAACGAGAAAGGCTCGTCAACATGCGTCAATCCGGCTAAATCCTGCAGTTGCTTGCCCACTGTGTAGGCTACGCTTAAAGTGTGCAGCGTTGGTGACGACACAAAGTCGAGGTCGAGTGGCTGCTTAAACTCCGGAAGTACGCAATTATGGGCGCGGCCTAAGCCAGGGAGATCAAGAGAAGGAGACTGGGTACTCCAGACATCTAATTGACATGTAGGATGAACTTGTTGTAGTGCTTGATGGAGAGAAGCGGGAAACATGTTTCTGATAGCGTAGTTGAGTAGGCGCAGGTGTTGTAACCGCCCGACAAGGGCGATGATCGGCTCCCAATCGTTCTCGTGGTAGTAGGCGATGCTTGAGTAATCGCACTCTGACAAAGAGTCCTGAAGGAAGCTGTCTAAAGAGGTAGGTGTCTTGAAGATAATGAACTCATTGGCCCAATTCTTCTGTTCCCAGAGACGTTTGGCTGTCTTGGTCTCCAGGTACGGCTCTTCGAGGCAGACTAGATCCAGGGTCCGGGCATAACGCAGATAGTGTCGACCAAGACCATCCGTTCGAAGCTCAGAGACATCCTGCTGGAGTGTTTTCAAGTCGAAGAATTTGATTCGAAGGGTTTGATACAGCTCGGCAGCCGCGAGCTCATGCCAGGCTTTGTTTGTTCGACTTAAAGCGAATAGATCGCGCGACGAGTGGTCACGAACCTGCAGATTGTTATGAGTCTTTGCTTGCTCAACAGTCCTGTCACATACAAAGAAGGCAATCCGTTTCTGAACCTCCGCAGGAAGACAATCTACGGTCAGCATTGCGATGGTTGGTGGCGAGACAGCGAAGGGCCAGAGAGCATCGCATAGGGCGAAGAGAAGACTAAAATAGGAGAAATACTTTGTAAAGCCAAGACGCTTGGCTCACTAGTTGAGTTCCCTAGTGACTCCACTGGGTAGGTGGAGCTTGCGAATGTATTTGTAAGATACTGTACTGTTCAATACAAAACAATTACTCAACAGATTACTCAGAAATCCATTTAATGTAATCGGTAAGCGAGTGGCGCGTGTAAGCAGGCGGCGCGCCCACTACCAAAACAGTCACCCTCATTAACTTAAAACTATTAAACCATTAATAAAACCACTAAAAATACCTGTATCACTAAAAAACATGGCAGAATAAGAGGGTAGACTTATTTTAGTAATTAAGACTTTTAAAAAGTAAGAAATTCTCTCTGTATATAAAATAACAAGAATTTTTATAATTTTAAAAATAACTTTTTATAGATATTTAAACAGAGTTAAATCTTAAGCTAATATATATATTAATTTATATAAATTAATTTCTGTAGAGAAGAAATTATTAAAATAATAAATTTTTTTTATAAATAAGTAAAAAATTTCTTCTAAATTTATATATATTTATTTTATAGTTAAAATCTTAATTTAAAAGTACAGTACTGCTACTATAATAAATATTAATTATAAATAAATATATAACTTTATTAATTAATATAATTTCTTATAATTATAATTTTTATATTAATATAATTATAAAAGAATTTATTATAAAAATCTAGTAATTCTTTATAAATAGTTTAATTATATTTAAACTACTATATTAGAGTATAGAATTACTAATAGAGTGGCTTAACCTGATTGTTATACCTTAACCTTAACCTGACCATAACCTGGTGGTTAGGTTAAGGTATAAAAAGTAATTTAATTATATAATTAAGATTAGGTTAAGGTATAATTATTACTTTAATTATTTATATCTACTGGTTAGAAAGATTAGGTATAGTAAATAGTAGAGTGGCTTAACCTGACTGTTATACCTTAACCTTAACCTGACCATAACCTAGTGGTTAGGTTAAGGTATAAAAAGTGATTTAACTATACAGTTAAGGTCAGGTTAAGATATAACTATTACTTTAACTATTTATATCTACTAGTCAGGAAAGTTAGGTATAACAGATAGATTATTAATTATAGATTAATTAATAATATATATATCTCTTTTATATAGATAATATATAAAGTATAATATATTTTTAATTATAGTATAATTATATTTTTTATATTTAGTTTATCTGTTTTTTCTATTTATTTTATCTATTTCTTCTAAGAAATACTGTACTTTAGAAAAGATTTTTATAGAACTTAATATAAAAAAAATAATATCTAATATAAAATATATATATTAATTACTTTTTATATTATCTAGAATAATAATTATAATAATATAAAAATTATAAAAAACAAGTCTCTACCTAAGAGTATATAATATTTATAAACTTAAATAAGATTATTTTTTTTATTTCTGATAATAATCTATTTTCTAAATTATTTTTTAAATTATTTATATTTTTATTTTTACTAATATAGAAGATAGTAATTATTTTATTTTTTTCTTAATTTTTAGATATAAAAATAATTAAGTCTAGATTAAAATTCTTAAGAATATTCTAGTACTTCTTATTTATAATAAAATAATTAATATATATCTAAAATATAATTATTTTAATTATATTAAGCTAGAGGTATCTCTAGTAATAATAATAAATATTTTAAAAATTATTAAACAGATATTTAATATTAATATTATTAATTATAATAAATAGAAAATCTCTAGCTATCCGGTAAAAAATAAAAAATTAATTATAATAAAACTTTTAGTAAATAAGAATATTAGTATACTTTATAATATCTAAAATAATATTAGTTAAATTAAAGATAAATTAATAAATTATATATTTTTAATATTTAAGTATATTTTAAATTTTTTAAATATCTCTACTACGGGTAAGAGTTTTTAATATTTAAAAATATTATAAAAAACTTTATCTAGATTTAAAAATAATCTAGAGATAATAGATAGTATATTAATAATTAGATTTTAATTATAATAAAAATAAAATATTTTTTTAAAAATAATCCAGTATTTATTATACTAATTAATATTATTATTAAATTATATATTTTTCTTAAATTTCTTGAGCTTAGATATTAGGTTAAGAATTATTATAATTATATAAATATAGTTTTTTATTTAGTAGATATAATAATAATATTTCTATAATTTTTAATATATATTTTATAAGTTCTTAAAAATCTTCTTTTTTTAAAATACTTATTTTTTTACTAGTTAGTTAATAAAGTAATCCAGATAATTAAAAAAATTATTATAAATATTATAAATTTTATAAATAGTAAATCTATTATTTTTAGATAAATAAAATATAAAAAGAAAAAATAGATATAAAAGTTTAAAAAGATATTTTATTTATTTTTATTTAATTAAAATTAATTAAAAATAATTAATATTAGTATAATTATAATACTAAATAAAGTTTTTAATTATTTAATAAAAATTAAGTATTTAATAAATTATAAAATAAATTAAATTCTAATAGATTTTATAATCTAGAAAAAGATAATAAACTAAACTAGATTTTAATTATTAAATAAACTAGAACTTCTTATAATATTAAAAATTTATATTTATAAATTATATAATTTTCTAAATCTATAATTAAGAATTAGTATAATATATTATTATAGAAAAAAGATTTCTAAAAATTATTTATAAAAAATTTTTATAAATAATTTCTAGAATATATCTTTTTAAAAGTTTTTAAAATACTAGAAAAGACTTTAAAATTTTTATTATTATTATTTTAAATATATTTAACAGTATTATTTAAAATCTTAATTTAAAGTTTTTATAGAAGAATATTAATTATAAATTAAATTATATAAATAAAATAAAAAATATAATATTAACTTTAAATAATTTTTATAAAATTAAAATTAATAAAAATATTATAAAACTAGATATTCTAGTTAAATTAAGTTTAGAGTTCTAATAAAATTAAACTAAATATTAAATTATTATTATTAATATTATTAATTATTATACTTAATAATTAATAGAATAGATTATACTTATATAAAATTAATAAAATAATTATAATTAGATTCTTATTAGTATAGAATCCAGATATTAATTAAAAGTCTAATAAAATTTTATAATAATTTATATCTTTTATTAGAAAATATCTAGTTAAAGTAAAAAATATCTTTTAATTAAAATTAATCTAGTAATTAACTATAATTAATATTTATTTAATATTTAGAAATTTTAATAATAATTTTATATATATTTTTTTAGATAGCTCTAATAAATATTCTTTAATTTATATTTAATTAAAAGAACTTAGTCTTTAGGAAAAAGATAAAATAATAAAATTATTTATTTATTTAAATTATATATACTTAATAGTCTAGAATAGTAGATAATAAATAATTATAAAATATAAGACTTAATTTTAAAAATCTTATTTATTATAAATAATAAAAGTTTAAAGATAAAGAATAATTAGTAAAAATTTATCTTAAAAAAATAAATAAATATCTGTAATAGTCTTTTACTTAATATTTAATTAATTATTTATTTAAATATAACTAAAAATATTTTCTTTTTATAACTTTTATAAAAATAATAGTTTATAAAACTAGTTCCTAAGTTTTTAATTTCTAGATATTATAAAATATAAAGATATATAAAATAATAGATATAAAAAATTTTATTAAGAAATAATATATTTTTCTAAAAATTTTTTTATAATATTAATAACTTCTTCTAATTAAAGTAAAATAATAGTTTTTAAATTTATAAATAAGTTTTAAAAAAGAATATCTTCTACTACTAATTATAAAAGATAAAAAGTTTTTTTTATAAAATTAGATATAAGATAATTTTCTGATTTTTTATAATATATATAATCTTAAGATTTAAGAAAAGAGTAAAAATCTAGTTTAAATAATTTATCTTAATTTAAGATTTATTATTATTTATAAAAATCTAAGAAATAAAAGAAAAGGATTTAATAATATTCTTTAAAAATAAACTAGATAACTATAACTAATTTATAGTATTAAAAAAATTCTATAAATAATAAATTAATAAGGAGAAAAGTAGAAAAACTTTATCAAAATAATATTATTTAATTTAAAAATATATTTATATATAAATATAATTTATTATATTTCTTTTCCTGGCTTAATCTACCTATTATACTTATTATTATTAATAAATATAGTAAATAAGAAACTATATTTAGAGTTTAGAATTATTAAATACTTTTTTTTCTAAATAACTTAAATACTTGATTATTTAGAGTTATATTTAGAATTAAGATTTAAATAATCTCTTCTTTTATTATAAATCTAAAATCTAAATATATTACTTTATTAAAATATAGGTTATATTTTAATAAGTATTTTATTACTTATATTTTAATTTCTAGAAATTTTATAATCTTAATATATCTGGTTTTTTTTAGAGATCTAAATATAAGTATTAAATAAAAGTAATAGATTTAAATAAAAAAAATACTTATATAAAAAAGATCTAAAAAAAATTTTTATAAAATTTATTATTAGAAATATAATATAGTATCTAATATTTAAATTAAATAATTATAGATAATATAATTATTAAAATAAACTAATTATATAATATAATATAGATAATCTTTAATTTAATATATAAATAATTAAGATCTTTTTTAATAAAAAATAAAAAAATAATAAATTTATTAAACTTATTTAAAAAAACTTAATAGTAGTTTAGAAATATTATACTAGTTTTTAATTATTATTTTAGTAGTAAAAATATAATATTTTTTATATAATTTATTAGATCTTTAGTATACAGCCTAAATTAAGCTGTAATTATATATTTTTTTTTATTTTAGAAAACTTATTTTTATATATTTTTAAATAACAGTTAAAATAATTAAATTAATTTTTATTTAATTTAAGTATATCTTAACT